ATTGAACCAATGAACGAGGAAACTTAAAAGATAAAAAGTAAATACATGATGAGAAAAAACCAAGATCCTGCGTGTAAGGGATATTGACATCTGGAAGAGGTTCAAGAGTAAGTTGAAGTCCAGAAACTGTAAAAAATTGTAACAGATATTTTAAGAAAAAGTATAAAAAAGAAAAACTTCTAATTATAGTAGAATCGCTTGGAAGTTTTTTCCATGGCACCGAAACACTTAATTCACGAACATAGCTATCGACAAGTGAAAAGATTCCCAATCCTATCAAGTTAATAGAATACAATTACAGCGAGAAAAATATAAAAAAATACCCGAAGAAGACAACATTTCATTTATGTATTCTGTGTTAAGCATAACTGACTGAACTGTGGCAATTCCATCAGCGAGACTAACTTCGAGTTGATCTGATGTAAGTTCCGTCTTCAAATATTGGCCCATATATCTAAAAACAAAATATTCTAAATTAAAGTTGAAATAAAACCTGTGTATCAAAAACCGACATAATGGCTTCGAGAAAATAGAAAAATTTAGCATCTCAAATTCAATGAATTTGACACAAGCGTAGAAGCACGCAAACCTCTTAGATTACCGTTTAATTAAATTTAATGTTCCTTAAAATTAATGATTAAAAAATAAAAAGCACAAGTAATTAACACACAAAAATTGATTATTACATTCTCACATGTTAAAGTCATATTTTGTGAACATTTTTTAGTCTCTTACCAACTTTCTGATGTTTTTTCTCTAATATTAGAGGAAAAAAGAAGGGGATTTACTGTCAGTTGAAAACACTATGCCACAATAAAAAAAAACAACCAAGGATAATTTAAAACCCCCCACACCACTGAAAGACAACCAAAAAATATGGCTGTCCAAACTCCGGTGCCCCTTTACGTAAAAAATATATTAAAAGCAAAATAACTTTAATAATTACTTTAAAATTCGCTTTTTAAACTTTATCAATAAAATTATACCAATGGTGTGTCTAATATTTTTAATTTCATGATTCTTAAAAAAAGTGAGCAATGATTTTTTTATTGGACGGGTGCCATCTGTCGAATCTGTTTTATTAAATAAGCCTTTTCATCATTAAATTGCTCGTCATCAGTCCTAAAAATATAAATTTTGAAGTTTTAATGAAAGAAGCTCCCCCACCTATCACTGTGAAACTCTGAAAGAAACTCTGCGAGCCTATCACGATTACGCAATAAAATCTCGGTTATTGGCTTTGGTTTATTTGGATTTGCCACAAACACCTTATTGTTAATAAATAAAAAAATACAGGGTGCGGCAAATTTAGCGCCGACTTTGTTTTGGCTATAACTTTTTTAATTTTAAACGAAAATTGATAATTCTTTTTTTCCTGGATTCCCAACACTTTAGGAAACTTGTTGATATAAAAATCTTTTCCAAATTTTATAATTAAGTTTGATTAATTTTTCATCAAATTTCGAGCAAAAATTTTTGGATAAAATTTGGCCTGGATTCAAGGCTATTGTTTTAATGTGAGAATTTTACATATCATTCGAATCAGCTCTCCAATCTGATTCGAATGACGTCAAAATCATGTGTCTATCACATAAATGGACCGAGATATGACTCTCTGATTGAAAAATTAAAATAAATTTTGCAAATATAAACTTTTTAGGTAAAATTTTCAAAAATGATTTTATTAGCTATTTCGATGCTCCTTATCGAGAGGAGTTGATTGGTACCAAAATAACTCGGATTGGATTATTTTGAACAAAGTTATGATCAACTAAACTTTGGCATGAAAAATATTTTTAGATTTTTCGGCTGTTCGGACTCGTTTTTCTTTCCTCTCAGTGGACCAAATTTTCAATATTTGATATCAACAAGTTTCCTAAAGTGTTAGGAATCCAGGAAAAAAAGAATTATCAATTTTCGTTTAAAATTAAAAAAGTTATAGCCAAAACAAAGTCGGCGCTAAATTTGCCGCACCCTGTAATATTCAAAAAGAAAAAAAAACTTTGAAAACATGGAATGCCTCAAATTGAATATTTTTGCTTTTCTCCTTGAGCATATTCATCATCAACTTCAAATTATCCGGATTACTTATATATCGAGTCATCACATTGAAATTGGAACGATCCAAAAGAATTTCGCCTAACTATTGGTTAATTATTTGACAACAAAAGTAAAGAACTTATATTACCAATTTAAGACTTTGTCGTCTTACAACATAGTTCTCAGAAAGCAACAATTTTTGATAAGATTCGAAGAAACGATCATATTGATTCTCAAGAAAATCAGCGCACAAAGATTTGTGTTTCGTTATCAAATCCTAAAAAACAGATATTCAAAAAGAATCGAGTCATCACATTGATAAGTAATATAAGCTCTTTCTAATAGAGGCCCAGTCAGAAGGACGTATAAAAACAGACCGGGCTTATATTAAATAATTTTCCTAACCAGCTATCGGTTGAAAAAAAAACCTTAAAAGTTGAAAAAGCATCAGAAGCAATATCAAAAGTAGCAGATTCAACATAACGGAAAAAATCAAAAAATTGCTCAGAAAGTAAAATAATTTTTGCCAAATGTTCATGGCGAATACATTCCCGTAGCATTGTACCACAAGTAAGCGCTATTTCAGAAACTTCATATCCACGAACAAGCGTCATTAAGATTTCTGGACGCGCACACAAATACTCGACTGTAGGTGAACGAGTACCAATTTGACGACGTAACAAATTGTTAAAAATTAAAGCAACGTCTTTCTTCGATCTAAAAAATGTGATTTATAAAATAAAAAATTATTTTTAAACAAACTCAAAATCCAGTTTAGTAAGCTGACGAATAAGTAGAGGAAGAACAGAAGCATTGTATATTTCTTGCACAAGTTGAGAAATCTGCTCTGTATTAGGCTCCTGATTATCCTGTCCGTAGATAATTGATTTACTTGCCTGTAGCCAACGATTGACCTTAAATAGAATATACAAAATAGCTGGGAAAGGTTTCTAGAGAGATGCATAACTCGAAAGAGTGGCGCAAAAACTCGAAAAATTTTTTAAAGAAAAACCTCTTCAACCGCTTTTTCCGATTTTCGGTCTTGACCCTTTTCGATCAGCAGCAACGCTTCCCTCAGGTTGCGCACAATTTCTCCAGGCGATTTGTGCGATTTTCCAAACAAGGGCATTTATCGTCGCCGCTATAACGCATAAAATTTAATATAAGTAGATAATTTCGTAAGATAAGGCAAGATATATAACTATAGGATTGGACAACAAAAGGAGTTAAAAAATTTTATTTTTCATATGATTAAATAAATACATATTTAGAAGTGAATTACTAAAAAAGATTTACTCTCTTTTTCTTGAAAAATCGGATCTTTCGCAAACAAAAGCAGAGTTAATCTTATTTTAAAAAGACAATTGGCAATGGAAATTATTGAAAGGTAAGGAACGGAAAAATAAAATAATAAAAGGCATCATTACTTTTGAAAGAAATTAGTTTTTTTAAGTTAAAGCGTTAAAATAAAATTAAGGAAATTAACCACATAACCAAACCTATGTTAAATTTAATCCTCATGTTCTAAAACAGAATGTATTTCTTCAACTTTTGCAGCACGGCTTTGTTCACTTGCCAGTTGACGTTCCAATGTTTGTTGTAAATTCAATGCCTCAACCAATTCCCTAGAATATTTTTAAATTTTTTATTTAAAGCAAAAGAAAACCTATTCTTTTCAGCGACAGCTGTACGCATAGCTGCAATCGTTGTATTCAGACGTTCAGCCTCCGCGCTTTCAGTCTCTACACATTTAGGCCATTCAGCATTACGAAGAGATTCGAGAACAGATTGCAAATTCTACAAAATAAACAATTACGGAATTTCAAATAAATCTCCAAACATTGTGCTGCTTCCTCAGCTGAATTAATTCACGTTCTTTTGAATCAAGCAATGTCAATTCAACTCGTACCAATTCTGTTTTTTGTGCAGCGAGTGTTCTCCTTAAAAACAATTATTTTTTAGTTCAAAAAGTTAAAACAAACTCTTGAATATCGATCAAAGCCTCCAAATCATTCCAAGTAAATTTATGAGTATATAAATCGTGTAGACAAAAATTGGGGATGTTCAAAAAAGTTAACGGAGTATAAGTTTTCCTGTTGTTCATATTATTCCAGCGAAGTGAATTACAACGCCCAGCCATCAAGACATTATAATCTACAAAATTTTGAAATCAAATGAAAACCTCATGTAAAATAACCTGGAGGATCCGGGCGATTTTGACAATGATCGACATTATTAGAAAGCATAGCATCAACACCTGAAACAATGTCATTTAAAAATTAATTAAATAAAAAATCAAACTAGTTGTTGAAGAATTTGTTGAAAGCATATTCGGTGTGCACGACTCCAAATTAGATGAATGTACTCCATCACCTTTTTCAATATCCAATTTAAGCAATTCAAATTCGGGCTGAACTCCTTGTTCATTACATTCCATTATAAATTCATAAGGTCGTTCATCCGGCGTGAATCGATGCTCCTGCTAAATTTTTTTGCTTTATAATAAAAAAATAAACTACATCAGATCCATTCAATCGTGCTATCAAAGTAAATCTGCCTTTTTGTTGTCTTGCATGCGCCAGTACATAAACGATTTGAGCACACCTGTATTAAAAATTGATTTTTAAAAATGAATTTAGAAAATAAAGTTTACGTTGTATTCTCATTTACACCAGAAACACTTTGAATACTACCACCAGCTGTAGACACAATTAAATCCATTTTTAGACTGAATACGCGCAGCAAAAGTTAATCTCAAAAAACGGACGACGATTTAGAGAAAAACAAGGAAAGAACTCATCACTCTACTCTAAATAATAATTTACGTCAATTTTTTTGAAACCAGAATTGAAAACGCAAAAACTAAATTTTTTACAAAAAATTACAAGCGTTACGACAATTGTAAATTGACCCATTTGTGCAATTGCCATTTATAAAACGGACAACTGTGAATTAATCAAAACGTCCAGAACAAAACGCCCAATGTACAATTGTTTCAAAACGTTGAGCACAGAAAAGATTTTTAAAAATTGAAAAGTATAAAATGAAAAAAACATTTGTTAAGATTCGTATGTTCCACAAAAATTTATAAAAAAAATTTAAAAAAAACTTAAATTATATTCCAATAAATAATTAAAGTTAATATTAAGTAGAACGAGAAATAAAACCCGTTTTTAAAATTAATTATTGAAAAAAGTAAAACAAAAAATCTTTTTTAAAAATCATTTTTAATTTCTAAACTTGTTGTTTGGGATTCTATTTGTTGTTGTGGAATTTGAAAGAAACCAAGTGGCAAAATGCTGAGCAAAACAGGAATGAATATTAACCCATGAACCATTCCTAATACCATTGTTAACCTTTAAAAAATTTTAAAAATTAAGAAAAAAATTTAAAAAATACCAAATTGTTTTAAAAAATGTCAAAATAATATAAGCATCAACAGTGTAAAGGACTGAAATGCCTGTAATTGTTGAAGCAGCACCCTAAATTATTTTAAAAATAAATTTAAAAAATTCCAAAAAAATTCAAACCTGAAATATCGGCCAACCAATATGTCCAAGTGCACAAATAACTCTTTCTTTAGATTCCTTCCCTTGTGCACTGACAAAAGCATAAACAATATGAGCTGATAAATCTACAGCAAATCCAATTGACATAATTATCGAGATCATTGAAACACTGAAAAGGAAAGAAAATTATAATTAAAAAATCAGGGGTCATTTCGTCGGGAAGGAGCCCCCACAGGGAAGAATCGATAACTCTCCCAGATGTCCATCGCCAACAACCATGATTAGATGTCTTTCAGGGACCTCGTGACATTCAAAGGACCTTATTGTTAGATTAACTCAACGGGAAAAGTAAAATTAGAAAAAAGCTTACGCATCCAAATTAACACCCCAAAATGTCATATAACCAAAAACACCAGTAGCAATAGAAATAATTGAAAGAATAATTAACTTAAAAAAATAAAAAAATATTTTTTAAAAAGTTTTTTAAACAAACAATTGCTGAAGGTAAACTTGGAATAAGTAACAAAGCTACAGCAGTCATACATAAAAGTGAAATAAAAACATTTCTTAATGTTGAAGGTAAAATAATTAAATATTGGTCAGCAAATGGAAACATTTCATGATAAATTTCTAAATTAAATGGTTGTTGACTATCAGCAATTTCTCTAAGTAATTTTGTTGATAATTTATGTTGATTTGGTTCTACAATATTTTTCATTGCTATCTAAACAATAGAAAAAATTAAATATTTAAAATGTAAGAACAGCGGTTTTGGGTCAAGAAGCTAACTTCGGAGTCGGCTTCCAGAGCTAAGATTCTGAAAAAATCGGGCCCAAAGTCACAACCCAGCACTGAAGACGGCAAACTATCCCCTTTTTTAAATTTAATAAAAAACCTGAAATCTAAAGGCACTTATTTCATTATTTGAACGATTAAAAACAATATCAGATTCCCATTGATTACTAGCACCAGTAAATTTGAGCCATGAACGTAATTTATGATTCCAAATTCTTTCAGTATTTTCAGCTTCAGCATTTAATTGTTCCAAATAATTTAAAAATTCCAAGAAAAAGAAAACTGTTCCCTTTAAAAAAAATTTTTTATTTTACTATAAATAAATAAAAAAACCTCTCTTCCCATTGTATATGGTGTATTTTCAAATGCTTCAACTGTTCTCATAAGTTGTTCTCTAAGAAAATAATTTTTAAAAATATAATTGTAAAGTTTCTAGAAATAAACCTTTGTAAAGGATCCGTAAAATTTGGTGGATTTAATACCTAAAAGATTTTGTTAATGAGAGAAATTTTTAAAAATTAAAAAAAGTTTCGGGTCATTCCAAACATCCTCCTTTTTATTAAAGAAAATAAACAAACCGCAACGTGTAATTGTGCTCCCATTTTCCAAAAAATTTTCATATTTTCAAAATATTTTCCAACATAATGATCAGAAGTAACTAAATGACTAGGTTCCAAACCTTCTCTAAAATTTAAACATCCAATAATTGCCAAACAAATATAACAAATAAATAATAAAAAAATTAATAAACGTATTGAATTATTTAATAAAAATGGAGCAAAATATTTTGTAAAAAAATGATGTGAAAAATTTGATGATGATGTAGAATTACAAGTTGAAGTTGAAGTAAAAAAAGAAGAAAAATTTTCACAATTTTTAAAATTTTTATTTTGCTGTTGTTGCAATGCTTTTATTGTTGTTTTATTTAATTGTTGTCTAGTTGGTTCTATTCGAATATTTTGAATAAAACAAGGTTTTGTACTATCAATCTTTCCATTACTTAAAAAATTAAAAAAATAAAATTTTTTAAACCAAAGATTTCGTAGCCCGGCGTAATACAAAACGCCAACGTTTGATATAACGGAATCAAAAAAAATTTTTACCTCATTTTTCCTTCATTAGAAGAAAGAGCAGCCGAATTATTTCCATTTTCTTTTACATCTTCCAATTTTTCTATTTTTTGTTTATTATTAAAATTCCCATTGTAATCATCTTTAATTTTGTAAAGAAAAATACAATGACGTTGTTGTTCTTCTGCTTCTCCCATTATTGCCATAAAACCCGTAAAAAAGGTTAACTAAAAATTAAAAATTCCAGGAAATTTCAAAAAAAAACCTGATAAATATAACAAAAAAGAACAGAAAGAAATGCATAAATACAAAATAATTCAATTCCGGGTAATTCTGTAACACAACCAACCAAAAAAGCTAAAATATCTGTTATCTACAAAAATTTTAAAAATTTCAAAAAAAATTTTTTTAAAGCAAACATTTGTAATAGAAACAGCTACACCTCCATCTCTCATCATTTGTGCTGTTCTTTCACTAACAGTTAAAGTTTTTTTCTTTGCTGTTGCTGACCAACAAGCATTTAATACAAACATATCATCAACACCAACAGCAATTATTAAAAATGGTATAATTGTATTTATAACATTATATGGAATTCCTAGAAGTAAAAGTAATCCAAATGAAGAAATTAATGCAAAAAGTGTTGTTAATAAACCTGTGTGAATTTTTTTTTAAATAAAAATTATTTTTTAAGGTAAAAAATGTCCGCGGAAATAAAAAACTCAATACTCTAGTGGCGCTCCTACAACCCGGCCCAGTCTAATTCATCCCAATGAGCAAAAACCATGATTCGCCCCCTCAATTCGTCCCAACCCCAACTTGCCCCAGTTAACAAAAACACCCAAATCATCACATTAATAAAAATCCAATCCTTTACTGGGATAATTCTCAAAATTATTTCAAAACAAAATTATACCAGCACACGCTACAAGAGGTTTTGAACGAATCCAATCAATTGATATTTTTTGTTTATTTTCATTATGAACGCGAAAAGTAAAAGCACAAGCAATACAAAATATTGTGAGGGCAATAACGCTAGTAACAAAATTTGGAAAAAATCTGCGAGCATTTTCATCCAAACCATCCTGTGATTTAAAAAATATTTAGTGAAAAAAATTAAAAAAAACCTCAATAGATTGATAATGAGCAAAAGAAATATCAATTAAAGGTGATTCAAATCCATGTAACAAAAAACGTTCGACAGCATATTCAAAATCTTAAAAAAATTTCAAACTTGAGAAAATGAGAAAAAGGCAAAATACCTGTAGAATATTTTCGAACATTTGCTGGTTCTTGTTTCAGAAAAAAGAACATCTAATTAAAGAATTAAATTTAAAAAATTTTATAAATTAAATAAACCTGAATAATTTTTGCAGCTTGAACAGTCCCATCAGTTTTATTTAATTTTATATCACCTATTGCTGTACCCAAATATGCAGGTGTATCCTTTTAAAAAAAGAAAGAATAAAAATAAATTTTAAATATATACTTTATTTCCTCCTTTTGGGTATGTCAATTCAATAACACGCCCAACTTGTGTCATTTGTCTAAACATTTCAATGTGTTCATTTGCTGAACATTTCCAATCATAACCAAGACAAAGATCCTATAAAATAAATTTTTTGGCTGCTGCAGGGCGCACTGCCGAACTCTAACCCTGCTCGGTGCGGAACTCTAAAAAATAAAAAATAAACCTGATAGCTAAGTTGAAAACGTCCATCCATTGTTGGAACAGTTATATTTTCTGAGATAAAACGATTAAGTAAATCAATTTCATCCAAAATTTCAGGTTGTAAAACATTTCCTCCTAAAATTAAATTTTTAATTTTTTAAGACAATCTTTTTCCGCTTACCATCTTTAGCCTTACAAAGAATATTGACAAAACGCTTTGTTTCAAATGATTTTCCAGCAATAAATTTATTTTCATCTAAAGGCCAAAGTCTTGAAAATGTTCCAAGTTCACGCTTCCATCTAGAAAAATACAAAAAATTTAAGATATATTTAAAAAATAACCTGGCATCTCTCGGTGTGAAGACATATGCTATAAAAACAAATATCAATTTATTACCGATAAATTAAAAATAAAATTCAAAACCTGGATCATCTACACGCAAATCAAAAACCCAAATAAATCCAACAGAAAAACAAGCCGAAAGTAAAGGTGGAATAACTACCATTGGCCAACGATAACGATAGACAAAAGTCCCAAAAAGATAAAAGAATCGACAGAATAATGGCTCCAATGAAAAGCATGACTTGAGCAATACCATTTAAGTAAAAAACTGAAATTAAAAAAAATACTGAAAAAATTTTAAAGAAAGTGTTAAATAATTTCAAAATTAAATTAATCCTTTAAAAAATAATTTTTTTAAGCAAATTTTATGTTGAAGAGAAAAAAGCTATTGAAAAAAGATGATCCATGTTTGTCCTAAATTTGCGTTAGAAAGTGAATTTTTTGAAAAAAAATGTTTAAAAAACTGGTTTGGAGATGTGAATAAAACGCCAAAAATACAAATTTTAAACAATAAAAAAATTGAAAACAGGAAAACATTAAGGTAGACGTTAAAAAATTTTTTTTGTAATTTTAAAATAACTTAAAGGCAAAAATTTTATAAACTCATAAAAAGAAAATTTTTAAAAAATTTGCCTCCCAGTCCGGGAATCGAACCCGGGTCTCGCACGTGACAGGCACGGATACTAACCACTATACTAACTGGGAACTGAAAGAAAATAAAATAAAAGAGTATATCAACTCACTTTTATCATTTAAAAATTTAATTTCTTATGTAACGGTAAATTATAAAATTTTGATGAATTCTCCTAGGTGTGACAAAGTAATTTTCTTAATTTATCTCAATTTTGGCTAATAAACCTAATCATTTAGATAAACCTTATAGAAAAAACTTTAAAGAAAAAAACTTGAAAAAACATTAATTTGGGTCATTTAAGTCCGGTAAAGAGATTAGCCGTAGATCAGTAAAAAAATAAAAAGAAAATGCGCCAGTTTTTGGATGTGGAAAAAGTAGAAGAAAAGTGAAAGTAATGGAAAGGGGGATATGAGAGATGGAAGAATGCCTTAAGGGAAAAAATTTTTGTGATGAGAGCACCCAGTAATGGATTCTATATTTTGAGAGAGGATTTATGAAGAAAAAAGAAGAGCGGATGATGGCGCGAAGAGAATCGATTTGGCTAGTTTTTGGTGGTGAAAAACAATAGCTGGTGGGAGATTAACAAAAACAAGGTACTTTATTAATATCCCGCCCCCCACCCCTATTTGAGTCTCAGATTAATTTCCCTTCCTTTACTGTCAATCATTTTTCCTTCAAACATTGCAGGTAAAAGGCAAGTACTAGGAAGGAAAAATAGACGGCAACCTCAAAGAAAGCATTTATAAGAAGGAAAATTGACCATTCCGAGGCAGGAAAAATAAAAAGTAAAATTAATCTGAGACTCAAATAGGGGTGGGGGGCGGGATATTAATAAAGTACCAAAAACAATTGTTAGAAATATTTAAAAAAAATTTTCACTGTGAATTTTTGAAAGATTTCTTACTGCGTGAGGTACCCGAGAAAAGTTATCCCATTTAAAAAATAAAAAAAGCTAACCTTCTTTTAAAAGTCAAAATATCCACTCAAAAGGATGTTTTACAAAATCTGTTGACATTGAAAAAAGTCGACAATAGTAAAAATTCCTTTTTAAATTTCAAGTTTTGCATTTTGTTAAACAGGTTATTGTTGTTGTTGATGACCTCGACGCAATTTTTTGCACGAAAAATTTTTGCAGTTGACCTTGTCCTTAAAAAAATATTCAAATCTCCGTTAAAATGGACAAAAGAATTTGCAAGAAAAAGCAACAACGGTAACAATTTTCTTTGACTTACCACCAAAAAATCACTCCGAAATTGACGAAAGCCGCCGCTTTTTCCGCAAAATCTTTTGACGGAAAATCCTTTAAATTACTAACAAATACCTAAAATTAACTTGCAGTTTTTTTACATCCCTCAGCTTGAATTTCTCTTCCTCTTCGCCATATTAGAAAAACAGGATTTTATTTGATTTCATGTTTTTTCATCCAGCCGCGCCACATACCAATTTTAAAAAAGATGAGAGAATTTTTTAAAAAAAGATTACAAATTAAACGATAGTTTACTAAAATATTAAAAAAAACAAATTTAATACTTTTTTAACCCTATAATTGACAGGGTTAAAATAAACCAGTTAGATCGTGATTTTTACTGTTAAAAACCCTGCCAAACTCTACTAAAAAATAAAGCTACAGGCAGTGAACCTGATTTAAAATTACTAATAAAATATGTTTATTTACCCAAGCATTTTATTTTAAAAAATTAAAAAAAAATCACATTTTAAAGAAAAAATGGAATCTATGACCTGACAAATTTAGTTTGTTAGTGGCTTATTAAGACTCATGGTAAATAAATTCAGAGATTCCATCTTAAAATACTAAAAATCACTACAGGCCTTTTTATATTTTAGTAATTTAAATATTTTTTTTGGCTGGCATTTTCTTAGCTGGCACTTTTTCTTTAATTGCGAGCATTTTAAGCTGCCGTTTGGCTTGAACGTTGAATACAAGCAGCACGTTCCTGAGAGAAATTTTAAAAAATAAAATGGGTCAAAAAGATTAAAACAAACTTCTCCTTCTTTATTGTAGAGAATTGTGTGCACATTTGATCCAACACCAAAGGACTCTTCTCCATCATATACGAGCTGATCGGGAGGTGCATGAAGGCCACCTTGATTACGTGCCCAAATTTTTAAACGTGCCATTGGTCGAAGGACAAAGTTATGAGGAAGGGTGTACACAATATCACGTTTTCCTAAAAATTAAATAAAAAATTTTTTCTCGTCTCATTAAAACAAACCATCAATGCGTCGTTTCAATTTCCACTCGCCAATATTCTCTTCTTTTGAACGATGGGTATTCTCGATTACAATGTATTTGCCTTCAGGGGAAGCTTCCAATATTGAAACATTTCCTTTTGCAGAACGTTGATAGGATTGTCGGGAAGAAGTTTCTCCTTTTACAACACGCATAGTTTCTGTTAAAGGTGAGGGAGATCTTGATTTAAATGGTGGTGGTGATGGAGAGGGTGGTGAGAAAGGAACTGGCGGTGTTTTATCCAGAAGAAGGTATAATTTTCTATACATTTTTATTTTTTGTTTAAATTCAAAATAAAATTGTTTATTAACCAAGACAAATTAAATTGATCGGTTAAATTGATATAAAATGATAGAATTTAAAAAAGGTGTAATTTTAAATTTATTAGGTAGTAAATTTCGATTTATTTAACCATTATTTCTTACATCCAGTCCTCGACCTGGGTTAACAAAATTAAAATCACTCAATTGGAAAATAAAGTTTAAAGGAAAAGAATAAAAAAAAGTTAGACCATAAATAAAAAAATATTTTGAGTATTATTTACTTAAATTCACTTAACAAAAAATTTGGAAAGAAAAATTAAGAAAGAAAAAAATTTGCCTCCCAGTCCGGGAATCGAACCCGGGTCTCGCACGTGACAGGCGCGGATACTAACCACTATACTAACTGGGAACTGAAAGAAAATTAAAAAATGAGAACTAAAAAGGTTTTTTTTTAAGTTAAAGTGAAAGGAAAATCAAAAGAGAATTAAAAAACCGCCAATTCCTTTCGAAAAAAATATTTAAAAAGTTTTCAACCTGTATCAGCCACTTCATTAATTCCAGTTGTACGAACAACTTGTTCTACTAACTGTTTCAAACCAGGACCATCTCCTTCGCCCTCAAGCATTTTTCGGTATATGGCAATTTCGGCATCCAGTGTCTGTTTTGTATCTAACAACATCTGCAATTCCACCATCAAAGCTTGACATTCATCACGCATTTTACGAATTTGAGCTTCTTTAGCGTTGAGGGCATCCTCATAAGCTCGTTGATCATCTTCTAGATTGTAATTGAGCTCTTGAATTTGTTTTTCCAAAAGAGCATTCTGTTAAAGAAAAATTAGCTACCGTCCTTTTAAAACCAAAAAAACATACACGGCCTTCAAGATCTCCAAGTTTTCCACGTAAATCAGTTAATTGTTGACGAAGACGTTTCAATTCATCTTTTTGATAACCTTGTTCCATGTTTTGACGAGCAGATTGAGTTTCAATTTCTTGTACTTTTAACTTGTACCATGATTCAATGTCTTGACGGTTTTTGTTGTTTAATGAATCATATTCATTTCGAATATCACGAATGGCAGAAGCCAACTCATTTCTGAAATAAAAATGTATAAGATACGTAAAAAATGATATTATAGGATTCAAACCTAAAGAATTCACGATTTTCACTTGTTGTATCACGAGCAGCCATTGCTTGCAAATCTTTAATTTCTTGATCGTGTGAACTGAAAAAGTATAAAATTATAAATTAATATTCTCAATTTTTACCGTCTAATAAAGTCAATTTCTTCAAGAAGTGTTTGAACTTGGTTTTGATAGTCAATACGATTAAGCGTTTCTTGGTCTAATTCGGCACGGACTCGTTGAAGCTCCGACTATTTTAGAGCAAATAGAAAACATCAACAAATATTTATACCTGAAGTCGAGAATTCTCTTTGCGAAGACGACCCAATTCTTCTTCAAGAAGAGCAATTCGACGTTTAAGTAAGGACAATTCAGATTCCAAATTGCTTAATTGAACAAGCAAATCATCAATTTTCTCTCGATCACCGCTACGAGCACGAACTGCCTCCTCATATTTTCGTCGTTGTTCGTCTAATTCATCCTGGAGACGACGAACTTGAGCATCCAAATCACGACGAGCACTACTAGTGTCTTCAATTAATTTTTTTGCTTCCTGTAAGGGAAAAAAGCGTTTCATCAGAAAATTAAAAAAAACTCACATTTATTTCACTTTCATACATAGTTTTAATAGAGATGGTATCTTTTCCCTTGCGTCCATGTAGCATATCCAAGTCTGCCTTCAACTTGCGGTTCTGCGCCTCCAGAAAACGAACCTATTTTAAAAGATAAATTTTTCGAGTTTTTTGAAGAGCTAAAAAACCTTTTCAATATAACTAGCCAAACGGTCATTCAAATCACTAAGTTCCTTCTTCTCCCGATCTCGAGCATCACGAATTTGAGCAGCATTAGCACCAAAAGGCGAAGTACCACCACCACCTCCAGTTGTACTTGATGTCATTGTTTCGGTAACAACTTTCAAAATGCGATTTCCAGTGGCTAAAAAATAAAAAAATTAATTTAGAATTTTTAAAAATTGATTATTTTCAATTTCCCTCATTGCTCATCCTCCTTTTTATTTTATGAGCAAGACATTAGAAATTTATATAAATTAATCATTTACTAAAAAACATACAAGGATAAGAAGATTGTAACATTTTTGAGAGAAGAAAAAATAAAGAATTAATTAAAAATATATAAACCAATATTTATAACACAAAAATAAAATGATTAAAAAGTATATTTAACTAAAATATATATCCTTCTATATATATTTGCAAAATTTATGAAAAAAATTTTTTTGAGGGTGGAAGAAACAAAAGTGTGAACAAAAGAATAAAAGAGGAAGTATTGCGAGAAATATAGGGAGAAGAAAGGATAATCTGTTTTGATCGATTCTTCTGCGGGATTTTCTAGTTTTAATATATTTCTGTTATGTTAATGGGTGGCCTATATTATTTTGAGAATTTGTAAAATGAAGAGAATGAAAAGAAGAATCATAACAAATTATAAAAACTGAAGGAAAAGTCAAAATAAATCCAAAAAAAAAGGAAAAAAATCCCTTCAGAATTTTTTAAAAAAATAAAAAAAGAAAACTAACGAATTGGTCCAGTAGTACTTGAGTAACTTGTAGAGTTACGAGCAAATGCTGGACGTGATGAAATTGAAGAGCGATAATCATCCATTTTTGATAAATCCTGAAAATAAAATAAATTATAATTTAAGTTTTATAAATAATATTTTTAAAGTTGTGAAAAAAATTTTTGTTTGTTATGATAGAAATATTATATTATGAAGAATGAGCGTTAGTTTTTATGTCAAGGTCACGTAAAACAAAAATATTTTAGTTCTTTTAGTACAAATAACTATTTAATCATCTTAATTAGTCTATGGAGGATTTTTGATTAAATTTGTAAAAATAGAAAATAACACAAAAAATTAAATAAACTGATGAACAATTTTTTAAAGCTCACAGAACAATTTTTTAAAACCAAACTTTATTTGGTTTTTAAAACTTATACACTCTGTAACAAAATGATAGCGCCACCTAGTTTTTATCGATATCCTACCAAATATTAAATGGATCTGTTTCAAATTTTGGTAGAATATAGATAAGGATATTATGTATCAATAATGGAAATAAAAAGTTTAATGCAGATTTAAAAAAAATTTATAACAATAAATTTGATTTTAGAGTGTAACAAAAAGATAGCGCCACTTGTATTTTTGACCTTAGGGGTTGTCCGAAAAATCTAAAAAAATTCCAGTATACATATCTATTAATATCTATACTAAACACAAAAGAAACTAAGTTCCTATATAATTCCTTCATTGAGATCTTGAAACCCGAAAATCAACGGAAAACCGGGGTAGACGTCTTTAAAAAATATTTTCGACCTCTTACACGTGAAATAAAAATTTTATTTTCGGCTCATTTGAAAGCCCTTAAAATTTGCTACAAGATAGCATCAATTTTATTTACTGAAAAACATTTACCTTTAAAACATAATGTGATAAACTTTCATGTCATAAAAATCACTCAAACGCCCCCCAAAAAGTGATAAAAATGTGACTTATAAACTTAACTCATTATTTCTCAAAAAAGAATTTTTTCTGGGTTATGAGATAAAAACTAACTTGTAGCAAATTTCAAGGGCTTTCAAATAAGTCCAAAATTAAATTTTTATTTTACCTATAAGGGGTCGAAAATATTTTTTAAAGACGTCTACCCCGGTTTTCCGTTGATTTTTGGGTTTTCAGATCTCAATGAAGGAATTATATCAGAACTTCATTTCTCTTGTATTTTCTACAGATATCATAGATATGTCTACAGGAATTTTTGTAGATTTTTCGGACCACTCCTAAGGTCGATAATACAAGTGGCGCTATCTTTTTGTTACACTTGAGAATTAAATTTATTATCATAAAATTTTTTTTAAAAATTGCATTAAACTTTTTCTTTACATTATTGATACATAATATCCTTACCTATATTCTGCCAAAATTTGAAACACATCCGTTACATATTTGTTAAGATATTGATAAAAAACTAGGTGGCGCTATCATTTTGTTACAGAGTGTAGTCTTGCCGTTAGTCTTTAAAAGAGAAAGACTTATTAAAGTTAATTTAAATAATTAAAAGAATAAAAGAATGACATAAATACTTGATGACTAATTTTCTAAAAATAATTTAAATAAACGCCATCGGATTAGGCGAATAAAAATTAAAAACATGTGAAGAATTTGACAATGTTATATGACGTTAAACTAAATAAAAAAAATAAACATAAAAAATAGCCAAAAAGTAGCCAAAAGTGGAACGAAAATATAATTTTCTTGTTAACAAATCAAAATAAACTTTAAGAGAGATAAAAAAATATTGTTCAGTTCAGTTTAGAATTAGCTTTGAAAAAGATTTATGATATAACAGACATAAAAGTCAGCTTATCTACCCCATTTTTTAGTGTGTTTGTGATTAAAAAGAAGATTCCCAAAACCAAAAAAAAGATAAATAAAGTAATTTTTTTATTAATACAAAAAATATTAATTGTTTGTTTGTGGTTGTCAGGCGGCATTCAAAACAGGCTCAAATCGCAAAGCCCTTGAGGAGAGGAAATTAATAGAAAAAAAAGAAAGTGGCAGTGGGGGAGGGGAAGGATGGGGGTTGTTTTGCTGCGCTCCGCGCAGCAAAATTTTGGCTGGCGTAATCAATTTAAATTCCGCTACATTACACAAAAGTTTTTGTTGTTGTTCTTTTTATATATCTATTTAATATGCTTTAAAATTAAATAAAAATATACTAAAAATGCACAACCATTTTACTATAATAATAAATAGTGGCTGTTTAGTTCAAGGCAACTAAAAGTTTTTTTTCTTAATTTTTTAACCCTGTGTCCCCATCGTCTCCCCCCCCCCCTCAAAAGAAACAAGAGGAATTATAAAAAAGAAAATGGGCAATCAAAAAATTTGGGGAGAAAAGTGAGAATTAATTGGTGGTATTCTTCACCATTCTTCCCTCCCCACAAAACAATTAATATATCGTAAAAAATAAAAAAATAGTGGGACGTCAAATAGTGTGTTTTGAAGCGTGGGAGAGAGACTTGCGCATTGCATGAAAAGTTTAAAAAAAATTTACAAAAATGAATAAAATAAAATGACTCATGGAAGGATAAAAGTAAATAGACTGGCCATAAGATCATTCTGAGTTCAAATAAATATAAGACAAAAAGTGAGAAATAAAGATGAAGAAAAAAATTTTAGGACGTAGAAGAATTGACTTTTGACGGTGTTTACATTTTTATAAAAAATTTCTTTCACATAATTTATTTATTTGCGCATGTTTTGTATTTTATTGTCTGGATAAAAGTGGAAACAAGTAGCTAGCAGACTTTTGCCTGAAGTGGGAAAATGGAAAAATAAGACTTTATTTTAGATTTAAAAAAATAAAGAAAAATCATTCAATGTTCTTGATGAAACATTTCCGTTCAAAACCAACATTTACTTTTTAAGCTTTCAAGAAAATTTTACAATGATTTCACGAAGAATATGGAGAAAATCAACGAGAATGATGACTAGATTAATTGGCCCTGCCGTATTAAAAAAACGGAAAAGCAAAAAAAAGACAAAATCAGCTGAGGTTGGAAGCGGAAGAGATTCACATCCCTGCTATGATTCTAAGAAAATAGGAAACAGAAAAATCAGTTTAAGATAAGTACAAACCCATTATGAGACAATTGTAGAAAAGAGTAAAATGATAAGACGAGAAGAGTAGAGAGAAAACTAATTTTAGTTTTTAAAATATAAATTTGTTAAAAAAGGCGTGGCAACAAAATTAAAAATATAACCTTGATTTAAAAATGGCCCTATGAAAATAAAAAAAATTTTTAATTAAATTGAATTAAATTTTATAATAAAAGGAATGAGGATGACAAAGAATTTAAATTAAATAAAAAAAGAGCAAATAATTAAAGAAAAATTTTAAAAGTAATGACAAAAAATATTTTTTTGAAGAACAGGAATTGGAAAGAAGAAAAATTGGAAAAAAAATTTTCCTTAAGAAACCTTTTTTAAATTGCAAATTGATGATACGTTTCGAATCAAACCGGAAATGATCAAAGGAATGTAGAAAGTAAAGAAAAAGTGCGCATGAGAAAAGTGAAGAATGAGTAGGAAGATTAGCATTCTTGCATATTATTGTGGCAAAAACCCACTCATTATTGGGGAAAGAGGAAAAGGGAATGAAAAACCACCCGGGCACCTTACAAAACCTTAAAGCCCTTAAAAATTAAAAATAATTTAAAAACCTCGTCAAAACTGAAATATGATGAAAAACCAACTCATTTGTATATCATCTCATCTGAAATTGAAATCCTCAAACACCAATCTCATCCAATTTTAAAAAAGAATATAATCTCATTTGTTGTTGCATATAAATAACCACTTGAAGAGCATTAAATAGCAATAAATTAATATATTGAAAAAAAATAAAAATTGAAATTAATAAAAAAAAGAAAGTAAAGCTTTGTAGCTAGCTGACAACAAAAGTAGTGCCAATAAAAAAACTTTTTAAAATATATTTTAATTTGGCTAAAAAAATTACAAAAAAATGATTAAATGTTAAATAAAAATTTAAAATTTTATTATTCTCATTTCTTAAATTTACTTTCTTCTCATTTAATAAGACCCTGGTTTCTGTAGTGTTTGTATAAATGTATTACTGAAGGGTGGAAATCCTATTAACAAAAAAATCTTTATTTATTAAAGGTTCAATTATAGAAAAATACCATTAGCCGATGAATTTAAAATATTCGAAAAGTTAGCAGCCACATTTCCATTTGTATAAGGAATATAAGCAGCAGGGTTTGAGGCCAAATTAAGAACTCGTTGTGATGGGTAGTTACGATAATCAGCAGTAGCGGCTAGTCGTTCTAAAATTTTGATGATTATTTATTTATTTATTTATTTATTTACACCACTAGGGTGTGACAGTCAAAAATATATAAGGTGTGACAGTCAAAAATTCATTCAAAAAAACTAACCTGGCTCAATAGGATAAAATGCTGTACAGTTAAAGTAAAGCATTTCTGCAAAATCGGCTGCCCGATGAAGTATAAATTCTTTTGGTAAAGGTTCAGGATCAGTTGGGTATTTTGGTAAAAGTTTTTGTAATCGTTGAAAGGCTGTATCAATGCTTGGTTCGGATGATGCTTAAAAGAAAAACAAAAAAAAATTCTTTAATAAAAAAGCTTACAACTAAAAGAAAAACGGATAGAATTAGAACGCATTTTTGGTTGACCTTTTGGAGAACAAAGAAAAACATCAATTGAGCCAGCATTTGGCCTTACAGGAATATTAACTTTAATTGCTTGTGGAGTAATTAACTGTAATTTAATTAAAAACATTTTTTTTATAAAAAGACTATAAACCTCAGACCAAGTCAATGAATTTCCAAAAAATACTTGCATTCCTTCATGAAAATTTTCTCCAATTAAAATTGCTGAACCACCACTTTGGCAACAAACTTCAGACGGAAAAATATGCTTAATCACTGGTGCAGCATTGTTTGTAGAGTTGATAGAAGAAGATGAAGGGACTGAAATTGAAGGTAATTCTACAAATAAATCAACGAAAAAATTTCTGATTTCCCAAAGGAAAAAATCAGAAAAAGTTTATAACCTTCAACAGTGCCTGACTCACTCCCACCTCTTTTAACGCGGCGTCCATGTTTAGAGTTGTTATGAACAAACATATTGTCTGATACAGCTAATACATCAGTATCAACACGAGGTGTCATTGACAACATAACCTTCAATTTGAAAAAATTTTATGACTTGAGAAAAAATTTTTTGCCTGAAAACGACGCATATCTCTAGGATTTCCAGCGTTTTTTAAGCCTTAAAAATATTGATATACTTTAAAAAACAAACAAAGCTTTAAAAACTCACAATTTTGGTTGCATTTTAGAAAAAATTTAAGAAAATATTTGTCACAGATAACCTTAAAATTAAAAATTTTTAGAATCAATAATTTCTTAAAAATTAACCGGATCACTAGGAGTTTCATTTCGATTTCCACAACTTTTCTTTTCACAACATCGTGAACACATAACTTCATGTGTTAATAAAACTCGGCACATTTCAGGATTTTTATCTTGACCTTCATAAGCAATTGCTTGTTTTGTTTGGCTATCCACAAGGCGAACATAAAAATCTTGTTCTGTTCGAATGCCTGAAAAAATAAAAAAATATTTTGGACAGAAATTATAGTTCACTTTTTGGTCAAAAATTTAATAATCCCGGAAACGTAATATACCGTAAAAGACCTTATTTATGCAAATTCTTTTTAAGTTATTTTTCTTTCTATTTACTTCCGTTTCATTAAAAAATTGACCTAATCCCTGGAGATACAATTAAAACAACAGCATCTAGGAAAGTACAGTTATTCCCTAAATGAAACCCAGTCAAATGATAAATCTCTATTTCACACCTGTTAGCCCCCACATTTTTTTCTAATACATGCCATTGTTTACTCCATATATTATTTACATTTCCCCTCCACAATTTTAATGAGTGCTTCCCCCTATAAGTGGGTGTCAAGGCACATTATTACATTGTTATGTCTATCCTTTATAAATCCCCCCTTCTTCTATTCATCGCTTAATGAGCCGGATTGGCATGTTGAGATTGCGTAAATTTAATTTTTAATGACTTTGTTTTTACAAAAATAATAAAAGTTATATTTATCTTTGGATCTTTTTTGGGAAATTTTTGGTTAAAATATAATAAGCAAAGATTTTAATCCTATCCTAAGACTAGCCAAAAGAATTGTGTGTGCTTTTAATCATTTTGGCAACCCCACATTTTTTATGACCATTTTATGGCCTTAGACTAGAGCAAGTTTAATTAGGAAAATTAAACATCCTTCATTTTTAGGTTTATCTCTCTTCCCTAAAAAAGCTTGTGCCACTTTTTCTTCCTTTATTTTAAAACGATTCCACGCATTTTTATTGCGCATTCCCCTTTTCTAAAAAGCAAAGAGAGTCCAATTTCATGTTTTGGTTATTGCCATAAACCAGGGCTCTCATCGACAAAATGCCACTCAAAAGTATCAAAATCTTGATAAAAAAGTATATAGGGAGAAAATTTCCAAATTTAAAGTATACTCAAAATTAAATTGGAAAATATTTGTTCGTGCTCAAATCTTTTATATTTCTCTCTTAAATGAATCTTTTCTAATAATTTCTTGCTTCCATTGGGCATTTTGTGCATTTCAACGCATGACATGTCAAAATTCGCTGATACAAGAAATAAAGCCCTGACAGTCTTAACCTCAAGCTTTCGTCCATTTTCAGCGCCGCAGGCGAAAATTTTTTGAAATTTGAGCCCAAGTAGTCAGATTTCTCCCATTTTCAGCGCCGCAGGCGAAAATTTTTTGAAATTTGGAGCCCAAGAAGCCAGATTTCTTTCTTTTTCAGCGCCGCAGGCGAAAATTTTGATAATTTCGAAGGCCCAAGGCTAAAAAAATTCACTTTTTTGCCCAATCCCTTCCCCAATTTCATTTTCAATCCAAAATGTTGATTTTAAAGTATATACTTTCAATAAAGTATAAATTCAATTTCTTAAGTATGGAGGTCGGTTTCAAAGTATAATACTTTCAAATAAAGCACGAATGAGAGCCCTGCCATAAACCCTTCCTTTCCTGCCTAAATTGTTATGACCTCTTCCTCTACAAAAATTGGAAGAAAAGGAACCATTGTGCGCTAAAATAGGAGAAGCTTAGGAAGAAGAAGAAGATTATTCGACTCTGGATATAACTGAATTAGAGTTTTAGGACATAAAAACATTTTTTAATTAATATACTAGAGAGTTGAGTACTTCCTTTTCCTCTCTCTTTTAAATTAATAAAAGACTCCATCCTTTTCTTACAAGGAAGTAAAAATATAATAAAGTAATTTATCCCCTTCACATATTATTGTTTGTTTACTGGAAATTATCTTTTATAAAATTTTCACAGATCTTTCTTATATGACTATTATTTTATTTTCCTTTAAGTCAATTTATTTTTATCCTCTCAAAATTTTACTAGTAGTGGACTTAGTACCAGCCTCTTAGCCTAATTAGATTAGGGTCAACTACATACATTTTAACAACTACTTTTCTTTATAAAAAGCTTTCAAAGGGAAGTTTTCCTCACCATTAATGAAGAGAAGCACCAACTTATAATGAATACCATTTCGAGTATTTTCACCGGGCACTTCTTTTCCTTTTTCAACAAAACCAGCAAATGTTGCTTGTTCAACTTCAACAGGATGATCTCCATGATCTCTCAAAGTGATGGTAAAATGGAAAAAGTTTGATTTTCGAAGATTGCTTGGTGGTGGGAGTTCAAATTTTGCTTTAGCCAATTGTCCAACACTGTTAAATTTAAATATAAATCAAGAAAAAATGAAAGATATACCAATTTTGCAGCATCGGTGAGACATTAGGCCAACAATTAAAAAGTTGACTAGCAGTAGTAGAATGTTCACTTTTCAAAAAATGTTCACTTTTAATTCCCGTTGTCGAGCGAAGTAATAAATTGTTACTGCTTGAAGTAGTAACCCCTGCTGATTCAAGTATCCCACCACCACGTTGAGAAAGATGTGATGGTGGTGGTAATGGCTGTAGAAGCGAATGCTGTGGTGCGAAACCGAACAGTCCCTGGTGATTATTGTACATGCTAGTAAATAGAGTTGGTTGTTTATTAGAAGGTGAAAAGCTTGAAGAGAAACAAAAAATTCCCTACAGGGCTAATCCTTTCGAGAATTCTTTTATAGCTTTATATTGAGGACACAGGATAAATACTAAAATGTGAGCGGATATGCCTTTCCCGGTCTATCTATTTCATCCAAAATAAAGGCAAACCTTAGAAAAGGCGGACGCCGCCGGGGAATTGGCACCATCTCCGATTGGTTGCCGATGCTAAAATATTCTTCATTTTCTTTTTTCAGTCATTTTGCCATTTGGCCACCATCGTCACTCAGCTTCGTTAAGGCATGCTTTCCACTTGCAATCCACAACAAAGAGAAATGAATAAAAAAAGTCAGTCTCCTCCTCTTTAGTTGTTGGATAAAGCTACCATAAGAATAGGCTGAATGGCAAGAAATGTGCGGGAATTTGAAGAAATGTGCCTAGTAAAGCAACGTTTAAAAATAGTAAAAAACTAAAAAATGAGAATTTATAAATTTTCCTAAAATCCCGAAAATTCATATTCAAATACTTACCGTATTTCCTATATTAGAGCCCCATGGGGCTCTAATTTTCAACTATCCTCCAAGGTGGGGCTGTATTAAAGGGTGGGGCTCTAATTGAGGGTGGGGCTCTATTTTTCAACCCTCTTTTGAGATAGAATCCCATTTATTATATCCATTGCAACTAGAGATAAGTCGGAGGGTTTGGTCGATAAAGCCGCAAAATATCGAAAGAGAATCTATATTTTTCGATTTTTCAAGAAAAACCAAAACTTTTTAAGCAATGAATTACAAAATAGTCCCAATAGTTCAATGAGAGTAAGATTAATTATTAAATATGGGTAGATTTGGACGGATTAAAGGAAATATTATGGAACTTTTATTTGACATTGATGGATTAGAGGGATAAAAATGGATTTTAAGGGATTATGGGGAATATCAGAGGATTAAGTTTATATTGAGAGATTTAGAGGGATTATGAGGGATATTCTGGACTAGGGGTATTAGGAGGCATATGAAGGGATTTGTTTGATAAAGCTTTGGAACAGGTTCCAGAACTGGAACTGAAGAAATTCAAATAGCAGTTACGTAACTGAAATCGGTTCCAGAGAAATTTTGGTTAGATATCACTGATTAGATATCTAATAGATCTCTAATAATCTCGCGAATTATCATCAAGTGCCTAACACGATTGCAACCCTTTATAAAATGATTAGATTTTGGAGGTAATAGGAGGAATTTAGAGGAATATAGGCGATATTAGAGTATTTTGACGGATAACGGGATTAATCCCTCATTTTCATCCCTAATCCCCATGATCCCTCCTCCTCAATGATCACGAAATCATAGATATCCCCCTTTATTTCCTTAACTCTCTTAATACATACATCTTAAAAGTTATTCTGATATTTTTTCCTCCAATATTTTTTAGGTGGGGCTGTATTTGGGGTGGGGCTCTAATTGAGGGTGGGGCTCTATTTTTCAACTATCCTCCAAAGTGGGGCTGTATTAGAGGGTGGGGCTCTAACAAAGAGTGGGGCTCTAATATAGGAAATACGGTATTAAAAGAAAAATTGACCTTAAATAAATATTCAATTCTAAACCTTTTCCATGTCTTTTTTATGACAACAACAGTTGCGCATTCTTTTCTATTTTCCATAAAATTTTTTTTTTATTCAATCCAACCACCGCCGTCTGTCATCCATGTGCTCAATTAATGATCATCATAATTCTTTTAAAAGATGTCCATATGTCTCAAAATTCTATTGTTTTTTTGAGGTTTCTTTAAAGAAAAGAATATTTTTATTAAATAGATCGCATTTTTCTCACCCTGTTTGTTTTTCTCCTCTTCTTCTTCCGGTTGAATTGTTGCCTTTTTAAACAAGTGAACAAAAATTGAAATTTGCATAGATGATTGATGAGCAGTAAGTAGTAGCTGAACTAGAAAGCAAAATGCTTTTTCTTTGGATAACAGGATTAAAAAAATTTTTTTAATAACAAAAAAAACCATAATTTTTCCCGAGCTAAATTTGAGACTAGAACCAACTTAAAAAATTCTCTCGAAAATTAAATACTTTGTGTTTCTGAACAAATTTTTTCTCCTCTTCTTTTCTACCACTTTTGGATAATAAAAATTTGTCAAAAAAATAGTGGAAAGGATATATGGATATTTTGATGGGGGCACCCTTCGGGAATTTGGCAAGGGCAGCTGGAAGAAAAAAAGAAGAGAAAAGGCTGAAAATAAACGAAGGAAGTCTCAAGAAAAATTGAAGACGGAAGGAAAAAATTATTCTCACCCCAACAACTTAAAGCAAGAAACAAAAACTACTCTTCTTCCAAATTTAAAGAGTTGGTAGTTTTATAGTTTCTGAGCTTGCTTAGGTTTAGTAGTCAAAAAAGAAGTGAAAGCCTAGCCCTATAAATTTTGGACATAAAACAACCCCCCATTTCTTAAAACTAGTAAAAACATAAATTTTTATGAATTTGCATATATTTATGCCTTATTCAGCTTACATCTTTTCCATTTTATTTAAACGTGGTGATGGACGAGCATAAAAATATAAGAGGGCAACAAAAATTAAAAGTAATGGATACAAGAAAGGAAAAGTGTTGTAAAAATATAAGAGATATAATCTTGATTAATAAAAAATTTTTAGAAGTAGCAAAAAAATTTAGAAATTCAACTAGTAAAAATTTCAGGGGTTTAATTTTTATTTTCTTAAAAAATTTAAGAATTTATAAAATTAAAAAAATTCAAATCAAAATTTTAAATAGCTCCAGCTTCAGATAATAAGCGTTCAAAAAATTCTGCTGATGATTGTTCTAGTTGCTTTTGTTTTGAATTTTCATCAAAATTACCAGTATTAATATTGAAAGATAAATTTTCTTCATCATTATCAACAATCATTTCCCTAACACAACGACCATAAAGCCAAATATTTTCTTGGTTTTGAAGCGCATTTATTTTTGAAGGAAGCCCATTCTCGTAGTAAAGATTAGTTGAATTAGTAGGAGAACTATGGCTGGGAGAAAATGCAATATCCAAAATTTGAGTAGCAGCTTGTAAAGGTGTTCTAGAAAAATAGAAAAGTCTTCCAATTATCCTCACCAAAAATAAAAAACAAAAACCTCATGAACGGCGCCAAAATCCAATTTATGAAACATCGGAAAGGCCAAAAAACATTTTTATAAAATTTCCCCGGAACAACACCTGGATGAACGCTGGCAACTGATATGTGACTGTCACGAGACCTGAAAAATAAAAGAGAATGTGAAATAAAATATTAAAAAACCTCAAAACTTTATTTAAATATTGAACATAAGCGGAAAGTAAAAGTTTAGAATCAGCATATGATTTATAGCCATTTAAATGACGACACCAAAAACGTTCTAAAATAAAATTTTTGATAAAGGTGAAAAATAAAAAAATCTAACCGTCTTGTTTTTTCAAAAGCAGAGACAAATCCCCAGCTCTAGCTGAACACGACGAAACAAAAATTGCTTTCCCTGAAGATAAAACACTCTGTTCTAAACGTTGAGACAATGAAGCAAATAGTTGAGCATTAGCTAGAACATTAACAGCCAAATGACGTTCTATTATTTGTGCACCAATTATCATTTCACGTCGATAAGGCAACCAGCCAATTTTTGGTGATAAAAACATTGCAGCATTCAAAATAAGTAAATCAATCCGATCAAAAGACAATTGAATAGTTTCGACAGCGGAGAAGACCTATTGAATCGAGAAACCTTAATTATGCAGATTCATAGAATAAAAATTTAAAAATGCTACCTCATTTATATTTCCCAAATCACATTTTATAAAGTGCAAATTATCCAGATTTTGAAATTGATTGGTTGGTGGATATAGACCAACAGCAAAGACGTTGAAATCCAAAGCAAGCAGATACATTAGCAACTTTAAATTTAAAAATTGAGTAAAAATAAACATAAAAATAACCTCGCTTCCTATTGTTCCATCAGCGCCAGTAATAACTGCCACCAATTTAGAAGAATCCACATTGCCTGAATCATCAAGTTTGTCTGTTCTCATTTGCTTCAGAATTCGAGTCCACTTGTTTATTTTGTTGTTAAAAAGCATTTTTCTAGAAGTCATCTTAACTCCAGTTCTGCAATCCTCAAAGAATTCGTAAATAACGTAGATGATTCCCAAGTAGTAAACATGAACAAGAGTAAACAAGGCTTTAACATAATCACGAAGATATAATAAAATAGAAAATATCATTTTTAGTTGCCATAAAATAAAGGAAAAATAAAGGCTGGAGACAATTGAAATTGGCCGAAATATTGTGTACATGAGCAGCAATTCGATAAGCAATTGGCTTAAATCGATAACCTAAAAATTTGAAAAATTTACAGAGAGAGAATGAAAAACGTTGAAAAAGAATGAAGAAAAAGATGACAGGACTCAAATGACAAAGAATTAAATAAAACTCTGTCTTCTCTAACTATACTATTTCCATGAGACTCTAGATAAACAGAATGCCAGAAAATTTGAAAAATAAAAAAATGAGTGATACAAACACACAGCACAAACGAATCGATGAATCACCAGCTAATCAAAATCTATCAAACCTTTACTGATACCAATTTTTCCATGAAGTTGTTCTGCCAGAAATTGAAAAAACCTGAAATCCAATCAACAAACTGAAAACAAGTTAAAAAATGGTGAAAAGAAAAATCAGACAAAGGACAAGGACAACAAAAAAAACAAGTGTGAGGAAAGCAGGAGACGCGTGCGCATTTTTAGCAAATTTTTTTATTTTTAAAAATGGTTGAAACGTACCAAGCATGTTGTTGAAGACCATGTTTGCCACCAGTTTGAGCCACCACTGTTGTCGAGCACCTAGCTGAAAAAGTTCCCTCCCCCCAATTTTTCCCAAATTAAAAAAAACCACCACACCGTTTTACCAACCAAATCCTTGTCCATATTCTCCATGTCCATTGACCATATTGAACCAGCCATGTTGCACACATCTTTAGAGAAAATTGATATTTAAAAAATAGAGCTGAAGTGTACCACGGTAGACGAAGGTCGAAGAGCTATAAAAATGAAAATTTCATTTCAAAATTAAAAAATAAAGTTAACCAAATTGATGAAGATGGTTGACTGCCACCAAATCTGCACAGGGCCGAAGTCGTACCTGCCTGAAAAACACACACCCTCCGTTAAATATTTTTATTTTTTAATTAAAAAAATTTAAAAAATAACAACCACACCACACCACCACCAACCAAACAGAGCTGCTCCACCATTGCACCATCGTTCTTGAAGAACATTTCCTAAAATTCATCAAATTAGATAAAATATTAAAAAAAACACAAAAATAAAAAAACACAACCAGACCAAACCATCCATGAAGACAGCAGGCTGGGCCTGGAAATTTGAAAAATTTCATATTTTTGGTCAAATTAATTTTAATTTTTTAAATTTTTGGCTAGCGCAGCGAGGGACAATGAAATGAACAGATGAAACATATAAAAAACATAAAAAAAAAGAAAAAAACACGCAACAACTCGAGCTGTCACTAAACATGTTTTTCGAGAATTTTGAAAGAATAATTTTTCCAGCTCCCGCCAATTTTTTAAAAAATTGTTTGGCATAATGTCTTTTTTCAAAATGTCTTTCTTTTTTTTATTTAAAACACCAAACATTCAAAATGTACATATTAACTGAAAATGACATATTGCCCTTTTGAACTAATTTTTTAATTTTTTTCGTTTACAACCTAAATTTTTTAATTCATCAGATGAATTTTAAATTTCTGCCAGCTTTATTTTCACGTCATCTTAGTAGAACTTTTAATTCTGTTAACAACTTTTGCTCTTCTAGTGCAGCTACACTTAATTCGCAGTCATCATCACAACCTCGAGAATTATGGAGGTTAGACACTACAAATCCTTTTCTTGAAATACCTGAAGCCTGGGTCACTTCCTTGGATGAAATTTACGACCGGAATTATGACATAATTCAACTGCATCCAGGTTTAAATTTATCGATCTTTTTTCACTTATTTATTTTTTTTAGATATTTTCCGCGTCACTCCACGTTTGGATATTCTGCATCGAAATATTGCATGGTTTTTGCATTTATTTATTTTTTTAATTGTAAAAATTTAAGGCAAACTACCTACAAAAACTTAGTACTTACTAGAATGTTAACCCGTGCTGAAATGCCTGGTGGAGGGCGAAAACCTTGGCCACAGAAAAGGATGGGTCGAGCACAAGCTGGAAGGTTTTAAATTTCTCGATAAAATTTTATCGAAATTTCTTTAAAATTTAGTATCCGAGCGCCTCATTTTATTCGCGGTGGTTTTGTTCACAAAGTGCGTGGGCCGCTAACTCGTTTTTACATGTTGCCTTATTCAATACGAATTCATGGTCTACGAGTGGCTCTGACTATTAAACATGTTCAAGACGATCTAATTATTGTTGATGATTTTGACTCCTTAGCTTCCCCTGATCCGCAGGTTTTCTGCGTATAAATTTCAGATTTGATTTATAAAAATTATTTTTTAGTATCTTCATGATTTGGCTGAGGCTCGCAATTGGGGCTATTCTGTGCTCTTTGTTGACACGTTACCTTTATTTTTATATTAAATTACAAAAATATTTTTAAGTTCTGCGGACAATATTTCAGCAAATTTGGTTGAAGCAACTTCACATATTCCTTCCTTCACTGTTATGCCTCTTTATGGATTGAATTGTTATAGTATTTTGAGGCATGAGACTTTGGTTTTGTCACGACGTGCATTGGATTTGCTCGAGGAAAGGTTGTTGCAAAATATGTACAAAACTGGCCAACATGATAAAGCTTTTCGCTATATTGACTACAAACAAAAACTTTTGGCCGAAGGAGAAGATGAAGAAAAAAATGATATTTATCCACCGTTTGTTTAATTTTTTTGTTTATTTTTTTTGTTTTTGTTATAAATTGATTTTTATTTTTAAATGCGTTTTAATATTTGGAAATTATTTATCCATTTAATTTTTTAGTTGATTTCGTATTTCTGAACTTATTTTAATTTTCAGCATTTGATTTTACAGCATAGGCCATTTATACTTTTTTCAGTAGTTAAACATTTTCTTATGAATGGGAAACTTTATACGCTACTTTCGACGTCGAAAATTGCCTAGCCAAGAATTGGATGAACTTGTTCAGCAAATTAAAGATTTGGAGGAGCAAGTGAAAAATTTGTTGGAATGTAAAATCTGGTGATTTTTTTTATTATTTAATTCTAGATATGTATCCATAACGGTCCGCTAAAATTTTTGCGTAATTTTTCCGCAAATTTATCAGGAAATTGGTTATGGTATATTAATTGAAAATATCGCAATTTAAGGTTCTACCATTGCCTTCTTTTTGGTGCATTTATTTTAGTAAGTGGGAGCTGTGGCTATTTTTGGCTTCATTATCCTAGTTTAAAATGGAAATTATTCTCGTGTTCTTCGTCTATTTTTCTTTGTGCTCTTTCATTTTTGATATTGCGTTTTACTTCAAACACTATTTTTGACTGGTTAATTCAAAGAAAGCAAAGACGACTTCGCTTTTTCACTGAACGAAAAGTTGCAATTATTGAAGATGTTAAAGAAAATGAAAAATTTAAAGTAGCGAAGGTATTTTTTTAATTAAGTAGACTTTTTAATCAACTAAAGGCCAGAGATTATGTACTTTTTATTTAGGCAATTATTGAGAAATACGGGTCACAAAACGAAGTCTCGCAATGGTTAGGATCTGCTACTTCCTCTTCACCTTCACAAACGACAACAAAACCTATGACAGAAAATAAAAACAATTCTAATTATCAACAAGGAACAAATCAAAAACAGAACAATAATAATACACCGCAACCACTTCCAAAACTTTATGAAATTAGAGACCCAAGACAGACGGTTTTAAGGAATGTTGGGACATCACCAAATCGCCGAGTGCCTATTCGTCCATTTGTTGAAGAAAGTCGTGGTAGTTTAGATCGAATTTTGGATTTTGTTATGGGAGAAAGCATAAATAATAGGTTGGCGTTTTTTGTTTTTAATTTTTCTGGGTTCGCTTCAGAAATGGCAACCCTACGACGTCACTTAAAAACCATACGAATTAATATCTGATTTTATAGGTATGCCCTCATCTGCTCAAATTGTTATACTCATAATGGAATGGCCTTGAGAGAAGAATTTAAAACAATTTCTTATTGCTGTTACAGGGTTTTATTTGTTTAAATTTATTCTTATTCCTTTTCTTTTCAGTGCAATTTCTTTAATACTTCTAAAACTGAATTAAATAAGAGATCTCATCCATTAAATTATAGTAACAATAATCCCAGTACTTCAAATAAATCACCTCCAATCGGTGCTCTCAACTTTACGGGTCATACAGATGATAGTACAGAAAATGAAGAATTTGAGGAAGAATTTGGACGAAAATGTTCTTTGGCAATTAATGGAAATGGTTTTAATTTTTATTTTTTTGGTACTTGTGATTTATCCCTCATGAGTTTTCGCGTACTCATATTTACGGAAGTGTTTCTCACTCTCTATGCCATGGTTTGAGGAATGAAAAAATTTTGCTTCTTACAAATGAGTGCAAAACTGGTTAGGGATAATTCCAAGTACCGATTTTCTGATTTCAATTTTTAAATTCATTTTTTAAGACGAATCAGAACGTGAAGACATGGTTACAGCGCGAGACGAATAAGAGAGAAATTTATTATGCATTATAAGTATATATCTTTTTTTGACACCCTCTGACCTTTTGTGTTAATTTTTCTTTAAATATGTATAGTTATGGACGGTTATTAAAATATTTTTTAAATTTTTTAAACATGTTATTGAGTGAGTTCAAATAAAATATAAATTTTGTGAGATTTTTTTAAATCGAATTTTGTTTTTAAAAAATTTTAAAGATTTTTAAAAATACTTTTTTATTTTCTTTCAATCTTTAATTTTATTTTCATCGTCCAAATCGAATGAATTCAAATTTGTTGTTCTTTCTTTTTTCTGTAAATTTTGCTGGTGAGGAAGCGGCTAATTTGAAAATGAATTTTAATTGCTTTGAAGGTTAGTTTATAATTTTTTGAAATTAATTAATGCGTAGATTCATTAAAAATATTTTTTGAGTTACCTCGATAATTTTGAAGCATTTCCATTGCCCCCATAAGTTGAGCTTCTACTCGTCCAAGCATTTCTTCATCCATTGTATGTGCTTGCCTTTGTAGTTGAGATTCAGTATTTAAGATATTTTCACCGGGAAATTCTCTTTCTTAAAAAAACTTGATTTTCTTTGAGGGTTATGGGGTTCAATTTTTATTTTTTTCCAAAATTTCCTTACCAATCAAATGATTTCTCTGTAAATCATTCATATTTTGAACATTTATGGCAAGTGTTAGTGATACAATACAAACTGTAAGGAGTAACAATAAATTTTGTTGATAGTAAATCATCGTGTTTTTAGAGCTTTAAGAAAATTTGAAAATATTTTTTTAAGTTAAAATTTTTTGAAATGAAAATGCTCAAAACTTTTTGGTGAAAATATTTTTACTTCCTTAAATATATATTTTGGGCCTTTTTTCCTGTTTTTTGACAGCGTTGACAATAGAGGAGTAATTTACAACTTTTTGGTGACTTTTTTTTGTTTGCTTTTACTGTCCCGCCCATCATCATCCCAATGGACATTTTTTAATAAACAAGCAGAAAATGCGGATTGAAATTTTGCGGATTTTTCTTTGGGTTTGGTGATTTTTAAGTTGTCAGATTTTTTGCAGACTAATTTTCTCCAAAAAAACAATTTTTGTTGACAATTTAGAGTATGTATATCTTTTTATGTTTTTTATGTATTTTGTCTCCGGATATTCCAACAATGGCACACAATATACATCATTTTGTTTAAGGGGGGAAGTTTGGTCGGTTGGTCACATAACCAAAAGATGTTGTTGTCAATCAAATACTAACTCGAAAAAAAATTTTTTAAGAAGATAAATTGCCAGTTTGCATTCTTTTTACTTTAATTACACAAAAAAAACTTCTCTTCTCTTGACTGACTTCTGATGAATTTTGTTTTTTTTTTCTTGAAAGAGGGAAACAAGGATTGAGAGAATTAAGTAAAGTATTCATAAGCTTATAAAGAACAAATAGGCCAAAAAATTTATTTTATACACAAAAATTTATGGAACAATTATATTTTTGGAATAACAAGAAAAAAATAAGCATTTAGAAACACTCAAACAAGCAAATATACATACATTATCTAATGAATTTACACAATATATAATTAGAAAGTATTTATATATACACATCCTTTTCTTTCCTTTCCAAGATTCTTCTTTGATTTATGCTGAATGCTCCTCTCATTTTTTCTTCTTCGAGATTTCGATTTTGTTCTCATCATCCACCGAGAGTCCCGCGTATGTTTCCATGGTAAGCTCTTTCCTTTCTTTCTTCTTGCAACAACAATAGAGCATTGTTCCAGCAATTGAGAGTCTACAAAAATTTTAAAAAATTTTTTGTTAGGTTAACTGATAAAAAAATTGTTTAAAAAACTTACAGTAAATAGATGATGGAGAAGAGCACCACGATTGTTGAAGCCATTTATTGTTGTTTGTTTGGTTCTGATGTTGCTTTGAGAGAAGTTGTGACGAACCTGCACAGAGTTTAGTTGATTGTTGTTATGAAGATGTTGGATAAAAATGTTTTAAAAATGTTGCTTTTATATTATGGTAAATGGGGGGAGAAGAGAATTTTTCCTTGTTCTGATTTTTTATTTTCCAATTTAATTCTGATTTTCATGTTGTTCAAAACCTAAAATATGTTTTTAATAAATTTGCTTGACTAGAATGGAATTACATGCCTCAAAAGAATTTTTAAAAAATCCCTCACTTTTTCTTGCTTCTTTATTAATAAAAAGATGAGGCACTTCACTTTCTTTTTTTTAATATTTACCATCAATTTATTATTGAAAAAATGTGAAAGGGTAAAAAAAGGAAAAAAAAACAATTTAAAATTGTCTATTATTGCTTCTAAAGGATTATATTAATTTTTTGGCAAAAAGGACGGCATTTATTAATAAACGGCATTCTTTTTTAAACTACCATTTAGTAGTACTTTTTTTTATTTTTAGATGGCTGCACGTCGTTTACAAAATTTGCAAGAATGGACAAATCAGAATTTATTTTTGGTAAGTTTTTGTTTTTATTTGATTATTCAGGAAGGCCAGAATTATTTTGATATTGTTTGTTAATTGTTTTGATTTTGTTGTTTTAATTTAATTCTGATTTAATCAGTAAAACCAGAAATGTTTGTTTAGTTTTAATTTTTGCATGTTCTGACTTTGATTTTAAAAAAATTCTTATTTAATTCTAACTTTAATGTTCCATTTTAATTCTAATTTTTTACGTTCTGTTTGTATTCTGATTTTTGCATGTTCAAATTTAATTCTGATTTTCATGTTTAAATTTAATTCTGTTTATTTAAAAGGCATCCTTCGATTCTGGTTCTTATTCTTACCAAAATACCTTACCTACAAATAATCGACAACCAGAAATTCAAGAAGAGGATGATGGAGAATTTGAACTTCAAAATTTGTCATCATCGAATCCCTTTAATAAAAAACAAAATGCAAGTGATGATAAATTGGCAGATTATGGAGAAATTGGACATTCTAATGGAACTAAATCAATTACATCATTACAGGCAGCTTGGTTTGAAATTTTTTTAGAATTTTATTTTTAATAAAAAAATATTTTTTAAGGAATGTTACAAACGCAATTCAAGGTTGAAAAATATTGTCATATAAAATTTTATTTTAAGAATAAATTTATATATTTTTTAGGCATGTTTATTGTTGGGTTGCCCTTTGCTGTTAAAGGTATCCTTAATTCTTTGTTTTTCTAAAATAATTTTTTGATTAGTTGGAGGATGGTGTGCAATTGGTGCATTGGTCTGTTTTGGATTTCACGATGTTAAATTTTTAAAAAATAATTTAATTAGGTTGGTGTTGCTTGGATATGTTACAAAACTGGACTAGCACTTATTGAGTGTCTTTATGAAGAAGAATCTAATAGTAGTGGCCGTAAGAGAATTCATCGAAGGCAAGAAAATTTTTTGAAAAAAAAAATTATTTAAAAATTATTTTAAAGTTATCGTGAAGTTGCTGAAGCAGTTCGTCCGGGAATGGGAAAATTTGTATTGTTGGCTCAATTGGTAAAAAATTTTTGTAATTTTTTAAAATAATTATTTTCCTCTTTTTACAGACTGAATTAGCCAGCACGTGAATTTAAAATTTAATAAAATTACAAAAAAAAATTTAATATTTTTAAAGATGTATTTTATATATTGTTCTGGCAGGCGATTTACTTCAAGGATGTTTTCCAAGTGTTGGTAAATTTTTAGATTTTTCTACGAAAAATTTTTTTTTATTTATTTTTAAAGATAGACAAGCTTGGATGATGTTAACTACATTACCTTTACTTGGCACTGCTTTTCTTGATGATTTACGAGTTGTTTCAAATTTGTCACTTGCAAATGCGGTTTCTCATTTAGTCATTAATGCAATAATGGTTAATTAATTTTTTGGATTTATTTTTTAATGAAATTTTTTAGGTTCTTTTTTGCCTCAGTCAGGTATGCCTATATCCTTTTAAATTTTTAAATTTTTATTTTTTCTTAAATTTAATTTATAGTTTTCTTCATGGCGTTTTTCTTCCCTTGTATTAATCCCGGATTTTCGCTTATTTCCAACAATTATCGGTGTTGTTGTTTTTGGTTATACTTCACATATTTTTCTGCCTTCTTTGGAAGGTTCTATGCAGGTTTTTACTTTTTTTCGAAAATTCTTAAAAAAATTTTTTTTCAAAGGATCGTTCAGAATTTAAACAAATGCTCGGATTTTCACATGTCGCGGTAAATTTATTTATAAAATTAAAAAAAAATTTTAATTTAAAGGCAGCAATATTTAAAGCTTTATTTGGTTTAATTGGCTTTCTAACTTTTGCAGAATTTACTCAAAAAGAAATTTCTAATTCGCTTCCTGATCAAACATTTAAAGTTTGTATTTTTAATTTTTGACAAAAAAAATTTTTTAATCTTTTTAAAGGTTCTTGTAAATCTTTGTCTTGTTACAAAAGCTTTGCTTTCTTATCCACTTCCTTACTACGCAATTGTTCAACTAATTGGAGAAAACTTTTTTAATGGGATTGATGTTTCTCCTTTTCCTGTATGCTATGGAAATGATAAAAGATTGAGAGAATGGGGTAAAATTTAAGTTTTAAATAATTACCTTAACTTTCTAATCGAGGCCCGGGCGTTTATTTTTCAATGGGTATCATTGATTGGGCTTTTAATAATTTTATTGAAGCCGGGATTCTCTCTTTAAAAAATAAATCTTTTTTTGAAGCTCTCTCTTTGCGTGTTCTTTTAATACTTTGGACATTATGGATGGCTTTAACTGTTCCTTATCTTGTTGAGGTTTTTTTAATTCTTTATTTTTTTTTTGCAATTTTATATTTTTTAAAGCTAATGGGACTTATTGGCAATTTTACAGGGTAGGTTGATAAAAAAAAGTCTTAAACGTTCATTGGGGAGAAAAGCTGGGTTATGATTTTTTTTCAGAATTTTTTGTATTTTTAAATACTTTTAAATTTTAGAACTGTTCTAAGTTTTATTTGGCCAGCATATTTTCATTTGCAGCTTCGAGGAGCTAAACTTACTCCTGCTGAGAGAAGATTCGACAAAATGGTATTTTTTTTTAATTTCCTTTGCCTGAGGTTTCCTTTTTTATTTTATATTTCTTAAACTAAAATGTTCTTAAAAAAGGTAATTGCTGGAGGCGTCGGCACTTGCATTATTGGAATGTTTTATTCTGCCATTGAGCTAATTCATTCTATTCGTATGGGTGATGATGATGTTGTTGAAGGAGGAGGATGGGAATGACTGATGAAAAATTAAAGAATAACTATTCGGGAAAAGTTTCTAAAGGTTTTTTTTTAATTTTTTTAAACTCATCCCCTCTCTGTCTCTCGTGTATATGAGGAACAAGCTCTTACGTAAATGGGTTTTTCTTCTTAATATAAAATGGGGATTTATTTAATTCTTATAGGCATCTTAACATTAATATATTCTCTATCTCTTTTTTATGTTAGCCAGCTCTTAATTCACTTTTATAGTTTTTTTTCCTTTTTTGGCGGTAGTGTTCAAGCTGTTGTTTGTTTCTATTCTCTATTTTCTATCGCTTTTAAATATTTTCCTTTTTTTCATAAAAAGGTTTTTAGTTTTTTGCTTTTATTGAGAATTAGAATTGAGATTTCTCTCTTTTATTTACAGATTTTCCCAACTTTTTTTAGTGTGAAATTCTGATAATATTTTGTGGGGATTTTTTCTTCTATAATTTCTTTTCTCTTTGGTCTTTTTGTTTTAGGCGCTACTAACTAATTTTAACTGACGACTACCAATTTTCTAAAATATATTTATTTCTTTTATTCATTGCCTCCTTTTCTCTTTTTTTCGGTTATATATTTTCGTCATTGCCCTAAATAAGTAGTGTCGATGGTGAAAATGAGGAAAAAGGCGGAAGTAGTTTGTACGTGTGTTTTATGCCGATTGTGAAAAATTTGGAACAGGATAAAATAGTAGAAGAAACAAAAAAAAGGCAAGTGTTTTATATCTTATATAAAATACCGCAAATGAAAAAAAAGTAGAGTTTTGAGCAAGTGCACAGACACAATAGATGAAAAATGCGTGCGATAGGTGGGGGAGGGTAACAAATGCACACTAGTTTTCATCGCCACTATTTTTCTCCCAACGCCAATAAGGTCAAAATTGGATAGGTTGTCAATGTCAGAAAATTTTTCTCGAAAAAATTTTCTTAAAAAATTTTTTTCTCAATAAGAATTGTTCTACTTTATCTTAAAAATAGGTAAGTTCTTCTGTCTTCTAAAAATTTTCTTGTAATTTTTTTTACTATTTGTCCTGTTTTCTTGTTTGTATAGAGACATTCTGTCCCACTTTTCTTACTGACAAGCCAACATTTTATCCCATTTTTGCCTACATGGACATTTTGTTCTCTTTTTTTCCTTCTCATTGAAATTGCATCCAATCATTGCCTTTCTTCTTTCTTCCATTTGTCATGGTGGTTGAAGAAAAGGAAAAAAAAGATTGTTGGGTGATGGTTATGTTGTTTAGTGCACACACTTATTGTTTGGGTTATATAAGTAGAAAAATGCAGAAAAAAGAGAAAAAATTGGCCTGGGCCAGCAACACACACAGACGACAAAATATAACTTGTGTAGGGAGGGGGGAAAATGAAGAAGAAGAAGAATAAAAGAAGAAGAAAAAGGATGAATATATATGAAGAAAGGACACAAAAAAAGGAGAATATTTTTGGTTTTATATAGAGAGAAAAGCAAAGGCGAATAGCGAATTAGTAGATGAGTAGCACATTTTTGTCACTCTTACCACCCCAAAACCACCCATTTTTATTATTTTTCCTCCTCACTTTTCATTTGCTTTTTGAATGAAGAGAGAGATAGGAGAAGTAGCAGCAAATAGTTTATATATTATTTTATTATATTCACAGTGGGAAGGAAAGGCGTAAATGTTTTGGAGAAAATAAAAAAAATTTTTTTGGAAAATTTTTTAATTTTTTTTTTCGAGCCTATAAGACAATTTATCCCAGTTTTTTTAAAGAAAAAAATTTTCTGATAATTTTTTAAATTTTTTTCTTAACAATTTTTAAAGATTTTCCTGACAGTTTTTAAAATGATTTTTCGAAATTAGTATTTAGTCTTTTCTCACCATTGATTTTTTTTTAGAAAAATTTTAAAACACAATTTTAAGTCTTTTCACCATGTACATGTTATTAAATATTTTTAATAAAATTTTTAATTTTTTAAAAACAATTTTAGATTATATCATTGTAATTTTCATAAAAAATATTTTTTATATTGACTAATTGAAATTTAAAAAGAAGCAAAAAAGATGGATGTTGATGGTGCTGCGCAGGATGAAATGGTTTATTTAAAATTATTTTAAATGTCTTTAACTTGAAAGCCTGGGGGTGATATGCCCCCCGTAATGCAAAAAAAACACAAATACTGAACCTACAAAACCTTCCCAATAAAAAAGGGATAGGCAGCTTCTTGTGGTTTTGTGTTTTGGCGTTGGTGTTACGTTGCCTGGGACCTCAATTTTAAAAGAGATTTTAATTTTCCTCTCGTTTAGGTCACAGATGGTCCAGGATACAATATTGTCGCTCCAAACAATAATTGTCAATCTGGAAGTATGGGAGGACACAATAATGTTGTTGGGTCTTCACAATATCAGCAACGTTCAATGTCACCACTTCTCGGTATTGGAATAGCTACTGGATCCTCATCAGCATCTTCAACAATGCCAATGGACCTGGGTGGAGTATTGCCTATTGCAGAAAATTGGTGTAATACACAAGTGAAAGTTGTTAAATTTAACTACATGTGGACGGTTATTTTTTAAAAATTTTTTTTGGAAAATAATTTTTAATTTTTTTTAGATAAATAATTTCTCTTTTTGCCGTGAAGAAATGGGTGAAGTTTTGAAATCATCGACTTTTAGGTTTGTTTTTCTTCTCGGAAATTTATTCTTCCCTGACTACCTTCGCCATTCCTCAGTTTATTTAAATTTTTCTTTTTTCAGTGCCGGCCCTAATGACAAACTTAAATGGTGTTTACGAATAAATCCAAAAGGATTAGACGAAGAATCCAAAGATTATTTGTCTCTTTATTTATTACTTGTCCAATGTAACAAAACTGAAGTTCGTGCAAAATTTAAATTTTCGATATTAAACGCAAAAAGAGAAGAAACAAAAGCTATGGGTATGTTTGATTTGTAAATGATTTTATGACTTAAATACTTTTAAGAATCACAACGTGCCTATCGCTTTGTACAAGGAAAAGACTGGGGTTTTAAAAAATTTATTCGTCGTGATTTTTTACTTGATGAACAAAATGGACTTTTACCTGAAGACCGTTTGACTATTTTTTGTGAAGTTTCTGTTGTTGCTGATACGGTTTCTTTTTTAAAAAATTGTTATTTAAAAATTTTTTTGAAAATTTTTAGATTAATGTAACCGGTCAAAGTAACATGATGCAATTTCGTGTTCCTCCATGTCGTCTTTCTGAAGATATGAGTAATTTATTTGAAAAAAGTTTATTTGCTGATTGTACTCTTTACTCAGGGAATAGAGAATTTCAGGTTTTTTTTAAATTTTTAAAAATAAAATTGACATTAAATTTTAGGTACATAAAGCTGTACTTGCTTGTCGTTCACCTGTATTTGCTGCAATGTTTGAACATGGAATGGCTGAATCTTTAAGTGATCGTGTAAATATTAAAGATATTGATTCTGAAGTGCTCGGTGAAATGTTGAGATTTATGTAAGAATTTTTTAAATTAAAAATCGTGAAAAAATTTTCTAGCGAGAAAAGGGTGTAAGAGGCATTTGTAATTTTGATTTTATCAAAAATTAGTTTTATTTGCGTTGGTGGGAATCGAACCTTTAACGAACCAATATGTATTAATGTCTAGGTGTTTTCCCACTACACCATAATGGTTAAAAACATTTTCACTGGGGATAGACTTGTGTGTTTAATTTCTTGTGGGTAGAAGGTTTCCCGTTTATTGTTAGTAATGTGTTCTTGTTTAACCTAAACAATAATAGACGAAACATAAAATTTGAAAAAAATTTTTTTTAACAAAATAGGTATACCGGAAGTGCCCCAAATCTTGAAAGAATGGCTGATGAATTGTTAGCAGCTGCTGACAAATATCAATTGGAAAGATTAAAAGTTATGTGTGAACAATCTTTATGTCTTTCATTGACAAATGAAACTGCTTGTGAAACTTTAATTTTGGCGGATTTACATTCAGCAGAACATTTAAAAACACAATCAACAGAATTCATTAATTTACATGCTAATGAGGTCTTTTTTATAATTTGGTTTTGGTCTAGTTTATGAGTCCATTGAAAAATTATGGGTCCTATGGAGGTGGTCTGTCTTGAATCCCAGACTTCGGGGTACAAACTTTTGCCTATACCTGTTTTTATTGGACTCATAAAGGTTCATTGGACGCATAAACTTGACCAGATCCAACTTTTTAATTATTAAACAAATTTAAAAATTTTTTTGAAGGTAATGGAAACTGAAGGTTGGAAAGTTTTGGTAAAAGAACATCCTCCATTACTCGAACAAGTTTTTAAAGCATTAGCAACACAGGTTTTTTTACTTTTTTGATTTTAGAAATAATTCTTTATTTTTTAAAGCAAACACCTCCGATTATATTAAATCAACCGCCTAGGAAACGTCCAAGACAATATTAAAAAAAATTTTGCTATAACAACAACAAAAAATTTTTTTGACTATTAATATGTATTTTTAAGTTGTTTAAAGTGAAGACATATTGGAAGAAAAGAAAAGAAGTTAAATCACTTTGCAGCTGTTTTTTGTGATTATAAATATATTTACTGTTAGGTTTGGATTTGTTTTTGATTTTTTTGTTTTAATTTGAGAATAGAGTTGGCGGTTCCTGGGAAATCTTGGGGTATCCTAAACCCCATGTCCGAACTGAAATTTTTTGGATACCAAGACCAACCTTATTTGAGAATTTTTAAAAAATCCAAACTTTGCTGTTTTGATTGTCTTTTTTCCAAATTTTGTAAATATATCTTTTTTCTTTCTTAAATGCATGATGCAATTATTGGGTATATATGTATTGGATAAATATTTTAATATTTTTGTTAATTTTTAATTATAAATCTGGTAAATTTATAACCATTCAATAATTTATAACTCTCTAAGAACTTGTCTTTTTGAATTTTTTAGAATTTCTTTAGAAGACGGAGAGGATTCTTCTTTTAATGTTCTGTCAGAATCAATAATTGAACCAGATGTTTGTGAGGAGCTTTTGGAATTTTGTGCACCAACAATCTCTACTGGAACAGATGAATCTGTGCTTACTGAAGAAGAGCCAACACCTTTTGGAATGGGATGAAAGTTTGTTTTTTTAATTTTAAAGTTCAATAATGAGGCGAGAGGGGTTTTTTGAGCATGTAGTCGAGCTTATATTTAATAAAAAATTATTTTACACCAACCGGGTTCGAACCCTTGACCTTGTGTATAGGAAATTTTAAACTTTTCCCACTACACCAAAGGGGACTTTGTCTTTAATATTGTTTTATTCCTCACCCCCAGAAATTGAAGAACTTCTTTTACTACTTTTCTTTGTTGTTATACTACTTTCAGTTTTTGTTTTTGTTGTTGAACTTTCAGTATTTTGTTTACTAGTAACAGTAGAAGTACTTTCTTCTTCATCAGATATTTTATTTTTTGTTGTTGTATTTGTTGAGGATGATTTTGTGGAAGATTTTGAGGATTTAGAAGATGAGGAAGAATTTTTAATTGAAGATAATATAGAAGCAGCATCAATGACTAGATTTTTACTATTAGATTTTGTTGAAGAAGATGTTGTCGATGATTTTTTTGAAGAACTTTTTGAATTACTGCGTATATTTTCTTCAGGTATTTTTTGTTGCCTAATTTGTGGTGAAGATTTGGTTGAAGATTTTGGGGGTGAATTTTGGTTTTCCTTATGAATTTTAGTTGAATAATTATTTAAATTAAGAATCTCTTCTTTAATTAATTCTTCCTTCATTCTTCTTTTTTCTATTTTTAAATCTTTGTTATTTTCTTTTACCTTCAATCTTCTTCCAATAATTAAATTTCTTTCATTATTTCCTTCTTCTGATGAGTTTGGACTACTAAAAGCTATAGATTGTAATCCAGATGATGGAAGGGATTCTTCAACTTTTTTATTAATTTTTGGTTGTTTTTGAATACTTTTTAAATTTAAGTTTATTGTTGTTTGAAGTTTATTTTTGTTAATTTTCTTCTTTTCATCTCCTCTTCTTTCAAAATTCAAAACCTTTTTATCTTCAACTATTGTTTTGTGTACAGAAGAAAGATAGGCTATTTGAGCTCGAAAATGTCCTCGTTTAATTTTATTAATCTTTATTAATTTATTAAATAAATTATCGCTATAAGGTGGTAAAGAACATTCGGTATTTGTTGTTTTGGATATTTTTTGAAGGTTTTTATTTTCTAAAATTGGGAGGGGTTTTTTAAAATTTTTTTCAAAAATACCAATATTTTTTTCATTTTCATTCTTTGCTTTTAATAAGAGAATTAGGAGTAGCTTAATTAATTTTTTATCTTTTTGCCGTTGTTTAAGAATTGTTTTTTGATGTTCTGTTTGTTGAAGGGTTGTTGCTGTTGTTTGTTGAATTGTTGTTTCGGGTACCTAGTAAATTTTTTGCAAAATTGGGTTTAAGGACTCATACTCCTTTATGTTCTATATAGTATATCATTCGAAAGAGCTCGTTGAATGACACCAAAATTAGCCCACGGTCTCAAATATGGGCCTGGATACATACCCCCCGTAGATCTTGCCCGAAAATTCTCAAACCTAATTTTTCAACAAATCTTTTAATTAAAAATTTGAGTTTACTAATTCTTTATTTGTTTGAGTTCCACGTTCAATTACTCCATTATTTAAATAATCTGTTTGTGCTTCCTTTTCTATTGTTTTATTTTTCAAATTTTGTTTATCATTTTTCTTTTGTATTTCACTTATATTTAACAAAAAATGTGCTTCTAAAGTTAATCCGCCATTTTGTTGTTGTTGTTGTTGTTGTAATGAACAAATAATTGGAAGAATTTTCTTTAAAATTTTTTTATAAATATTTTTTAAGGATGAAAGTAAACCTCATTTTCTTTAATTAAAGAAATTCTTCCTTTCCAAATTTTCTGATTATCTCCACCACTTTTAGCTTCCAAATCTAGCCATATAGGTCCATCGTTTTGAGTTGTTGTTCCTCTAATAAAAAATAGATGGCCACTTCCAACACGTATTTGTCTTTGAGGATACAAAGGAATTGAAGAATTTGAAGATGAAGAAGGGGAGGAAGATGGCAAAAAGCGAACAAAAGTTGTTTTAACCCCTTCAAAATTAGATTCCCAAGGTGAAGATATTCGTTCAAATAAAAGTTGAATACAAAAAATTGGAGGGGAAAAGTTTTGAGAAATTGAGGAAGTAGTTGGATGATATGTCATCAAAATTTTCTAGAAAATTTCTAAGGAAGAACAAAAATGAATTAAAACTCAAAAATAAGTGGACAATAAACGAAGCAGATGGCAAAGTTTTACTTTTTTGTGGTTGTCATGGAAATTGGGAAAGGCGAAAAATAAAAAGAGCAGTTTGACCCTTTAAATTTTTAATTCAAATGGAGGATAAGCAATCCATTTTAATTTATTAAAAAGAAATTCAAGAAAAAATACAAGAAATTTTGCGAGGAAAAAAAGGATCATCTAATTTTATTTATCTTCAATCTTTTCTCATCAATACAAGAAGAGCAGCAGCAGTAGCAGGCAAGAGAGAAGTCGTTATTGTCATCCATCTATATTTATTCGAACAACTATTGCAGTTTCCATAGGGAATGGATCCATACTAAGAAACATGTCACCAGTTACCTTAAAAGGATTAAAAAAATTTTTTTTGAAAATTTTAAAAAATCAAAAAACTCACAGCATGCCTATGTGGAACATTTATGCTTCTTGCCGCTTCAATGGGCCCCCCTGCACCAGTAGGCTTCCTGATTCGAATACAACAACCGCAAACAAAGTAGCGGCCTTCTTCAGCATACTAAAAAAATAAAATTTTTTTTTGAAAAAATTTTTTTGAAATTTTCTGAAAAAAATTTTTTCCCAAAAAAACTCACCGAACATCTCCAATATTCATCAACCTTATCTGGTGACCTCTGTCTTTTGTTAATCTTCCATCTATGCTTTCTGTTATCCCACCAACGATCGAATGCTTCAACGTTGTCGAAGGTTCTAACAGTTACATATCGAGCTCTCTCCCTCATATTAAGTTGAGCCCTTTCAGCTGCACGAGTTCCACCACGAGTCCCTCTACCTGCTCGCCTCTCACGTTCTCTTCTATGACGTCGTAGCATTTGCTTAAAAATTTTTTTGAAAATTTTGATTAATAAAAAAATTTAAACGAAAAAAGTCCTTACAATGAGTTGTTTGAATCAAGGGAGAGAGTAGAACGTTGCCGTTGATGAGATTTATTGTAGTAAGTTGACGATCAATTTGATTGTTGTGTGTTGTATTAATGCTTTTATACTTTTAAATGTGGGGAATAAAAATGTGAAATGAATTTTGATTGTATTTACTTTTCATGGTATACTAGAAACCGGCTTCATTAGAAACCTTTCCAATAAAAGCTCTACATTTTGTAGAACTTTTTTGTATGTACCCATTGAAGATAGTAAATGCCCTGAGCTTTTGTAGAACATTTTCGATATTTTTCAAAAAAAATTTTTTTCAGGCTTAAAGCATCAATTTCCTGTTATATTCTATTGATCTAAATTGCTTGAATGCTCCTGGTGGTGTTGACGAACATTAAATTTACTACAAGGATGGTTTACTTGTATTACTTTCATGGACTTGGATTCTTTTATGGTCTTACAATTAGAAGGTAGATTTTATTTTTTATTTTTTTCTGGTAAATTACAAACATTTTTTCTCTCGTTTTTTCACATTTTTCTACATTAACCTCAAAATAAAAACAAGATATTTTTTATTAATTCCCTTTTTTTACTTAACAATATCAATTTCCAGTCAATTTACTTACCCTTTTACCCTCATATTTTCTTTTTATTTTTTTTCAATTCTAGTATTAAAAGGGGGTTCTTGAATAAATATTTTTATTGTATTATTTAAAATACAATAAATATTTATTTACCTTTTCTTTTTCTAATAAAACTTTTACAAAAAAGAATAGGGGAAAAAATTAGGAGAAAGTTGGTGTTTTTATTATTAATAAATTTTTTTTATTTTTTATTATTATCAATATACCCCCCTTCTTTCAATAACTTGTGTCAATATATAATGCAATAAAAACGATAAAAAAATATTTTTTAAAAAAGTTTGAAAAAATATTTTTCCGGGAAATTAGTAGTTGACAAGTTTAGTTGGTTGTTATTTTTTAAGAGATTAGTCAAAAAATGTTTGGGACACAATGTCATTTCATAAAAGAATTTTTGTTAATTTTTGGGACAAAATGTCATCTCATAAGAAAATTTTTTTAGAAATTAGTCAAAAATATTTTTTTGAATGATACTCCCTCCATTCTTGAATGAATAATAAAATAAGAATTTTTTAAAGGTTAACAAAATACTAATTTTTTAAATTTTACTTTTCCTATAAAAAAATTTTTAAAATACATCATTTTCTTTTTTTCGTAAATGAATCAGTTTTTTTCTAAAATTTTTTTAACTTTCCTCTCTTTAAAATTTTTTATATAACTCTTTATTTAACTACCCTACTAACATAAATTTAAAAAAACGTTGCAAAATTATTTTTTTGTCAATAACTCTATCAGTTTTTTTAAAGATTGTTTTATAATCTTTGGTTAATTTGTTTAATTTAAAAATAGAAAAAAGTGTTATTGATAGAAAAATTGATTAATATTTATTTAATCTAAAAAATTTGTTTACTATATTACGTATATTTTTAATTAAGTAAAGATATTCTTTGAAGTTTTTTTTCTATTTTTTTTAAATTTTTACGTAGTTATTTACTATAAGTTGCCAAAAATATTTTAAATTTATTTTTGCATTTTTTAGTTAAATATTAAGGGCAGTATGGGTAGTTATTTATTTTTAAAATTTATTTTTTTCGGAGGTTTCAATTAAAAATATAAGGGCAATCGTGGGTACTTATTGACATACAACCTTTGAGCAGTTCTCTTGACCTCCCAACTCTTGACAGCCGTTGGGAGGAGGGGTTGTCAGTTCAACGTCATTTCCGCTATTTGGTATTTTAATGGTTTTTGAGGGGTTGGCAGTTATTTTTGGATTAATTTTATGTTCTCTCAAAAAATTTCAGAATTATTATTTCTGATAAAATCACACACAACTCTCCTTCAAATTTATTTTTCTTAATAAATAATGTCCTTCAAAACATTTTTGGACAATAATAAAACAAGTAAATAAATAAACCCGATTGACAAAAAAATTAATTTTTTTTTGCGATTTCCATTTATATATTTTATATACCTTTTTTCTTTAAATGGCCAGTAGGGGGAGAAGCTATTTATTTTTATTCTCTCTTTGTGCTAATTGAATTGCTTGTTTTTATAAGAGGGAGAAGAAGAAGCATGAGGCCGGTCACTTTTTTTAATAACAAAACAAAACTTGTTGTGTTGGCCTTTTTATTTTTTTTTATTCTTCAAAAATATCCATAAAATTTAAGGGGGAAAATAAATTAATTAAGAAGAAAATATGCTTCTTTCCTTTGGCCTTGTGCCTTTTTGAAAAAAAATTTTTTTTCGAAAAAAATTTTTCCAACAAAAAAAATTTTGATAAGCCTGCTATTGTTTTGTCTTTCACTTATCTTTCTTTGTTTATTTATTTTAAAAATATTTTCATAATTGTCAAAAATTTTTTTTCAGAAAATTATGTTACTCGGTCCTTTAAACAAAAATGTTGCTTCTTCCTCCAATTATTACAATTCTTTTGCATTTCCATACACAACAACTGAAACAACACAACAACAAGCTCCTGTAGCTCTCATCAATTTTAGAGTAAAAAAATTTTTGTTGTAATTTTTTTGAAATGTTTTGAAATTTTTTAGTTGTTGCTTCCTTTGTTGCCTTTTCCCTTGTTGTTGTTAGTTTTATTGGTTATTTTGCCTGGAATTCGAGAACAACGATTAATTTCTTTGTTAGCTATTGGATCACAATTGTGTGTTGGGACTTTACTTATTGGTTGGTATTTTTTGAAAAATTAAAAGATTCTTTTTTTGGAGAAAAACTCAAATTTTCTGGAAAATTAATTTTTGAATTTTAATTTTTTTGAAAATTTTTTTCATTAATTTTTCAAAGGTTCAATAACTCTTCCATACTGGAAATTGTCAGAAACAAGAGAAATTCTTGTACATTTACAACCATTTTCCAAACAACGTCATTTACTCAATATTGGAGTTAATGTTGGTTTAAGTGCTTTAAATATTTCTCTTGATTGTAAGTTTTTTTGTTAAAATTTTTTTTTAATATTTTTTTAAAAAAGATGTAAAGCCGTTTGATGGACGTTTACCTCATCCAAGGTTTTATTTTTTGTTAAAATATTTTCTTAAAAATTTTTTTCTTAAAATAGATCCTTGGCAAGTTTACACTTAAATGAACAATTTGATCTGTCTGGCGTTTCTTCAATGAAAACTGAGTTGTTTAAAGCTTATAAAGAAGGACAACCATTTCCTGTTTTGTGTGTTTTGGAGGTTTTTTAAAATTTTTAAAAATAAATTTCCTTTTCTATTTTAGTATTTTTCATTGGGTCAAGATGCTTTTTCTTGGGGAAATCAATTTAGAAAAGCTGGGTATTATACAAAAGCTTTACTTTGGTATATTTTATTTTTTAGAAAAAATCGAAAAAAAATTTTAAAAATTTCCGAGAAAAAGTTTTTGAATTTTTCGAAATTTTTTTTTGAAAATTTTTAATAAAAAAAAATTTAAAAAAAAATTTTTTTCAAGGTTTACTTTTGGATGTTGGTTATTACAATTTATTTTACTTCCATTTCTTCCACATTATTTTGCTAAAACTGGACTTTTAATTGGTTTTTTAATTCTATTGTCTAACATGGTTATTTTTAAATAATTTTTTTACTTAATATAAAATTTAAATAAAAGCTTTATATTTTACTTTCTCCAAATGATTTACATATTGCATTTCCTTCACCAAATGGTCATTCCAACTTTACACAATTTCGGTTAATTTTTAATAAAAACTCCAAAATTCTGAAAAATAATTTAAGAATTCAGATTTGGAATTTGTTTTTGGATGAATGTTATTGCTGGTAAAAATTTTTGTTTTTATATAAACATGTTTCGCAAACTTGTAGTTGCAAACTTAAGATTACAATTCAAATAGAAAAAATTTTTTTTAAAAATCAGAATTAAATTCGAACATTTTTAGCAAATTTAAAGTTTTTGGAAAATCAGAATTAAATTGTCAACATTTTAAAAATCAGAATTAAATTCAAACAAATGTTTTTGTAAATCAGAATTAATTCTTTAAAAAAACCAGAATTAAATTCTAACAATTTTTAAAAAACAGAATTAAATTCGAACAAATTTTTTTAACAAACTTAATGTTTTGGTTAAATATCAGAATTAATTTTAAACATGCCCAAAAACCAGAATTTTATTTAAACATGTTAAAACTTGTTTAAATTTTTAAATTCAGGTTTTGTTGCTCTATTCTTTGGTGTATTGTTTTCTCTTCTTCAATTCTTTCAACTATATACACTTTCAACATTTCTCGAGTTTATTTTTAATTATTAATACTTAAAAAAATTTTTATTTTTAGTTGTTCTCTAGATGAAACTGTTTGTCCAATAAAATATAAATTTGGAGGAAAATGTGAAGAACTTTTAAAAAATTCAATAAAAAATCAACAACAAACATCAACAGATTTATGTGTTGGGGAAGAATCTTCATTAAAAGAAGCTTGTTCATTACAACATTCACAATCTTCTGGGAAATTGTCTATTGCAAGTTCTGTTTCTTGTCTTTCTGTTGCAAGTTCAGTTGGTTCGTTTGTTAATATTGCTATTACTAATAATAATACAAATAAATATACAAAACAACAACAACAAAAACAAAATAAAGATGAAAATGTTGGTGATGAGAAAAATCAAAAAAATGAGAATAAGGATGAGGTAAATTTTATTTATACTAAAAGGGGTTAGGGTTGCCAAAATGGACCGATTAGGTCCGAAAGATCGAGTCGGGCATAGGATATTTGCCAGACTTACGGCCCGACTCGATAAAAATAGATAAACGGCTCGTTTCGGTAAAAACAAGCCTGGAAAAAATGCCTCGAACACCGGTCCGACTCGAAAACGGCAACCTTAAAAGAGACGGGTAAGATTTTTTAATTTTTAGACGAATCAAGGAGGGATGAACTCCTCAAATGCTTGAAGAGGGTCCATTCAACTATGACACTGATTTATATAAAAAAGAGAAAAATTAAAGAAATAGATTTTAGACGGGTATGTATTTGTCCCTACTATATATAACCAAAAAAACTTTTCGAATCCCCTCCATGTCAACAAAAAAATTTTACCCAGTGATTTCAAAAAACACATAATTTTTGCCTTTTTTAATAAAAATCTTCTAAAAAATAATTTTGTTTCTCAAAAGCTTTATTTTCGAAAAAAGAAATTAACATGAATAATATTAAAATAAATATAAAAATAAAAAAAAAATAAGGGAAGGGGAAAATTAAAAATTTTAAGTGAGATTACTCTTGTTTTTTTCTTCAATACATATTTCACAAATAATAGGTAAATGATCGCTTGGTGCAATTCTTGATGGAATCGCTCCATATTTTGTGACTAATTCATGATCAGGAAAGGGTATAACTTTCAAAACTTTTGTTTCTGGAAATGCCCAAATATAATCTAAACAGCCAACAAATGCATCTTTAGTAAAACCTTCAGCACGTGTAAAATTTGTGTAAGGAGGAAAACCTGTGGCACATTGAAATTTGAAAGGCACTGAAAAAAATTAAAATGAAAAAAGGGGAAAATATTTTTTGAAGGCTCTAGTTTAGGACATGCGTTCTATGAAATGCGTCCTATGATCGTTTAAGCGTTCTATATTTTTGGCGCGTGTATTTCTCTGGGGACGTGTGACTCACGGGGCGCGGGCCTTAAACCAAAGCCTTTAAAAAATCTAACCTTTAATTTTCTCAATATTATTGTCTTCTAAAGGTTTGGGCAACCAATTTGCACCAAAAAGATTTCCAAAAAGTGTCCAAAAAACCCAATTAATTAACAAAAAGAAAGAAAGTTGTTGTTGCTCGTTTAAAGTTTTTGTTGAATTTTTATTGTCTTCTTCTCTTTTAATATTTTCTTCTTTATTATTAATCAAATCTAAATCATTTCTTAATACTTTTGCTGCTCTACTAGTTGGTACAAAATTAAAATCACCAGCAAAAATAACTTGAATTTTGCAATTTTTTTGAACTTTTCTTATTTCTCGAATTATATCATTAATATATCGAACACACAAAACTGCTTGTAAATGTTTAACATCTTCAAATAATGGATCATAATGTAAATGAGTATTTGCTGCAAGTATTTGAACATTTGTGTCGTCAACAGAACGGAGATGGACAATCTTTAGGGAAAAATTTTTTTGTAGAATTTTAGAAAAAAATTAAACAGAAAACCTGAATTATTGAAGGCCTAGAACTAATTACTTCGTAAGATTTGGGTTTATTTTTTAAAAATTCCATAATGTCTGAATTTGATCGCTTTTTTAATAGGCCACTTAATTTAGCTGTGTAATTGCCATCCTCGTAAAGTCTATCATCTCGAATAGCAATAATTAATCCTTCGTTTACTTGATTTTCTTTACAATTAAAAATTGAAGTGTAACCCTAAAACAGGATTTTTTCTTTAAAGGTCTAAAAAGGTAACCTTGAGTTCTAAAAATGGAACCAAAAATCTTCTTTGAAGGCGAACATCAACCTCTTGGAGAAATAAAAGGTCTGCATTGTAACCTTTAAAAGTAAAAAAAAACTTCTTTAAAAATTTTATTTAAAAAACCATGTATTTCCTTAAGAAGCAAAGAATATCGATAACTATCAAATTGAAATTCTTTTGGACAATAGGAAAAATATTGATCTTTTTGCTCATTTTTAGTTAAAGAAGATTTCATGTAAAGATGGGCAAGGACTTGAAAAAAATTTTATTTTGAAAATTTTTTTATAAAATTTTTGGCTCTGGTCTAGTTTAGTAGTCCAAGGAAGTTTTTACGAGTTCAATCAAAGTTTATTAAGATTCATAAATCACCAATAGACTCATTAACTTTTAATGGACTCATAAAACTTCATTTACCTACTAAACTAGACCAGAGCCAATTTAAAAAATTAAAAAATCCTTACCGTTATAGCTCAGAATTCGATATCTAAAAATTATAAAAATTCATTTAATTTTTAAAAAATTATACTCGTTTCCCTTCAATTTTTCTCTACAAAATTTTTCCTGTCTTTCTTCAAAAATTAACAAATCATCTGTATTCTCAGTTGGTCTTTTAACACGTTCAGGGGAGATTGCCATTCTCCCAATTTCTTCTTCACCAGAAAATTCAACAACAACAGCAACATATTTATCTAAATCTTCTTCTGTTGGACAATAATAAGGGAATGTTTCTACAAAATTGTAGCCATTTATTGAAATTCCACATTGACTGGAGTCATCTTTAAAAAGATATGATCTCGTAAATTAAAAAATTAATAAAACCTTTTGAAAATCTAAGGTTTCTTGGATTTTTGTCACCAACAAACCAATGATATTTTGCAATTGGATCTTCTTTTTTCCAATCAATACTAAAAAAAGAATTTAAAGGCGTAATTAAAATATACCGTAAATGTTCTAATATAGTAGAAGCTCTGGGCGTTTTTCAATGGGTATGTTTGAATTGGCTTCTCTTCTACAAGAGCCGGGCTCCTATTAGAACATTTACGGCATATTTTAATTTTTTAAACGAGGAATAAAAAAGGAAATGGGAGTGAAAAAATGGGAAGGATTGGGACATGGAACGAAACGACGGATTCAATTGAATTTTTTTAGTTTAAAAAACCTTGGGATCAAAGGGCAACCAATAAGAGGCTCTAAAGCTATTTCGAAATTGTCTAGCCATGGAACATCTCTAACAATTATGTATTCAATATTGTCAAGTTCAATTTTTGTATAAGGTTCAGGGCCAAAGAAAGTGTCAAAATTTGTTATATTGATCGGATTCTCCTTTATCTTAAATTCTCCATTTTCTGTAATTGCTCGTATACAAGTTGACTGTCTTTTACTAAACATATCTCTAATTTTTATTTGTAAACGTCTTATAGTTCCACCAAAATCATCCAAATAAGATCTTAAAAAAATTTTCTTCAAAAAGTATCGAAAATTTTAAAATAACCTTTTCATGTAAACACGTTTTGTTGTGCCAGCATAAGTATAATCAAAAGCAATTTGAATACATTTATCTCTATAAAATAATTTTTAAAAAATAATTAAAATTCTTTTTAAACCTTTCCTTCAAGGATTCATCAAAATCCTGCCAAACAAAAAATTTTTCTTCATGAACCATTTTTTGCTACAAAAAATTCAAAACAGAAAAAATGAACGCCTAAATGTGCACAAAAAAATTATTTTAATTTTTAAAAGTTGAAGTGATGGTTTTAAATAATTGATGAGATTTTAATAAATACTTCAAAAAATAAAATCTAAAAATCAAAAAAGAAATTATTTCATGGGATTTTTTAAGGGGAGAATATTGTGACTTGTAGGGTGGGGGTTTATTTGTTATGGACAAGGCTAAAAGAATTGTCAAAAATTAGAAAATTTAAAAGCTGGATCGCGCAGCAGCCGTCGTTTCGTTCCATACACAAATTCCTTTAAATGGAATCACAAAAATAAGAAATTTAAAAAAACCTTGGCATTAAAGGACAACCAACAAGCGGATTTAAATAAATCTTTAATTTTTCTATGTATTGAGAAGGTTTCCAAAAATTACGGCGACGTTTAATTTGTTGTTGAGCGCAAAATAAAATTTTAGAAATTAACATCTTAAAGAAAAACTATAAAAAAGAAGCAAATACTAAAGAAAAAACCACGATCAAAGATCAACAAGTTGGAAGACCATTCTTGTACGAGACTCAAACGGTTAATTGGCATTTATTAGTTAGAGATTTTGAAATATTCCAATTAGACATTTAAAAATGTCATTGTGTTAAATTTTACTTTGGGTAAACTTTTCGGGTACAGTTTACCCAAAAGATACGATACCGAAATTTTTGGGGGGTATTTTTATTTTGGGTATCTCAAAGTCGTGTATTTGGCAGAATTGTGCCATCCAAGTTTTTTAACTAGCCGTAGTATCAGCTGTGTCATTATGGCCTGCGCCATAATGGTCGCGCTTTTTTGAAACACTGTGTTGATTGATTAGAAACATGAAAACATTCTTCCTTTGTTATTTTTCCATGTTAATATTTTTTATAAAAAATCTTCAACCATTTTTATAACGTTTCTTGGAATGTGAAAGAAAAATAATGGTTTTTAACCATTATAATATTTCAAATTTTTTATCGATTTTAAAACCTTAAAAAGTTTATTTTTTTATTTAAAGAAAACAATTTTATACTTAAAAACAATTTTAAAAATGGATGAAAAACATCAACAACAAAGCCCTATAATTATGGATAATTTGATTAATAATAATGGAGAAAATTCATCTTCAAAGATTTCCAGTCCTTTACTTGATACTGGGCAATCTGAAGATCCGTCGATTTGCCCTTACTGCAATAAAAAATTTCGAAAGGTTTGATATTTGAATTTTGGTTTATTAATTTTTTGGCCTTTTTCACCTTCCTCGACTCCCACAAATTTCCCTCCCAAATAAGATATCAAATATTAAAAACCAATATTACAGCCTCGAGTACTCGATTGCCTTCACTCAATGTGCGAAGACTGCATAATTGCTCAATTAGACGATGGCAGAAATAATCAACAAAAGAATTCTAAAAACATTCTAAACAGTTTTATGGAATTGGAATTAGAAGATTCTGTGGCTGGTCGACGTCCTACACCGCCAGGAGTTATTTGTTGTTCTGTTTGTAATCAGGAAACACATATTGGAAATGTATGATTTTTTAAATTTTAGAATAAGAAGATGGGGTTTTAAAGGACCCAATGTCGCCTCCTTCCCAGTCCATTTTTTGTTTAAAATGTACATAATGGTCAGTCAGTTGATCTAGGTCTCAGTCTAGTTACAGCGTTTCAAATTAGCCAAAAAGACATGGATTATAGGGGTTCAAAATGCTCAAAATTTAAAGACAAAATTCCTTTTAAAGGACCCAATGTTTGTAAGTTTAATGCTTTTGGATTTTGTCAAAATTCGAGAATATGGATTTAATGATGCTAATGATACTGGAAGAATATGTGAGGCTTGTAAAAGTGAAGAGAAGGCTGTTGCAAATTGTATACATTGCTGTAGTGATTTGTGCCCAAAATGTGTTCAAGTACATCGAGACATGAAAATGTTTGATGGACATAAGGTAAGAAAGTTGAGAGTTGAAAGAGGGGAGGGTTAGTTTAACGGGTCTTTGTAACCTTCACTTTAATGGCTAGAAACAAATCTCTGATAGTTAACTGAACGTTAAAATCGATACTCTAGTGACATGTCAAATGTCACCAAATACTTGTACTCTAGTGACATGGCGGAAATCGCCCGCTTTCGGGACTCTAATGACACTTTATTTAATTTCTTTCGGTACTCTTGTGACCTGGATCATAAATGCTGGTACTCTAATGTCCTTTATAAAAATCAGTTTGTTCGGTACTCTAGTGTCCTTATTTCAAAAATGACAAATGCTCCCGAAATATCAAAGTGTCATTTACAAAATGTCGAAACGCAAATATTTTAAATTTAGTTATTTTTTAACGAATCATTTTTTGTTTTTTTAGGGATTGATTTTCCTTTAAGGTTTAGTAATTATTGATTATTTGTTTTTGTTTTTAATGTTTATTCCTCTCTTTTTTAAGGTAGTAATGTTTTCTGAAAAAGATAAAATGAGCAATCAACAAGAAGGTTTATTAAAAGAAGGAGGAATGGATACAGTTAAATTAGCTTTGTGCAACAAACATAAGGGAGATTTTGAATTAATATGTCCAAGTTGTGATGAACTTTTGTGTAAACAATGTGCTTTTGAACATGTTGAACATAATGTTTCTCCACTTAATGATTTGGTTTTTAAGTGGTATAAACAAAGTATTCATGATTTGGCTAAACAGGCTGAGAATAAGGTGAGGGGATTTGTTTATAGTATTTGAGGACGAACTGCTTTTTTGCGGAGTTATTTTTTGGAGTCATTTTGTTTCTTCTTTCCATTTTTCTGGAAAGAAAATTTTACTCGGCCCCAGTTGCTGACGAATACTGATACCTTCTTTCAATCAGCCAGTTATTTGATAGTCTCTTAGTTCCACTGTGTTTAAGACATTTTCATTTATATGTTAATTCGTCCGCAAAACTTTTTTCCAAAACTGGTCCTTATAATAATTCTCGTTTTTTTCCTATTTTTAGGGCAGAACGACTTTAGACGCTCGCTCAGCAATTCCGGATCGTAAATTTTTACTTCAGGTTTTTTATAATTTTTTAATTTAAAAACCTGAGATTTTGTAGCAATCGTATCACAAATGCCGTGACAAAATTGAGGATGCCTTTCAATTCTATGCGCGTGTGATTGATGAAGTTAAATTGGATTTGTTGGCTTCTTTGGACAAAAATCGAGATGAGAAGGAAGAACATCTGGACTCGTTATATCAAAAGATTGATATGCAGACATCTCGATTGCAGGATGCTTTGAGGTTGTTTATTTAGGCTTGGAGGGATATCCTGGCTTGAGTTCAGTCTGAAAAATGTTTTGATATTACGGGCGATTTTGGCAATTTGATTTTGTTGAACGGAGATGAGGTGCCCCGCGGACCTCTCACCTGGATTCTCTTTCCCTGGGAATTCAATTAATTCTTTTCCCCGCACTGGAATCGAACCTTTTGTTAAAATGTGTATGTTCTTTTGATAACTCCCTTCTGGGCTTCAGAACCTCCCTCAACTATTAGCAATAAATTTTCTATTTTTAGTTATACCAATAATCTCCTTGATAAGGGTACAATTGTCGATTTATGCTTAAATCGTAAAAAGATTTGGCAACAACTTAAATTGTTAATGCATTCAATGCCTGATGTTAATGAAGAAGTTGATTTGGATTTTGATATTCTTTCACAACATGAATTTAAAAAGAAGTTTGAATCTGTCATTGGTGGAATTAAATGTTTGTTTTTTATAGTATTTAAAGTTTAAATTTGGGTTGACCCTGACTCCGTCTAATCAGACTTTTTTTTGGATAAACTCCAGTCCACGAAAGTCTCCGACACAGGTTTTAACCCTCAGCTTGAATGATTTTACCAACTGTTCTAACCCCAACATTCGTAACCTCACCCAGAACTTTTCGGCGCGAAAGGTTTTGGTCCGTCCCTAGTTTAAATAGTCGTCTAAAATCATTTTTTGTCAAGTCCGCAAATATTATCCTATACTAGAATAAAAACAATTTTTTTCAGGCCGTATTACTGGTCCACCAAAAGAACCAGCAGTAATAATGAATGCTCTTTTGGGTAATAGTCCATCAAATAAATTGGATACTTTTGACGATTTTGACAATAAACTTAAACAACAGCAACAATTAATTCTTTCTTCAGCAATTAATAATTGTCAAAGTTTAGCAAATAATTCTTCAATTGATTGGACAGATTCTTCAAATCTTTTTGCTCAACATTCAAATACTTCATCAATAATTCCAGCAACAATTCCACCAACAACAAATTCAGGTCCTGGAACTATTGGGATGGAAAGACGTCAAAATCGAAATTCTAATGGAAACAGTTATTTAAGTGGAGATTCTGGTATTTATTCTTCTGCATCTGATATGACTATTTCATCACCTATTCAACAACATCAATTGGGTGGTACTCCGGAAACTTTTAATATGGTAGAAAAATTTTTTATATAAGACCAGGGATGATACGGTTTGAGAAAAAGTCGAGCCAGGTTTTGGGTCGAGAAATCAGAAACTGTGTCTCTGGTCAGAGGGAGTCAGGTTATTTACGGGGATTTAGGAGTGATGACGATGAAATTTTTGTCTGGCGGGACCTAGTCTTTTCTTTCAATTTAAAAATATTTTTTAAGGGACGTTTTGGAATTCCTGAATCGTTTGGATCAGCATTTCGTGCTCCTGCAACAACTTTGGATTCAGGCCAGCAACTTGATCCTGGAAATTTAATTTTTTCTGATAATTATTTTGGAAATACTCAATCAAAGATTTGGAGCGCTGTAATTTTTATTTTAATATTTATTTAACTTATAAATTTTTTAAAGAATTATTCTACAACTCAAAATATGTTTGGAAATTTTGATGCAAGTCGTCCACGCGAATTGATGGATTCTCGTTTTGGTTTAAACGATTTTCCTCCATTGGGCTCTGATCCGTCTGGATTTCGTTCACGTTCTTCTCTTTGTACAACTCCTTCAATTGATACTTTTGTGCCACCTATGTCGATTCATCAGGTTTTTTTATTTTTAAATTGAGAGGTAAATTAGGAAATTTTTTAAAGAATTATCAACCAATAATTGCTGCTGGTCGTCATTATGGGAGTAATAGTCAACAGCAGATTGAGGTTAATTTTATTAACAATAAGGAGGGAACATTGAATACGAATTTGACATATTTTTTGGTACCATTCGATAGAGGACCTCCTACGTCCTCCGATCATTCGAATGATCGGAACACCTCTGAGAATTCGATAGAGGTTCCCGTGTAAGAGATTTTGATTTAATTAAAAAAAATTTTAGATGCAAATTTTGTACACTTTTTGCTCTAATACATTGAGCACTCAAGATACTTTTAATACTCCTCAAGGACTTGCATTAGGTTTGGATAATGAAGTTGCTATTTCTGACACTAATAATCATCGTTGTGTTATTGTTGACGTTAAAGGTTTTCTTTTTTTTATGATTTAAAAATTATCAAACTTTAAAAGGAAATTTTTTGCGTTTTATTGGAAGTTCAGGAACTGAAGAAGGACATGTTTATTATCCGAAAAAGGTTTTTTTAATTATGTTAATTTGATTGTGAGCTTATCCGGTTCAGGGTTTTTTGTCTTTAAACCCCTCGGAAACCCAGAAAACCAAATTTTATCAAAACATACTTGGTTTGGATAATGAATGGCACGACATGAGTGTCACGGGTTCAGTAAACTTTTGGGCTACCGGTTCGGTAGAGCTAGAGCCAAGCTCTAATTTTAAGATTATTTATTATTTTTTTTTGACAGGTCGTCTCTTTGATCCGTAATCGTGATTGTCGTTACATCGTTCTCGATCGCGGCACTAATCAACAATTCAATCGTCTACAATTATTCAAAAACAGCGGTGAATATGTTTGTCGTCTTTCTTTACCATGTCAAATTGACCAAGTTTCTGTTATGACTGTAAACAAAGAAAATGAACAATTAATTATTGTTGACAACAAAAATCTTGTTCATGCATTTGAATTCGAAACATTTAATCAATTGACTTTGGTACGACAATTCAGTATTTCTGGTAATGTTCATGAACCTTCAGATCTTGGTGTTTATAAAGGATATGTGAGTTGTTATGAATTTTTGTTTTAAAAAGTGGAGGGTGGGGAGTTTTAGGTAACCTATGATATCTGTTATAATGATCGTTTTTTGTTATAAAAATAATTTAAATTATGAATAGAAATCATATTTTTATTTTTTAGTATTACATCACTGACTATAAAATGCATGGAGTTGTAGTTTATACACTTGAAGGTTTTTTGTATAATATAATTTTTAACTTACTATGGTCTTAGGTAAACTTCATCGTAAATTTGGCGGACTTGATACAACACCATATCCTGTTGGAATTGACTTTTCAAAGTCTGGAGATGTTCTTGTAGGTGATTCACATGGTTTGGAAATTTTTTTAATTTTGCGAAGATTATTTAAAAAAAATTTTTTTTAAAGGTAATCATTTCCATATTGTTGTTTTTAATCTTCAAGGACAACCTCTTCATCATTATAGATGCTACCAACAGAAGGTTATTTTTAAAATAATTTTTTGAGAAGTGTTAGGCAAATGGATTATTTTGGGTCCGGGATTACCGAAATTTGAGCATCTTACGGGATGATTTCGGTATCGATAGTACCGCGGGATTAACTGGCCGTGCCGAGCACTTTTTTTAATTTGGTTTCCTAAAAAAATATTTTTTTTAAAGGTTTCTCGTTGTACTGGCCTTAAAATCAATTCTGAAGGACATATCGTTACAATGTCTCGACAAAATAGTGCCGTTATTGGTGGGAAATTTTCTTTTTTCAAAATTATTTTTGGGGATTAGCTTATAGTTTAAAAAAATTTTAAATTATTTTTTATTTAGTGTTTAATACACTTTACATTCCAAGCGCCTAATTTAAAAAAAACTACATTTATTTTCAAAAAAAACTACACACATCGACCATCACCTTTTAAAAGCGCCTCGGGTTGCGCTATATTTTGGAAAAAAATTTTCACTTTGCCATTTTAGAATTATATTGTAGTAGAGTGAAATTTTGTATATTATTTATTTATTGTAGCTTTGATTATGTTTCAAATTAAATTTAATTTTTAAGCGAATTTTTTTAAAGAAATTTTTTGAGGAATTCTTAATTAGCTACAATAATTAATGTATATAATTTTTCCTCTATTTTTTTTTTAAATTTCGCAACATTTATTCTCAAAAAACCCTGCCTGTTTTCTTTTAAACAAACATTAAAAACAAACACACACACCTTGGTTAAAGAAAAAAATTTTAATTAAAATTTTAATTTCGTGAAAAAATTATTTAGAGGTTGATTTTGAGAGTTGTTTGGAGAGAGAGTATTTTTGCTCGATTAAAAATTTTTTAAGTTTAATTGTGCCAGTTTTTTCTAAAAGTTTTTTTCAATTTTTTCTACATAAAGGAGTATGTGTGTTTGTTTATTATTATTATTTAAATTCTTTTTCCTTTGGCCACATATTAAAAAAATTTGAAAAAAAAAACTTCCTTTCCCTTCCCTTTTTTTCTTTTAACACACACCAAAGAGATTCTCCAAAATCTTCTCTCTTTTTTTTAAATTAACACCTAAACTCCTCTATATATTATTTTATAAATATATTTTTCATTTTCTTTTGTTGAAATTTGACACAACAAACAACAAAACAATTATATATTGTTCTCGCTTATTTTATTATTTTTTTTTCGCTTTACCGGGTTCCCACTTTTTTTGACAAAATATTCATTTAAAAAATTTTTTTTTAATTTTATTTTTGCTTTTACAATCAATTTATTTTTTTAATTTTACATGTTGTGTTTTAATTATTATTTTATTATTAATTTTATTTTTTTTTGCAATTATATATACGTTTTATTGTTTCAATCCTCGCCACAGTTCTTTTGATTGTTTTATGATCATGCTACTTATTTTATTTTTTTTAAATAGTAGTTGTAGCAAGAAAAACTTTGATTTTGTTTAATTTACAATTTGTTTTGAAACAAGTTTTACAAACTTGAAATATAATTAGAGACTGGTAAACTTTAACTTAAGCATATCAACTTTTACAAATCTGAATTTAAGAATCAGAAATTTTGCAAACTTTAAAAATCAGAATTTTCATAAAGTTTACAAATCTGAATTTAAAAATCAGAATTTTTTTACAATTTTACAAATCAGAATTTCTTTTCAAGTAAAAAATCAGAATTTTCTACAATTTGCAACTTTAAAAATCAGAATTTAATTTTCAAAACTTAAAAAAATATTTTTACTGGTCTCTAATTATATTCATCTTTAATTTAATATATTTATGTACATTTTACGTACACATAAATTACTTTAAAAACTTTTTTTAATATTCTTTTATTTTTTGTTTACGGGACGCCATCTTTTTTTAAAAAAATAATTCTCGTTGATTAAAAACCCATTATATTATTTTCCTTTCCCCCATTGCGCATTAAAAATAGCAAAAAATTTCTTGGCACTTTGTCTAATTTTTTGTTTTTTTTTTATTCTTTTATTCTTTCTATCTACAAGAGTGCCTCGTATTAATTTTGACACATCTTTTTGTTTCCCATAATATAATTTGGTTGAAATATAATTATTAATATGTATCTTTTTAAAATCAGAATTTTTGGGAAAGAACCCAGAATTTTTGGAAAATAAAAATCAGAATTTACAACCAACCTTCTAAAAATATTTCCCTCTAAATACCTTATACATATTTCAACCAATTTAAACCACAATCTATTTGCGCATGTTTTAGAGTAAATAATGTATCCGCGCCTTGTCTAAAATTGTTAGTGTGCTCATTTATTTTATTATTTTTTTAAAGTTTTTCATTGTAAATTTTTTCTTTCCACTTTTTTAAACATATTTAGTCAAGACTTCCCCTTAATTATTTTCTGTTTTTTAACTTTTTTTTTATCTAACAGGATCTTTTCTTTACGAATCAGGTACCTCTTCTTTTTAAAAAATATTTTTTCGACTTGTTGACCTACCTAGATATTTTTGTGTGTCCTTTTTTAACTTGAAAGAATGTTGCTTAAAACTCTCAGACTAACAGCTATCAGACAAAAATAGTTAAAAAATATAAAAAATTTTTTCGAGAGTTTTAAGCCTTTATAGAGACTGACTCTTCACTTATATTAGAATTGTATAACGTATTCAGAGACAATTTGAACTTGTTTTTTCCTTTCTGTGTGAGGAAGGAAGATTTTTTTTAGTCCCTTCACCCCAAGAATTTTTGAAAAGAAATCAGGATTCTGGAATTTAATCAGAATTTTAGAATTTTGAAAGGTTTCAATCCTCTTCTCTCCCGTCTGGCTTGGGAATGAGTCTTAATTCCAAGGGAACCCTCGAACTCACACCTTCACTCTCCCCTCACTTCACTCATATATTTTAAAAATATATTCAAATTGTTTTTTAAAAATAGCTTTGATTGTACCGGTTTTTAGACTACATTTTTTCTTTATTTATAGTTAGACCCCAACTTAAAATCGTCTTTTTTCTCGTTTTATGTTAAATATCTTAAAAATATTTTTCAGCATTCAGCCAATTTTTTGTTTTCATATTTTCTTTTTTAAAAACATTTTTGTATTCGATCTCATCATATTTTATTTTCATTTCTCTCCATTTTTATTTTTACTATATTTTACCCGTTTAAATCGCTTATATCACATTGAGTGAACTAAAAAAACAATGAAAATATTATGCTGCAACAGAAATGCTCGAAAAGTGTGTCAGCTTCATCCCTGCTTTTCATCTCATCCTGTGTGAAGAGGATGTTCTACTGTTTAAAAAATACAACAAATAAAAAAAACTCTTCATTATATATTTTAAGAGAGTAATTCTTTTTTTTATTATTTAGCTATTTTTTAGTCTTACAAGTTATTTTAGACTTAAATTCTCTCTTTTTAAACTGTAAATGACTCTGTCCCTGAAAAGTGACTGGAAGAAAATTAGAAAATTGTAATGGGTTATAACTTGGATTTTGTGGATATTTGGTGGCTCTAGTTTAGGACCAGCGTCCCATGACCAGTAGAGCCCACACATCTGGTTTGATTTTTACCTCAATTTTCATACCTGGTCACTTTTTCTAAAAAATGTACATTATAATCTACCCCTCCCCCTAGTTATCTACAATAAAAAATGTAATTATACCAAGTTCAACAATTCAAATATGTATTTTTAAATTGAAATAAAAAAATTTTTCGGAAATTTTTTAATTTATAACAAAAGTAAAATTCCTGAGTTCACATATATATAAGTTAAAATTTTTTGACAAAGATATTTTTGGAACAGAAAAAACGTGATAAACAAGAGTGGGAGAGTAAACGAGGCTGCTCTAAGTAAGAATAAAATTTTGAACAACATTTTTGTTGAAAAACAAATTTTTAGAGAAGCCTACCAATGAGAGGGAGATGGGGAACCGAAGGGGAAGGGAGATTCAAGAGGGGCTAACAAATCTCAAAATAAATTAAAAAAGTTGGCTATACTATTCTTGAGAGGTTGAAGGTGCAAACTCCACCGAATTCTTCATTTCATCAAGTAACTTATCCATTTGTCTTCTACTAATTGGGACAACAGAATTTTTGCAAAAAATGTTTGAAGCAGCCATATTAAATTGTTCATGGAATAATTCTAAAGCAGTTTTCTTCAACTTTTCTCTTTTGGTTATCATGTAGCAAAGGTTGCGAGACTAAAAACGGAAAGTATTTTAAATAGATCTCCCTTTAGAAAATTAAAAAAACCTTTTCATAGTCCAGTCGCATGAGTCTTAAAGGTTTATAATCAAGTTGAACTTGTTCATTATTAGGTCTTGGAATGAGTTGGTAATCTTTTGAAAATTCTTTTACATATTTTGACGGATATGTTGCTATCATTCTCTTTGGACTAGAAAAATAAAGTTTAATTTTTTTTAGAAAATTTTTTGGACATCCCGCTAGAAGGACGGGATATCCAAAAAGTACCAAAAAAATTTTAAGAAAAAAATTTACAGAGTAAAAGGCTTCTTGTCACCACTCTTTTTATCATTCCCCACTTCATCCTCAACATCATCCAAAAGAATATTAGTATTTTCAAATTGATATTTTTCTTGTCTGTAACCCAAAGGCATTTGAACTCCATTAGTACTCCATTCTTCTCTCCATTTGTCTGTAATTCTAAGTAAAGTACTCGAATTATTATTGTTATGTAAATCGTCTAATTTATGGTGGTGACTATTTTCTCCTTGATGTTTTATTTTGCGAATAAAATCGGTGCAATAAATTTCTGTTGGAATACCAGCTGAAAAAAAAAATTAAAAAAATAATTTGGAGAGAAGCAAAAATACCAACCATTTTCAACAATATAAAATTTTCGTTTAACCCAAGGTTCCATTTTATTTTGATCAGCAAAATAAACCGATTTATTCTGTTGTTTTGAATTCTTTCGAAGAGCAGTAAAATATCTTGAAGTTGAAGAAGAAGAATTTTTGTCCAAATGTTTTGAAGATGTTGGAAGTGATGAAAAAACTTTTGGGAAATTGTTTTGGTCTTTTTTTGAATTTGTTGGAGGTGTCTCAACAACATTTTTAATTTCTTCTTTAATTTCTTTCTTTGGTAATTTGTTGTTTTTATTTTCCACAAAATGTATATCATCACAATTTTCTCTTCCAAATCTTCTCTTTTTTGTAAGAATTGATGAAGTGTCTAATAAATAAAAAAATTTAGGTGTCCAGAAATTTAAGGGCTTGAAAGTTGATCTCCAACTTTTTTTGGAATTTTGGTCTCCAGAGGATCTCAATAGTTCTAAATCCCCAAATTCACTCAGACGCCCATAAATCCTGCGCTTAAATGCCAATATTCCGTTTTTTCACTTAAATACCAAATTCCGAAAAATCTGAGCCCAATTTTTCAAAAAAAATTATTTAAAAAACCTTTTCCGTCAGATATTTTATTATTCTTTTTATTTGTTTTCATGTCGGTTCTAGCACCATTAATATGACCTGTAAAATTGAAATTATTTTTATATTTTTTCAAAAATAAACCATTTAATTGTCTAACGCCATGTTCGTGTCCTCCTTTTTTCTGTTGTATTGGTGTAAATTTTCTCCGAGAAGCAGATTCATGGTGGTGGATCGATGAATTATTTTTTAAACTATTCATTTTTATCTAAAAAACAAAGAAAATATGTTAAACGTTCAACGGTTTAGCTAAAAAATGATCTGACTCTAAAAAATCGGATCACTCATATCATACCAAATCCATATTTTGCCAATAAGGCTAAAAACCTACTTTTTGTCAACTGGACTGTGTTGGCAAAAGAGCGGATTTTAGCCTTATTGGCAAAATATGGGTTGGCAGAATATGGTTCACTTAAAAATGCCTCTGACGCATCCTATGTTTACATTATATTTCGTTACGTCTCTCGCTTCTTTTTAAGCGGCGAAGTTAGTTTTTGTCTAATCGATAAAAAGAATAACAAGAGAGATCGCAATGCAGAGAAAGGGTAAAGGTCAGAGAAAATTTTTTTGTTATCCATTATGAAAGTTGACAAAATGAAATATTTGTTGATTAGTTAAATGTCATAATGGAAATTTCGTTATATGGAATGTCATAATGTTAACTCTTAAAATGTCAAGATTTTTGTGATTTTTCAAAATTTTCCGACTTATCCTTATCATTTTATCAGTTTTTAAGTTTAATTTTACTTCTTTAATTTGTTAATGTCTTCAAGTGGCGAAGAATTTGTCGATTTGGATCAGTATTTTTTCAAATATTTTTTTAACTTCTTTTAAATTTAAGGGAATTGTCTTCATGCGAATCAACTTCTTCAGAATCTTCATTCAAAACAAAACAAATTAAAAATAAATTAAAAAGGGATATTAATATTAATTTGAAAGAATTGGATGAAAAAGATGGAGAAGCTGTACCTGAAAATGGTTTGTACAAAGTTATCGGACAAGTGGATGAACAACCTGTATTGGAGAAGAAACCAAGGCATTATTTTTTAATTTCTTGGATTTAGTGTTCGTCTCCTCTTTAGGTTCCCTCTTTTTCCCAGTACCTATACCGGGAAAACCCCGGATACCAGGGGAAAACCTTTCTTTTCCCTATACGTCCGTTGGCAGTTTTTTAATTTTCTTTTTTTAAAGCAAGTTTACTGAACCTTGGATAGCAAATGCTCACAAATTTTGTGCAAAAATGCTTGATAATTCTGTCAATTTACTACCTTTGGAAGATCTTCTTAAATTCGGTTTAAAACAAGAATTTGTCAATAAATTAAATACTTATACAAATGTATGTTTTCCTGTCCAGTCAACAGTTCTTCCAATTTTATTGAACAATAAAACTGGGTTTTTGCCGCCTAGAGATGTTGTTATTTGTTCTCCAACTGGTTAGGTTATTTTTTAATTTTTGTTGTTTAGTTTAGATATTTGTGTTGTCCATAAGCTCTGCTCCATATCCTATAAGCCCCTTCCAAATGTCACTTCATGTTAGAGAGAGATAAAAAATGGGCGTGGCTTATGGGAGGGAAACTACACACGAGCCAAATTTCGGAAAAATTTTTTACATTTAATCTTCAGGTAGTGGTAAAACACTTTGTTACGTCCTACCAATATTAAATAACATTCATTTTGTGGAAGATGCTTCAGCAGTTTATGCTTTAATTATTGCTCCGTCAGCTTCTTTGGCTGAACAAATATTTAAGGTTTTTTGATTTTTTAAGTGGTGTTAAATTTTCAATTTCTATTTTAGGAATTTGAAAAGTTTAACGTATTCAATGCAAAAATAGTTGCCTTGTATGGAAATACAACTTATTTTCATGAAAGGTTTATTTAAAATTTTAAACTACTTTTTCGTTACATGCTCGCATCTCTTTAGCTATACTTTATCCGGTGTTGTACTAAATTAGACAGCAAACTATTTGTGGGCATATGACGGAAAGGTAACAGATTTTAAACTAATTTTTAACTTTATTTTTTTCAGATCTGTGCTATTTCCTAATAATTCTTGTATAAGTCAAGCACATTTAATTATTGCAACTCCTGGAAGGTTAAAAAAATTTTTATGTTTTTTTAAAATTTTTGTTTATTTTAAGGTTATTAGATCATTTAATGGATAATGATGGAAATTTTATCAATTTGTCTATGCTTCGATTTTTGGTTATTGATGAAGCTGATAAAATGCAAGATACAGCTAGAATTGAATGGCTGGATGTTATTGAAAGGCTTTCTTGTGGTTTGAAAATTTTTTTTGAATTTTTTTTAGTTTCATTTTTTTTCTAGCCTCAATAGCTTCAACAAACAATTTATCATTTTCTTCGTTAACAAATAATTTTAAACAAAATTGTCATCTTCAAAAAATTTTGGTTTCTGCAACACTTTTATTAGATGTCAATAAATTATATATTTGGAATCTTCGTTGTCCACAACTTTTTTTGGCTACAGATAAGGAAGTGGAAGAGGAAAATGTGCAAGAACAACAAAATGGAGAAAGTGGTCAAATGAGTATTTTATTGCCGGAGTGTTTAAATCATAAAATTGTGAGTTTTATTTGTAAATAAATTGGGGGGTTTGGATCGGGAATGTTGTCACGGGCTGAGTAAAAAGGTGTGTCAGATATTGAGTTGAGTTTCTAAAAAAAGATGGGATCGCGTTTGGGGTCAGATTTTTTTGCTTTTTTAATTCTTAATTATAACATTTTTTAGTTAATTTGTGATCAAAAATTGAAACCTCTCATTCTCTTTCAACAAATTAAATTACACATAAATGAATGGAATAAAATAATTGTTTTTGTTAATAAAAAGTTTGTTTCTACGTTTTCATAAAAATCGAGCACGTCTTGCGTCAGTCGCTCTGTGACAAGACGCTAGCGATGGAAGTGTGTTTTTATAAAACTAGCATCTTGTCGTTTTGCAATTTTTAATTTATTAGCTGAATACTGTCGCAAGACGCTCGCGATTTTTATTTGAGCTAATAAAATTATTTTAAATTTTTTAGACAAACTAGCTATCGACTTTCCTATTTACTACAAAAACTAAACTCGTCAAATTTGTTCAAATTAGCTGAATTAAGTTCAAATTTACACAGATATCGTCTTTTAAAATTGATTAAAAGCTTTAGGAATGGAAAGGTTTTTCTTTAATTTTATTGTTTGATTCTTTCCCTTCTTTTCTAGATTCGTATATTAATTGCTTGTGATCAGTTTTCTCGTGGTGTTGATGTTCAAGATGTTGATTGTGTAATAAATTATGATGTACCTATAAATGAACGTATTTTTATTCATCGTGCGGGGCGCACTGCTCGAGCCATGAAGGGAGGATTGTTACTTTCTTTGTTTACTAAAGATGAGGTTCATTTTTAAATTTTGTTGGGGAATTTTTTTAATCGATAAAAGTCCAGGCTTAGGATTTTCTAAATTTTCTTCGGATTGGATTTCGAGACAAAAAAGCTCACAGGATCCCCTAATGGGATAAATTCCTTTAAGTAATCCCGGTTACCGCTGAAAACTCGGTGGATTACTTAAAGTCCCGTAAACTTTAAGTTGGATTCCTTAAAGTCCCGTACGGAAGCGCTCCCGTACAAATACCTAATTTTGTCTAAAAATTCTATTTAACAGAAAATGAGACTCAAGAAGCAATTATCTGGCCATAATTTGTGGAAAAATGTTGAAGAATTAAATAATTTCAAAGTAGAAGACGAAGAAGCAATTAAACAATACAAAAAAGCTTTAGCACAATTGGAAAGTGAATGTTTACCAAAAACTATTAAAAGGATAAGGAAAAGAAGAATATTGGAAAAGAATCAATAAGGGGTTTTTAATTGTTTTTTTTCTTGTTAGGATGCCGTAAATGTTACACACCGGAATACCAAACCTCTAAAAACACTGTGTAATTTTTGGTGCGCTTTTGGGGTTTTTTGTATTTCAGCGTTTGGTATTACGACGCACTTTGGTTTTTTGTTGTTAAATTTTTAGAAATAAATATTTTTATTCTATTACTCTATTTTTAAGCATTAGTTTATCTTAAACATTTTATATTTTCTGTCTTATATTTGTAATATTTTTTTATAATCCTACACAAATGGCATTGTTAAATCATATAATTGATACATTACCTGTTATGAATGAAGAATGGTCTGATGCTGTTTTATTTTCTCCTTTACAAGGTTTTCAATTTTTATATCTCTGAATACGGTCACCTTGTTTTTACGGGAACGTTCGACATGAAAAACGATTTGCCCTTCTCGGCAGATTCTTTCGACACTGACCCTATTTTTAAATAAAAAAAATTTCTGTAGCTGAGCAGGCAATGATGGATCAATTTGCTGATACGCTTGCAGTCCGTGTCTTTCTAAAAATGGCGAATCTTCCATATAAATTAGAACAAAGACAAAATGCTTATTTTATGTCGCCAACAGGTTGATTCAGAATTTATTTTAAATTTCTTCATTTCTTATTCAAGGAGAGGTTCCATTTTTACGAGTAAAAAATTCTCTAACTGCTGAATTTTCTCCAATCGTTGAGTTTGTTGGCAAAAAGGTTTTTTAAATTATTTTTTTAAAATTAATTTCCTTTAGGGTATTAAACTATCCGATTCCTTAACAGCTTCTGAACAATCTGACATTCAAGCATATTGTGCATTGATAGAAGAAACTTTACGGAATGCTGAGGTTTATTCTTGTTACCTCATTTCTTTTACATTTTTTTATAGAAATATATTTCTTGGTTGGATGAAGAGTGCTATGATAAAGTTACTAGTGGAAGGTTTGAAATAAATTTTTTGCTTTATTGTTTTTTTTGACTGAATCAAACGAAAATTCCAATCAAATTTTTTAAAGATATTCGAGTGTTTACAATTGGCCATTAAATTTATTTTTACCATTACTTAAACAACGTGAAGTTTATAATGATTTGAGTCAAAATGGTTGGGCTGATTATTCAACAAAAAATGTTATTGAGCTTTGTGATAGATGGTTTATTTTTTTTTGTATTTTATTCGTATCCCATTCCCCTCTATTTGAGTCTCGGATTAATTTTTAAATATATTTTTAGTTTCCATGCGTTGTCAATGAAACTAGGATCACAACAAAAATATTTTATTGGCGGACAACCAACAGAATTGGATGCACTGGCGTTTGGTCATCTTTACACTATATTGGTTTTTTTAAAGTTTTTATAAAAATTATTTTCAAATTTAAAAGACAATGCAAATGCCAAAAGATGATTTAATTAATACGTTGAAAAAATATCCAAATTTAATCAATTTTTGTAAAGGAATTGAAAGTGAATATTTTTCATGAAATATAAATTTTGTTTGTTTAAATTAAGTAAATCTCTTATAAATTATTCAAAAGTTTGTTTTTATTATTTTTAAAAGCTTATAATGCTTTATTAATTCCTTTTAATTTTTAAGATTTAAATAATTCTTATTTTTACCTAAACAACGTGAATTTTATGGAATATTTATGTGAATTTATAATGTAAAAAATTGGTGGTGCTGATTTTTTTGTGTTGGTTATTGGATGCAGAAATTGTTTGATGTCGAATTCTATGTTGCAATAAATGAAGTGGGTATTTTTTATAAGTTTCTTATGGGTTTGGGATTCTAAAAAATTTTTCGAAGGGTTATTATTTTTTAATATTTTTTTCCACGGGTTTAAGAATAATTTTTTGAAATCAACCAATACTCTCTTAAATTAATTTTTTGTAAATTGATTTTTAAGTTTTTATTCTATTATTATTTCTATTTTACTTCCAAACCTCTTAAAATAAGTACCTATATATATCCTTTACGAGCTATGTATATCTCTTTTATTCTAATAATTATTCATTACCTTCTTTTTTGTTGTTTTGTCATATATCCTTTCTCTCTTCCTATTTTTCGTCCTTAAATATAAAAACCTTCGTAAAAACCCTCATTTCTTCAACTACTAAAAAAACCTTCCTGGAAACCTTCCACAATTTTTAGAGTTTTCCCCGTTGTTGTGTTTATATATGTCCTTGAATAGAAAGATCTGAAAAAAAATTTGAGGGAAAAATTGAGGAAATGTTGGTTAAAAAAGCAAATAGGAGGTGAGGGAGAGAATTACTTCTTCTCTTTTCCTCATACAAACACCTTTCTTATATTCCTTTAAAAATTTGTTTTTGTATTTGAGGTTACTATTTTTCTTTTCTTTTTTTATGTTAATTCGCAAAATTTATTTAAATTTTGAAGCAAAACTTTAAGTTTACAAACTTGTTTTACAAATCAGAAATTAAACCTTTTCTTAATAAACTTTAAAAATCAGAATTTAAAATAAACTTTACAAATTGTAAAATAATTTAAAAAAATTACAATTCTGATTTGAAAATTAAAACTTTAAATCAGAATTTATTTATTAAAAATATTTTTTGCTTCAAAAACTAATAGCGTTGTTTAATCCTATTTTAATAATATGACCGGAAAACATTCATTCAACGAATTTAATTTTAATTTTTTTGTTATGTTCTCCTTCTGTTTTTCCTCTTTTCTGATTATTTATTTATTTTTAATTGTGGTTGTTTATTGTTGTGGTTTATCCCCACGTTTACCCCCAAAACAAAAATACAAAAATTCTATATTAATGCTGGTGAGTATTGACGACTTTCACATTAGATCGTCGGAAGTTGGAAAAGGGATGAACGAAAAATTGTGGGAAGGAATAAATATAAATTCCACTTAGGGAGGGATTTGCTGCGATCGACATTTTTGTTGTTTTTGGGCCTGCAACTATAACTACTACACACCTTGCGCCTATTTTCTCTATTAAATGTAACCAAAACACATGCATGCATTTTACAAAAATTCTGATTTTTTTAAGTTTGTAATTTTTTAAGACTTGTTTTACAATTTTAAGGATCAGAAATTAAACTTGAAATCATTTTAATAATCTGGAAAAATCAGAATTTGTAAAATAAACTTGAAAAAATTACAATTCTGATTTTATGTTTGTAATTTTTTAAAACCTGTTTTACAAATCAGAAATTAGTAAACCTAAAAAATCAGAATTTTAAATAAACTTTAAATTGTAAAATAAACTTGAAAAATTACAAATTGTAAAACAAGTTTTAAAAATTACAAACTTAAATAATCAGAATTTTTGCATACTTAAATATACTTATTTAAATCCGCCGTTATTCGCAAATTTTTACTGAAAAAAATCCTGAATGAATCTAACTTGCTTTTTCCTACTCTTTTTTCTAAGTACAACAATATTATTATGTATTATTCTTTCGCATGCTTAATTTCAAGTTTTTATTTTTAAATTTTCCCCTATTTTCTCTCCAACTTTCACTTTATTATCTTTATAGCTTCAAATGAATATTTTATGTTTTTATTTATTTGTTTAATTTATTTTTAACATCAAACAATGAAAATGCTACTATTGTTTGTAACAACTCTATTATTTTTAACTAAGATTTTGTTAACAACTAAATCTGGTAGAGTTTATTTATTTATTTTTTCTTTTATGATTCTTCAATCTCTCTCAATCATTTTCTAATTAAAACTTTCTTCAATTTTAAATTGTTTTTTAAAATTCATTTAAAAATTGTTTTGTTAGCCACTAACCACCATCTTTAAGTATATGGGAGATAGATATTACTTGTCAAGGTCGAAAATAAAAAATTCCTTTTTTTTTTTTGATTTAATGCTTAATTTAAAAAATAGTAAATGATCTTGAGGTGAATCTTTAAAAAAAACAATTTTTTAATATTTATTTTTAACGTAAGGTAAGGAGAACTTTTTGCCGTCGTTTGTCTCACACAATTTTGCGCCTTTAAGCGTTATTATAATTTTATTTCTACTAAAAGCTTTTTAGTACCTCCCATATATTTTTTCGACCTTGACTCTTCTTTTCAACTTGTATATTTTTTTGCATATACACTTTAAAAAGTCTCCAATTTTTAACCACCTTTAAGTGGGATGTTCTCTAATTTATAATGGTTATTTTTGTGGTTAAGGGTTGAAAAGTGTGATTTATTAAAAATGAGGGAAATTAATTTTTTTGGAAAAATAAAGAGGGGATAATTTAATAAATTAAAAATTTTTTTTAGAATTTTGTTCATCCTTTGGTCAATTTGAATGTAATTGTGGCAATCCTCGTTGTATTGATTCAAGTTCTGTGGAAGATGGAGTGGCTGACTGTTCTGATGCTAGTGATGAAATTAGGGAATCTCCAAATATTCCTTGTGGTGATGCTAAAATTCCAAGAAGAAGAAGTGGAAGTAATTTTCGAAGAAATCTTGAGGAAATGCCGAGGTTTTGTTCAAAAGAGAAAATGAGGAATTGCCCAGAAGAATTGGGACAAATATGCGTGGTTTTTAATTTTTAGTTATAAGAATTTTAATTGAATTATAATTTTGAGGAATGGCCAAAAAACCATCAAAGATGTGTTTGCCGTCTAGGCTTTTTCCGGGCACCTGGCCATTCTGCTTGTCTTCCAATAGAAAGCTTTCCACATTTAAATGTCTCAAAAGTTGTGGATTTAACAGATGAATATGCTAGTGGTCGGTTAAATTGTTCAAGACTTGTGTCAGATTTATCAATGATGTATCCAGGCATTTTTCTTTTTCGGAGGGAAGGAGAAGCTGGCGGTGAAGGGGAAAAGGAAGAGAAAATAAGGTCTGTAGGGGCGCACGAAAATTTTAAAAAATTTTTTATTTTAGTTCTAATACTAGAAGAAGTAGCAACAATAAATTAGCTAGAGATGAACCTCCTGTATCCGATGATGATATTTCTGATAAAGAAGAGTGTACATTGCTTGATGGTATTGATGAAAATAAAATTGGGGGGAAAGGAGGATGTTCAAACGGAAAAATTTGTGTTGTTTCTGGACAAAATAAGAGTGAAATAAAAGGAAGAAATTTGACTGTTAAGGGTATTTGTGTTGGTTAGTTTCTTTAAAAGAATAACGGAAAATTTTAAAAAATTTCAAGTTCCAGTAAATGAGTGTTCTGAATCAACTTTGAATGACTGCCATAAGGATGTAAAATTTTATTTTTTAATGATTCTGGAATTTATTTTACTTTTTAAAGGCACGTTGTATTGACAATGATTTTGGTTATGAATGTCTTTGTCCTGAAGGCTATTTGGATACATCCTTAAATCCTCATCAGGCACCTGGACGTAATTGTAAAAAATGTGAGAAAGCTTTTTTTTGAAAAAAATTTTTTTGGAAAAATTTTTTGAAATTTTTTAGTAGTCAATGAATGTTTAAATCCGTTGCAAAATGATTGTAATCCAAACGCTGATTGCTTGGATGAACTTGTGGGTTTTAGTTGTCATTGTCGACCAGGATATGTAGATATAGGTGATGGCAAAAGAAGAGGACGAAAATGTGTGAAGAAGGGTATGGGTTAAATTTTTTATTACAAAATTTTTTTGCTTGAACAAAATTCTAGAAAAAATTTTTTTTGAAAAATATAAAAATTTAGAGCAATTTAAAATAAAAAAAGTTCAATAAATTAAATTCCAATCTCTCTCTAAATTTTAGCTGACACTAAAAACAACAACAACAAACTCTGCATTGGAAAAAACTGCGAATCATCGCCAGAGGCCATTTGTGACGAAAGGGCGCCAGAAGACGCTACCTATCTCTGCCATTGTCCACCTGGTTTTATTGTCGAATACGTTGATGAATCACTATCAGAGGAATTTTCAAAAAGAAAGAAAAAACAACATCCACGCGGTGCAGCGATTTGTCTACCTATCAGCTCATCAGAAGGTAAAAGGGGAAAAATAATTTTTTTATAAATTAAATAAATTAAAATTTGGGGGTAGGTAAAGAGTCTTTAAGTAAGAATAGGTATCTAATTGGGATTTTAGTTAAATCCTTTTTGTGTGTGTTTTTTTGTAAATCAGAATTGTGTGTGTTGTTTTTGAGTGTTATTGTGTGTTTTCTAAATCAGAAATATTTTTTTGTCCTCTTTCAAATCTGTGTATGTTAGTTGTTAAATTTGCTTCCATCCTAAAATTTTTTCCTTTTTCTCGTCAATTAATGTAAATAAAATATCCGCAAGTTTAACGTCAAATTAATTATGGGTCGGTGTCTTTTCTTCCATTTCTTCCCCACAAATCTTCATTAAAACGAAAAATATTAGATTGGAACAATTCAAGCGCGTTATCGCCCACATTGATTGATCATTCGTTTTGCGGGTAAATTGAAGAAAGAGATCATCTCGCAAAAAAAGTTTTGGGTCAATCATCCTGAAATAATAAAATGATGAGAATAATACGAATGATAATACATGGATGATTATTATCTCCAAGTGGAAAAATTATGAGAAAAAGGAATAATTATTAAGGGGAGAGTTTGTGTTTTATTAACGATGTTTTGTTCGTGTGTTTATTAATGATGTTTTGTTTGTGTGTTTATGTTACTCAATCTGTCTTCGAATGTTTGTGATCATTTTGTTTTTACGTTTTATGTTTGTTTGTGTGTTTTTCGTTTATTAATGATGTTTTTGTGTTTTTATTTTTAATGATGTTTTTGTGTTTTATTTTTAATGATGTTTTTGTGTTTTATTTTTAATGATGTTTTTGTATTTTTATGTTTATTGATGTTTTTGTGTTTTTATTTTTAATGATGTTTTTGTGTTTTTATTTTTAATGATGTTTTGTGTTTTTATTTTTAATTATGTTTTTGTGTTTTTATTTTTATTGATGTTTTTGTGTTTTTATTTTTAATGATGTTTTTGTGTTTTATTTTTAATGATGTTTTTGTGTTTTTATGTTTAGTGATGTTTTTGTGTTTTTTGTTTTTATTGTTATTATTGATGTTTTTGTGTTTTTTGTTTTTAATGATGTTTTTGTATTTTTATGTTTAGTGATGTTTTTGTGTTTTTTGTTTTTATTGTTATTATTGATGTTTTTGTGTTTTTATGTTTATTGATGTTTTTGTATTTTTATGTTTAGTGATGTTTTTGTGTTTTTTGTTTTTATTGTTTTTATTGATGTTTTTGTGTTTTTATTTTTAATGATGTTTTTGTGTTTTTATGTTTATTGATGTTTTTGTATTTTTATGTTTAGTGATGTTTTTGTGTTTTATTAATGATGTTTTTGTATTTCTCTTTGACGAGGTTTTTTGTGTTTTTATGTTTATTAATGATGTTTCTGTTTGTTTGTTTTGAATGTTTATTAATGATGTTTTTGATCGGTTTTCTGTTGGTCTTATGGGTCGATTCTTTCAAATGTATGTTTTGTTGTTGCTTTATTTTTACGGCTACTAATAGAAAAGTGAAAACCTGTAGTAGATAGTTCGAAAAAGTGATGGTTTGATTGAGAAAAAAAAGTTAATGATTTGGGGGTGAAAGATGGGTCAAGAATATTTATTTAAAAAAACAAGTTTTATGTAAATATTTACTAATTAAATATTTTTTCTTAGAGTAATTAATTAAATAAGCAAGGTCGTTATTATTTTTTGAATTTAAAAAATGAAGATTTTTACCAAAATTAGGATCAATAAAAGGAGATAAAAGGAATTGATAAAGTTGAAAAAAAATTTTAAATTAAAAAATTTTTGAATAAAAAAATTTTTTTAGACGAGGAAACTTTTCAACAACACCAACAAGGAACAAATTCATCATGTATTTATTGTGATCCTGCTACAACTGAATGTGTTAATAATGTTTGCCGTTGTTTACCTGGATATGTTCCTTTAAAATCTGAACAACAACAAAATTTAACAACAAATTGGAAATTTTCTTGTGTCAAATCAAATGGAAATTATAAAGGTGGGGTTTAATTTTTTTATGTTTTCTGATATAATTCATGCTAATCTGATTATCTTGTCGTTGGTCACTAAAAAAATAAATCTATTTTTTAGTTCCACCCCCAATATTTTCTTTTGTTGTATTATTACAACAAATTTATGGGGAAAGAATATATTTGAACGAGAACAAAAACTATATGTATATTTATTCGTTAAAAACAAAACCAGTCTTTTTACTAAATATATACATATATTTTTCAATTATCCAGAGGGTATTAAAAAAATATTTGCAAAAAATGTTGTTAAAAATAGGCGTCGTAAGCTGTAATATTTTGTTGTGTTTTGTTTCCATGTTTTTTTTTTGATTGAATGTCTGAGAATGATTTACAAATATATGCAAACATTGATTTATATTTTTGTTTGTTTGTTTTTGATTTTTTCTGACTTTTATGCTTTTTCTTTTATTAATGATGTTTTTGTGTTTTTATTTTACTGATGTTTTTGTGTTTTTATGTTGATTATTGATGTTTTTGTATTTTTATGTTTATTGATGTTCTTGTGTTTTTTTTTTCAATTGTATTTTTGTGTTTTATGTTTTTTAGTTATGTTTTTGTATTTTTTGTTATAAGATGTTTTTGTTGTTTTTGGGTTTTTATGTTGATTATTGATGTTTTTGTGTTTTTATGTTTATTGATGTTTTTGTGTTTTTATTTTTAATTGTATTTGTGTGTTTTATGTTTTTAATTATGTTTTTGTATTTTTTGTTTATTGATGTTTTTGTGTTTCTTTATTAAGATTGTTGTTTGTTTTGTTGTTGTTTGGTTTTGATTTTCGTTTTGATGTTTGTTGTGGCGTTTGATTATGTTTTGTTGTTTATCTTATGTGGATTGTGCTTGTATTTTTTGTTACACCGGATTTGTGTTTTTTTCTGATTTTTTTCCCAATCCAAAATTTAATTGCGCATCATTTTTAGAGAATTATTATTATTATTAATTTTTTTTTATTATTCCAAATTGTTGCTAATAATATTAATAATTCTTAAAGGAAAAGTGAAAGCTGTGTGGCAATTCATGCAAAAAATGCAAAGATTTTTCCTTTTCTTAAAAAGAAAATCTTCTGTTATTAAAAAAAATTGTGCGCAATGTGTGTGTAGTCTTTTTTAATAGTATATAATTACTGGGAATTTTGAGGCAACATGAATATAAAAAAATCAAGTTGGAAAAAGAGGATTGAAAGTTGGGGGTGTTGGTGTGTTTAGTTCATTCTCTAAAAATAAGACTGGTATTTTTTGGACAAAAAATTTTTTGTATTGAAATTGGCCTTTGATTACCTATTTTTATTTTTAAATCAAAAATTGGTTTTGTAAATTTTTAACTTTTAAAAAATTTTTTGGTAAAAAAATTTTTTGGAGAAAGTATAGGTAGATTAAGGTTTTTATTTTTTTGTTCTCGTTCAAATATTTACTCTTTTTTCTTACTTTTTTATTTTTTTTTTAAATCTAATGTTTAAATCTTTTGAATTTTTATTAATTCATATTACTCACCAGTAGGGTTATATTTTTTTTATTTTTATCTGTGATAAAGTAAACCCCCGTCGGGGAACAACCCTACTTATCAGTGGTGTGCCGTAACTACTTTTAAAAGGCGAAGGACGAAAGGCAAAACTGGCACATTTATTTTTCTCTGTAGTTTTTAATCTTATCCTTCCTAATCATTACTTTTATCTTTAATTATTTAAATTGATTAAATTAAAAAAATTCTTTACTCGATTGGTCATCCCATTTATCTCCTCTCTTCATTTCTTATAATTTATTCGATCAAAGCAACACAACCGCCTTTTTTTGCATTTTTTCTTCTTTCAAAAAACTCTGTCCCCTATAGCTATAATATATTTTTTTCTTCTTCTCCTGCTGCGCGACTCCCAAAAACAAAATTGCGTGTCATTAAACTCTAAAAAAATTTTTTTAAGTTTAATAAAAACGAAAAGGAAGGTGACTTTTGACTTTTAGAGATTTATGAATATTTTTTGTTATTTTCAAATAGCCAAAACAGACACGAAAGGTTTAAGCCATGCAATAACCACGAAAGAATCCTTGGGATATATTTAGCATTAGAGGGCGGCTTTTTGTTTAAATGGATAACTAAAGCGATTCTGTCCATGAACTGACCTAATGAATTTCCATTTTTTATATCACTGGGCATATTTCTGTCTTTTTTTTTATTATAACTTAAAAGTTCAGGCTGGGTCATAAGTTTAAGTTCGTTCACTTTACCCCTAAAAATAATCTTTTAAACATTTTTAATCACGGCCAGTATTGTTCGAAATATTTGTGCCCTAAGGCGACGGCTGTCACCACCAAGAAAGAATATTTTGGGTGCCCCGCCCAATGTCCTCGAAAATCTCTTTTTTCCTTCTTTTTTTCCTCCAACATTTTTCTTTCAGTTATTTAGTGTTTGCGCGCGATTTCTGCTAATATAACTACACTTCTTATCAGCAACCACTCATCTCTTTTCTCTCACTCAATATCCTTTCAAAAAGTAGTTATGTTTGTCTTTTCTCATATTTATGCAAAAATATTTTTATTTATATATCTAATTAAATTTTTTAAATTAATTAACGGATTTTGATTATAATTGACATATCTATTTATTTTTTTCTTAAAAAATTCTTTAAAATTTTTTTATCTTTATGGCTTTATCCATTACCCACAATTATTTCAATCTTTATCTCTCTTTAATGCCTTAATTGACAATTGTGTTCGGTATGAACCCGGAGCCTGCTGGAGCCTTAACCACAGAATGCCCAGCATGCATTACTGCTTGACAATTTTTAAAATATCTATTCGGACCTATCATAACCTTACTTTTTTAGAATCACAAAAATAAAAAAAATTAAAAATCAACGGAAAGTTGGTTTAAAGCCATTTTCTATAAATGGTATTATTCTCTCTATTATTTTTATTTTTACGGAAACAACAACAACCTTCTTTCATTTTATTTAATTTATTAATTTTATTACAATTGTTAATTAATCCAATATTTGGTTAGCAAGAATTATTTTATTAAAAAATTTTTTTCAACCTCTAGAAAATTGAGAACCTGAAAGAATTTTTTCTAGAACCCTAGAAAATTTCTCAAAAAATTTTTCTCTTTATAGGTGCAAATCCATGCCAAGACTATTCTTTGAATGATTGTGATCCAGTAGCAGAATGTGATAGTGATCAACCTGGTTATTTTCAATGTAGATGTCCTTCTGGTTATTTAGATGTTAGTCCAGATAAAATTAAAATGCCTGGGAGAATATGTAAAAAAGGTGGGAATTTAATTGAAAAAATTTTTGTGGAATTTGGAATTTTTTGAATATTACAAAAAATATTTTTTGAAGAAAAAATTTAAAATTTTTTTCGATTACCTATTTCAAATTAATTTTTGTTAAAAAAGAAAAATTATTCAACATCCATCTACTTATTTGAAAAATTAATTTTCTGATTTTATAATATACACAAAAACAATTGCTTGTTTCTAAAAATTAAATCTTCAAAAAAAAGTTTCATTGTTCATCGTCGTCCTTGACGGCGTCACTCTCTCTCAAGTCCATTCTCAATTCATCTTCAGGTCGTTGCTCTTTCAACTCTTTTTTTTCTTTTTTTTTATCCTTCCAATTAATTCATTCTTTAATTTTTAATTTATTTATTGTTTTCACATGAATGACAATTCAAAAAATTATTTTTTTTTGTAAAATTGATGGATAATGTTGAGTAATTCTTCTTTGTCTTTAAAAAATTTTTTTTTGTTTTACCTTAAAAATAGTTTTTAGCTACTATAAATATCTAAGAGAATAATTGTCCTCTTAATAAGAATAAAAAAATAATTTTTTTAAAAAAGGTTAGAAAAAAATATTTGAAGGGCACATACTTAAAAACAATTAAAGAAATCTGTTAATTTTATTAAAAAAATTTTTTTTAATTTTTTAAATTTACAGTTGAAAATGACTGCACAACAGGTAAACATAAATGTGATACAAATGCTGAATGTGTTGTTACTTCAAGTAAATATTTTAAGAAATTTATTTTTGATTAAATTAAAAAAAATTCTTAGATGGGTATACCTGTCGTTGTAAGCAAGGATGGTTAGATACAAGTAATGATAAGGTGAAAAATTAATTTTATTTTGGAAAATAAAATAAATGTATTTAATTTTTTAGGAGCATTCTCCAGGGAGGAGTTGCAAACAAAGTAAGGACAAGCATAAAGAAAAATCAGAAAAAAATATTCTGAAAAAATCAGAAATTTTTTTTGTTTCATAGGTAGCCAATGCCGTAATATTGATTGTGCTCCAGAAGCTGAATGTGTTGAAAATGTATTAGCAGGACAACCACCTATTTGTAAATGTCAACGTGGCTATGTTGATGTTTCTTCTAAACAAGGAAAGTTGCCTGGAAGAGTTTGTTTGTTGGTGCGAAATGAGTGTCTTCAACATGGGGAAAAGTTTGTTTTGTTTTTTTAAAATAAGTATACAATTGTAAAAACAAAAATCAGAATTACTTACAAATCAGAATTAAGTTTACTTTTCTGAAAACTTTTTACAATTGTAAAATAGAAATCAGAATTAAGTTCAATTCTAAAATCAGAAGTAATTACAATTGTAAAACGAAAAAAGTTTGAAATATATAAACCAGAATTTCTTAAATTATAAAATCAGAATTAATTTAATTCTCTCAACTTTTTACAATTGTAAAAATGCAACTTTCTTTTAAATAGTAACAGAGAAAAACAAATTTAAAAAATACAAGGCTTTATTTTAATTTCTTTCTAATTTAGTGATTGTTCTCGTGATGCAAATTGTATTGATACAGATGAATCCTTTACTTGCCAATGTAAAGAGTGAGTTTCTCTTATTAAAAATTTTTCACTTTACAAAAATTTAATTTTTTTAGTGGTTACAACGATGAAAGTCCACAAAAGAATAAAAAACCTGGTCGAATTTGTTCAAGGAGTACATATTTAAAAAATTTTTTTATAAAATAATTTTTTCTTTTAAAGAAAATTTACCTTCAACACCAGAATGTGATGTTAATGATCCGATGAGTTGTGATTCAACAAGACATGAAGCTTGTCAATTTATGAGTGGGACATATAGATGTGCTTGTGCAAATGGTTATAGTCGATTGCCTGATGGACGTTGTTTGGCTATTAATGAATGTTTAGATTCTAGACTTAATGATTGTTCTCCAGATGCTGATTGTATTGATGAGGTGAAAAAATTAATTTTTTTTTGAAAATTTTACTGGAATTTTTTTGAAAATTTTTTTGAAAATTTTTTTTTCATTTCTACAGACGATTGGCTTCAGTTGTAAATGTAAAAGCGATTTTGTTGATGTTTCTCCACCAGGGTCTCGTTTTGGCATTTTATGTCGCCGAAGAGTTAATGAATGTTCTGCCCCTAAACAATATGCCGTTGATTGTGATTCTAATGCTGTAGGGATCTTTATTTGGCTTTTTTACTGTTATTTTTTTAGAATTGTATCGACACAGATGACAGCTTTATTTGTCGATGCAGACCAGGATTTGTGGATATTTCCGAACAATTCAATAGATTACCGGGACGAAGATGTATAGAAGCGGTGAATGAATGTTTAGATTCTAAACTGAATGATTGTTCTGAGCATGCAATTTGTGAAGATTCAAAGGAAAGGTTAGAGTTTTCAAATAAATGGTTGAGGGAGCTTCTCTCCCTAGAGGCAATCATTTGTTCAATTTATGGCGGTGGGACAGTCCCTCTCCAAATTATCATTGCATCCTTATGGGTGCCGTAGGCCTTCCTTCCTCTTTCTTCCCTGTTCCTTCATGAAATTATAAGGAAACACAAAATTCATTGTAACAAGGATAGGACGAGTTATACGAAGCTCGGTCTTTTTCGAGACGCGAAACCCGATATCCGAAGTAGATTTATTAGAATACTTTATCTGAACCCAGCCTGACTTTTATTCTCGATCCATCCCATCCCTGAATTTTATATTGCTTTAATTTTCTTTTTTTAAATAGTTATACATGTAAATGTAAAACTGGATTTCTGGATACATCTCCAGATGCTCGTAAATATCCTGGACGTTTATGTATTAAACCTATACAAGAAAAAGAATCAAATTTAACTTCAAATCCATTTCAACTTTCTTTGGATACTTGTGATCAAACTAAAGGAATTTATGCTTGTAGAAAAGGGTTGGAATGTATTGAGGATACCGATGGAAATTTTATTTGTGCATGTCCAGAAGGATCGTTTTTATATTCTGATGGAACTTGTCGGTTAACTAGTGCTTGTAAACATTCTATGGAGTGTGACAAAAGTATATATTATATTTTTACTTTTAAAGCTTTAATTAAAGTCCTGGGCTTTGTTTTTTCAATCGGTTATTCCCTATGGGATAGGGCTATTATTAGAGATAGGCTTCTATTAGAGAGTATACGGTTATTTTTTAATGGGCCAGGGCTTGTTTTAGATATGGGCGTCCATTAGAGAGAGGTTGAGTTTATTTTTCGATGAGCCTCCGTGGGTGGGCTTCTTATTAGAGACTGGGCGTTAATTAGTTGTTTACGGTTTTTTAATTTTTAAAATTAAAAAAAATATTTTCTCAATAGATGCTATTTGCGTCAATCTTTTTGACTCGTTTCAATGCCAATGCAGGCCAGGATTTTTTGATAAATCGCCTGATCCTGAAACTAAACCTGGAAGAATATGTAAAGAATGTGAGTAGAATTAATTTAGAAAAAAAATTTAAATTCTCAATTTTTTAGTAATAAATGAATGTGCAAATCAAGCTCATGATTGTTCACCCTTTGCTGAATGTGTAGACGCAACTGACGGTTTTGCTTGTATTTGTAAGGAAGGTTTTGTTGATATATCTTCACAACATGAATTGCTACCTGGAAGACGATGCTCTAATGGTGATTTTTTAAACTTGTAGTAATTTTCTGTAGTAGAGCCTCACCACTCTTTAATAAAAATCCCTTTAGATTTTTATATATTGGCTCTATTACATAAAATACGGTTAAATTAAATTTTTTTAATTTTTAAGCAAGTAATGAATGTGCCGATCGTTCTTTAAATACGTGTGATGAAAGTGCTGATTGTATAGACACACAACAAGGATATAGTTGTCGTTGTATTCCTGGATATGTAGATGTTTCTACTAGTGCAAATTTACCTCCTGGACGTGTTTGTACAGTTCAAACAAGTTGCCCAAAGCAAAAAACAGATTTGATGTTTTTGGTGGATGGTTCTGGAAGTATTGGTTCTGCTGTTTTTAGAAATGAGGTAGAAAAAATTGGATCAATCCTGAAGGTGTACTAAACTCTTAACGCCTGTTGACCTGAAGACTTATGCCATTTTTTATTTTTATCTCATTACAAGTCTAATAGTGGGATCTGAGGAGGGATATCAGTGAATTTCGAGAGGTATCTGCGATAACAGGAGATTTGACGGATTTCGAGGTATTTGGATGGATTAAAGCGGATATCGATGGTGTAGGCATTTAACGTAATAGGCATTCAAGGGTGAGGTCTTGAGAAATGTATGTCTTCAAGATCAATTGGCATTAAAGATGTAGGCCTTCATGGAAGACTAAAAAATTTTTATCAAAAATAAAAATTTTTCAATCATTTCTTTTCAGGTTCTTCGTTTTATAAGCGATTTTGTTGAACTTTTTGATATTGGACAAGAAAATACACGAGTTGGATTAATTCAATATAGTGATCAAATAAGACATGAATTTGACTTAAATCAATATTCTGACAAACATTCTTTACTACAAGCAATAGCTCAAACTCAATATTTGACTGGTTTAACAAGAACTGGGGCAGCAATACAACATATGGTTCAAGAAGGTTTTGCCCAACGTCGAGGAGCACGTCCTCCTTCCTCTCCTCTTCCGTCATCGTCATCAAGTAGTAGTACTGATGTAAGCCGTGTTGCTATAGTTATAACAGATGGAAGAAGTCAGGATAATGTAACAGAACCAGCACAAAAGGCTAGAGAACAACATATAAATACTTTTGCTATTGGAGTTACTGATCATGTACTTGCTTCAGAATTGGAATCGATAGCTGGTTTAATTTAAAAATATATAAATTAGAGGGATGTCACGGGTTAAGAGAAAATTCTGTTTGCGTTAATTTTTTATTCGTGGTTCGGGTCTCGGGTCAAAAAAAGTCCGAGGCTCCTCGTGTTGGGTTTCAAGTCTTGGGGGGTTTCGTATAACACGTGACATCCCTGATATAAATGTGTGATTTGCTCATAATTATTATTTATTTTAATAGGTTCTCAACAACGCTGGTTTTATGTTGATCGCTTTAAGGATTTGGATATGCGACTTCGATCAATTGTATAAATTTGTTTAGTTTAGAATAACTTTTAAGTGCTCTAATTTAAGGTTCAAAAACTAGCATGCCCCTCTCCATCACGTCCCACTCAATTATCAACTGGTTGCAGTGTTGACGCGCAAACAGGATGTGATAGAACACGGAATGAAATTTGTACTTTGATAAATAAGAAACCAACATGCCACTGCCCTAATGGTGGATTTGATAGACATCCATTAACCCATGTTTGTGGTGGAGATTTATGCAATCCTGAAGTAATTTTAATTATTTCTAAATCTTTATTGAATATTTCAGTTACCAACTTCTTGTCCACATCCTGAATTGTGTCAACGAACACCTTTTGGTAATTTTTAAAGTTATTCATTTTTAGAATATATAAGCTCTGGGTTTCTATTCTTCAAATGTCGCTGAATGGGTTTATATTGAAGATGGGCTTATATTACATTTGGGCTTATACATATTAGTGTTTGGGATTGTAATAGACTATTTATGGTATTCCCAATTTTTATAGGAAATCATCGCTGCGCTTGTCCTGCCTCATATGCACGAGAAATGCATTCAGGAATATGTATATCTTCTTCACTTTCTCATATACCTTCAAATAAACAACATTTGCCTTCAAACTTTACTTCTTCAACAACCTTTTCTCCATCACTTAATGTCAAAACTTGCCCTCCAGGAATGGCATTAAATCCTCGATCAGGAAATTGTGGACCTCCTGGATCTTGTGATCCACTTAGAAAAAGTGAAGATGAATGTGATATACGTAAACGTGAACATTGCCTTTTACATACTTCTGGACAATTTCATACTTGTCAGTGTTTACCAGGAGAGAAACGACATCCAGCGACTGAAATTTGCTGTATGATTTTTTAAAATTATTTTTTAAAAAATAAATTTTTTAAAGTGAGAAATGAATGTTTAAACAAAAGAGATAATGATTGCGATCCTGCTGCAAAATGTATTGATACTGATGAAAGTTATTTGTGTGTTTGCCCTCTTGGATATTTAGGTTTTTTTTATTATACTTTTGGACCAGAGAAGGGGATGTACCGAAAGTGATTTTTAAAAAGCCGAAACGAAAACCGAAACGAAACACCAAAAAAGGTGAAAGGCGAAACTGGCACACTCCATTTACTTTTGTTATGTTATACCAATATATTTTTCTAGACCAATCTCCAGATCCTGTAAACAAACCGGGTCGTCTATGTGTTGGAGAAGTTAATGAATGTGCTCTAGGTCAAACACACACTCGTTGTTCACCTGATGCTTTGTGTGTAGACACCGCTGAAGGATACATTTGTCGTTGTAAACCTGGTTTTGTTGATTTATCTCCAAATGCGCGGCATGAATCTGGAATTGTTTGTCGTAAATTAGTTGATGAATGTTCTCGTGAAGAATTGAATACTTGCCACCCAGATGCATTTTGTGTGGATACGTAAAAAATTTTTCAGGAAATGTTATAATCTTTTCCTTTTAAAGTCATGACTCATACAAATGTATTTGTAAAGCCGGATTTAGTGATCTAGATGAATTCCGAAATCCAGGTCGACAATGTGTAAAGGTGCAAGAAAGTAATAGTAAATGCCAGGAGGGAAGAAATGATTGCGATAAGAATGCCAGTTAGTTTATTTAAAATTATTTTTATTTACTAGAGGTCAGAACTACGGGACCTGGCATGGGCGTGGGACAGGATCCAGTACAAGATTTACGTAATACTGTCCCGAACTCATGGGTTTTAAGTGACGAATGCGATTTCGGTGATTACTCCCTCGGGATGACCGTCCCGTCGACCTATTAAAAAATACCCGAAGTGATCCAGTGACTAAAATTAATCTTTTCCTCAGGATGTATCTATGACGCATCAACAGACAAATATGAATGTGTTTGCCCTCCCAACTTTCGTGATAAAAGTGTCGACCTTGTCAATGCCCCAGGCCGTGTCTGTATTCCATTCATACCTGAGTGTGACAACCCAGCTTTGAATGATTGCGATCTGCCGGTTTGCTTATTATTCAAAGGAAATTTTTATCTGCTGATTTTTCCACAGGATCATGCCATTTGCACAGATACAGATGAGGGATATACTTGTCGTTGCCGTCAAGGCTTTCTTGATATTTCTCCAAATGTTACACATAAACCAGGCCGTCTTTGCAAACAACTTGAAAATGAATGTGCTAAAGGCACTCATGATTGTGCTAAAGAAGGTGGAATATGTCAAGATACTCCTGGTTTGTCCAAAAATTTTTTGAATATTTTTACTTAAGTGCCAGACTTGAATATTACAAAACTCTCTGGAACTCTTATTTTTTAAAGATTCTTATACTTGTCAATGTTCTCCAAATTATTTGGATGTTTCTTTGGATCGAAAAACTAGGCCTGGTCGTAATTGTAAACGTTTGGTTAATGAATGTGCTGCTGGTCAACATGATTGTTTTCCAACAGCAATATGTACAGATACTGAAGACAGTTATCAATGTCAATGTCCTAAAAATTATTTGGATGTTTCACCTGATCCTTTACAAAAACCTGGACGTCGATGTTTGGCAAAGGCACTTGGAAATAATTTAATTTTGAAATTAATTATAAAAATATTAGATTGATGAATGTACACAAGGATTACATGATTGCTCTCCAAATGCAATTTGCAATGATACAGATTCTGGTTATACATGTAAATGTACTCAAAATTTTGTTGATGAAAGCCCTGAACCTGCTCAAAGGTATTAAAAAGTTATTTATGTACAAACTTAAAACAATTTTTATTTAAAGGCCAGGACGTATCTGCAGACCTGCATTAGTTAATGAATGTGTTTTAAAGAAAGATGACTGTCATAGTGATGCCGATTGTTTGGATTTAGCACAGGGGTAAGTGTTGCTAAAATAAACTTTCCGGGATATATATGAGGCTCAAACTTAAATATTACAAATTAAACTTTCCGGAATATATTAAGTTCAAACTTGAATATTACTAAAATAAACTTTACGGAATATACATGTATATTTGGGTTCAAACATAAATATATATTTAAGTGCAAGCTTAAATATTAAAAAACAAACTTTCCGGAATATATTAAGTTCAAACTTGAATATTACTAAAATAAACTTTCCGGAATATATTTGAGTTCAGACTTAAATATTATTTATTATACTTTCCGGAATATGTATATTCAAGTGCAAGCTTAACTATTAAAAAACAAACTTTCCGGAATATATATTTAAGTTCAAACTTGAATATTACTAAAATAAACTTTAGGGAATATTTTCAAGTTCAAACTTAAAATTACAAAATCGAAATATATTCAAGTACAAACTTAAGTATTTAGAAAAAATGTTTAGGTACAAACTTAAATTTATTAGATTTACATGTCAATGCCGATCAAACTATCTTGATCAATCTCCAAATCGTGTAACACATCCAGGCCGTTATTGTGTTCCCCGTCCAACTCCTCCACCAGATGAGTGTCAATTAACTGCTGGAAATAAAGGATGTAAAGTTGAATTGAATGAAGTTTGTCGAATTGTTGCTGGCCAACCAAAATGTGCTTGCCCATTGAATTATGAAAGAGCTACTACTAAAAATAATACTAGTGGTACTGCAGCTTGTACAGTCATTAACGAATGTCAATTCCCACAGCTGAATGATTGCCATCCGAGGTTGGATTCTTTATCTATTTTTTTCTATTATTTCCCATGTTATAGTGCGGAATGCCAAGATTTGGTTGATGGTTTTACATGTAAATGTCGATCTGGTTTTAAAGATATTTCTCCTAAAGCTAATGAACGACCCGGAAGATTGTGTCAAGCTTGTGAGTTGTAAAGATATTTTTAATTTCTTTAATTTTTAAAAAATTAGTGGTTAACGAATGCCAATTTCCTCATCTAAACGATTGCCACCTACATGCAGAATGTATCGATTTGGAGGTTAGAAAATTTTTTTGAAGCCTGGAAAATTTTTTTTTCGAAAAATTTCGAAAAAAAATTTGAAATTTTTTAGGATAGTTTTCAATGCCGTTGTAAAAAAGGATTTAATGATCTACGACCTGAAAGGCCGGGGCGAATATGCAAACAAATGATTGATGAATGTGAACGTCCCGAGCTTAATTCATGTGATAGAAATGCAAAATGTTTGGATGAAGAGGACGGATATAATTGTGAATGTAAATCTGGATTTGCTGATGTTTCTCCATCGCCTAGTTTACCAGGAAGAGCTTGTCGCCCAATTGTTAATGAATGTTTAGACCAAAAATTGAATGATTGTGATCCGCGAGCAAAATGCATTGATCAGCCAGGTTTTTGTAAAAATATTAGAATTTAAATTATTTTAATATTTAGATGGATATCAATGTGAATGTCCTTCAAACACAAAAGATATTTCTCCATCTGCAGCTTTCCCTGGACGAGTATGCCATGTATTTGAAAATGAATGTTTGACAGGGAAACATGATTGTGACCCACAGGCTGTTTGTCAAGATAATGAACAAGTAAATTAGTAGTGATTTCAACCTTAAATTTATTTCAAAGGCATTCACTTGTGAATGCCCAAAAGGGTATACTGACCGCTCACCAAATAGACAGCATCGTCCTGGCCGTGTATGTGTGAAACTGATAGATGAATGTAAAGAGGGGAGGCATACATGTTCTCCTAATGCTGACTGTCGCGATTTAGAAGAGGTTTATTTTAATAAAATTGTTTTCTTATAAAATTTGTGCTCATTGTTCAGGGTTATACCTGTGAATGTCGTGATGGTTACGTAGACAGATCGCCAAATCTAGCAATTCAACCTGGTCGTGTCTGTGGAGGTTGCTTTTTAAAAAATTCATTCTTTTATTATTATCTTTCTTTTAGTCCCAGAAACATGTCCAGCCAATCATGAGTGCAGTGCTGCTGCTGTATGTGAACCCCAGGGAGGCAATAATTACACATGTACTTGTATTCAAGGATATATTGATCAGGTGGATATTTTATAAAATAGATTGAATTTGTTTTATTAGTCTCCGGATGGTGTTCAAGGCCGTATTTGTGTCCGCAACTCATTCTGCAGAGATCCAAAATTAAATAATTGCTCAAGAAAGGCAGTTTGTTACGAAGAGGGGCAAGGATATCGCTGTGAATGTGCACGTGGTTATTTAGATAAATCTCCTTCTGGGCAACCAAAAGGCCGTGTTTGTGAATTGCCGCCACCACCCCCTCCACCACAACGTTTATAAAATTTAATTGTTTCATGCAATTTGAAATTTTTTTAAAGGTCATCCTTGTCAAGATAGCACCCATGATTGTCATCAAAAGGGTGCTTGTCGTGCTACTGGTGCTGCTTCATTTACATGTGAATGTCTTCCAGGTTATGAAGATCGTTCGCCAGATATTAAAACAAAACCTGGACGTATTTGTGTACTTACTGAACCTATTTGTATCGATGCAACACGTAATGATTGGTATAATGTTTAAACTTTTTTCTAGAAATATTTCAAATTTTTAAAGCCATTCTGCCGCAGTTTGTACAGAAGATAAACTGTTGCCTGAAGGTTTTGCTTGTCGTTGTAGAGATGGTTATGTGGACCAAAGTCCTGATAAAGTTCGTAAACCTGGACGGATTTGTATTGAATTTGTGAATGAATGTTTGGATCGATCATTGAATGATTGCGATCCTTTGGCTATTTGTGAAGATCAACCTGAAGGGTATTTTATTTTTTCTTAGCTTTTGAATATACTACATGTCGAGGATGGGTCAGGTTACCCGAAAGGCGAAATTTGGAATTTTCTCGACCCGAAACCTGATCCTAGAAAAACATTTTATTCAAACATTTTTGATAGATATACTTGCCGCTGTCCTCTTAATGCTATGGATCGTTCGCCAGATAAAGAACGTCGTCCTGGACGAAAATGCATCTCCCAAATTAATGAATGTTCAAATCCATCTTTAAATAACTGTAGCCGATTCGCTGATTGTTTTGATAAACCAGAAGGTTATGAATGTAAATGTCGTCCAGATTATCATGATTTGAATACTGCACAACCTGGAACTTCTTGCAAATTTAGTAAAATTTTTTTGAAATATTTTTTAAATTTATTCTTCAATTTATAGTGCAAAATGAATGTCTAAATTTTGCACTCAATGATTGTTCACCAAATGCTGATTGTTTTGACACTCCTAGTGGCTATAATTGTAAATGTAAACAACCTTTTAAAGACCATGGACCAGCAGAACACCCAGGACGAATTTGCCTTTACAATGAGTGTCAGGATCCTACAAGAAATAAGTGTGATAAGAATGCCATTTGTGAAGATACTGAAGATGGTTTTACTTGTAGATGTAAGGTTTTTTTATAAAGTCGTACGGGGACAAAATGACCCCAACCCCTTTTCTTGGTTTTTTTTCGATCTTGGTTTTTGAAAATCTTTGGTCTTTGATATCTCTGTTTTTTCTTTGAAGAGAATTTTTATCTCTTGTTATTTGCAGGTAATGATGGTTTTTATGATGATTCTGGAACTAAAGGTTTAGAAGCTGGTCGCGTTTGTATTGGTAATATTTTAATGTTAAATTTATCTTTTTAAATTTATTTTTTCAGCATTTTCTGAAAATGAACAACCTGAAGTCATTCAACGTCCCTCTAAACAACAACAACAATCAACGGTATCAAAAGGAATTGCATGTGGACGTAATCATTGGTGTTTGTCTGAACGTAATGAGGTTTCTTTGATTTTTGTTCATTGTCTTTATATTTGGGTTCTTGACAGCCCGTTATGTTTTCCCTATGACGGCTCAACTGCCGCCTCTTTATTTGTTTGAGCCCACCATAGGGAAGGATTAACCGGTCGCCAACAACCCTTAGTCTTTATTCCTTAATATTTTATATTCCTTAGGTTTGTGTTGGTGGTACTCGCTGCCTTTGCCGTCCAGGTGATGGTCGTGCTTCTAATGAAAACAAATGTGTTCCTGTTGAAAAAACTTCTTTTGCTTTTAGGTTTTTTTAAATTTTACTTTGAAAATAATACTTTATTATTTAGAGTAATTAATCGTGGACAACAACCTCTCATTTATAGTAGTGATTATGGTGATAGTTCAAGTAGTACATATGTTGAATTTGTACAAGAATTTCAACGGGAAATGGCTAAAGCTATTGGAAGGTTTTGAATTTTTTTATGATTTTAATTGGAAAGGCTTCCCTTTATTTTACCAATATCATGTTTTGCCAATAGAGCTAGAAACTCACGAAAAAAACTTTATAGTCTTTTGGCAAAACGTGTTATTGTTGAAATAAAGCACAAAATTTTTAAGCACAAAATTTGCACCTCATTATGTTACAACTGATGTTTCTTATTTAACACATCCAAAAGCAATTAACAGTTCTTGGAGTGATGGTATACTTGTAAATTTTACAATTTCTTCGAATAAAAATCAACAACAACAAACTTTAAATCGGTTTTTATTTTATTTAAGATTTTTTAAATTTTTTCTTTCTCTAGTTGTGAATTATGGGAACAGCTTTCTACTTCAATTAAACATTCTAATGGGTTTATTTTTTTAATTAAAATTTAATTTAAAAAAATTTTTTTAAAGTGCAATTGGCAATAATGGACAATTATTTGTCGCTCCAGATTTTGAATTGCTTAATCCATGTATTAAACAACAACCTGTTGAAGATTATTGTGGTGGTAATGAAGATGACTCTTCTGCTGCTATTTGTAAAAAAGAATTGGGAGAGGTATACTAAATTTATAATTTTTACGGGATTATAAATTTGAGATCAACTAAGAAGATTGCCTTTCAGGTGGTCACAATAATTGAGTTGACCTCCAGAGTCAGTTGAACTCCTAGGATTGACCTTTAGTGTGTCGTCTTCCTGGGAATTGACCTTTTTGTATTGACCTCCATAAATTGATTTTTAAGGGGTTCTCTAGGGTCAGTTAGCCTCCTGGGAATCGACCTCTAGGATGTTGTTTCTTGGGGTCTTCGAGTAGACCCGTTTTTAGAATGGGACTTAAAAAATATTATTTTCAAGATTTGTATTGCTGAAACACTTTGTGGGTGCCCTAATGGACAAAAAAGACCTTCAATGGAAGAAAAATGTCGTCCAGTTGAATCTTGGCAAATACCTTTATGGATTATAAGAAAAAATAATAACCAACTTTTGTATAATGAAACATTTGCAAATCCATTAAATCCTTTAAATAAAGAATATGTTCGTCTATTTGAAAAAGGAATTGCTCAATGTTATCCACAAACATTGCTAAAGTTTGTTTGATTTTTTAAAATTTTTTCTTTAATTTCAAAAAAAATTTTTTTGAAGGAATGCCTTTGTTTCTGTCGAAGTTAATGAAATTCTTGATCCAATGTTAATAAATTCAAGCTGGGATAATGGACTCTTATTTAATGCAACAATGCATTTTAGAAAAGGAGCAGTTAAAAATCCATTGGATGTTTATACTCAATTAGTTAAATATATTATTGAAAAGAATGGACAACAATTGGGAAATTCTGGACTTTATTTAAGTACAAATCAAAAAAGTCCATTCAGTTCTTGTTTCAAGGTTTGAAATTTTTTTTTGAAAATTTTTTAAATTTTTTTAACCTTTTCTAGAATAATTGTCATCCAAAAGGTATTTGTATAGAATTGGGACCAAATGCTTATCGATGTGAATGTACTAATGGACAAAGAGACTTAAATCCTTCAGATCCTGGAAGGGTATTATTTTTTTAATTTTATTAAGGAAAATTTTTTGTTTAAAGAAATGTGTGCCAACTCAAAGTTACAATGAATGTGAGAAAGAAGAAGAAAATGAATGTTCTTCAGAAGCGAGATGTATTGATCTTGTAAGTTTTTTAAATATATTTAAGGAGGGGTGGGGGTTAGTTGAATAGTTGATCTCTGACATCCCTGATATAAGCCAAATTTATTTTAATTTTTCAGGAATTCCTCTACAAATGTGAATGCAAAAAAGGATATACAGATGCATCACCAAAAGGTTCAATTCCTGGGAGTGTCTGTGTACTCGACTATTGTAGTGATGTTAATTATTGTCCATCAAATACAAGTTGTGTAAATACTGAACAACAGGCAGAATGTCAATGCCATAAAGGATTTGTAGATATTAGACATTCTGAATCTAGAATGGTTGGTTTTTTTTAATTTTTAATCGGATAATTCCTGAAGGGTGTAGATCTTTAGGGTTTGATTCTTTCAATTAATTAATTTTTCTAAATAGAGCCTTGGATTTACTTCTGATCAATATTGCCTTTCTCCTCATGATGTTGATGAATGTGCTTTGGGTTTACATAATTGTTCAAGTTATGCAATTTGTACAAATCTGCCAGAAGGTTATTCTTGTCAATGTCCACCAGGATGGGAAGATGGAAATTTGGAATTGCCGGTTTGTTTTTTAGTCTTTAATTATAATTTAATTTTTAAAGGGTCGTTTTTGTGCAAGCAAATTGTGTGCTCAATGCCATGAAAATGGGGTAAATTTTATTTTTTTTAAATTATTCTAAACTTATTTTTTCAAGGCTTGTATTCCCGACCCAACAAACAATACAAACGTTATATGTCAATGTTTTGATGGGTATAGTGGACAATTTTGTGAATTGGCACCAGCATCAGCTTCTCTTGTTTTACTTGTTTTGTTAGCTTTGGTTTTCCTTCTTCTTTCACTTTGGTTAATTTAAAAAAAATTTTTTTTAATTTCCAAAAAAATTTCTGTTCAGTTTCCTTCTCTATTTATGCACTCGTTGCCGTTGTTTCTATAGACGTCCTGAATTTGCGACATTAGATGCATCGGCAAGTAGTGATAGTGGTGCTGATTTTTCTCTTTATGGAATTCCCCGTGCAAAATTAAAACAATCTTCACATACTGACTCGGTTTGTTTATTGAAAAATTTTTGAAATTTTTTATAAATTTTTAAGGCAGCAGATAGTAGAGCGGCTCATTTAGCTGGATATTTAGAAGATGGTTTAAGAATACCTCGTGCCCATTTACACCATGATGGGTCATCCTTAGCAAGTGCAGCATCTAGCGAATTTACTATTCGGGAAGAAATTGAGAGGAGAGTTACAACGGTTTTTTTTAAATTTTTTGAAAGGTTTAAAAAAATATTTTTGAAGGATATTATAAGAACAGAAGAAATTGTAACAGATGTAGATGTACATAATGAGGCGACAAATTCTTCTGAAAATATTGCTGCTGAAGCTTCGAATGTTTATACTTCTACTAATAATTTGGGGAGAACAGCGGTTTGTTTTTTTGAGGAATTTTTATTTTTTCTTCTTTAATAGACAAATATTCGTAATAATCAACAACAATATCATCAACAACAGCAACACCAAAATAAGTTTATCGATTCTGAATTAGATAGAGGTGAAAGTATTGCTGAATTTTCAAATTCAAGAAGAGAAGGTGGAAGAGATATTTCTTCTTTAAAAACTTCAACAACGACAAATTATCCTTCCTCTTCATCTTGGCGTCATTATGCAACAACAAATGATAGTTTAAAAAAAGGATTTGCATTTAAAAATCCTTCATTAATATTAGAAGATGATGAGGGAGAAGGAGGAGAGGATGTTGATGTTATTGATAAAAATACTAAGGTTTTTTTTAATTTTTTTGGGGGAAAAATTAGGAATACAGGGGCCACTTTTTGGGAAGAATTTAGGAATTATATGGGTGTTCTTTCTTGGGAATCCGAGTATTCCTGTATTTTCTTGTGAAGAATACGAGCCACTCGAATAATAATCAGCTCATAAGACCGATCATCGATTTTGGTGTTATTCGACTTCTATCGCTAGGTTCCTTCGAATGGCTCGTCTTCTTGACTTTTCCTTTTTTTTATAATCTTTTTAAATTTATATTTAGGTTCACCATCATCGTCATTTTGATCCAAGAACAGGAATTACTAGTGATAAACATGTTCAACAAACATCAACAATAACTAGTACAACAAGGAGTGGAGGTGGTAAATATTAACAAAAAAAAAATAAATAAAGATTTATAAATTTATTTTTAATGCTCATTTTTTAAGTATTTTATACGCCGAAATACCAAATCCCACACAAAAAAACACGCCGTAATTCCTCAAAATTGTCAACAACTTTCACAGTGATAGAGTAATCCTTCACATTTTGTTGAAAGTGAATGTTTATATGATTGGAACATATCCCTCTATATTTTTCCACAGTTTGACGGTATTTTTTGGGCAGCTTTTGGGAGGGCTGGGTTGTTTTTTTGGTATTTCGGCGTGCTCCTATTATTACAAAGCTGCCATTTTATTTTTTTTTAATTAATTTTTTAATGGCATCGAAATCTTTAATAGATTTTCATCAATAATTTTGTATTTTCTTTGAAAGTTTTGATCCAATTTTTGGAATTTCAAAGAATTTCGATGCCTTTCTTTTACATTTTTCACTCCTTTTTCTTCTTGCCTTTCTTTTTTATTTATTCTTATTGCCTACAAATTTTATAATTATTCAATTATTTACTTATCCTTGCAAAAAAATGTGCCAATATTTTATTTTCCCCTAAAAATTTTTTAACAATTTTGTTTTTTTTCGTATAAAGTTTTTTTTATTTTAACACATTTTTCATTTTTTTTAGTTAGTATCGATTTTTAAAAATTTTTAAAAATTAATTATCGATTAGTATTGATTTTATCGATTAGTATCGATTTTTTGAAAATTAAAAATTTTTTAAAAATTAATTATCGATTAGTATTGATTTTATCGATTAGTATCGATTTTTTGAAAATTAAAAATTTTTTATAAACCTTTCACAAAAAAGCCTGTACTCAACTGACACAAATCTCTTATTTACTTTTTCTCTAACTACACTATCCCTTTATTATAATTTCTCTAGCTTGGAGGACAAAAAGTCATTTACTTTAATTTTTACATTTCGCCAAAATTGGCGTTTTTTGAATTGTTTATTTTTCGTTTTTCTCAGTTTCTCCAACTATGCTGTTTCTCCAGCCATTTTCTCTGTTTATGGGGATAAAATGTCATTTATTTTTAAATTTACATTATGCCAAATTTTGTAAATATTTTCAAATTTGAAAATGGAATAAGTAGATCTTCATAGTTCTCGATTTAAGTATATTCATCAAATCAGAAGACAGGATTAAAAATTCAATTTAACTCATATAGTGTAAAGCAGGCGTTCTATAAAGTTGAGAATCTAAGCTAATTTTTATTGATTTTTAAAAAATATTTTGTTTAAAACTAAAAAAATTTATTTTAATTTTATAAATTTATTGAAGCAAATCCCACGCACTCCTTGGATATATTTTTAAAACTTTACATAAATAAATATACTTAAAACACGTTGTCTTTTAATTAACAAATTTTTTGAAATTCTCTGGGGATTTCCAAAAACTTTGAAAAACAAAGAGGACATTAGAGTCTGAAAAATGGAAGAAAAAATAAAGTAAATGTTCTAATAAAAGAGCGGCTCCTGGGGGAAGCCACCTCTCTAATAAGAGCCCGGGCCTATCCGATACCCTTATTCTAATAGACGCCCTGGGCATTTATTTTTCTAAGGGTATCGGATAGGCCCGGGGATTCTGGGAATTTGTCCCAGAATATTCAGTCTCTAACAGCCGAAAAATAATATTTTTTATTTAAAAAACTAAAGCCAAATTTGGCTAATTATTAATTTTGTTTTTTCTTGTGACAAGAAACTTGGGGAAACTTTTTTAAAGGACAAAAATATGGAGGATAACAAGGCTTTTTCCTTCCCCCTTTTATTTTGAATAATATTTAGCTTGTTTGTTGAAAAGTCAAAACTATTATTTAAACGGGGGATATAAACAAAAGTCTTTTTGCCTTAAAAAAGATTACAGGTTTTTGGCCTTTTAAATTTCCTTCTTTTTTTCTTTACTCTAACGTCATCATCCCCATCCCCGGCTAAATTGAATTTTAAATTTTACCAAAAATTTTTTTAAAAAAGATTTACTTAAAAATCTCCCAAACTCCATTGGTGCGAATCCTTTTTTTATCCAATAAAAACACACAAATAAAATAAATTTATTTGTCAATTTATTTTACACATTTTGTGTTAATTACTGCATGCCTTTGGCATAAAAAAATAAAAAACTTCTTTGGACACTTCCAATAAATCCGAAAAATTCAAATTCATTATAGCCTCTGGCAGAAAAAATTTTTTTTTCATGTCAAAAACAGAAAATTTAACATAAAATTATTTTACGTAAAAATTATTTTATTTTTTTTATTCTCTCCTATGATTTTTGCAGAAATTTTATGAGGACGTTTTTTCTTAAACATTTTTTTCTTAATTTAAAGGACCACCAAGAAAAAAATTAATTTAAATTAATTTTTTTTAAAATTCCCCTCCCTTTTTTAAAGCTTTACATGGTGTTCTCATTTATATAAATATATGCAAATTCTTTTTAAAAAAATATTTAAAATAATTTTTAAAATTCTTAAAAATATTCTAAACCTTTAAAGGCCCCCTTAATTAAAAAAATAGTTAAAAAAATTCCTAGAAAATTTCTAAACTTTTAAGGGACCATAAGAACTTTAAAAATAATTTTTTAATTAATTAAAAACCCTAAAAATAACAGAGGGGGGATTAAATAAAAGCATGCTATATTCGTTAAATATAAAAACATATTTCTACTTTTTTTGCCGTTCGGGGGTTTGCCCTTTTTACTACTAGCTTTTTGATTATTACTTTAATTTAAAGGACAGGACAAAAAAAATATTTTCTCTTTTTTTATTTTCATTTTTGGTTCCTTTAATTTTTTGGTTCCTTTAATTTGCCGAATTTTTCTCCCCAAAAAAATTAATTGTTAAAAAAGAAAAAAATATAAAACGGAAATGCGCTAATATAAAAGAAGTCCTTATATCCATTCTCTATAGACAACAACTTTAAAAAATAAATTTTGAAGCTTTTAAATTAATTTTAAGGTAAAACAAAAAAAGTTGGAACCGGTAGGGCTCGAACCACCGACTCCAAACAAAAGAAGCCCAAGCACTTTCCCACTACACCAACTGATCATATTAGAAGAATGATTATTAAAGTTAAATATTCCTTCCGGAAAATAATTATAATTCCGGAAACATTATTAACATAAGCCATTCAGAAATATTGAAAAATAAAAGCCCAGGGCTTTAATTAGAGCATTTACTGTTTTATTTATTTTTTAGTCAGACTATTAAAGAAAAAGATTATTTTTCTCAAAAATGCAGCCATCTAACAATTCCTTCTTAATGGTTATTTTATCTTTATTTTGTGTTTTGGTTTGTTTATTACAACCGGGATTAGCTGAAAATGGAGGAGATAATTGTGCACAAGTAAAGAAAATTTAAAGAAAAATATTTTAAAATTTTTAAAGTTGGCTGGGGGAGATGAAGAACGTTTACTACTTTGTCAACTTTATGAATCTTCTACTCTATTGTCTCAATTAGGAAATTTTGTTACTGAAGGAATTGAAAGATTAGCTGCTACACATGGTTATTAAAAAATTATTTAAGGTCTAAAAATTTTTTTACTGTTAAAGGACTCGCAGAAAAAGATGCCGGACGGGAAAAGAGAAAGCATGAGGTAAAAGAAATTTTTAAAAAATTCTCAAAAAATTATTTTCAGTATTTACGTTTTGGAAAGAGAAAACACGAATTTGTCAGATTTGGAAGGAAATAAAAAAGAGAAAAAGAGAAGATAAAGAAGATTTAAAAAAAGATTTAAATATTATTAAAATATTTTCGAATTTAAAAAATAAATGCTCTCGCTTCGCTCATTTCCCCCTTTATCTATTTAAAAATATAAAATTAAAATCACAGCAACTTTAAAAAATAAATTTGGGGGTATTAAATTAATTTTAGGGTAAAACAAAAAAGGTTTCGAGTGGAGGGGCTCGAACCTCGGACTATTAACATTATAGAGTCAAGCATTCTACCACTACACCAAACAACTGATAATCAAAAAAGTTTGTTAAATTAAATATTCCTTCCGGAAAATAATTATAATTTTCCGGAAACATTTTTAAAATTGCTGTACTACGCTTATATTAATTAATAAATGTAAAGAAAAAAGATCTCTCGAGAAAAATAAATGAAAGGAGTGTATATTTATTAAATTAATTTTTAAACTAAAAGAAATATTTTTTGCTCAAATTTGTGGAGGAGTATAACGATACTTTCTTCGTTGGGGACTCAAAATTTTGTTTGTCAAAATATCCAAAGCAAAGAGGGCTAACTAGAAAATTTTTTGAAGTTAAAAAAATATTTCTTTTAATTTTTTGGCTTACTACTCCAGCAAAAAGGCAAACAATTATACCGGCACATGCCTAATATAATTGTTTAAAAAGTATTTAAAAATATAAACCCACCCCAAGCCAACCAAAGTATTCTCCGGTCTAAAAATTTAAAAAAATTAGAAAAAAATTTTTATTCTTAATTTAAATAACAGGGATGTCTCGGGTTGAGAAAAATCAGTGTTTGGAAAATTTCTCGGATAGTCAGGTAGGGTTTCAGAACGGGTTATCAAAATTTTCTTAGGGCTTGGTTTCGGGTCAAAAAAAGCCCGGAGTTCGGATTTCGTGTATCCCCTGACATCCCTTATTTTTATTTACATCAATTATTGTCCGTTGGGCGACAGTTCCTCCAATGCCGCAAACCAACATCCTGAGGAAAAATAAAGATATAAAAATTATTAAAAATTAAAAAAAAACCAGCAAATCATCCCAGCACCAGCAAACACAATTTCCTACAAAATTAAAAATTTTAGTTTAAAAATAAAAAAAAATTAAAAACTAACCGACAAAGAACAATTAGTTAAATGGAGTTCTTCGCCTTCCCGCACACTTCGTTGCATTATGGCATACATTATGATCTTTAATAAAAAAAATTAAAGAAATTTTCTTACACTATCATTTTTAAAAATTAAAAACTTAATTTACCGAAACAACACAATAAAGAAGAGTTAAAGCAGAAATAATATAAATTAGAACAATTTCATAATTTATCTGAAAAAGGGAAATTCAAAAAAGAATTTCAATAAATTTAAAAAAATTTACAGAAATATAAGCAGTAACATAAGAAGGATCAAGCAGCACCAACACCACAATTGTCAACAAAATTATAACAATTTTTAAAGCACTTCCAGCCACAAATTGTATAGGTGCTGATGTTGTTGCCATATTTGTTTTTCTAAAAAATTAAAAAAAATTTTATATCAATATTATAATAAATTTATACATTGGCTGTCCTTAAAGAAAACAAAAAAAATTTTCCAAAGCGCTGGTTGTGCACACTCTCGAGAATCTTGACTCTTAAAACAAAAATATATTAAAAAAGAAATCGTTTCCACATTTTTACCTTTTATTTTTCCTTGTGATAGAAAAGCAAATATACAAAAGCAATCCATAGAGCAAAAGAGGGGGGAAGGAAATACAAACATTGACCGCGTTTAAAAAGAAAAAGGTCCGACATTTTTGCGCTTATCGGGCCAAATAAATTAAATGATGACTCAACTTTGAGGGACTTCGGGCAGGGGAGAAAAGGGGTTATTCTAAAGCTTAAAATTTTTGTTTCGCGAAAAAATTTGTCTGTTGTTTTTGAGAAACAATGCACTAACCAAAGCATTGTATAAATAATTAAAAGAATTAATCGAAAATTTTCTGGATTATTAAATTTATTAAACAAAAATAAAAGTAAAATCAAAAAAGATTTTTAAAACAAAATATTCAAAAAAATATTTTGGAGTATGCTAGCCATAGGAATCAGGAATGTCACACGGGCTGAGAAAAAAAGTCGTGTCGGTTTTAGCATCGAGAAAGAGTCGGGTCCGCTAGAGGGATTAAGAGAGGAAAAAAGTCAGCTTTCGGGACGGATCGAAAAAAATCCAGATTTCGAGTAACCCGTGACATCCCTTATAGGAATGCCACCAAATAGTTAAATTGAAAAAGGAAATTTGTCTCAAAAAATTTTTGAAGGAAACTACCACCCAATGTCGAAAAAAGCAACTAAAAAACAAATGATTTGGTAGCATTAATTGGTCAAAACAAAAAAAAAACTAAAAAAATATACTTTTCTGTAAAGATCAGTCTCTCAATCACAAAAAAATCAACGATAGATCATCTTCATCTCAAATCAAAAAATTTTTACATAGCAACTTGTTGCGGAGCTAAACGTTCAATCAACGCAATAAATTTAAGTATTGAGGAAGAAACAAATGCAGGACATGAAGGATTGTTGGCCCAAGAAGTAAAAATAAATTTCAATTGATAAAACATTTCTCTGTGAAAAAAATTAAAATTTTCTTTAAAATTCGAGAAAAACAAAAAAAACCTCGTATACGGATTTCGTCGAGACATATATCGCATAGTCAAAAAGCGATAATAAACAAATGGCCCAATTAAACTTGATTTGCCCCTAAATTAAAAATATTTATTTAAAAAATTCCTTGTGGTGTAGTGGAGTTGTTTAGATTATTTGAGGGGAAGGAGGGGGTCTAAGGTTCGAACCCTTTCAAGGAAAATAATTTTTAAATTTATAAAAACAATTTTTCAAAAACAAAGAGAACCAAAAAAGTAGTTTTAAGTTAAACTCCCTCACAAATAAACCCAAAAATTCTTTTAATGTTGTTAGATTAATACTTGAGGCAGGGGTCTAAGCTTCAAACCAAAACCCCCAAAAAAATTTTTTAATTAAAAAAACCGAACATAAAAATCATCAAAATAATAATTGGCAAAAGAAATATTTCAGCACAAGCAGCAGTACTTAACATATTTGGAGATGCCTGTTGCTTAAATTGAACCAGCCGAGAAATTATAAAAGAATTATGAGCAACTCCAGTTTCGGTGGAAAATTTGTTTAGAGTTGTAATTAAATTGAAAATGGCATAAATTGAAACTGGGAGAAGAGCCACTGAAAAATAATAAAAGAAAATTTTTCCAGAAAAAATTTTAAATCATTACAGGTAATTGGAGATGATATAACAAAGATCATGCAATAAAGTAGATAATGCGCAGAATCCCTAAAAATAAAAAATAGAGTAAAACGGCTGATCCGACCAAAGAAAAAAGCAAAGGATTGGATGGGATTTGATCCTACAAGCCCTCAGAGGCAAGGATGCTAACCACTCAACCACCGAACTATTGACTCATAATTTTAAGTTTTGAATTATAACCCCAAATGGGAGGAAACAAAACAGGTATAATTAAGATTAAGAAGTTTTTTAAAATTAAAATTTTGTCCTTCAACCGAACGCGGAAAAGAAGTCGATCATTTAAAGATAATATTCCCTCCTTATTAAATTAAAAAATAAAAAATTTAAAAACCAACTCAAGCATAAGCTCATAAAGAAACATTTGACTAAAAAATGGCCAATTTACAGCTCTTAAGCGTTGATGAAGACGAAAAGCATTCGTTGCCGCAACTTAAATTTTGAAGAGAAAAATAAGCAACAAAAAATAAAACCTGCTGCAAAAGCTTTGGTATATGCTAAAGCTTGGAATTTTGAATCAGTAATTGGAAGTATATAACAAATCACAAAATATAATGTTGCCAAACGTAAGGCAAAAGCTAAAACATCATTTGGGTATTCTTTGACAAACTCCTTAAAAATAAAAGAAAATAAAATAAGATTTGTATCAAGGGTGTCAAGGTTTATCAAAACTCGATCCGATAAATTTTCTGACCCCATATCCGAAATCAACACGTTTCCCTTTCAATTCACCTAACTGACCCAACATAAGACCCAGATCTTTGTGTCCCGCACCCGATCCTAAACTTTGGATCACTAACTCGAAACCGGACTTTTTCACAACCCAAGGCATCCCTAATTTTTATTTTATTAAATAAAAAAACCATTGGCGTTTTTCGTTGAACATTAGAATTATTTGGTTGTTGGCCTGCATTGTTTGGTTGTGAAGATTCTTCTCTGATTTCAACCATTTTTGATATATTATGTAAAGGAATGTAGAAATAAATGAGATTAACTAAAAAATTAAAATTTTAGTTCCAGTTTTGACAATTCAGTCAAAAAATAAAAAATAGCTGAATTGTAACTCAATTGAATGGAAACAATGGAAAAATAATTAAAGGACAAACAATCTTAATTTAATCATCAATTTAGCCAAAAGAATCTTTTAAATTATTAAAAAACAAATAAAACAATTCTATTGAGATTGAGCGAGATACTTTGTCTAAGAGAATGTCTTGAGAGAAAAGGGTGTCCAATTTTGAACACAACACAAAATCAATTTAAAAATATTAAAGGCATTTTTAACATAAACGAGAACGTCAAAACATAAGGCAATATTTAATTTTAACAGTTAAAGACACCCTGAGATTAAATAATATAAATATCAACTAAGACGACAAAAAAAGTCATAGAAGGCGCCAAGATCATTCAATTGTTTCTACAAAATATTCCTTCTTTCACTCTTCTTTAATAGTTACACCACATGTTCCTACGGCGGATGTCGGCCTTCTCATCTTCAGTCAAGTCATCCTAAAAAATAAGTAAAATTTTATTTAAAAATATAAAAAAAACCTCAAGTCCAAAGAGTTCTCTAAGCTCTTCCGGTGTCTTATTGCCAATAACATTAGCCATAGCCTGGCAACCAGAATAGTACTAAAAAATCTTTAATTTATTTGTACAATTTAAAACATTACCAAAGATTTGATGTCCAGATAGTTAGCGGCCTTAATCAAGTTAGCGATCTCCTCAACGCCGACCTAAGAAATTGTGAAAAAGTTACTAAATTATTTCTTATATTAAAAACCTTAAAGAAATCCGTTTCATACTCGGAAAAAGTAAGTGGTTTACGCTGACGAGTAGCCGGATCATCTTCAATTTTAGGATCCTCCTTACCTAAAAAATAAACGTTTTTGAAAAATATATATAAATTTACCAATATGCTCTCCCATCCACTCAACGACTTTAGAGAAGATATTGGTCTCGACGTTAACCTTGAATTCGAATTCTTCCATATCCTTAGGCGACATGTCCAAATCCTGAGAAGTATTGAAAGTTAAAATTTTAAAACAATTCAGCGGATTTGTCTCATACCAGTTCTTACGGACATATTTATGCAGACTTATTCATATATACGGAATGGCCAGACTTCCTAATTTTCACCCTAATGGCACTCAAGCAAATTAAGTGAGAATAAGGAAGGAAAGAAGTCCAATCATTCTGTGCATATAAATGAGACCGCATAAACATATCCACAAAAACTGGATATGTTTACTATTCGCAAGAAAACCAAAATCTAATACCTTCCACATGTTCTTGAAGACGCTGCTCTGAAGAAGATGAGACAAACGAACATTGATCACCCCTCCATCGCTTGTCTTGCATTTAATCTAATAAAAGAAAAATAATTTATATTTTTATCACAAACAGAAAAACCTCCATTTGCATCTGTTCGTCAGTAAACGGAGCAGATTGTTTTTCAACTGATCCTTCACCATTAACCTCGGAGTCGGATGCATCATGTTGTTCACCGTCAGACATTTTTAAATTTTATTTTTCTTTAAATTTATTTTTGAATATCTGCAAAGAAAAAAATATGGTAAAATTGCAGATATAGGAACGGGGAACGAGGTTCAATTCAAACAAGAACTGGAAAATAAAACAGTAAGAAAAAATGGACTGGACATTTTCTATTTACCTTTTTATACTAGTCAGTTTCTATTCGCCTAAACACAAAACGTCACTAAGTGAAAAATATGCCACTTTGTAGAAGAGAAATATTATTATGTATTTTTCATAATATCAACTTTTCAAAATGTCAACTGCTTACTCGCACGCGACAGACCTAACAAATTTTCAATTTTTCTCAAAAATTTTTTAGAATTTAGACGCTTATTGCTACTATTTTATTAAAAAATGAAGTTGATTGAATCAAGCGACACTGTCAAGTTTCCAGAAGGCGTAAAGTTTTCTGTGAAGAACAGACTTGTCAAGGTGACTGGACCTCGTGGAACGCTTACACGCGATTTTCGTCATCTCAATATTGAAATAACACAAGAAGGAGCTAATATACTTCGTGTTCGTAAATGGTTTGGAATTCGAAAGGAATTGGCTGCTATCCGAACAGTTTGTTCGCATATTGTGAATATGATTAAGGTTTGTTTTTTTTAATCAGTGAACAGGCAAATTGTTATTATTTTAAGGGAGTGACTAAAGGCTTCCGTTACAAAATGCGTTCAGTCTATGCTCACTTTCCTATCAACATTACTCTGCAGGAGAAAGGAGAAGTTATCGAGGTTTGGGTTTTTTCTTGTCTGATTCTCGGTTAGTTGTCTGGACTAGGGAAGGGGGGGGGTCCTGGACCCTATGAGCCTATAGGCCGGCTCGTAGTTGTTCCCACGTTCATCGTCCTTAACAGACAAGTAGCTAGTTACAAGTTGACCAGTTAACATAGGACCTTATTTGAAGACATGAGATGAGTTTCGAGTTTCGTGGTTGATCATTCACTTACCCTCCCTCCTAAAACCGATGACGTGTACTAAAGAACGATTTCCTAAACAAAACATTTTTCCTCAGATTCGAAACTTCCTTGGCGAAAAGTTTGTTCGTCGTGTCAAACTTCCAGAAGGTGTTTCTGCTGCAATTTCGACAAAATTGAAAGACGAGCTAATTATTGATGGAAATGATGTTCAGAAGGTTTCTCAAGCTGGTACGCCTCGTTATTCTCTTAAATTCATTAAAAATTTATTTTTAGCCGCGCGTATTCAACAATCAACAACTGTCAAAAACAAAGACATTCGTAAATTTTTGGATGGAATTTATGTGAGCGAGAAGGTTACAGTTGCGGATGATTAGTTGATTGATTGAGATTAAATATGGTTATTTAAATGTTAAAGTTTTTTTGTTAAATTGAAAAGGAAAAATAAAAAAGTTTGTTGGAATTTTTATAGTTTATTTGTACATAAAGTAAAAGAATTGGGCGAAAAGTTTAGAGGGCGCAGGGATTTAACTTACAACTTCCCCTTGGTTCCTGGGACCCCCCCCCTGGCAGGGGTCGAACTTGAGATGTTAGTGGTGTGTATGTATAAGAGAATAATAAAAGAACAATAAAGAAAATAAATATATAAGTCAACTTTAGACCATGTTTGCATAAATATTAAGAAAAATACTCTAAATTTTATCACAAAAATATAAAAATGAAGAAAAAAATTTCTTTCTTTGAAACAAATATATAAAATGACTAAATAACTAAAAAAACAAATTACACAATCTTAAAATATATATAATATATCTAAATTACAATTAGAATACTGGAAAGTTTTTTTTATGTAGAAAAGGGATAGACCGAATTTTATCTAGAAAAATCGAAAATTTTCTAAACAAAACCCAAAAGGTCAAAAATCCCTGGAAGAAGTCAACTCCGAGTATTTGGATACCTTTAGGATCTGTTTACCACAAGAGTGTTGATCTTCCATAAACTGACCCCAAATTAACACAAAAATCAGAAAAATAAAATTCGGTCAGATCCCTCAAGTTCTCTACTAACCCCAACGTCTTTCTCTCACCCATATACTTAAAATAATCTTACAAAATAATATAATTTTTAGTAAATCTTTGATATATTTTCTTAGAATTTAAAAATTAAAAAATGGAAAATTTTGCCTAATTAATATTTTCCTTAAAAATATTTTTCTTAATACTTTAGTCTCTTACCACTCCCCCCAAAATTACCTATTTAAAAATATATTTAATTAGTAAAACCCGAAAAATCTTCAAAATTATTATTTTGACCCATTTGTTCATTTTCATAAAATTGTTGAACTGCACTCTCCTTTAAAAAATTAAATTTAAATTTTAAAAAAATAAAAAAAAAATACCCATGTATTTAATATATCTGTTATTGTTCGCGAATTTAATTTTCCAAATTGTTCATGAATATAATTTTGAAGGTCATCAAAATAGAAAGAATCTTTAAAAGAAAAAAAATATTTTTAATAAAATTTAAAATATGATCCAGTAATGCCAAAATGACTTAAGCCGAACCCCCAAAAGGCCGTCAAAATGCCAAACAATGGCAAAAGAAGCCCAGCAAACTGCCAATGTTGTTCTAATAATGAAAAAAAAAATTTGCCAAAAAATTTGACACGTTATTTGGCACGCCTTGTCCACAGTTTGGCATTTCGTCAACTTTTAGAGGACTTTGGCATTACGGCGCGCTATTTAAAATAAATTATAAAAAAATATACCCAAATCAAGAATTTCTCTTTTTACTGAAACTGCTCCAACAGGATAACCACGAGGAATAATAATACGAAGTGGTGGAACTTGCTGGCTTCCTTTAAAAAAGTTTTAAAAATTAAGGCGGATATAGGGAAATTCCTCTTCATCCTCCTAAAACCTTAATCTCATATCCTATTAATCAATTCTATTAATCCAACGCTCTCTTAACCACTACAAATCCTCTCATATCCACTAAATCCCCTGAAACCCTAATAACCCCCAGATTCCACCGATATTCCACTTAATCCCTTCAAATACTTTAAATACTTACTCAAAATACATTTTATCACAAAAGAATGCATATCTGAAGCAATTTCAACAATTGAATCAAATTGAAAGCGTTGCTCCAACTCTGCAATTTCAGAACGTATTGCATCTGGGAGTTGAGAAATATTGACGGTAATTCCACTTGGACGGCCTAGACAGAATTTTTTCTTGAAAAAGATTTCTAAAAAAATAAAAACCTCCAACATTTCCACTCCCCAACATATTATCCAAAGGACGACCAGAATTAGAACTTGAAGGCGTTTGTTGTTCAGTAGGCACAGGTAAAAGATCATCCATAGAAGAATATAAATCATCAATAGCAGTATCACCTGTGAGAAAAATTTTTTTAATCATGGAAGATTGTCTCAATATTCTTTTTCTTGCCCCCTTCCCATTTTCTTTTTCTCAATATGCGGCAGGGATCTCACGCGTTATACGAAGCCCGGACTTTTTTCGACCCTTAACTAGATCCGAAAAAATTTAAAACATAACCCGACTTCTTCTCAACCCGTGACATGCATGTATGCAGGGTAAACTAAACGACGCCTTTTTCATTAAACATCATTCCTTTCTATTACGCCTAGGGCCTATGGCATGGATCGTTTGATTAAAAATCAAAAAAACCTGTAGAAGTCGGCCATTGTTGTTGTTGCATTTGTTGAGTCATTATAGGTTGATTTGATACAGACATTGTATTTGTATTATCTATAACATTACTTCCATATGTTTGACGTTGTTGTTGGGGATATTGTTGTTGTTGTTGTGAAGTATATGTTGAATATTGTGGAGGTTGATATTTTTGGTCAATCATCATACCAGAAGAGGAATACGGAGGTTGTGAATGAGAGGAACTAATTGGAGCTACTCCTCCTCCATGTTGAGAAGAGGGAGGAGCACTGCCAAAAAAGGATGAGGACGTATTTACACCTAAAAAATTCAAAACTAGACACTTCGTCCCAAAAGGTCATTTAGGACCGGAAACGGGAGTTTGGATTTTGCATTCATGCCTGACCCGATCCGACAGGATTTTTCTGGATTACTCCGGTCCGGAAAAATCCGAAGATTGCAAAAATACAGTATTTAGGACCCGGCCTCCGGAAAAATCCAGCCAGATCCGGTCAAGTGGCAAGCACTAATCCCACCCATTTATTATTTAAATCCCAAACCTCCAGGCATATAAGACGAAGCTTGTGTTGGCTGTACCATTTTTTGCATTGTAGTAGCTCCCGAAGAATAACCACCTGCAACACCAACACCACCCCCACGCATCATTCCTGAAGAACCAACCATTGCTGCATGCTGGGGTGTATTTTGTAAAGTACTCCATTCACTCCAATTTGCAGCAGCTGCTGTAGGATGCATTTGATTACTACCAGCCATTTGTCCATAAGGATCTATTGCTGATGAGTGTTGCTGTTGTTGTAATTGTTGTGCTGTTGCAGCATAACTTGGATGTGAAGTAAACATCATTTTACGTATAACAATTTCAATATCATTTAATTCATTCATTCCCATAAAACTGAAAAAAATTTCAAAAATTATATAAAGTAAAAGAAAGGTAAAGTTTAGCCCCAGGCAATCCTCGATACTCCGACTTCCTAAGCCGATAATGACCTGTAACGTGGATGAACAATAATTTCAAACCAACCCCCTCCTAATAGAAAAAATTTTTACAAACCGTTCAAACCGCAAAACAGAAAGCATTGTATTTATTCTACTAACCATAGCTCCATCACTTTGATATTTAATTAAGTTATTTTGTAAAAATCCAACAAATTGTTGAAGTTGACAAACTTTTTCAAAATATGGACGTTCATTTGGACCCATAAGTTTTAATTTTTGAATAATTTCTTGTGGGAAATTTGGTGGATATTCTGGTGGCATCATTTGTACTGGTTGTTGTACTCCTGAAATAATTAAGAAATGATTTTAACGTCCAAATGTCTCATAAAAGGGTGAGAGAGATAGAGAGAGAACCGGGCAAAAAAGGCAGTCAATCTCTACAGTTTATAACACACCGAACAAAAATTTGGCCAGGGTTCTCTCTCATTCCTATTTAAACAGAACTCAGGAGTTCCTGGCGGAATTCAGAAGAGGAATCCCAGGAAGCCAGAACCTAGGGAAGAAACCCCAAAAGTAAGGGAAGGATTACAACTCTTGGGGAGTTCAACACCAACTATGTAGCTCCTGTAAAAAAAGAGGACTATTTTATACCTCCATATTGTTGTTGTTGTGGTAACATCATATTATTTTGAGGAATCATTCCTCCTCCAGGCATCATTTGCTGTTGACTCATAAAGGTTTGTTGAGTAATTCCAAATTGTTGTTGCTGTTGTAATGGGATAGTATTATAATTTTGTGGTTGTTTTTGGGGTTGTTGTTGTGCTGTCCAATATCTTTGTTGTTGTAATAATAATTGAGAATGTTGTTGTTGCATTTGGGAATCTGACATCATTTTATTATTATTTATTGAACGTCCTGAAGAAACTTGTTGCTGCATTGCTAAAGGAACAGCTGTAGAAGAACCACTCAAAGGTTGTTGATGAGGCATTGGTTGACCCATCATTGCTACAATTTTATAAAAATTAAAAAATTTAATTTGGGTTAGTCCTCGTCAAGGAGAACAGTTTCGGGGAACGGGGATGTCCGGGAACGAGGATCTACAGGGAAAAACAGGAACTGTCGGCCATCGGGACCAACCTATAATTTTACAAAAAATGTTAACCTAGGGTTGGTTCCCGACCCGTCGGGGAGAACTTTACAGAGAAAGGAGATGTCGGGGACCAACACCCTATTTAAAAAATATTTACCTTGTTGCTGATATTGTTGTGGAGTAAATGTTGTCCCTGGTTGGTGTTGCTGAATTCTTCCATAATCCATTACTCCCATTGAAGAATTTGAATTTTGCATTAACGGATCTGGAGCAACACCATCAATTTGATCAGAAGGAGGAAATTGTTGTTGCATCATTATTGGTGGAGGTTGCCCCATTTGGAATGAAGTTTGTTGGTCTACTGATGTATTAGAAGGTTGTTGTTGCAAAGGAAAACGGCCTTGAGGTTGTTGTTGATGGGTAGGCTGTGGATCTGGCGGAATCTAAAAAAATTTTTTCAAAAAAATATTTACAGATTTTTCAAAAAATTTTTTCTCATAGTCAGATTTGAAAGAAAAAATTTTCAACTAAAAAAACCTGTGCCTTTGTTGTTGGTGTTACACTTCCTCCCAATCCCCCTCCACCATTTCCAAGTTGAGTTAATAAAGAATTTGGCGATTTAACAATTCCTCCTTGTTGCTGTTGTGCTTGAAACCCTGGCGGCATAGCTGTGCTTTTTGAATTGCAATTTATGGCGTTTATAACCTAGAAATGATAAAAAAATAACCTCCCGGAAAATACAAAAAAAGTAAAAACCTTAGCAATAGTTCTCATATATTCATCTTTACTTGAACATTTTTGAAAAACATATTCTTCTACTTGACGGGCATCGCCTGGGACCTAAAGTTAAAAAAATAATTTTAATTTATTTTAAAAATAAACCGGAAGATTAGGCGCATTTTGACGGTTTCTTGCCAACTCTGGCTCACTAAAAAATTTTAATCGACTTATTAGAGCAGGTAAACTTACAGCCTAATAATAACATGATCTCTAAATAATTGAGAAGGCCAATCACCTGAAAAAGTTTTTTAAAGAATAAAAATTAAATAGGGTTGAAACCAGAACCCGACCTTCTTACTTTGCCCCATCAAATTCTGACCCAACTTTCTGTCCCAAAGAGTAGAGGCTTAACCCTAATTGGGTCTAATCCTAATCCAACCCCCATTAAAATAAAACATCTTACTTCTACTAGTCTCATCGCCATCAGCAGTTGGAGCATCATTTGTTTCATTAGAAGGTGTAGTAGCTGCCATTCTCTTTTACTAATATTATTTAAAAAAAATTTTTTTTTTGCTGATCTATTTAAAAAATAAAGAGTTTAAAATATAAAAAAGATAATTAAAATGAATTAATTCAACATAAAAATAAAAGAATTAAATTGAAAAGGATTTTCTAAAAAATTTTATAAAAACAAAAAATAAAATAATAAAAATGGTTTAGTTTAGGACATGAGTCCTATGAGCATATACTCATTACATAAGAGTATATACTTCACAAAAAGAGCAGAGTAAAAGCTACCAAAGGGACGCTTATACCATTTTTCTCTCAAATTCACCGACTTTCGGGGACGGGGAACAAACATGACTAATGTCCTAAACTAGAGCCAAAAAATAAGTTTGCGGATACCTACAAGTCCAAGAAAAAATAAATATAAAATGACCGGAAACATCGTTCAATTTTTATCTATCCAAAGTGCATCTCATTTATAGCCTAAAAATGATAAAAAAAAACCCCTATACCTCAACTGATTCCCAGCCCTATAACTTATAAACAAAAAAATTTTTTAATTTGTAGGAAATTTTTTTAATTTTTAAAACACTTCTTGAGGTTCTTGACACCAATGAATAGAGAATGGTGTACTTTAATGATACCACTCTAATTTAAGTTCCAAATTTATTTTTTTAAAGATGTATATGAGATAAGAATTCACTCTTATATCACCTGAGGAAAAATGATTTGCGGAAAAATGAAAGTAATTTTGGAAGCAACAAAGAGGAGGTATCATTTCTCTATCCGTTGGTATTAACAATAAGCACTAAAAATTGTCCAACACCTTGCTGAGTTATAGGGCTGGGATTAACTTGAACCGCTCCGAAAAACGATAAAAAATAAAATAAAAACCCTTGCAATAGTTCTCATATATTCATCTTTACTTGGACAATTTTGAAAAACATATTCTTCTATTTGTCGTGCATCGTCTGGGAGCTAAATTTAAAAAAAAATAATAATTTTTAAGATCATTTAATAAACCTGAATATTGAAAGCTTTTGTCAGCTCTGCCTCACTAAAAAAATTTTTTAATCGATCAACTATAAAAGGAAAACTTACAGTCTAAAAATAACATGATCTCTAAACAATTGTGAAGGCCAATCAACTAAAAAATTTTTTAAGGAATCAAATAAACATTAACTAGGGCTGAACCCCTACATTCGTAGCCCTCGACAAACCAAGGTCCGAACTTTTCGACACCTAAGATGTCGGTGCCTAACCCTAATTGGATCCAATCCCAGTCCAACCCCCCATTAAAATTAAAAAAAATTTTTTACTTCTACTAGTCTCATCGCCATCAGCAGTTGGAGCATCATTTGTTTCATTAGAAGGTGTAGTAGCTGCCATTCTCTTTTACTAATATTATTTAAAAAAAATTTTTTTAGTTGTTGATCTATTTAGAAAAATAAAGTTTAATTAAACGTGAAAATGAATAAAAAATAAAAGATAATTAAAATGAGAATTCAACAAAAATAAAGAATGAAATTTAAAAAAAATTTCAAAAATTTTATAAAACAAAAAAAAAATAAAATGAAAAAAGGGTTCATTTTAGATGGTCGATCATGGAACTTATGTGATAAACTAGAGCCAAAAAATAAATTTTTTAGATACCTACAAGTCCATGAAAAAATAATATAAAATAGTAAAATGACCGGAAACATCATTAAATTTTTATCTATACAAAGTCTCATCTTGTCTTCTTTTTTGCACGATAGTTCCAGGTTTATTCTGTGCATCTGGATGATTTGCTAATTCAATTGGACAACTTGATATTGGACTTTCTAATAAACATTGCTTCAAATCATAAAATAAATCTTTGTCTTCAGGTGTTAAAAATGTTATTGCTTTGCCTTTTTTGCCAGCACGTCCTTTAAAAAAAATTAATTTTTATAATGTTTGGTCTATAGTTTAAAATTATTGTAGACATGAAGATAAAGACCAACTGGGAGGATCGTATGAGATATCTCAGAAAAATAACATACTTTTCTACTACAACAGATCTTTCTCGATTAGTTATCTAACGTTTACTGCAAAAAGGCAGATAAATGGATCAGTACAAGAAATAACCACAATAAAAGATAGAAAATTGAACTCTTTACCCAAGCTATTTAAATTAAAAAATTTTAATTTAAAAAACCACTAAAAAACATCACTTAGGCTAACACCCAGACCCAAAGGTTATCCATCTAAAGGGAAGAAGGATACCTCAACTTTTTGCTTAATATTATAACAAACCAACTAATTCACAGATTTTAAAAATTAATAAGATTTTTTAGGCTATTCCCTAATAAAATATTTTTTAACAAACCTGTTCTTCCAATTCTATGTGTATAATCTTCAATGGATTTAGTCATATCATAATTTATAACCAACGAAACATCTTTAACATCAATTCCTCTTCCAGCAACATCTGTAGCTACCAAAATATCTTTTGCTCCAGTTTTTAAAGCATCCAAAGCATATTCTCTAGCTTCTTGTCCTTTCCCACCGTGTAGAATGCACGGATTAAAACCAATTTTTTGTAAACCTTTTCCTAGCAAGTCAGCACCTCTTTTTTGATTAACAAAGATGATAATTGGTGGAATATACAAATTTGGTTCAAAAAGTAGTTCAACAATTTTTTTACGTTTCATTTCTTCAGACATCATTATTACAATTTGTTCAACACGTTCTGTTGGACGACCTGCAGAACCGATATATACAATTGCTGGACGACGTAAATATTGACGGGCAACACGTTCAACTGCTGATGACATTGTTGCCGTAAACATAACTGTCTTTAAAATTAGAAAAAAAAATTTGTTGACATATGTAAAGGTTAAAAAGGGAGACGAAAGTAAATGTTTAAAATATGTACTAGAAAAAATATCCTTAAAAGAGTATAAGGGATTAAATTATTTTATTTATTTAATATGGCTAATGTAAGAAAACATCATTAAACTAATGGATAGAGAAATTCCAGTAAACAAAAATATCAATAAAATTTTTTCTTTGGTTTGAGAAAATTTAGAAAAAAGAGGTTAGGAAAGGTCGGGAATTGGGGAGAAATCGAACCTACTGGCAATCAATGCTATGCTCTTGCTCTACAGGGATAGCCAGTCTACAGGGATAGCCAGCCTGGTGCTCTAGTAAATTTGGTTGGGGTGATAAGTTACTTTCTACAAAGGACCCTAGAAATCTCTTGACAGACATAAAAAGTAGTTGGGTATTTTTTAAGTTCTTTAATCCTACTAAACCAAAAAAAGTTTAAAAAAACCTGTCTATATTTCTTTTTTGAAGTATAATTTTCCAGCAATTTATTTTCATCTTCAGCTTCTTCCGTGTCAGGTTTCAAATTTGTTACAGGAATAAATTCCAAAATTCGAGTAACATCAGGTTCAAATCCCATATCAAGCATTTTATCTGCCTCGTCCATAATTACATAAGAGCATAAATTTAATGACATATACCTGTTTTCAAGAACGTCAACAAGTCGACCAGGTGTTGCAATAACAATCTGAAAAATTGTTTTTTAATTAAAAAAATTTTTGAAATTTCGAAAAAGTTTTTTTGGGGGTTTTATATTTTTTGGGAATATTTTCTAAGAATTTTGAGGCGAAATTTCTCCATATTTTTAATTAGAAAAATTATTTTTTGGGATATTTTAATATTGAAAAATTGTCTTTTCCATATAGTGGAATTAAATAGCGCGGTAAAATTATATAAAATTCTATAAAAATTTTTAGAGGAAAGACAATTTAAATCAATTTAAATATATTATTGAATTATTTTATCGATCCAAAAATAAATTTTTGCGGGGAAAAATCATGCCTCAAAAATCATTAAAAAATTTTAATCGAAAATGAAAAAACGCTCGTCTCAAATTTCCAAAAAAAAAATCCAAAAAATATTTAAAAAATACAAAAACCCCCCACAAAAAATTTTTTTCTTGGAATTATAAAATCCCAAAAATCCTCAAAAATTAAAAAAAATTTCCTTACATCAACACCCATTCTCATCCGAATTCCTTGATCTTCTCGAGATGCTCCACCAATAACTGAGACTGTTCTAATACCCAAACGGTCACCAAATTTATGTGTTTCAATTTCAATTTGTTGTGCCAATTCTCTTGTTGGAGCAAGAATAATTGCATATGGCCCTTGTTCATATTCAGTACCTTCATCTAATGAAATAATTGGTGCTGCTTGTTTTTTTGGAACTGTTGTTATCCAACACAATAAAGGAATTAAAAATGCTGCAGTTTTTCCTGAACCTGTTTCTGCAACACCTAAAAATTAAAAAATGGTGATTTTTATATTTAAAAATAGGGCATAGAAGCAACTCTGACCGAAAAAAACAAACGTCATTTGAACAAAGTCTGACTAGTGAGTAGAGTGCGGCACGTGACAGATTCCGTAAGGGGATGATTCGGGATCCGATCAGTTACCGGATGCCTCCCCCCCCCCCCCGCAGGCAGGATCGCTTCAATGATTTAAATATAAAAATCCCGAATTTACCTATGATATCACGATTTTGTAAACCAATAGGTATTGCTTGTCGTTGAATTGGTGTTGGCTCCTTTAAAAAAAATTAATAATAAAATGTCAAATTGATTTATAGCTAAAAATAGAAGTAAAAAATTTTTTAATGGGGGAATCCACGTATTTTTATGGGGAAAGGCTAGGGAAAAATTATATTTTTTCTCGGTTAAAATAGGGAAAAAATTTTTCCTTATTTAAAAATAGGCAAAATAGAGTCAATATCATGGATGCTTTTCGCCTATCATTTTTTAAATTTACTTTCGCTTTTTAAAATCTTTTTCAGCACTCCATGGCCTACATGTAAATGACGTAAAGTTCAAAAAATCAAAAATATTTTTAAAAAAAAGCATGCGTAATATAATTCTTTCTTTTTATTAAGACGTTCCGGTCAGTACCAGTTACCAAATAAATTAAAAAAAAAGGAAAGAAAAAAAAGAAAAATTTAAAAGGAAAAAATATTTGTGTGACAAACAACCATACTAAACCAACTAATAAATAAAAATAAAAAAAAGAGAGAGAACAAGGAATGTTAAAACTGAAAAAAATTTTTTTTAAAGAGAAGGACGAACACTTACAGGCAGAATTTTTTGTTAAAAAATAAAATTTAGAGAAAAATAAAAGAAAATAAGTAATAGTTGTGTGTGTAAAAATTGAGAGACCAACATTAATTTATTAAAAATAGTAAAAGAAAAGAAAAGAAAAAAAAGAGAAAATAATATATAAGAATTGACAATTACCGGTTGGTGCTTTTATTTGTTTTACTTAATAAATAGTTAAATGTTAGGAAGACAAAAACATTTTTTATCAAGTAAAAGTTGTTGAAAAATTATGTCAAAAATTACTTAACAAAAAACCTTTAAAAATAAAAAAAATATTTGAGCCTTAAAATACGAGGGATTTTCAAATTTGACAGAGTGGGAATAGAAAAAATTTTTGAAAAAAAATTCAAAAAAGTTTTTGTGGAAAAAATTGCGGATTTTTAAAAAATATGAAAAATTGTGGTATAAACTTTTTAAATTTGACAGAATGAAACCAGAAAAAAAAAAACAGAAAATTCCCCAAAAAATTTCTCCTAAAAATATTTTCTTTTCCAATCAGTACATTACCCTCCTATTCCCCTTATTTTGAAATACTATTAAATTATTTACAAAAATAATAGTTTTTGTTGTCAAGGAAATAATAAAAATAACGTGTGTTATTAATTTATGACAGTTAATAAGATGGAAGAAAAAATTTTAAAAATAAATAGAAGAGGACATATGAATGTACTAAAAGGCAACAAAAATCAAAACTGGTTTAAAAATACATAATTAAAGGAAAGATTCTTAAAAAATATTTGCGGACAAAAAGTCCAGGCTTTTAAATGTAAGAAAATAAATATTTCTGTGAAGATATTCGAGAGAGAATAGAAAAAAATATTCAAAAAATAGTTTAGAATGAAATGATAGAGTGAGAAGTGTCAAACCCTGAGAAGTGTCAACCCTGCCCTGCCAGTGAGAAGTGTCAACCCTTGAAATGTCAACCCTGCCAAAACCCCTACAATTTTCGACATTCACCGGTTTTTGGAGAGGGTTTGAGATTTCGTCGTTTTGACATCATAATATCACACCTCCACATCCTCTTCCAAATTTTTAAAAAAATTCTAAAAACGCAAACCTTATATCCAACTTCCAAAATAACATCATGGACATCTTTAGGTAAATTCATTTCAGCCCAATGTCTCATAGGTCTTGGGACACGTCCACCTTTTATTGTAATATTGAAATCTTCTCGAAATATTCTCCAATCTCGATCAGTCATTTCATTTAAAGCTTTTTTTGTCCAATGCCGATTATCCCAATCTTCCTTTTTCTGTTTCTTTTGAAGTTGTTTTAATCTTTAAAAAAATTATTTGAAAAATTATTTAATTTCAAGCTGGAACGATCACGGGTCTCTATAACTAGGCAGAGGATATGATCCGTCCAGAGGATGTGTTATGTGGATTACAAACGAAAAAAGCAATGTCAACGCCCCCTAACGGTCGTAGAGGAAATAGCAGGTGCGTCAGTAAATGGTAAACTTGACTATGGTTTAAACGCGTAAGGAACGCATATCCTAAAGTACAGCCAAGTTAAATGTCATGAAATTACAGGTTCGATTCCTGCAGTGCTAAACTATTTTGTCCATACTACTCTAAAGCGTTCAAATTATCCCCAACACTTAAACTCACTTCAATAACCAAAAAACAAAAGATATAACAAACCTATGCTTTTCTTGTTCTTTTTCTGCTTCACTTCTCCGTTGTTCCAACAATTTTTGATAAAATTCAGATTTTTGTTTCTTTTGTTGATTTACATCCATTCCAGCAATTGAACCTCTTCCCAAAAATTGAACTTCATGCCTTTCTTTATATAAATCATTGTAGTCATTTGAGGTATCATCTGTTGGTTCCCAATCAAAAATAAATTTACGTTCGTGTAAACGACGTCCCCATTTACGTTTTTCTTTCGGGGCACCTTTAAAAAATTTTTAAATAAAATATTAGAGAAACTACATCAAACGAGTTAATGTCTCAAGGCTTTAACTAGTTTTCCGAATTAGTTCCAAATTTCAAATTCCCTCTTCCCTTCACATTAAAATTTAAAGGTAAAAACGAGGCTGACATTAACTCGCTTTAAACAGCAGAACACACCTATTTCTGAAACCAGACGCGTAGTTAGCAGGGATGGGGTTACCAAAACTTAGACACTCTTTCGATTCGAGACACGATCCGAAGAAAATTTTAAAAAACCCCCAATCTGGCTTTTTCTTAATCCATCTCATCCCTACTAGCTACGTGCTTGCCCGAAAAACCCCTCTGCTCTAACCAGAAATAAAAATTCTGACAAAAATTTTCCTGTTCCCCAAAAGTAAAAATTAAAAAATACCCAAATAACGCGTTTTAATAGCCTCTTGCATTCTTTCCCTATCCTTTTCAGCTATTCTTTCATTACGCCTTTCTTCTCTTTCTTTGCTACGAGTTCTTGAACGTGATCGACTTCTTCTATCCCTGTCTCTTCTATGATCACGATCTCTTCTACTATCACGATCAGATTTTCGAGCCTCACTAAGAAATTTATTTCGTTGTTTTTCCAAGTCTTTCAATTCCTTTTGTTTTCGTTCAACTTCCTCTTTTCGACGTTGCAATGCTTCTGCTTCACGTTCAGCTTTTGTCAAAAATTTTGGCTGAAAAAATGAAAAATCAGTGAAATTGTCGTTTAGGGGCTCCTTCTCCTCCCAAAGTTATTACCTCATTTCAACTCCGGTGTCTGTTTTACAAAAAGAGAGAGAAAACGTAAGTCCTGTATTTCCATGTAAAATGAACTATTCCATTGTTGTAACTAGAGGTCGGCGCGGGACGGGACCCGGTGCGGGATTTAGCGGGATCCCGTCCCGCAATTCTTCGATCTGCGGGATTATTCCCGAGGGATCCCGTCCCGCGAAGATTTTAAAAAAATCCCGCATGCGGGATCCCGCGAACATGATTTCGCCGACATCTAGTTGTAACATATTTTGGCTAGACCGTGTTCCGTTTCTAGCTTTACATACGGAAAAAGGGTCTCCCAACCTAAAATTTTCCCCAAATTAAAAAATACAAAACCTTGCTATTAACTTCCTCCATTTGTTTCTTCTTTTCTAAAAGTTCTTCCAAAGACAGAGGCTCTCTTTTTACAGGCGGTGCCGGTTCTTTTTCCGCTAAATTCTTCAAAACATCTTTTTTGTCTTCATTGTTTTTTGAAGTTTTTGAAGAATCATTTCTGCTTTTTCTATCAATTTTAGCATCTTTTGGTTTCTCTTCATCAAATTCCATTGTAGAAAAATATAATCACTCCTAAAAATCAGTTAAAAAATATTAAAAAATTAAACAAATCTACGACGAGTGAAAACAGAAATGATAGGTGACAAAATTAAATATCAAAAGACCGTAAACACATTTTGCCAATAAGGCTAAAATCACACATTTTGCCAATAACATTATTGGCAAAATGTGTGATTTTAGCCTCATTGGCAAAATATGATATTGGCAAAACATGTTTTTTTTTTAAATTTTTTTTTAAATTATTTTTTTTTATTTTAAATTTAATAGAACAAATTTCCAATTAAAAACTAGAAGTCCATAAATCGGTAAAACCGCTACATATATCTCCATATAAGAATATTTGTTTCAGAATTCAAAAATCTGCGTTATTTGGCATAATGCAAAACATTAAGAGTAAATGACACTTCATCCCAAAAATCAATAATCGATTTTTGATGAATCATCTAGTGTTCTCTGTTGCCATTTTAGCAAAGATGTTCTACACGTGTCCCTACAAAGGATCGTCACATAAAAGGATCGCCACGGCTAAAAACGTTCAAAGGATCGTAACGTCTAAAAACGTTTAAAGGATCGTCACGGGCAAAAATTATTAAACGGTCGCTCATCAAAGGATCGTCCATCAAAGGATCGCCACGGGTAAAAAATTCAAAGGATCGTTTTTGAGTCCCCACCCAAAAGAAGACGTTTGAGTCCCATATTTTTTAGAGATTTTTTTCGTTTTTTTTGCTTAGGGTCCATTTTCTTCATATTTTTCAACTAATTTTTTATCAGCTGAATGCAGGCCAGCTCATGGATATGGATAATATCCGGATATCAACGGATATATCCGGATACGGACGGATATGGATAATGTTATTTGATGGATACGGATGAGCACGGATATGATACTCCAAATCCGCGGATATCCATCTTCGAAATTTTGCCTGTGATGCAAAAATTAATAATTACTTTAATCCTTTCAAATCCCCCGATATCCCTCTTAATCACCATTATCAGACTGGCACATCACTGCAACCAAACTGATGGCACTGAACTGGCTTTATGAAATTTTTAAAAAAATGACGACCCTTTGAACGTTTTTACGCTTGACGATCCTTTGATGGACGATCCTTTAATGAACGGCCCTTTAATACTTTTTGCCCGTGACGATCCTTTAACAGGACGACCCTTTAAAAAACGATCCTTTGTATAGGAGCCGTTCTACAACAGAATGCAGGGCTTTTCCTTTTTTTAGGGATTAACTTTTTGAGGGGTGGGGGTAGTAATGACTTGCGGACAAGACTTGCTTTTTTTCAATTTTTGAAAATCTATCCAATTTTTTTTCAGTTCTTCAACAGCAGCAACAACAAAAGTCCCATATATGGGCACAAAAGGGTACCCACAAAAGCCCCAGAGTCGCTTCGGCGATATTTGGGCAAAAGCCCCAGAGTCGCTTCGGCGATATTTGGGCAAAAGCCCCAGAGTCGCTTCGGCGATATTTGGGCAAAAGCCCCAGAGTCTCTTCGGAGATATTTGGGCAAAAGCCCCAGAGTCTCTTCGGAGATATTTGGGCAAAAGCCCCAGAGTCTCTTCGGAGATATTTGGGCAAAAGCCCCAGAGTCTCTTCGGAGATATTTGGGCAAAAGCCCCAGAGTCTCTTCGGAGATATTTGGGCAAAAGCCCCAGAGTCTCTTCGGAGATATTTGGGCAATGGCTTCACTCCAACAGTGCAACAATTAAACTCCAATGCTCTCGTCTACATGGTTAGCTTTTTTTTTATTAAATTCGCAAGTTTTGTCCGCAAGGTTTCTCCCCTAAATAGGTTTATCCTTTCCCAAGGTTAAAGCCAATTAAACAGTGGCCAAGTTATTGTCAAACGAGAAGACGTACAGCAGATGTTCCATTGGTTAGATGCATTGATTTGCTTGTTTTGAATGGTTGATCTTTTGATAGGTTGTTTTTATGTTTAAAAGTTTTTTAATTTCTTAATTTTCAGCTTTGAGAGAGTATCCAGGGGCTGTAAAACTTTTAAAGAGGTTATTTTTAATTATTTACTATGGTTTCAGGATTATTTATTAGGTCGGTAAATTGTTGCGGGAAGGCCGTCTATTTGATGTGTATGCTTTAGAAGAACACGAATCAGCAGAAAAAGTGACTGAAGAACTCCAATCTTTTGTTAGAATTCAGAAAATTAGGTTTGGAAATTAATTGATTGGTTTATTAATTCAGGTTTTGCCCCTTTCTACGTTATAAATGTTTAAATCTCCGTTCAGTTGCTTCCCCTAAGTATTGTGACTTATGGGGTGTCTTTGTTGCCCCACCCGATTTCGACAAATTGTATGTCGTTCGAAAAAATTTATTCACTCTCCGGACTAGGAGTTGTACGTTCTTCAGCTAATTTTAAATTATTGCGCAATGTGTTTTCCAAAACTTTTTCATTTTCTTGTTTCTTTTTTTCTTCATCATTTTTCTCTTCATCTTTTTTGTTTTTCATATCAAAAGCACTTCGAGTCATCAAAAAATCTGCTCGTCTATCCTGTACAATGTCAGGTTCAGAAGCTGCATCATCATCGTCTTGATGTTGTTGCTGTTGTTTTTGTGCTTCTTAAGGGGAAAAGTTTAGTTTAAATCAACTTTAAGAAATTTTATGGTGTGATTAAATCAACCAGAGGGGGGGGGGTGTTAAGGTTTTCTAAAATTTCTAGTCTGGTATCGGAAAGCTGTCCGGGGTTTCGGGTATCGGACTTTGGATAACTCGTTTGATATCACAGGCCTGCTGTCCCGGGATATACCCGCCAAATCTAGGCCCGCAATTGCCTCCCCCACTTGGAACGTGTCCCGTAGTGGACTACACTAAAGCAGACGTCAACAAATGCCATTAGGCATCGAACCTGAGCTCCAACAGGAGGAATGTTTCCCTCTCAGAAAAACTCACTTATCGGTTTATTATTTCCAACCAAATTTGGATTTGTTGCTGAACGCATTCCATGACTTTCCTTGTTTATAATACGCTCAAATTTTGCATCATAAACGCGTTGTTCTTTTGCTAATTTACTTAAATGAGATAATGAACGTGGCGTTGAAGAACCAAAAGCATAATTTTGTGAAGCTGCCTTTTTGCGATCTGTGAAAACTTTAAAGATGAACAAAAAGGTTGTATAGTGATCGGATCAAACCGTACTACCGACGTTGTTTTTCAGTATTTATCGGTTTTTGCGGATTTTTTATCCGCAAGTTATGTGACGTCCGCAAAAAATTTTGCGGACGTCCGCAACTTTTTTGCGGACATAAAAATAAAGTTGTTCATCGTTATTTTTCGGTATTACGGTATGGATTACGGTACGAAATTTCGATCACTATATTTTTCAAGAATAATTCCCCACCTCTCGGCCCAATCGATCTTGCTTGTCTCATGTAATAAATAATATCTTTATCTCCAACAGGAGGCAAAGGTTTTTTACGTCTAGGCTCTGTATCAATAAGAAGACGATCTTGTGGAGAAACTTTTGTTTTATTAATATAAGAAATCTCTCGAGGTGTTGATGAACCAAAAACAAAAGAAGACGATTGTGGTAAAGGTTTAGGGGGAGGGTGCCGAGGGCGATTAGCACTACTGATAGCAGAAGAATGATTTTTGGTTGAAGCGAGAGCAGACATTTTCACAAAAGAAATTGAAAGAAAATTCTAATTAGAGAAAAAATTTTTTAACAAGTCAGACTAGTAATATAGAGAGGACATTTTATCTAAATGCCTTTTTTCGTTTTTTTTTATTTCCAGAGAATGGCAAAAAAAAATTTTTAAATGGACAATTTTACGGCCGATTACCCACCCCCTTTTATTGTTGTTTTTGTTGGTAGCAGCGGCATTCCCCCAAATTAAATGCCTTTTTTTACTTTTATTGAAGGCAGGCCCGTAGCCAGGGGGGGGTGAGGGGGGGGAATTCCCCCCCCCCCCCCCGAAATGGGAAAAAGGAAAAAATTTGGGGAAGGGCTGGGGCAAAAAAGTGAATTTTTTTGGCCTACGGCCTCTGAAATTTAAAAAATTTTCGCCTGCGGCGCTAAAAAAGGAAGAAATCTGGCTTTTTAAGGTCCAAAATCCAAAAAATTTTCGCCTGCGGCGCTGAAAATCAAAATTTTGGCGCCTGCGGCGCCGAAAGAGTGAATTTTTTTGGCCTACGACCTTCTAAAATTCAAAAAATTTTCGCCTGCGGCGCTGAAAATAAAAATTTTTGGCGCCTTCGGCGCCAAAAATTTGGCGCAAAAAAATTCCCCCCCCCCCCCCCCCGAAAAAAAATCCTGGCTACGGGCCTGATTGAAGGCATTTTCTCTCAATATTGTCAGAATACATGTATAAAAACAATCAGAATTCAGACAAAAACCCCCAAAATCAGAAAAACCAGAAACCTAAAAAACACACCAAAACCGAAATTAAAAATCAGAAAAATGCTTAAAATAACAAGTTTAAAATAAAAAAAACAACATTATTTTAATTGCTTGCCAAGTTTTCACACTGTGAGAGAAAGCTCTCCTCACAATGTGAAAAATTCTGGACATGTTTTTACTAAAATATTTGAAAGTTAAAAAGTAATAAACTTGCAAATATTATTTTAAAAAAGTTTAAAAAATTATTAGAAATTTAAAAAAATCGAAAAAATTTTCCAAAAATTTTTATGAAAAAATATTTTTTAAAAATTCTCTTGGACAAAATTTAAATAAAAAAATACTAGAAAAAAACTTGTCTTTTTTGCTTCTTGTCTCGTTTGTCATTTAATACACCTATTTTAAAGCTCTTTATGAAGCACTCAATAATAAACTGACAATCATTCCATACAGGCCGAGAACCTTAAAAAATCGAAAATTTAAAAAGTAAAAAAGCACTAAAAAGGGATTTTGAATTTTGTATAACCCCTTTTTATTTTTTCCACACATCTATGGCAATAAGTAGCCAGCTTTGAATGTTAGAATCTACAGTTCGGCATTGCCTGTATAATCACCAGCTTCTGTCAAAGTTGGCTCTAAAAAGTCTGGAATTTTGTATGACACAATTCAAACGTTGTTGACTACTCCAAGTCTTGGCCAGGCAGAAGAGGAACATTCCAGCAGTCATTCATCCAAACTGTTCTGGCAGTGATTCATCATATTAATATGGGTTCTACTCACCCAGAGTTAAAGTACACACGCACAAACAATACAAGACCATAGGTTCGAACACCCAAAACTGTGTACTAATCGCCTTAGATTTGGGCAGAAAATAAAAACGGGTCAAACAAAGTTCAAAATCCCATATTAAAAAATAAAAACCTCAGAAAAAATCAACATCAAAATCATCCCAACAAAAAGTCTCGGTTGTTGTGCCAATCCTCTAACACCAGAATCACCAACAATTCCAATAGCATAACCGGCACCTAAACCACAAAGTCCACAGACTAGACCAGCTGCAAATTGTGAAAAACCGGCGTTTACAGTGTATTCTTTTCCTCCAACTCCCAATTTTCCAGAGATTATAACGGCAACAACTAATCCATAGATGGCAACGATTCCTGCCATTACAACTGAAAAAATGTTTAAAAAATGATACATTTTGTTCTGTACTCAAAGTTGAGACAGAAAATCCTAATAAGAATTTCCCGAAATTTAAGGACAAAAGATCCAAGATGGTATAGATCTCGGATAGGTTCTAGAGAAATCTATTCCAATTCCATGAACCACGGTCTTCCCAGTTTCAAACAATCGAAAGGTTCCTCCCTTAGTTGTTCCACCCCTTAGCTATTGTTCATGGAAATTCTAGTTCCAGGCCGGAACTAGTCTCTCTCTCTACAGCCTATTAAAGAGAACAACAAAATTAATAGAGTAAAATGTAATTTAAATACCTGGAATAATTGCTTTCATTACAAGATCAGGCCTCGCGACAGACATACAAGCAATGCCAGTCCCTAAATTTAAAAAGAAAGTTATGAACAAAAAAAACTTTAAAAAAACCAGATTTAGCGGTTCCATAAGCAGAACCGGCAGCAGTAAAAATCATTGCAGCGGTCACTCCAAGTGATCCAAAGAAAGGAGCATACATTGCCTGTTCGGCTTCTTCCAAAGCTGGGGTTACTACTTGAGACATATTTTTCGCAACAAGATTTTCTGAAAAAAAGAAAAGTTTAGAATAATTTTAAAGCAAAAATATTAAAAAAGCAACAAAAATTCCAAGGAAAACGAACAAAAAATCAAAAACCAATAAATGTAAAAGAACAAAACTTTGAGTTAAAGATGTAAAAATATACACAATAAATACACAAAAAATTAAGAAAGAGTACATGTATTAGAGATAAATTGCGGTTAGAGAAATAATTATTTAACACTATTTTGTTTAGGTCTCGTTCTCTACTTTCGCTATAAAAAATAAAATGTAAAATTTCGTTTCCCCAAATTACATCAACACGACATTTTGCCAGCAAAGGCAAAAATCACGTTTTGCCAACAACCTTAGGCAATTCTTTAGAAAATTCCTCTTTTCTCAAAAATTTTTTTTCAATTTTAGATTTTCTAGGATTCAACACAATAATGTACATATGTTACGACAGAGAAAACAATATTTTAAATTATTTCCAATACTTCTGCTTGCCATTATCTTTTTTCTCTTAGCCAATTTTTTACTTATGATTATGCTTGAAATGCCATCGAACAAGTATTTTTTAAATTAAAAAAGTAGAGGTTGACACTCTAGTCATCATGTCCCTTTCTAGTTTTAAATTTCAAGCTCGTATTCGGACTTATTACACTTTCTATTACCTCCTGTCAACCTCTGGATTGGAAGAGCATTTTTTCCTCTTTTTTCTAAGACCCTTACCAGTTTAAAATTTTTTCCAGGCCTTTTAAAAATTTTTCAAAAATTTTCCTAGGGTCCTAAATTTTCCTAAAGTCAACCTTTTTACCAGTTATAAAAAAATATTTTTCAGAAACCTCAACAATAAAACCAAAAACAACGACAAACATCAACTTTGCCTTCTTTTCCCCTTTAAAAATCGCTGGGATTTAGCACAATTTACTCTACCAAAAATAGATGTCTTTCTAAAATCTCAATTAATAAATCTTTCAAAATTTATAATTATTAATCAAACAGACAATTTACGCTTTAATCGTGCTTCTCTTTTAAATATTGGAGCTTTACAGGCCAAAGAAGAAAATTGTGATTATATTGCTTTACATGATATAGATATTGGTTTTTTTTAATTTTTTTAAAATTTTCTAGGCTTAAAAAATTTCAAAGAAATTTTTTAAAAAATTTTTTGAAATTAATTTATTTTTTATAGTTCCTCTAAATCCAGCATTAAATTATAATTATCCAGGAGAAGGACAATTATTTCATATAACACCTGGGAAATATCATCCAATAAAAAGGTTATTTTATTTTTTATTAGGTTCTCGAAAACATTTTAAAAATTCCAAAAAAATTTTCCAGGCTTAAAAATTTTCCATTTTTAGGTATGATTATAAAAGTTATATTGGAGGTGTTCTCTTAATTACATTAGATGATTTTATCAAAATAAATGGAATGTCAAATAATTTTTGGGGTTGGGGACTAGAAGATGATGAATTCTTTCAAAGATTGAGGTTAGAAAATTAAAAAAATTCTTTTTATTTTCCTAATTTTTTTTTAAAGAGAAGCAGGATTGTCAAAGAACATAACAAGACCTGATGGATTAAATACTTCGCGTTCAAATACTTTTTTACATATACACAACAAGAGCGATAAAAGAGATTATGTTCAGGCGGATTACAAGAAAAAGGTTTTTTTGAATTTTTAAGAAAAATTTTAAGAGAAAAAATAGGTTAGGTTTTTTCAAAAAAATTTTTCGGGGATAAGGGTTAAATAATGGTTCTAAAATAATTCTTCCCAGAAAATTTTTTGAGGAAAATTTGACCTATTAAAAAATTTAATTCGTCAAATTCCTAAAAAAATTTTTTTGAAAATTTTCTAGTCTAAAGGTTCCAGGAAAATTACGAGGCTAGGGGTTCCAAAAAATTTTCCGTGGGTAAAATTTCCAAAAAAATTTTGAATTAAAAAATTTAATTTCTACCTTTAAAAAATTCAGAGAAGAAGAGGTCGTGATCGTCTGTCAGGCTTGTCAAATTTAAATTATACTTTAATATCTAAATATCAAACAAAAATTAATCAAACAAACATTTTAATAATTAATATAAAATTATTTTGTAATTTTAACGAATTTCCTGAATGTTTAAAAAAATGAAAAAAGTGGAATAATAAAATAAATTTTTTTATATAAAATAAAAAAAATAAATCAGAATCGAAAGGTTAAAAATAAAAAAGACAAGCTTTTCAGTAAAAATTTTGTGTACAAAAATAAAAAAAATTAAATTATTTCCACGTCAATTCCCCCCTTAAAACAAGCATTATTTTTAAATAAACTGTGTGGTGTAGTGGGAAAATGTTGAATTTTCATTAAAGCCACCACCATGGTTCGAACCCGGTGACGGAAAAATTTTTTTATTCCAATAAAAATCTTTTTTAACCATATTTTAAGAAGAAAATTGCCGTGAAAGTAGAGGGGGATATCTGATTTTGTCAAAGGCAGAGATCGAAATTTTTAAGCGCACTTAAAATTTCTCATTCTCTCTTTTTGTGGATAAATAGATAAGTAAATTTGGAAGGAGATATGAGAGAGAAAGTCTTAAAATTTAAAAGATATGAAAAAAATTTTTTTAAGAGAGACAGATATGGTTTTTATAAAAAAATCATGAGCTTATTAGTTAAGAAAGAAAAAATTTCCAAAAAAAATTTCAAAAATTTTTGACAATTTTTTTTCCTACACCCCATGATTTTTTTATTTTTATATAATGAAAGAAGAGATCAATTTTTTAGATTAAAATTGTTTTTGTGAATTTTCCTTTTATTTATTTAGGCACATAGGGAATTGATTCGATTAAATTATTTTTAGCAGTGTTGAAATATTTTAAGTAAAAATTGAGACAGAGAGAAAAAACACACGTATTAATTAAATTTAAAAAAGTCTAAAAATTATAAAAGAGGTCAAAAAGTATACCGTAAGTGTTCTAATAGAAGCCTATCTCTAATAGACGCCCGGCTCCTCCAAAGAGAAGCCCATTCACAATAAAAGCCCATACCCTACTAGAAGCCCCTCAATTAGACTCATTGAAAAAATAAACCCCCAGGGCTTTTATTAGAACATTTACGATATATAAAAAATTTAAAAAATACTTGCGTAGACAGAAATGCTTTGAAAAATTGAAAAAATATAAGCTGATAAGCTGTTGGTTGTGTCATCAATCATCAAACAATTTGGCTATTAATTAATCTTGTGTCTTTGTTTACAACGTAAAATTCAAATTTATTTGAACATATACCCATTAAAACAGCCATATTTTCTATCCAAATATTAAATGGAATAGCTACAAGTGCAGCTAATGTATAAATGAGCAATCTCCAAGAATTGTTTCTGAATTTAAAAATAAAATGTAGAGTGTGGCTAGGGATCCAAAAAATGATCAGAAGCCAGGAGGAGGTGTTTAGTGGTCCAGCAGAAAATTCAGAGAGGGTGACTAGTGGTCCAGAAAGGGAGACCGGGTGTTGAAAGCCTAGGGGATTACTTAAGGCACCAACAAAAATCCAGAGGAATGGTAAGAGGAAGTGGTTAGTGGCCCCAAAAGGGATGTTGATGTGGTCAAGAAATAATCAAGAGCCAAAAACCCCCGAAAAATTCTTTTAAAGAAACCTATATTTATGTGAAAATGATTTGATAACACCAAAAATGTACATGTACAGATTTACAGCGCCAACAAAAGCAACAAGAAAATCAAGTACAAACGCTTTTGGAAGAGGCAAAAGTGGATTTAAAAAAATCTGAAAAAATTTAAAAAATTTCCAAAAAAATTTCTTTCAAGAAAACCTGTAAAGTTGTTAAAGGTAAAGTAACCCAAGCATAAAGTGAACTTGCCAACAAAAATTTACATCGAAAAGGAATATATTTTGAATGAACAGTTAAAAATATTCCTTGCAACCATCGTCGTCTTTGTTGAAGAAAATCCCAAAAAGTGAATGGACTGAAAAAAAATTTTTTTTTGAAAATTAAAAAAAGAAAAAAAACCTCTTTTCATGCATTTCTCCTTCAATAAAGTCAAAAGAATAACCATCTCGAAATGCAACCATGGAGAAAAAACAATCTTCAGCTATAGAACCTTCAGGACCATGGTCAAAAGAAACTTTCTTTTCGGCTCCAGCCTGTAAAAAAATTTTTTTGAAAATTTTTTGAGAATAAAAAATATACATTTGTAACAACAAAAGATCCTTTCCAACCAAATAAAGGTTTGTGAAACACTTTAAATTGAAAACGTAATTTACCCATATCGTCAGCTACCCTAAAAATAAGGGATGAAAATTTAAAAAAAAAATTAAAAAAAACCTGAAAGAGTCAGATAAAGTAGTCAGCCAATTTACAATTTCGCCTTGAGCATAAGTTATTACACCTTGGCCAAAATGGTGTTTTCCGTCTTCACAAAAATTTAAAATTCCGTTCACCTAAAAAAATTTATTTTCAGAAAAAATTCTCAAAAAATTTCAGAAAAAATTTTAAAAAATTTTTAAAAAAAAAATTCAGAAATTTTCAAAAAAATTCAGAAAAATTTCCCTTACCGAATTAACAGAAAGGAGTGTTTCTTCATCCAAATGAACAATCCAATCATCGTCTCCAAAAATATTAACTTTGTCTTCCAAGCAATATTGTAATGCTCGAGATTTGAATTTTGCTCCAGTTTTTGTCCTTAAAAAATTTTTTTTCAAAAAAAATTTCAATTAAAAGAACCTATAATCCAAAGGAACAACAACTTCTCGAACTCGATTACAATGAGGCAAATTGACTGATTTGTCTGTTACTACTTCAAAAATAAAACTTTCAAGTCCAGCTTCATGACACGTTTGAAGATTTTTTTCGAGATTCATCTAGAAAAATTTTCTTTTAAAAAAGCTAATAGGAGAGAGTTAAAAGTTAAGCCCCGGGCAGGCATTAAGCATACAACCACATGGCAGTTATTGCTCTAGGCAAATTCGCTCACCAAGTATGAGGTGCTTGGTGAGCGAGGTGTTGACTACTGGGGATCCGTCTATAACCTTTTTTTATTTGAACCCCTCCTAGTAAGCGTTAAAAACTGCTAGTAATCTAGACCTCCCTTCTACTCCACAACCCCCAACTAACCACCAATTTTTTACAAAAATTCTTCTCGCAGTCCAAAAAGGGATAAGTCCCACAGCCCAGAAAATCCAAACAAAAAGGTACGGGATTGTGGACAATGAATCTCACAAAATACCGCGTTGGATCCCGTCCCAAGTTGAATACTAGAAGCAATACCCCCATTTAAAAAGAGTTTAAAAAATCAATTTTTTAAGTTCACGAACCTTAACTAATTCAGGAAAATTTCCTTTAGTAACAACTCTAAAACAAATAAATGGAGCAAATAAAGGCGTTGATTTGAGCTTTATTTTGTCTTTAAAACCATTAAAGAGAACTAGTCCAAGTGAATTGCAAATACATTGAGGAAGAACCTTTAAAAAGAAAAAAAATTTTTTTTGAAATTTAAAAGAAACCAGTAAAGACACTAATCGAATTAAATAAAGCAAAATAGTCACAATAGTGCCATATCTGTAAAATTGAAAAAATAAATTTTTTTTATTAAAAAAATTTTTTTGTTGAAAATAAAGCTGAAAAGAAAGTTAGAAAATGTCTCAAAAAGTTAAAAGAAAAAAATTCAACATGACTCGAACCTCTAGCCAATACTTATAAAAACTCAGAATTTTCCGACTGCACCACCAATGGCAAAAAATGGTAAACAAAAAAAGAAAAAATAAAAAATACACTCAAATCGGAACCTAAAATAAAATATTTTCACGAGTGGGTTCGAACCCTCGTCACCAGCACATAAAGACCCCAAACCTTTCCAACTACACCATCGATGTTGCTAACAGGAAAACTTAAAAATGTCTTTAAAACCAATCTTTAAGCTTTCCTTTTTCCTTGAAACTACAAAATTCTTAAATTAGAAACAAAGAAAGGAATGTTTCCAAAAATATATTTCCAAATTAAATTCAGAAACCATGGTAACCAGAAAATTATTTTTCTATTTAAAATAATTTTTATTCTTTCTATTTTTAGAATTAAAAAAATTAAAAAAAAACCTTTCAATAGGATTAAATTCTTCTCCAAAATCTTCAAAATCGTTGCCTGATTTTCTGAAAAAATCAAAAGACAGCACACCATAAAATATTTCCACAAGACTTATCCAACAAATAAAGGCTATTAAATGTAGAAAATATTTTAATTCTGAAGATAATGGCATTTTTCTTTAATTTTTGTTTGGTTGTTTTTGAGCTGATTTAGTTTAAATGTCTAGTTGTTTTGTTGGCAGTATTAATATTTGTAAAAATGTTGTTAAATTATAGGCAAAAAATATATATTGGAGAGATATGAATGTCCAAATGATGAAAGAAATTAAAAAAATTTTAAAAAAATTTTTTGAAAAATTTTTCTGAAATTTTTTGAAAATTTTTTTTCAAAATTTTATTTTAAAAAACCTTCAAAAAATTTTTCTTCTTGTTGTTGTTTTTTGTAGCACACAAAAATAAAAATAATAGAAATAAAATATTTTGTGTTTATTAAACACGCAAAAGTGCGCTTTTTATAAAAAATATTTTTTAATATAGTGATATGAATATAAATATTTGTAGTAGTGAGATGAGCCTTTTATTACCCTAAAAATTCTATTTGGGTATTATTTAAATGATTAGGCAAAAAAATTGAAAAAAAATTGAAAAAATGAATAATCTAAAAAGGCAAAAAAATCGTTTAAAAAGGGGGGTTGGAACGAAACCAAAATTCATCTTAAATTTTTCTCAAATTTCTTTAACATCCTTGTTAGGGTTGGGGTTTTCGAGTGGGCCGACGTTCGAGTCATTTTCTTCGGGCCGGCCCGCCGAGTCTTTTTCGGGCCAAAATTCAATGTCCGACTCGATCTTTCGGATTGGGCAGGATCCGGCCCCCAACCCTAATCCTTGACTACCTCCATGAAAAGTTTGACAATTTTCATCAAATATTTTTGAAGTTATAATCGAAAAACCTCGAAAAAATTTTTAATTAAATGATTAGGCAATAACAAAAAAATTTTTTTTAAAAAATGAATAACTTAAAAAGGCAAAATCGTTTGAAAAATAATAAAAAAATAAAATAAAAGCGAACGTTTCCGGATATAATTTATATAGAGAAATGGCTGCAATTTAGAAAAAAAATTTAAAATAAAAAGGAGCGTGAAACATACACACATTTAAAAAAATATGAATCACGCCCTTTGATAAAATGGGAGGAATTTGTGTTGGTGATTGATGAAGAAAAAGGGGAGAAGGAAAAATTTTTTTCAATTTGATCCGATTGAAGCAAGCCAAAAAATTTTTTACAAGCCAAGTACCTTTGGACTGCTTAAGTGTCAGGGATTGAGAAAAATGCCGGATCGGGTCTCTAGTTTTCAAAATTTTCTTAGAATCGGGGTTCGAGTTGAAAAAAGGTTCGGGTTCCTGGTAAATAGGGTTGCCGGTTCCTGGGAAATCTTCGGATAATCTAAACCCGAACAATCCCTGATGGATTGGTGGTCCTTGGAAATCGATATTTTGGTGCATCGGTCCTTGGGTGGGCCGTAAAAAAATGGTGGCCCGTTGGCTTGTTCTCTTATCTTTTCTAGCCAAATAAATTGATAAAAAAAATTTTGAGTTGGACAGAAAAAAAAAGAAAGAAAATGAAACGAGAACGGAAACCTATTTATAAAATAAATATAATATAAAATAGATTGTGTAAATTACGCGAATAAAAATACAATTTTTAAAATAGGCATATATTAAATCTCACTAGAAAAATGGGCGGGGGAAGAAATAAAATTAGAAAAAAAACTATATTCGGAAATTTGATGGTGTGGTGATGGTTGCCTGGGAGAGGAACAAAACGACGAGAAAAAATATTATTCGATTATTATTTAAAAAATAGGGGGGAAAAGGTCGTCGAGATTAGAAAAAGTAACCCTCTTTCCAAAAAATATTTACAGAGAAAATCAATAAAAATAAAAATGTAGTAAACAAAAAATATTATTACATATTTTTGGGGTAGTGTCCCTCTTCCCTCTTATAAAAAATAATTTGGGGGGATTTTTGGGAGGACCTTCTTCTCCACACAAAAATTAATTTGGGGATTTCTGTGGAGTGCCCTTCCTCCCCTTCACATAAAAAAAATAAATTTGGTGAGAACTTCCTCCCCCCCTCTTCCTCCCAAAATTATTTTATATTTTTTGGAGGCCTTCCTCCCTTCATAAAAATAATTAAGGCAAAATTTGGGTAAAATTATTAAAATTAAAACAATTAAAAAATAATAGATTAAAAAATGATAAATTAAACAAGAAAGTTTTAAAGAGAACACGAAACTAATATACAATTAAAATTGATTTTTGTGTAAATAAAAAAACGGGAAAGGAAAAGAGTAATAATTAACATTAGCTAATTAATCAAACGTAAGGGAGAATATACCTGTTATCAGGCAAAAACTAGTTTTGGCAAAATGAAATTTTACACAATGATATTTACAAAATAAATTTTTTTCAACTATTTGTTTTTAAATATTTTGCCAATTCCATATTTTGCCAACAAGGGTAAAATTGCACGTTTTGCCAATAAGTGTGTTGACAAAATGAGGGTTTCTAGCCTAATTGGCAAAATATGGGGCGAACTTCTATTTTTATTAAATAATTTTTTTTCTTTTTTTCTATACACTCTCCTCTTTTTACACATTTTCTAACTATTTTTTTCTTTTTCTCTAACAATACTCTCCTCATTTTCCATACTCTCTCATTTATCCGGCTGTAATTAAAATTCGATTTTTGATGGATTTTAAAGGCGTTTAATAAAGCTTTTTTAAAAGGCTTTTAAATGGTATTTAATTAAATGTGTTGGGAGAATAATAATGAACAACAACCGGAAGCTTTTCATGATGATTTTTCAACTTCATGTGGTAAAATAGCCAAGCAACGAAGGTAAACTTTCATAACATTAAAAAAATATTCTCTCTTTAGTTTTTTAATAAATCCAATATTAAATTCTTCTTTAACTTCAACTCCTCAATTAATTCCAGCAAAAATTCTTTCAATAAAAAATAAAAAATTAATAACAAAAATTGTTGCAACTTTACCTAAATTAGGCAAGAAATTTCAACATTTAAAGAGAGTTTGGAATAATCAAATTTTAATTTGTGTTAATGAAGAGGAAGGAGAAGATGAAGAAAAATTGCTTTTGATTACTATTAAACAATTATTAGAAGAAGAAGAAATTAAGATATCTCAACAATTTGTTCCAAGGTTTGTTTCTTTTTTAATTTTCGGTACTTGTGCAGTTTACACCCCATAAGCCCCGCCCCTTTGTCTTTTTTTTTCTTCTTTATAAGAAATGTTTATTAAAATATCGACCCAAATGGTCATTTTATAGGAGGAAGAGCGAAAGAAAAGACTGAAAATAAAAAGAGGCGTGGCTTATGGGGTATAAACTACACAAGTTGACAATTTTTAAATTTTTGGTCGCACATTCCGAAAGGTTCCCTTGTGAAATATAATATAAAAAAAGCCGGACTTAATACAGAATATCATTTATTCGGTTAGGGGTTCGAACCAATCTTTTCAGTTAAACGGAAATCTATCCTCCCGAAAATTATTCCTGCGGCTCTTTCCATCCTTTCAAAAAATTTGGTTCAGGATCCGAGAATATCCTGGGATTTCCGAGGATCCACCAACCTAATAATATGTGCTTTACAATATATTTAGAAATATTTCCTTTTTTAGAAATGCTCCACTAACCCAAATTCAATGTGAACTTTCAAAAAAGTATTGGCCAGTCTCTTTTCATAAAAATTCAATTTTGGAAGCAAAATTAAATGAACAATATTTTTCAGCAAAAGAAATTGAAATTTATGGCAATTTATTTTTTAAAGTTGAATTGACGCAAGGTTAATTTGAATTTTACTTCGAAAAGAAATTTTCACAGGTGTTTTATTTTATGATCCTCAAAACAATAAAATTGTTTGTTCTTCTACAACTAATCCAACACACCCATTAAAACATGCAGTTATCCAATGTATTGATACTCTTGCAAAAATACAGGAACAAGAAGAAACCTCAAAAGATGGACAATATTTAGCTACAGGTATTTGAAAAAAATTTTTGGGCTTTTTAAAGGAAAGGGGGAATGAGAAATTTCTCGGACGTTTGGGGGTGGTCCCTGAATCTAGCCTTTTTTTGTCTAGAAACCCGACCCAGAAAGTCTCAGTTCGTAAAACCAGGTCCCCGAACTTTCACCACTCCGAGGGAGCTGGGTCCAGCTCTAGATATTTTTTTAGGAAGAGAGGGTGGATTGAGGGAAATAATTTCTATTTTTACACTAGAAACCCTTTCCCTCCTCTAAAATAGGATCCCAAAATTTTTCAAAAATTTCCAAAAAAAAATTTTTTCCTTTCTAGGTTTCGATGCTATATTATTCAAAGAACCCTGTACAATGTGTGCAATGGCCCTCGTACACTGCCGTGTTAAAAGAATATTTTTTGGGGAAGAAAATAAAAAGAATGGTGCTTTAATTACAAAATGGAGATTACAAGAATCTAAATCATTAAATCATCATTTTGAAGTTTTTCAAATAAAAGAAAAAATTTTTTGAAATTTTTTTAAAAATTTTGTTTTGAGTAATTTAAATACTCTTGCTATTTTCTTTAAATTCTTAAATAAGAAATTTCTTAAATATTTTTGATATTCTCAAACTTCCAGAAGTCGGGCTCCCAAAGAAATTGAAAATTTTCCCAAAAAATTTTTTGAGAGAAAAATTTAAATAAGCGGATTTCAAGAAATTTTTTTTAGAATTTTCTGGAAAATTTTTTTTTGAAAAATTCAAAAAATTTTTTTAAATATTTTTAAGGAAAAATTTTTAGAGGACAAAATGACTTCTAATGTAAATAAAAAGAATAAATATTATAATCTCGATGAAATTCCCTCAACTTTTCAATGTACAGAACTTTCTTTAGTTGCTTCAACATCAAAAAATGAATTAATTTCCAAAACTTTTACTTTTACAAATTTAATGGAAATTGCTCAAAAAATTTTAAATTTATTTAAAGAAGACAAGAACCAGGTTGTTGGAATTGTAATGGAAAAAAGTGCTTTGCTTGTTGGTGTTTTAATTGGGTCAGGTTTTTTTTAATTTCTTTAAAAAATATTTTCAAAGGAAAGTAAAAGACATCAGGGATGTGACAGGCTTGGGAGAAGGGATCGTATTTTCAAAAATTTTCTCAGGATCAGGTTTCGTGGTTTGGGTCGAAAAAAGACCAGATTTTAGGGTAATCCTTTCTATCCCTGAGCAGCAGCCCTCCAATCGTTTACCTCTTAAAAATTTTTTCGTACGGGAACACATCCCCCTCCCATTTTTTTCACACAAAAACATCCCTAATGCTGCCTTCTCTCACTCCCATTCTTAATTTCTGACCATCAAAAAAAATTTTTTTATCTCACAAAAAATGACCCCCTTTCAAAACCCTTTAAAATTTAATTTTCTCCCATTTTCTTTAGAATAATTAAATCAAAAAATTCTTTCATTATACTTGAACCATCATCAACAGAATTTACATTATCACAAGTTAAACGTTTCAAAATTACCAAAATTATTTATCATTCTACAAATTTACTTGAAGAAATTTCAATAAAATCATCTCCAAATTCAATTCAAATTGAAGAAAATTTATTTTATTTTTATGATACTGGACAAGAAGAGGAAAATAATAATTTTGATAATGAACCAATTGCTTATGCTATACAAACTTCTGGTTCAACAGGTTTTTTAATACCAAAAAATCTTTTTTTTAATCTCTAAGAAAAAAATCTTCATCCTTCAAATAAAAAATCTTTCAGAATCCTAAAACAAAAAATTCTCACCTCTCTTACTCTTCCAAATTAAAAAATAAAAGAAAATTCCTCAAAAAAACTTGAAATTTTAAAGAAATATAAATCATAAGAGATTTTTTTCTAATTTTCTTTTGGTTTAAAAAATCCAAAAATTGAAAAAAAAATCCAAAAAATACCACAGAATATTCAAAAATTTTCTCGGAAACTTTTCAAAAAATTTATTAAACCCCCCCCCCCCTCCAAATAAAAAATTCTTAAAAACTAAAAACCCTCTCAAACAACAAAATCATTCAAGTATCCTTCAAAAATCGCTCAAAATCCCTCAAAATTTATTTTTTTAAAAGCAAAATTTAAGGAGAACCAAAAATTGTCCACGTTCCTTACAGCTGTATAATGCCAAATATTGATGATTTTATGTATTTTTTTAATTCTTTTAAATTAAAAAATTTTTTTCTTTAAAGCCAACGCTTTTCTTTAACTTCAAATTCTTCAATTTTATTTTCAACTTGTCTTGCATTTGATCCTTCAATGGTTGAATTATTTTTATCAATTAAATTGGGTGCTCAATTAATTATACCTCCAAAAGAAATTATTGGTGGAATTTCTCATTCAATTTTGAAGAAATTTGAAAAAATAAATTTTGTTCAGGTTTCTTTTTAAATTTTTTACATTTTTCTAATTGGAGGGAAGCCAATCACTCACTCATTCTTCCACTCCCCGTTTGGGGAAAAAAATTTTTAATTTAATTTTTATGGAAAACCATTAGCAACCCAAAACAAGTCCACAATCGTACATTAGCTTTTCTTAAATAAAATTTTTTTTTCTTACACCAAGGGACACCAGCTAACATTTTCCTTAATATTTAAATCCATACTTCAATTTTTTTATAAAAAAATTTTTGATCGAAGGGCCTTACCACCGACATAAATTTTTTTTAATTTCTCCTTTTAAAGACTACCCCAGCACTTTTACAATGTTTATCAACAAATTGTTTAAATTTTATTTTTGGGCCAAATTCTTCAATAGAATTTTTATTAATTGGTGGAGCAACTTTTCCCTTAAATTTAATTCGACGTTATATCAATTATTCTACAAGGACAAGAATTTTCAATGTTTATGGAATTACAGAAGTTAGTTGTTGGGCTTCCTGTTTTGAATTTAATTGTGAAAATATTCGGTAATTTTTAAAAAATTTCAAAATTTTCAAAATTTTTAAAAGAAATTTTCAAAAAATTTTCAACTCGAAAAAACGTTAAAATTTTTCTTTAATTATTCTACAGAAATTTTTCCAATGATTCAATCACTATTGGAAATCCTTTACTCAAAACAAAATTTGATATAAATGAAGAAAAAATTTTACAAATTTATGGCCGAAAATGTTTTGTCAATTTTTCGATAAATAAAGAAGAGCCTACAAATACTGGAGATATTGCTTTTATTAAAATAATTAATGAAGAAAAATTAATTTGTGTCAAAAGCAGAGTGAGTAAAAATTTATTAAACTTAAAAAAATTTTTTTCAAAATAATTACTTTAAAAACTCTCATCTTCTGACCTCTTTTTTTCAAAAAATTCTTCCTAAATTATTTTTAAAATTTTTTTGAGTGTCTATAAAATTCTAAAATTCTCTCTATAGCGCGACGAGACAAGAGAGAGGTCTTGAGCAAAAATCTAAGTTATCGAGATTGAAATTTTTTACAGATTTTTATCTCGTACGACCCTTTAAGTCTCCCATTTTTAACTTTAAATTTTATAACTGCCAAAAAATTTTTTATTAATTTTTCCTTTTTTTAAACAGTACAAACCTCAAAGTCAACTACCTTCACTTGAATTAGAAACTTTTATTTTAAATGCCTTTCCTCAAATAAATTTTTCGAAACTTGTATTTGTTGGAGCTTGTAAATTTTTATTTTTAAAAGCGGATGGAGAAGTTCCAGGAATTAATACTAAAAATATTCTTACTAAAATACCTAAACGTTTGTGGCCAACAAGAATATTTTGCATGGGCGAATTGAATATACGTTCAGACTTTTTAACTTTAAATGGTTGGTAATTATTTTAAAGGGAAATTTTAAAGGGTTACTAATAGTACTCTAATAATGGTTACCGATATCCTCTCCAAATCCCCTGTTATTCCCACTATACCGATAGATCCAAATATCTACTTAATCCCTTGCAAATTACCATATGTACCTCTGTATCCTTCCCCTCTGTATCCTTCCAACTCCATTGATTCCCTTTAACCCCTCTGAGCGCCACAGGCAAAATTTTTCAGTCGGAATAATTCAAAAATTATCAGAAATTTTATCAAAATTTCGAAAATTGTAAGGGAAGAAACGTCGGAAAATCGGAATTCCGACCGACCTCTGACTGACCTTTCCCCCATATTTAACTAACCTTCTCCCTATTTTTCAGGTAAAATTGACGAAACAAAATTAATTGACTACATCAAATTAAATTATTACAACAAATTCACTTCCCTCTTAAATTTTTTAAACAAAAATTACAACATTCCTCTAAACCCAACTTTATCCAATTTATCATCTTCACTTCGTTATTATGGTATTGGATCTTTAGAAGCTGTTGAAATTTGTTTTTATCTTGAAAATTTTTCTTCGTATTCATCAAAAAATATTTTTGAAACTTTTGGAGATAAAATGCAATTTATTTTGGATGAAAACACTACACTTGGAAATTTTTTAAAAATTTTTGAAAATTGTCAAGAAAATGGAAATCAAATAAATATTGTTGAGGATACTGGAAAAGAAGAAAAATGCTTGAAATTTGAACTAATTAATTCAACTCTAAAGTCAAAAGAATGTTGGAATGTTGATTTAGGAAAATGTATTGATGGAACTCCTGTTTGTTCTGATGGGTATTTTTTCTGAATTTTTTCTTAGTTAGGAAGTTCGATATCCCCTCAATCCTTTGCACATATCCTCTCTCAAGCTTTGTTAAATATACCCTTCAAACCTTTCCATATATCAACTTTTTCGGATATCCTCACGAACTCCCAGATATCCCCTCTCAACCTTTTCACACAAACTTAGGATTCTTATACCCAAAAAATTTTTTATAGAGTCATCTATGCCGCCTCACATTTAGGAGTACTTAAAGGAATTTCACTTATTTCTGGATCTACAATGTTTAATTATATAGCTGAAAATGATCGTTTTGAAGCTGGATGTGTTGTAAATCAACATTATATGGCGATTGGTATTTGGTTAAAATTTTCTGATTTTCTGATTTTTTTCATTTATTTAGGTGGATTTTCCGGCAATTTGTTAGTTTTTGAAAATAATTTAATTACAAATCAACAACCCTTGTTAACAATTTCGTGTTCTAGTGAAATTCGAATGACACCAATTTTTGATCAAAAATTCAATTTAATTTGGGGTGATTATTCTGGAATTATTTACAATTTAAATATTCAAAATGGAGAGTTGAAACAAATTTTTAACTGTGCTAAACATTTGTTTGGATCGCTTAGAACAAGTCCTTTACTTGACAACAATTTGATAATTTTTGCAACTTTAAATGGATTTCTTTTTGCTATTGATAAGGTAACACGATGTCAGAGGTGTCACCCAAAACCCGGATATTTTCCGACTCGTACACCGATCTGAAGAAAATTTTAAAAACCCGAAATGAACCCCAACTCGACTTTTTCGACCCAATCCGTGATAAACTTGACAACCTACACCTTTTCCCCTCTCCTTATCACTCTACTAAAATTAAATTAACCACAGATTAGTGGACAACTTTATTGGCAAACCAAACTTGATTCACCCATCTTTGCTCAACCTATAAGCTTTTCAGTGGATGATAATCGTTCTTCTTGTATAGCTTTGACGGTTAAAGGTGGATTATATTGTGTTAAAATATCCGATGGAGACGTGGTAAGGAAATTAGGAATTGTCGTAAATGTTCTAATAGAAGCCCATTTCCAATAGAAGTCTGACTCCAAAAGAAGCCTAAGCCGACTCAGTGACTTGAAAAATAAAAGCCCATGGCTTCTAATAGAACATTTATGGTTTTTAGAAATCACAAAAAAATTTCTAAAAAATCTTCAGGCTTGTCAAATTAATTTAAACAACAACACTTCTACAACTATAACAAATACCCCAACTTTCTTCGATTCTCCAACACCTCTAAATTCTCCAAATTATTTTTTAATTTCTGCTGGCAAATCACACCTACTTTTAATTAAATATAACGAGCTTAACAACAACTTTGAATTAATTAAACAAATTATTTTACCAGACACAACATGTATTGTTAAAAGACCTTTAATTTTGAATGAAGACGTGTTTGTACTTAATTCTACGGGTTAATATTTTTTAATAAAATCAGAAATAAGAGAAATCAGAATAAAAAATCAGAAAAGTCAGAATTTAAGAAATCTGAAAATTTAAAAATCAGAATTATCAGAATAATCAGAATTGAAAAAAACAGAACAATCAGAAATACCAGGAATTAGAATTAAAAATCAGAATAACCAAAAAATCAAAAACCAGAATTTTTTAAAATCAGAATATCGATATAAACAAATCAGAATTTTATTTTCATTTTCCAGGTTCTCTCTTTCTCCTCAAATCAGAAACATTAATTTCTAACAACGACAATCAACAACAACCTTTAGCAGCTCATTTAATAATTGATCTCAAAGCTGAAACATTTGGACACCCAATAATTTTACCCTTAAAGAACAACAGTGAGGAAGAAGCTTTTAATATTGTAATTGGAACACGTAAAAATTTATTACATTGTTTTGTTTTTAATTTTTTAAATGATCAAACCGAGTGATAAACAAATTAAATTTAAAAGAAATTCTTTTATTAAATTTAATCTCAACTAGAAACCGGATTATGAGTGCCTTACTGGAATCTCGAGATAGATATCGTAAAATCTCGATAGATTTTTTTTAGATTTTTTTAAATTTTTTTTTCGATCTCACTTCAATTCAAACAAAATAATTTTTAAATTTTGTATACCCTTCTCTCCCTTCTATTTTAAAACTCCCTTTATAATCTCTACCCATTCAACCTAACCTTATTTCTTTACGAGATTCTCCTTTGTCAAAAAACACTTGCCAAAAAAATTTTTTTGACACACAAACCAATAGAAAAAATTTCAAAATTTCCTCCTTTATTTTCAAGTTTATTATTAAATGCTTACCTAAATACAAAATTAGTATACACATTTTTATTGTTTGCTTTCCCCTACAAAAATATTTATTTTGTTCAATTACTTAACTATTATTAGGTCATCACTTATTTACAGACGGGGATATTTTTGAGTCTATTTCCCTCAACTTATTTTATTTCCTTCACTTCCCAAGACTTTTACTGACTGGTCATGATCTTGAGGTTAAACTTTAAAATTTTCAACGAGAAAATGGGAAAAGGATTTTGTGACGGGAAAGAAGAGGATGAGGAAAGGAACGAGGATGATGGGAGGGATATGATTAAAAATAAAAGAGGAAGAACACGGACTAAAAAAATTTTATTTGTTGAGGAAAAGGACACTGGTCATTCTAAGTAGGCGGAGTTTTTTAACCAAATCGCTCTAGCGGGGCGATTTGTTTAAGAAACGTGGAGAAGTACACAAACAGAAAAGTGAATTTCTTTTGAATTTTAGCTGTTGCACAAAAAGGGTAGTGGTCACGATTTTATACAAAAAAAATTTTTTTAGTAAAATTACAACGAAAAAAAAACACAAATTCTTGACCAGCAGCATTAAAAAAATAAACAAGCAGCATTCACAAAATTTACAATAAATGGAACAACATCACCAATTAATTTACAAACCTATACCTATTAAAATTGAAGGAATTTTTAATAAATATTTTGATAATGAAAAGAAAAATGAAGAGGAGGAACAATTAAATTCAAAATTATTATTAACACAACAATTAAATTCTATTAATAATACTACTAGAAGAATGTCCGCACCAGCAACACTTTTCCCACAAAATTTACAATTTTTACAAGAACAACAAACGAAAAAGGTATCATTTGAAAAATTTATATAGACAGGGGTGTGCCAAAAATGATTTTAAAATAGTGAAAGACGAAATACGAAACACCAAAAAAGGCGAAATACGAAACAATAAGAAGGCGAAACACGAAAGAAGACAGGCGAAACGGCACCCCCGCGAAATTCGGCGGAACACGAAAGAAGGCGAAACCCCCACCCCTGATCCAGAAAGGCGAAACCCCCACTCCTAATCCAGAACTTTAAGAGCAATTTACCTTTCATAATCTTATAGAATCAACAACAACAATCAACAACATACATTAATAATCCTCTATTAAAATCTTCTCCCTTTTCACCTAATAATAATTTTGGAACAAATTTTGTTATATTTCAACGTTTACTAAACAATTTAATTTTGTTGAATCAACAACAGACTCAACAACAAAACAATGAGCAATTATTTATTAATGCTTCATCTTCAACTGAACAATTACAAAAAATAGGAACTAAACAAGAAAATGGTTAAAAAAATTTTTTTCTAAAATTATCTTCAATTTTCTTATAATTAACTAAAAAATCCCCCTTTCTCATTTAAAATTTAAAAAAAAAATTACTTAAAAAATCCAGAAATCCTTTAAAAAATCCAAGGAAACCCCCCTCTTATCCTTAAAAAATTTTCTTTCTTATAAAGTCAGTCATCTGTTAAAAAATACATAAACGTGTTAGAAAAAATTATTATTTGATGGCAAACAAAACAAAAAAGTGAAAATAATATATAATAATTGGGAGGATATATTATTTATTTGTTTATTTTATTGGAAAAACGGAGAAAAATAGTAAAAATATGATTTTTGTATTTTTTCCTAAACTGGTTTACAAATAGGAAGAAAAACGTGTTTTTTAAACGCCCCTTTGATTTAAATAAATTAAAAAATATAAACAATACAAAAAAATTTTTTTAAAAGATGTTAATACAAATTCTGATAATTACTCCCAACAAAATAAATATCCTCTAGTTTCTAAGCTTTTAAACGAAAATGTTTCGAAATGTGATGGCAACATTGAAGAAAAACAACAACAAAAACATACAACGTCCTTAATAACACAAGAATCAACAACTTCCTCCCCTTCCTATTTAAATCTCCTTTCTATTAAACCACAAATTCAACACCAACAATATCCTCAAAAACAACAACATAGTATTAGACGATTAAGTGAACCAACAATATTAATTAATAATAAACAAGAACAACAAAATTTAGATATTAATGATAATATATATCAACAATCAAAAATTAGAAGAAGAAGCAGAGAAGGTTAGAGTTGAGATTATACATATATTGGCAAGATTATAGATTTGGGCAGTAAAATATTCTTTGAAAATTTGAGAATATTTTTCTCTTTTTTTAAATCGAACCCAGATTTCTAATCCCCCAATTTTTGGATTATCAACAACAATAAATACATATATCATTTTCAGGACAAGTCACATATCTTTGGGAGTTGTAAGTTAAGTTATACATATAAAATGGTATAAAATAGAGATTAAAAAATACATGTCTCTCCCTCCCCTCTCTCAACCACCTTTCTTCTCATACGTGAAAAAATCTTATAATATTCTAAGACCCCCTCCCCTCCCCAAAAAATCTCCTATAATATCCCAACTTCTTTCTTTACATCCCTCTCACTCCTGCAAAAAATAGAAATTCAAAGCTACATTTATCCCTCCCAACTTAAAAAAATTTTCTTAAAATCTCTTCTAGTTTACTACATCTTCTGTCTGATAAACAATACACACCAAAATACATCAAATGGTTAGACCAACAAAAACGTAATATTTTTCTTTAAAAATTCCCAACTTTTATTTTTATTTTTTAGGAGTTTTTAAACTTGTTGATTCCAAAACTGTAAACTTTTTAGCATTTTCAACTGAAAAATTTTTTAAGGTTTCAAAATTATGGGGAGCCCACAAGAACAAACCAGGAATGAATTATGAAACAATGGGGAGAGCACTCAGATATTACTACCAAAGGTAAGTAAAAAAATCAGAAAAAAGTCAGAAATCAGACTTAGAAAAATCAGAATAAAAACACAAAAAATCAAAATATTTACTTTTTTAAGAGGAATTTTGGAAAAAGTTGAAGGACAACGCCTAGTTTATCGTTTTATTGACGAAGATGTGCTACATACTATTATCTAATCACCTCACCCACATTTATAAAAAATCACACAATTTAATCTTAAGTTTTTTAGCTACCTACTTGTACATAAACTATAAATTATTATTTATTCAATACATAAATTAATACCCCAACCCTCCTCCAAAAAATAGGCTCCAAAGGTTAAAAGGAATTTTGGAATGAAGAACTTAAATTACTTCTACCCTCCAACCAACGCTCTTTTATCTCCGAAAAACATATCCCCTTCTCAAAAAATAATCTGTCCCCGAAAAAATCGACTCCTAAGTTAATACACCCCAGGAAAACTATCAATATAAAAAATTCCTTTATTTCAAGTATTTGTAAAAATTACAAAAAGTTTAACTTAACTTAAAATGTTTTTTTCTCTCGTTTTTATCCATTTTATGGTCATCCAAACTCCCAAAGTACAATTTTTGAGAAATTCAGAATGAAGAGAAATAATATTTTCCTTCCAAATACCCCTAAGTAATTTTGATTAAAATTTTTTTTTGAAATTTTCCAACCAACCTAACAGTTGTTATAGCCTTTTTAAAATGCCCATCTTGTGCCAATCCAAGTGAAATGTAAAGATAACAACGGGCAATAGAAAGTGGATCACCCAAAATTTGAGCAATTTTTAATTGACGTAAAGAGACACGCAAGGCTGCCTTGACCTTACAAATAAAATAAAATTAAAAAAAATTTTTTTTAATAAAAATATATACAAATTTTTCGCTGAAAAATCCCATTGCAGAGACAGCACCACCCAAAGTACCTAAAGAAGAAAAAATTATTTACACAAGTATTCTCCCCTTATCATCACAAGTGTTGGGGATGGATCCGGAACACAGGACTGCTTCGAAAACGAAATGATCTTAGAAAATCGGAAAACGAAAAAAAAAGAAAAAAAACCCTCTAAAGTTCGAAACAGGTCCGGAAGATAGCTTCAGAGCCAAAAGAAAAAACCCTGGGAGCAGCCAAGAATTTTGAAAAAGGTCCGAGCCCGGAGCTAAAAAACTGCCCAACACTCAATACACTACTCCTTCGACTTACTTAGCCTCCACATTTCGCTTTCCAATTCAAGAACTTTATGAAGAAATTGTAAAATCAAATTGTCCCTTTAAAAAATATTTCAAAAACTTGTTCATAAACAGACGCAGAGTTTCTAATCGAAGAAACACTCAAATCGTCTCGTTAAGCCCAGCAGAACAGTAACATTCCTCGATTTATTTCGACTCCAAAAATCAACTTGGTTCAATCTATGGGTTTTGACCACTCTGATTATTTCGAGCCAGTCATTCGAGCCTCAATCGTTTTGTCAACGAGACGAATCGAATACTCTGTTTCAAACACAAACTCTGCGCCAGACAACATCCAAAAATTATTTAAAAAATACCAATATTTATCAATATGACAATCGCCAATATCCTTACGACATCTTAACGTTCGTCTTGACAGTAGCAATATTACACCCGAAAATTAAAAAAAAATTTAATCTTAAAAAAATTTTAAAAAAACCTCTTTACTTTCAACAGCCTTATCATCACCAACTCTTTCATAAATTTTTCCAATCCATCTTTTCCTTGCTTTGTATTCAATTTGTTCCAAATAATTTTTAAAAAAGAGAAGAGTACGCATTGGGACAGCTCGGAAAATTAACAAATTTGTAAGAGAATCATCAAGTCTTCTTCCATTTAAATTTAAATCAAAACGATAAATTGAAGTTTTTGGTTTGTTGTTTTGTAAAGAAAAAGATGTTGTTGTTGTTGTAGAACATTCATCCATTTTTTTGTATTAAAAATATTACTAAAAAATTTTTTAAAATTTTTTAAAAAGTATTTATGGAAATATCCAACAAAAGGAAAAATTAAAAATTTTCAAAATTATTTATTAAAATTTTAAAAACAAAACAAAAACGGTAGGAAGAGACACATCGGGATGGAAAAAACATTATCAAGTTTATTGTTAGCTGAAAAAATATAAATTAAAATCTCTTTTCTCACTAGGACTATCCAAAACCCAGTGGCATTAATTCCCAAAACCAGTATAGTGTAGCTGTTCGCACTTTGAAATATCCCGATATGTCTGGCTCCCACAAAAACAAAAAAAACCCCCCCCCCTCTCTTTATTTAAAAAGAGAAAGCTTTTTTAATGCATAAACAAAAAATTTTGGCATTTCTGCTCTAATAACATTAAAATTAATATTTTTATTCAAACCAATATTTCCTCCTCTTCCTCCTTCTTCAAAACAATTTTCTTCATTTTTTCCATCCATTCCTCCAATTATTTCGGGCAAATGAACTTCCCCCAAATGCATAAACATTGGCAATTTCCTCAAATCATTTTTTCTTAAATTTAATGCTTCCATTGCTGATTTGTTTAATGCTGTTTTTATTGGATTTAAAGCCTGATTTTTTGGATTATTTGGACGGGTATATTTTTGATCACCAATTAAAGGACAATCTAGGCCATAATATAAATGACTTCTTACCACATTGATTAAACCTTAAAAAATTTTTTAAAAATTTCAAAAAAAATTAAAAAAAACCTGTTCGAGTAAACGCATCAATTAACGAAACTTGAGCACTTTTATTAAAATCAATCAATTTACAATCCGTATTTAAATGAAAAATATGGTCATCACTGGAAGCTCTTCCCAATAATGGACAAAATTTTACGTTGCCATTTTTAATAACCTAAAAAACTTGAAAAAATAATTAGAAAAGAAATGTCAACTAAAATTATGCATGTCCTGAGTAAACTCTAATAAGGGTAGTGGATCCGAATCAGAGCTGATCGAAACAAAAAAACCTCGAAAGTCGCAAATCAAAATTTTCGAAACCGTCTGATCCGGATTTCGAACCCGAAAACAGACCGGATATAAATTAATTTTCATTTCGGATATCAAATCCAGATATCTGGCAATTTCTCAGAATCCGTCAGCCCCGTCCCCAACACAGTTTAAAATTTTAGAACCGACCCCAAAAGATTTTGGGATGAAATGTCACCACATCCCAGAATTTACTTCTAAATTTAAAATAGTTAAAAAAACCTTAATCAAAGGAATACTGACACGCGTTTTATCAGGCACTTGAGCAGGAAAATTTTTGCATAAACAACGAAAACGAAAATAAAAATGTTGTTGATCAAGTAGAGTTCTAAGTTCTTGTTGCTTTTTAGAATTTCTTTAAAAATTACAAAAATTATATTAAAATTAAATTTAAATAAACTTTGCAAAAATAATAATTCCACTACATGGCTTGTCTAATGAATTAACCAAATAAAGTCTGTTAGCATTTGGAGCTACTCTCTTCCTAAGTTTCTAGAAAAAATAAAAGTTGAAGTATTTGCCCTGTATTGGTTTTTATGGGCATAGAAAGGCAAGAGAACCCAGGTCGATCAGTTCAATCACCTCCTAGTCAAATTTCAGTATGGCTCACTTCCCAGCATTTTTCTGGCCATTTATTAAATAAACTTTTAAAAAAGGGTCTTTCTCTTAAGATCTATGGGTCAAGCTCCATGGTAGGGTTCGACCAACACACAAAACCCCACGACAGACTTGTCGGAGCCAACAACAAGTCTGACAGAAACATTCTTGGTACTACTGAAGAAAAGGGTGCTTTTTCTGCGGACTTATTTTGCGGACTTTTCCTTTCTTTCTTTTTTAATGTTTTGGTTCTTTTGCTTGTAGCGAGTTTTGCTTGTAGCAACTAAACTGTCAAAGGATTAATTTTTATGCCAATTTGAAAAATATGTGTTCACCATTAATTTGAACATTATAAACGTTAAAATTGACTTTAACTATATTTTCAATTACCCGATGATGAATTTCAACAATGGATCACTGATCTCGGAATGCTTCATAGAAAAAGAATATGTGATTGTGGACAGAAATGCGGGTAATTTCAAACCTTGTCCCCTCCCCATTATTTTTATTACCTAAGATTGTACAAAATGGTCAGATTTCCTCCTTCCTCTCTTTCCTCTATTTAAGCTTGGCATATTCAAACAAGAGACATTGTTGATAAAGAGAAGATTAATTGAGTTGTTCAATATTGAGTTCATTTTATTTTTTCAGTTGTTCAATATTTTTAAATATAAGTAAGAATGTAATGTTTTTACACAGAAATTCATAATGTTATACACCAAATCAATTATATTTAATTCTTTTTTGGTTTAAATTGTTTTCGAAGGCAAAAAATAAGTGTATGACTATGTATAAAATTAATCTTCTCTTTATCAATGTCACTTGTTTGAATATGCCACAGAGCAAATAGAGGAAGGAGAGGAAGAAGAAAATCTGACCTTTATGTACAATCTTAGGTAAGAAAAATAATAGGGGGGAGGACCTTTGACAGTTAGTTGCTACAAGTAAAACATTTAAAAGAAAGGAAAAGTCCGCAAAAAAAGTCCGCAGAAAAAGCACCCTTTTCTTCAGTAGTGCCACATTCTTCAAAAAATTTAAAAAACCTGTAAAATTCTGTCCAATTGAGCCTGATCTTTTGGAGCACCAGAATAAGCAACTTGAAAGGGTTTATCAAAAGCAATCACTTCATCTTTAAAAAAATATCACTCTCTACTTAAAAAATTTACAAAAAAACCTGTTTCATAAACTATCCTTTGTGCCATAAATTCAACCAATTCTTCATCACTAAATTTCCAAACAGGGTCCACATAACTCCATAATTCTCTAATTCCAGTAGTTTGTTGATTAATTAATTCAAAAACATCTTTAGTAGAAAGTTCTTCATAACCAGATGTTTGTCTGAATGGAAAAATTAGAATAAAAGTTTTCAGAAAAATGAACCACGAAAAGTAACAATAAATACATAGGGAATCGTAGGCCCGTAATGATAAAATAACAAAAAGCCAAAGCCTCAAAAGCCGTTGAAATGCCAAACTGTAAAACTGACGCTTTAGTGGTTCGGCTTTACGGCACTTGGGCATTACGGCATTATACCCTGAAGGGAATGAAAGCAAAATAGACTATAAATCGAATACCAGGTTTAATCAAAATCGGGCCGAGAACAAGGAAATATTCAACAATCGGTGGGATTTCCATCATTAACCACCCCATCTCCCCCAACATTTAACTAATTTTAAAATAAAAAAAGCAAGTAAAACAGGGTTCGGATCGAGAAAATGTTAAGTGTAAGTACAAAAAGTCCAATTTGGAAGTACATAGGGGGAAGAATTTTCAAACTATAAGTACGCTACAAAAAATTTTTTCAAAAACTTGTGGTGCCGAAGGCGCAAAAATTCTTCCATTTTTTGCGCCGCATGCAATAATTTTGAGAATTTTGGAGGTCCTTAAGCCAGATTTCTTCCATTTTTTTGCGCCGCAGGCGAAAATTTTGAAAATTTTGGAGGTCCTTAAGCCATATTTCTTCCATTTTTTGCGCCGCAGGCGAAAATTTTGGAATTTTAAAGGTTAAATTCAATTTTTTAAACAAAAAGTCTATTTGTAAGTACGTACTTACAAATAAGTACATTTTTAATTTTGGAAGTACGAAGGTCGATTTGTAAGTACTGTACTTCCAAAATAAGTACGAATCCGAACCCTGAAGTAAAACCTTTCAAAATGTTCAGTAAAGAAATCTTCTTCTCCTTCTTGTCCAATTTGTTGTTTATTTTCTTCTTTTGAATTTTTAATCAATTCTGGGAAGAAATGTTCATCAAATAAATTTCCATTTTCTTTAATTTTTGTTGTATTTCTGTTGATATTTTGTTGTTTATTAAAATGAGAGTTTGGCAAAGGAAGTGAATCCAATTTTTTTAAACCAAAAATATCGTCTTCAATTTCAGACATTGGAATCTTAAAAAATAAAAATTATTTTTAGAAAATTTAAAGATGCGGCAAAAAATTAATTTTTTCCCATAGTGGCAATATGTCATACTGGCATTTTGTCAATATTTCCCCTTTGTGATATTTTGTCTATAGGTGTTATGTAAAATATTCCTAATTTTCCCATTTGAAAAAGACGACAAAATTTAATTATTTCCCCATAGTGACAATTTGTCGTTTTGGCATTTTGTTAATATTCCCCCCTAATGACATTTTTCTTTTAGATGTTATGTAAACTTCCAATTTTCATTTTTAAGGTAAAGAATCTTGAACAAAGAGAAGGAGAGGTTAAAAATACAACAGATTTTTGAGAGAAGGAGAGGTTAAAAATACAACAGATTTTTGAGAGAATAACAAAGGAAATTTTAAAGCCAGAGAAGTATGGAGAAAGAAATAGCTTTACAAAATTCATGTTAATTTTTCTACTCTACTTCTCGACACTAAATTTAAAGAATAATTTCACCCTCTATATATTCTCACATTTTTGCTTTTTGCTGGCGCGCTCTCTTTCCGAGAGACAACCAATCTCAGAATGGGCCCCCTCGGTCCGAGTAAAAGGCTCCCGCGCCGCTGGTCTATGACTGGTGCTGCACGGTTCAAAAAGAGCTTAAACAATTAGGCAAAAAACCAAAGTTAAATCTCTCCCACCAAAAAATGGTGTTTCGGATGAGTGAAACGAAATACAGCGCGCCAGGTGAAGTCCTCCGTGTTTGGTCACTTTGTGACTTTTGGAGGTCGCTCTTTTTTGCTCTGGGATAAAGAGGGGATATAGAACTTTGGGTTGCTATGGCAACCGTTCATAAATAAAATATATTTTTATCCAGAAAATTTCTTTAAAAATGCCAAAATTCTTTTCCAAATCAACCTTTATTTTCAATTTAATAATAAATTTTCTTCCATCAATTAAATCGTTACAATTCGAATTATTACCCCAAGAATTTTATTTGCCCTTTATTGATGTCTTAAAAATTCAAAAAGGGCATTTTCTACCAATTATAAAATATCAATTAAAAAATAAAGAAGAGGAATATTTAAATTGGTTAAATGATCAAATTGAAAGAGAAAATGATGAGGAAGACAACAAAAATAATTTTAAAAATTTTGAAGAATTTTTAAAATTTTCAGAGGGGATATTAGAGCCTAGAAAAAATCTTCTAAAATTTCAGAATAATTTTTTAACCAAAAATGAAGGATTTTTAAATAATTTTACTTGTGAAGCAACACAAAAATTAATAGAAGATAGTGAAAAGAGGACTTTTTCTGTTGCCTGTTTAGATGAAAATAAAATTCCAAAAATAATTAGAAGCAATTCTTGTGATAAAAATAAAAATGAGGAATGTGGTGAAATTGAAACAAGGAGTAGATTTGAATTGAAACGAGGAAGATTCCATTGCCCTTCTGGTATATTTTTTTGTTTAAAAATTATTTAAAAAATCATGAAAAATAAAAGGAAAACAAGGATTTTAACCCCTTTTTTGAGAACAATTAAAAAAAACCTGAAAACTTTGGAATTTTCAATCCATAAAATCAAAAACCGTAAAAATATTTACAAAAAAATAATTAAAAATAAACCTTTCTCTTTTTTTAAAAACAGAAATAACTTGTATCACGGAAGTTCTTCTGGATAAAATACCAACAACGTTTGAATTCAAATTAATGATAAATATTATTTTATTTTGTCTAATTGTTTTTGTAACAAAAGAAATGTCAATATAAAAATTTTTTAATTTAAAAAAATCTAAAAAGGGACCTCGTTATACACCCTTCAGGGCTAAAAAAAGTCACCGCTCCCCACCCAACTCCAACCGAAATTTAAAAAATGTTTCCCTATGGTTTTTGACCATTTCGAGCCCTATATTCCTACAAAGATGTTGCCGCGGATAATTTTGGAGTCATTCGACTCATTTTAGTATTGGGAAGGGGAGGGGTGCATTTTATATTTAGAGGTCCTATTTATAAGAGATCAAAAAAATTAAAAAAAACTTGTTAATAAATTGTAATTATTTTTTCTTTGAATTAACATTCTTCCATTTACACTGTCCATATTTATAAAGTAAGCATTCCAAACATTTTGGACCAACAGGAAGGCAAATAGTCTGTCCAAAACCAACAAGTAACTGATTTATTGTACTCCATTCATTTCTTTAATGGGAAAATTAAAAAAATTTTTTTCAGACTTTTTTAAACGTAAAAAGGGTCGAAGGTTCAAACACACCCTTACCCTCTTGTAGAAAATAGTTTTTATTTTTAAATAGGACAGTGCTGGGTATTGGATGTTTTTTGGCTTCGGTTCCGGCACAAAATCCTAGTTCCGCCGAAGCTGGATCCTGGGCTAGTTTCCAGAGGCCCTCTCCAGCATTGTTTTGGAGGAAATGAAATCTTATTTATATTGAAAAAATTAAATAAATTAAAAAATACTTTGGCAAAACTTCTCTCAATTCAAATTCTGTTTGTTCAGGCGTTTTTGTTTTAACCCAATTTAAACGATTAGATATTCTATGTACATGAGTATCCACACCAATTCCTTCTCCAAAACGTCCAAAAGCTATTTGAATTGTTAAATTTGCCATTTTCGGGCCTACACCTAAAAATTGAAAATTTTTCAAAATTTTCAAAAATTTCTAAAAAATCAGACCTGGAAGTTCGCATAAACCTTCAAAAGTATTTGGAATGTCATCATCATATTTCTCACGAAGAATAGTACAAACACGCTTTAAATATTCTGTTTTCCTCTAAAAAAATTTTTTATTGAGAAAATTGAAAAAAAAGAACCTTGTAAAATCCAACAGGCTTCAATAACTCTTCCAATTGTTCTTTGGGAAATTCAAGAAGTGAAGAAATTGAACAGCCAGCAGTTTTAAGTCTCTAAAAATATTTATAGTTAGTAGAATAGTTGTTACTCGAAGTCCGATACTCGAAATACGAACCCCAGACAGAAATCCGATACCCGGAATTCGAAACGGACAAATTTTCGACCGAAAAAACTTCCAAATACCCGATCCGAGGTACTATCGCCTTTTTGTCTATTTGGCCCAGCGGTGACAAGGAAACATTTATGTTAACAGAAGAAAAATCTCCCCAGACTTTGACCAATTGCTAGACCATTTCCTTATTAAATAATTATTTACCTACTTCCATAGCAGCACTAGTAACCTGATCTTTTGTTTGGCTCGATAACATTAAAGCCACAAGTGTTTGAAAACGAAAAGTTTTTGGGTCAGCATTTTTATCAGCACAAGTATGGCATCCCATTAAATCAACTGGGGCATCAGCATTTTGACGCATCGATTTGATAAGTAAAATGTTTTGAGAAATTCTGTCGTCTTTTGTTTTGTTTAAATCTTCAATTTCGTTTGATGTAGTACAATTAGAATTTTTGTTGTAGCCATATTTTTTAATAATTCTTGCTGATGAACGTCTAAGTGACATTGGTAAATAATAAACTTTGAAAGATCAACTGAAAAAATAAAAAAAAGCCCAAAAAATCAGTTAAAAATAAGCAAAAAACAATAATAATGCTTTTTGCAATTTTTTACACTAATGGACATTTTTAAATTTTGAGATTTTGACATTTCCTCCACTATTTAACACTTTTTAGAGAAATATCTTTCTTTATTTCTCTAACGCTGTAGTGTCTCTTAATTTATTTTAGTCACATAATTTGCCAATTCGACATTTTGCCAATAAGGGTAAAAATTGCAGTTTTGTCAATAAGATTGTGTGGCAAAACGTCGAATTTACCCCTATTGGCAGAATGTGGGTTTGGCAAAAATACAGTGGAGACTGTTGGGTATCTGCTTAGTATAAAAGGAATAATGTTTGATGAGAATTGTATAAACTTTTTTAGGATTCAGCCCAAGTAGGCGCGCGGCCAAGTAGGCGCAAAGCCATAACTTGCTTCAAGATTCTCGAGTCTTTCAAAATTTAGCATTAAACGATTCCTCTCATCGAGCTAAAGAGATTGGTATCAAAATTGTTAAGGTCCAGAAATTTTCCAGGTAGTTATGGCTTTGCGCCTACATAGCCGCGCGCCTACTTGGGCGTGTCCCACTTTTTTCAAACCGATTTACCCGTGCTTTTCTATAATTTTTTCATTTTAGTGATTATTTATTTTAAAAATGGGTGAAAAAGGTTCAGAAAAGTACAGTTTCTCTCTTACTACGTTCAGGTTATTTTAAGTGTTTAACTTTTTTTTTAATTTTCATTTCTATAGCCCTTCTGGGAAGCTTATGCAAATTGAATATGCTATGAATGCCGTAAAAAGTGGTTCTCCATCTGTTGGGCTTAAAGGTTTTTTGAATTATCTGAATTTTATTGTAGATTAGGATTCGACCTCTCGGGAAGGGAAGAGGTCATCCATGTTCCCCAAGCATTCCATGCTCCTCTTCTTACGAGGAACAGTGGTTTGGGGAGCATGGAGGCCGAGGAATCCGAATTGCGGAGCGGGGTAATGGGGGCTCTGGGGACATCTCTCTCGTCTCCGTGAATTCCCTTCCCCGAGAAATGGTGATCGAACTCTATTTTATAACACAAATTATTTTTTCCAGCAAAGGATTGCGTCGTTTTGGCTACCGAAAACAAGAATTCTCTTCTTCTAAATCCTGAAAGTAAAATTGAAAGTATTACTTCTCATGTTGGATGTGCTCATAGTGGAATGGGGCCTGATTCTCGGTTATTTTTTATTAAATTTTTGATTCCTTAAGTCAACTTTAAAACGGTTTAAAAATGATTTTAAACCCCTGGACAGCCTTAAAAATTATTTACTGCCAACAAGGTTCGAACCCTCAACCCTTCATATTACTTTGAAACTCGACATATCCAGCATTATCAGGGATGAACTTCCGCTCAACCCTCAGCTTTTTTAACCTTCCGGTTTCGTCTAGTCTCTTCCGTCTTCCGATTTTAAGACGCTGCGGTGCCTATCTCTGACCTGCACCGAGACAATGTCTTCTGTTTTTCTCGCTAATTTACTTTTTATCTTTTCAGAATTCTTGTTCGCAAAGCGCGCAAAATCGCTGCTGAATATAAATTACAACATGGTGAACCTATGCCAATAACGCAACTTGCTGCAAAAATAGCCGCAATAATGCAAGAATATACACAATCTGGGTATTTTTTTAATTTCAAATTTTCAAAAAAAATTTTCCTTTCAAAGCGGTGTCCGCCCATTTGGAGTTTCTTTGCTTATTGGAGGATGGGATGAATCAAAGGGACCGATGTTGTTCCAAATTGATCCATCGGTTTTTAATTTTTTTTAATTTTCTGTCTGAAAAAATTTTTTTCCAAGGGTTCATATTTTGCTTGGCAAGCTACTGCAATTGGTAAAAATGATAACAACGCAAAAACTTTTCTGGAGAAACGTTATGACTCAAATAATGAGAAAATGGATGCCATTCATACTGCTCTTTTGACTTTGCGTGAATCTTATGAGTAAATCTTTTTATTTTTTTTTTGAAAATTCTTCCGAAAATTGAAAACTTTGAAAAAATTTCCGAAAATTCCAAAAAAATTTCTCAAAAAAATTTTTTTTCTTTCAGTATTGGAATGACTGAAGAGAATGTCGAATTGGTTATATGCTCAAAGACTGAGGGATTTAAACGCTTGACCAAAGAAGAGTTGAACGAACACATTAAGAATCTTTAGAAATTATAAGTTATATATGTATTTTTTGAGAATTAAATTGTGTATTTGTTAAATGAGTATAAACATTTTGGGAATATTTTTAAAAATTTTTTGTTCTTTTCCAAAGTGTTATTTAATACACTATAAATTTCCTTGATATTTTTTAAATTATTTTTTAACTAAGATTGTTGGTGAACGGTTAATTTAGGTTAGTTGGTGACAGGCTCAAATGTGGAATTTTAAGGACATTTAAGCCGACAGGCAAAGATTAACCAGATCGATCACCAAAATCCTATTTTTATCATTAAACCCCCTATTTGTTTCCTTGGTTTAGTTGGAAAATTCTTAGTTTTCAACGTAAAGGGGGTTGAAGGTTCGAACCTTTTGAAGAAGTTTAAAATTGTCTTCCATTTTTTAGATAAAATTATATTTTTTTAATTCCCTTTTGTGTTTTTTAGAAAAGCATAAAATTTAAACATGAATAACGACAACAATAATGAACAACAAAACAAGCCTTCACTACCAACTTCATCAGGACCATCAGATTTGTCAGCAAAGTATGCTAAATGGGACAAGTTAGCAAAAGAAGTTGATGAAAATGATGAGGCGGAGGATAGTGTTGATAAATTATTTCAGGTTTTTTTTTTGAAATAGAATTTTGATGGGGTTCCCTTTAGGTGTCAGGAGTTGAGAATGAGGTCAGGGGTGGGCCGTATTTCCAAAAATGTTTCAGGATCGGGTTTCGGGTCGAAGTTTGGGGTTTTCTGAAACTCCCGACATCCCTGGTCCTTTTAACTATAAGGACTAGAAGATTAAATCCATTCTAAAAAAATTTTTTTTAGAAAATATATCAAGATGCTAGTGACGATACAAAGAAGGCAATGATTAAATCATTTACCGAATCTAAAGGGACTGTTTTGTCAACAAATTGGAGTGAAGTTAAAAAAGCTCAAGTTGAAATGAAGCCGCCAAAAGGAAGTGAATTTAAGCCTTATGAAAAATAGAAAAGGAATGAGGAAATAAAGAGGTTTCAAAAATTATTTTTAAAATGTAACTTTTTTGATATTACGTTGGCTGACACCTCCTTTTTTTCCTTTTGTACCTAAAATACATGCCCCAGTGTTGACATTCTCTTAAAAATGTTCTCAAAATTACCAGCAGATTCTCCAAATTGTTGTCCTTTCAAGAAGATGACGAACCTTCATCGCCAACCGATTTGAAGGCTCAAAGATTCCTGTTTTTGTCAAATCAAGAAGAATAAGGGGAAAAGAGGGAAGAAAAGAAGTAAAAAAAGTGTCAGAAAAAAGGAAGGACATAAAAATGAAGGGGTGTCAGTCCATATTATACCTAACTTTTAAATAAGAAATTTAATTGTTTGGAATTTTAAAAAATAAATAATCTTCCAAAATAAAAAAAGTTTGACTCCTTATTTTAAAACTAAAAATAATTTAAAGTTCTTTTATAAATATAATTTTAAAATAACAAATAAAAAAACAAAAAATATACTTTTCATGTTTTTGCCATTTTAGCCCTTTTCTCCTCCAAAACAACTTCAGCCCTTGCACGCCTTTTAGTTCCACGTTTAAGCTTTTCGTATATTCTTTTATGCTTTTTGGGTATCATCATTTCTCTCAATTTTAAATTATGACCCTTGAAAAATAAAAGAAATTTTAAGAGAATTTTTAAGCCTAAATAAAACACCATGGAGGGCCGGGCAAGGAAAAATGTGTCGGGCGGGGTTTCAACATTTTCTTCAAATCGGGTTTCGGATCGGTTAGTTAAAAAATTTGAAATCCACCCTAACTTAAGAATATATGTGGAAAACATTTTCATTGAAAATATCAAGCTTCGGGTCTGGGTCTCAAAATTTTCTTCAGATCAGGTTTCGGGTTGAAAGGTCTAGGTCGTGACATCCCCGAAACACTCCCCCCCCCCCCCAATTAAAATTTAAAAAAATCAAAAACCTCTTCATTAATTTTCTTCTGTTCACTTTCCTTGTAAATTCTCGATTTTTGAACACTCATACCTTTATTATTTTCATCTTGTTGTTTGTTCTTTTTATTCTTCTTTTTAAGTAAACCTTCTCCTTTCTTTTCTTTTTGATTACCTTTAAAAAAAATTTTTTTTAATAAATTTCGAGTAGGATTGGGCATTAGAGATCGGTATAGAAAAAATACTGGATCTGGATTTAGGTTAGTAATTTGGACAGGATTCTTGATTTAGATCCAGGAAAAATCCAGGACGATCAAAAAAATGACTGGATCAAGAAAAATCAGGACTGGATCCAGATCCAGACGGATCTCTATCAGACATAAACGGTTAACCGAACCTAAAACAGGCCAGAAAACCGGCGATAATCGAAGACCTTTTATGTCCAACCCTCTAATAAAAACCAAACCTTTTTCGTCTGATTTTCCCTCCACATTTCCTTCTTCTACTTTTGTTTCATCCTCTTTATTCTTTTGTTGTTGTTCATTACTTATTAACAAAGAATTATTTAATCTTTCATTATCCCCAATAAATGGTGATAAATGTGGAGGTAATGTTGTTGATGGTGCATACAATATTGTAGGAAGTAAACGACGGGAATTGAAACAATCAAATATCCATTGAGGTTGAATATAAATTCTGAAAAGACAAATTTTTTTGAAAAATTTTTTGGAAAAAATTCCTCCCCTTTTTACCCTCTCCCCAAGGGAGCTGAAAATTTTTCGAAAAATTTTCAAAAGAATTTTTTAAGTTTTTGAGAAAAAATTTATTTAATTAAAAACCTATTTATAATCATTTCCTTCATTTCTCTATCAACAATTTGATGTGTAATTAATTCACTAGATACATTTGTAATTGATCCAACAGGATAACAATCTTCCCAACAAACATCACCACCCCTGAAAAAATTTCTTTGAAAAATTTTTGAAAATTTTATAGACCCAAGAAGGAATCTGAATTAAAGCCAAGATGCTCTTACAAAAATTATGACCTTCCAAAGAGTTGTGAATCTTATGCCTTCCAATCTTAGGTAGGCACACTTAGGAGCAGCAGGAAGCAACTAGGAGCTTCAGTTACCCTCCCAAAAAAACGAAAAAAATTTTATTAAGGAGAAGGGGATTACAAAACAGTTCAAGGTCTTTAAAAGGCCTATTCAAAACCCTTATCCTAACAGCTAATTCAAAAATTTTTTTAAATTTACCCAGCACGTATAACAAAAGCTAAAGGTTCTTTTGGAACTTCTCTATTAATAAAAAATCTCATTTTTGAGAACAACGTTTTTAACGCTTCATTTTGTCTTAATAATTCACCCAAATCTTCCTCTTTAATTTCTTTCACATCTTCTTTTCCCTCTTCATCATTTTCGTCCTCTTCTTTTTCAAAAGTATCAATTTGACAAATATCCAATTCTTCTTCAGTTTTTTCAATTTTAGCTAATGGAAATGCTAAAGAAAATACACGGTCATCCAAATGAGTAAATGAAGGTGTAGAATTAACTGAAAAAAAATATTGAAAAATGAAAAAATAAATTTAAAGACTGATTAAAAAAAGGTTTAAATATGTCTATTAAAATACACAAAAAAACCCAACAAAAATTTTCAATAGTAGGGGAACACACTCACGTGTATTTTAATGAGTGAATAAATTCTCAACCAGTTCTGGGTATAGTTTCGGGAGCTAACTGCGGCTAGCTCATGGGCTAACAACAAAACTTTTTAATGCTCGAAGCAGAAGCCCGAAGTCGTGAAAAAGGTAGGACCGGGGTAACAAAATGCCTAACACACGACACTTTCCCTGAAAGACCATAGAGGTAAACACTTCATTAAATATTGCCGACATACTCGACAAGTCTTTTTCCCTAGTGTCTTTTCCAAAATCCTATCAACTTTATTATTAAAAATATAAAACCTCCCAAACCTTCATTCTCCGCCTTATTTTGTTTCAATTGAAGTTGTGGCGGGTAAAAAAGTCCAATAGATTTGTAAAGTCGAAAATTAACAAAACTGAGCAAAACAGAATAAAATTCAACAAAATAAGCAACTGTCTAAAATATAAAAAAATGTTCAAAAAATTTTTTTTATAAAAAATAAACCGTCAAATCCAATTCATTTGCACGTCCAACAGACCGTTCATGACCTACAATCCAAGTAATTCTTTCACCCATAACTTCTGCTTGATAATAAATTCCTTTTATTGAGATGAAAACCTTTAAAAAAATTTTTTTAGAAATTTTTGAGTGATTAAAAATATAGAATATTAAAATTAGATAATTATAATCAAAAAAGTAATTGTTGACCACTGGTGGGTATCGAACCAACAACGCTTATGGAAGTGAACATGCAAATAACCGACTGAACCAAAGGACAATACAATAAGTTACATTTTATTTTTTACTAACAATAAAACATGCCCAAAAACGGCGCACGGTTAAACATGCAAAACCAAAACTGCGTGGGAAGTTGGTTATCCTCCCCTATCGAAAAAATAAAATTTGAAGGGTCGCCCTTATATTTTGCCGTCTTACATAGAAATAAAAAAATTAAAAAAAACCTTTTTAAGTGATTTAGATTCAATAATATAATGCATAAATTCAATCGTTAAACGACGACATCGATTAATTAATTTTGAATTTGCAACCCTAGATTGGGTTAAAGCAGCAAACGCAAAACATAAACAAAGAGCATCGTCCAAATCGCGTAAAGCAGAAATAAATGTTGGGTAACTAGAAAAAATTTAAAATAATTATGAAAGAGGCTGTTAGCTTTGGGGCTGTGAGTGACTTGATGTCAGCGACTATAGCAGATAATGTAAGTGACATTTGGTAAATAGGTCCCAATAGGCCATCTGGGGGCTTTCAAACTTTTCAAAAATTTTGTTTAGGTCGCTAAAAATCAAAATTTTTCCCCTTGCCCCCACCACGAAAAAATCCTGGCTAAGGGCCTGAGTCCCGGGGAGGGACAAGTAAGAACTAACGATCGGACGAAGACGAGATCCCAGAGAAAATCAATTGGCAAAAACCTATCGAGTCTTCAAAAACGATCTCGATTCCCTCATGACCCCCTCATACTAGTCCAGTCACTAATAGGAACCACACCCACCACCTCTCCCAAAAAATTTCTAAAAAATATATACCGTTCTTTAATAATATGATCATAAGTAAACTTAGGCTTTCGACGAAACAAACTTTTAACTTTCAATTCTTCCTTCTTTGCTCTTGCATGATTGACTTTTTTGAGAAAAATCTTTAAAAAAATGATTAATAAATATTTATAAAAATTTTCTAAAAAACCTTATATTCCCTAAATTTGTTGATTAACGGCTCCTGAGCAAGAAATTTAATATCTCTAATGTGGTAATAAATTTTAGGTTCAGTACTTCCTCCTTTATTTGCCTTCTTTAAATGATTCGGCTCTCTCGGGTAAATTCCTTTAAGAATGCAAAGCCTTCCAAAATCCTTGAGGCTTAATTGAAGCTTTCTGAGAGCCTTCTTTCTTGAAATGTAGGTTGCTGCTGTTCCTGTTGTGTACTGGAAAAGAACGTTTTTTGAGTAAAGTATTCGTTAAAATACCTTTTTCTTTATCCTCATGGTGATCAATCAATAAATGCAAATTGTCAAGAAGTCTCTAAAAGAAAAAAATTTATTTAAACGAAAAAAATCTAAAAAAGGCCAAGATTATTAAAAAAACTGTAAAAATACGCCAGGACTCAAATGTCCTATTAAAGAAAAAAATAAAAGTCTGCATCTCTAGCTGTACTATTTTCTTTAAAATCGATAATCAGAATGCCAAAATTTCTTAAAAATTTGGGATTTTTGATTTTCGTAACCCCCTAACCCAACAGATTCGCCTCAAAAATTCCTAGTAATTTTCGTATCTCTCCTCGTAGCTCCCCATATTTTGCCAATAGACCAATAACTCACGTTGTGACAAAAATTTTATTGGCAAAATGTGGTTATTAGCCTTATTGGCAAAACGTGATGTTTAGCCTTATTGGCAAAATGTGGTCTTTAGCCTTATTGGCAAAATATGATGTTGACAAGATTTGTGACGGAGAAAATAAAGAGAAATCTCGAAATCAGGCTGATTTGATTAATCTCGAGAGAAATTCTTTCAACAATGATTAACGACGAGGAAGAAGAATGTTCCTATTCATCATCAGACGAATCATCACAAGTTATTTCCTTAGAAAATCGGTTACAATTAGAATCTGAATGGTTTCAAAAAGCTAGAGCTTCGTCTACTATTGAACAGGTTTTTTTTAATTTTTAATTAGGATTTGGACCCCGTCCCCGGGAAGGGATTATCCGGTGGAAAGCCCCATCCGAAGTGATTCCCCGGGGGAAGCCACAGAACTTGAATTCCCCGCTACTCCTGTTCCTAGTAGGGTTTTTTTCTCCCCAGGACCGTGGACGGCTTTTCCCCGAGGCACCCTTTCCTCCCTGTCTCTGCCTCCAGGGAAAGGACCCCGTTCGAAGCGACTCCACGAGGGAAGCCACAGAACTTGAATTCCCCGCAACTTCCCGCCCGTAGGGTCGCCCCTTTTAAGTCTTCGGAAATTTCAAAAAAATTTTCCTTTAAAGCTCCGTTATTTGCTAGCTGATTGTTGTCGTCGTTTAAATGCCCAACACAAATGTTCAGACCCAACATTAGCTTCAGAACCTCGAGCAAAACCTTCAACTGAACGTTTTCAATTGTCTTCAAAGGTTGTCCCTCCTCAAGAAAGCAATTTAACTGCTTTGGTTATTTTGGCGGGAGATAGTGTTGTACAGGCTGAGGTTTTTTTTGAATTTATTTTTGGGCTATAAACTTTAAAAAATTTTTCTCAGGTTTCTCTAAAGTATGCAAAAAGTGCCTCTGGATTTTATCGAGCAACAGCCCAACCAGATGTCCATTGGAAAATAGTAAGTGGTTAAAAATAGGTAAAATAGAGATCAGCCTAGATTTGAATTCAGACTTCGATTTTTCCTTGATTAGGGTTCGACCCCCGTCTCGTGGGAAGGGACAAGGCCTCAAGAACAAGGTCCTCAACCAGAATCAAAATTTCTTTTTTTAATTTCTGATCTCTAAGGTAAATAGAGATTTTCAATCTTTGCCATAAGGAAATAGAGTGAAGTTGAGGGAGAAAGCAAAATCTGATCATTTTTTAACACTTTGGGGAGGGGAAAAAACGAAATTCAATTTTCTCTAATTAATTAATTTTTTTTCTAGCAACAACTTCAAGATGCTGCCAATACAATTGTGAGGGCTTTGGGTTCTTTATATCAAGTATTCTTTTTTTATTTTTAAATAATTTTTTTTTAATTTCAAGGGACAACGTTTATATGCAGAAGCAATACAAAAAGGAGCAGATACAAGCCAACTTTTGCTTCAAATTTTTCAATCTGTTAAAAATGATATTAAACTTTCCCGGTCTTCTTTGACAACGTAAAAAATTTTTTTCCTTAAAAATATTTTTTAGATAATTTTCTGAACAAAATTTTTGAAAATTTCAAAAAAAATTTTCTTTTTCAGCCCCAAAAAGAAATCCTTAACGGAGCTTTGCAATTTCCATCCGATAAAATCATTTGTGCCTCCTTTGCCTCACGATATTCTTCTTTCCTTCTACTTGTCTTCAGCAAAATTAATTTGTGCTGCTTATCAGGTTGCACAAAAAGAAGGGACACAAACTGTCACGGTTATTTAAAAAAAATTTTTCTTTGAATTTTCTCATTTTTTAAAGGTTTTTCAAGCAGAATGTCAAATGCCTAAAATTGTAGAATTAATTCAACAATTAAATGTTGCCTTTGCTGTTGTACACGATTTTTTGGCTAATTTTAATCTTTTAATTGATGCAAAGAAATGAGAGAATTTTTAAGTATTTTAAAGACTTTTATTTGTAAAATGTCGTAGGTGCTCTAATTAACCCTCCCGCCTGGGCTTCTATTTTTCAGTGAGGTATTTTAGTGGTGTTATATGAGAATGAGCCTCTATTAGAGAGTAGGTATTTTTCGAAAGGTCACTTTAAGTGGTTCTGGACGGGCCTCTATTAGAGAGAGGACTTCTATTTTTCAATGGGATATTTTAGTGAGGAGAAGCTTTTAAAAGGACTAATATTGACCCTAAAAATTATTATTGGTATACCCACCAAAAATTATGGAGGTTGCCACATGGAGGAGGAACGGTTTCTTTGTTCGTTAGAGCTATCTATCAATATATTATTGCTATCATAACTAAAAATAAAAATTTTTAAAAACTGGGATTGCAATTATAAAGATAAATAACGGCAAAAATCAAAAAATATATATAATGCACATTTAGAATTAGTGAGAGAATAGAAATAAAAAAATTTAAAATTACGCGAATCCATTTGGGGGAGTTATTGCAAGAAGAAAAAGTTTTGCTAATTGTGCCCTCGTTCCAAGTGCCAATCTTCTACGTCTTTCACAACGTTGTCTTTGTTCAATAGAGGGGTAATAATGTTCAAAAGTGCAAACACGTAAATGTGGTCTAATTCTTAATGAAGGCTCGACGGCACGAAAAATGTGGACATTTGATTGATTGAGGAAAAGTGTAACGACTGAACGAGCATTTGGATGAAGAATACGAGCTGAAGCAAAATCGGCACTAAAAAAGAAGAAAGAATGAGTAAAATACCAAATTTTCTTTATTAAAGAAACCTTAGTATTAGTCTTCTCCTAAATAAATCCCCACCATTTTTAGAGAAGGTTTGAAAAATGGAGTCACCCTTTGAAATAAAGCCCCTCCTTTGGCGGCTGATTTACCAACAGAAGCTCCCCCAATACCAGTCGTGTGTTTTAGAGCCTTCTAAAAAATCCCCTCAATTTTTAAAGAAAAGTTGAAAAAAGTGAGCCATCCCTTGTAGTAAAGCCTTCTTTGGCGGCTGATTTACCAATAGAGGTGGCTCCTTTGTATTATAGCCCCTTAATAAAACACCTCCACTAGAGGACAGTTGAACAAAGCCTCCTTCCTAATAAAGCCCCCCCCCTCCTCTAGAGGATAATTTAAAAATGGAACTCTCTCCTTGCTAAAATGGAACTCCCTCCTCCGGGCAAGGAAGCCTTCTCATAAATAAATCCCCTCTATTCTCCTACTAAATTCCCTCCTTGCCCCCGCTTAAAAGATTGTTAAAGTATTGAGCTCCATGGAATTCTATTACAAAAATTATGGAGAACATTCAGAAAAATAATTATAAAAAAAATACCCAAATAATGCAGCTACTGGCCATTCATCATCCGAATCAAATCTTCCCCTATCCTTATGAATTACAAATGCTTCAGCTTCTTTAGGTGTTAATCCAGTTACAATTCGATTAAATTCTGTAAACCCAATAGGAAAAAAGACTTGAAAATGTTGAATTGTATTTAACCGGACACGATCAAGAAAATCTGGTTGAAAATCAGAAAATGGTGAAAGAAGTAAAAAAAGATTTTGTTGTCCAAAACGATCAACCTTTTTAGAAAAAAAATTTTTTTTAAATATTTTTAAAAAAATTAAAAGGAAAAACCGCTTCATCCAATGCTGCTAATTCTATTGTTGTTCGATAATTTGGATCTGGTTTGAGAAGTAAAAGGTCTGAGTCCATTGAACGACATCTTTAAAAAAAGAAATTTGAAATTTTTTAAATTGTGAGGGGGAGCGCGCCGAAATACCAAACTGTGAATAAATTTAAAAAAACATAGATTTCTATTACAATCACGTGCAAAGTTGCTTCAAAAAAGGGAAGGTTGTTGCTAACAATCCACATGTTGGTATTTTAACGTGTCTTTTGGGGTGTGGTATTTCGGCGTCTTTTGGGGGGGGGGGGGGTTTGGTATTTCGGCATTTTTTGGTATTAACAAATTTAAATTCTCATATTCAAACCTTCGTCTCATTTCTGCCAAGTTTTCCCCCAACAATCGAAGGGGCAATGCTTCAACATTTCTAGCAGCAACCAAAACTCTTAATTGACGTCCTTCGACAGCTCCAGACATACAAATTGATAAAATTCGACGCAGAAGGGGATGAAGACTGTAAATTTGGGCTGGAGTTTCTACTGGAACTTGAAAAAATTTTCAAAGGGTTTCTTTAAAATTTAATTAAAAAAAACCTAAAAGAGCAATTTCACGATCCTCTTTAACATAAGGAACTTTTTCCAACAATTTTGTAGAATGTATTGGTCTGCTTACTTGTATACGTTCAAATATTTCATTGTTATCACACTCCAAATCAATTAAATAATCAATTCCCCTGGTTGGGTTAAAATGTCTAAAAATTAAAATTTTTTGAAAAAAATAGTTTTGTTGGCTCTGGTCTAGTTAATGTGTCCAATGAACCTTTATGAGTCCAATAAAAAATGTACAGATACTTATCAGGGATGTCAAGCGTTTCCTGAAACCCAGACTTTTTTCAGACCCTAAACTCAATCCGAGAAATCTTCCAAAACCAAACGCAAAATTCTCAACCCGTGAGAAATCCCTGGTATTTATAAAGACACCGTCTTCACTCAAACCAGCACTACTTTCTTCATCGTGCTTATAAAACTTTGTTCACTCATTATTGGACTAATAAAAAATCTGTTAGGCTTCATAAAAGTTCAGTGGACTTATAAAACTTCGTCGAGCTCAAAAATTTCATTGGAAACATAAAAACTAGACCATCAACCTTCTTTAAAATCAAACAAACTTGTATCCTTCAACAAATTTTGCTCCACCATTTAAACATTTGCTTTTAGTTAATGCTTCGTTAAATACTTGTGTCCATTCTTCACGTTCATCTTCGCTCAAATCAGCACTGCTTTCTTCTGGATTGTTACTGAATCTTTTCCAATCTGAAGTAACCAATTCCCAAACTGGAGCTGAAAAAGGGAGATTTCTTGTTGAATAAAAATTAGCACTATAGTCGTTCCCCTCTCCCATATGATCTCTAGAAAGTTTGCAAAAGTTTAGCCACCGGGCAGGATTGAACCTGCGACCACCTGCTAGTTGTTGCTAGGCGCTTTCGCTCATTATATGCAGGAACTCAACCTCTGAGCTACCAGGGCATCGACTAATGCTCTCTTTTTCCTTTTTAGATCGTTTAACCCCCGCCTAAGCGTTTTAAATTCTGTTGGGTGAATCATCGTTACACTCTTTTAATAAGTTCCTGTATTCCCAAAATAACCTTTTAATGGAATAGAGAAAGCTCTACTAACCTAACAATAAAGTTCTGTTACAACTCCCAAAAAAAGGCCCATTCGTTAGATACTAATTTGGGTACTTAACGACATAGACACCTAATCTACTCCCCATGAAGGGAAGTAAAAAAAAATTTTTTAAAAAAAAACCTTGAAATCGATTTAATGGTTTTGAAACATCCATAATTCCAATAGGCCATCCAGTCTCTTCTTTTGAATAATACTTTTCTGTTTCTTCCTCTAACGATTTGATTTCTTCTTCAGTTCGAATAAATTCAACATTTAAAAAATGCTTGGTTAAAGCAGATATATCCAATTCGGAAAGTAATGGAGAAATAGTTAATGATTTATTGAAAAGAGGAAGGAGAGCAAGACGTTCAATTTGATCTAAAAAATCATGAAGGCTTAAAAATCTTTTCCAAATAAATAGTGATTGGACGCTCGTAGCACAAGGCTGGGGGGGGGGGGGGAAGAGGAGAAGAGAAGAAAAAGAGAAGCAAGTACAAACCAAAAAAACTGAAATGTTGCAAAGTACGGGTAAGAGACAACAAATTTTCACTCCCCCAAGCCATAGCCAAGATTTTTTTTCTCTTCCACCCCCTCCTCCTTGAAATTTGAAACGGACAAAGAATAAGATTAGTACGGACAAAGAATAAGATCCAATCACTGATAGTAAAAACAACGAACAAACCATGTATGGACGGAGAAAGGCTTTGTTGATCATCAGAAGAAACCCTCCACCAACGATGCTCGTATCCTTGAAATGTTGAAATGCAACTTAGATTGGCTGCTAGACGAATACAAGTTTCCAAAGCAAAATTCTTTTAAAGAAAATTTTTAAATTTTCAAAAAAAATTTTTTTGTAAAAACCTCTCCATTCCCCGAAGTTCCTAAAGCCAATCCATTACATAAATGCCTTCCTTGAGCTAATACATTCATTGCTGGAGATGAAAATAAAATTCCAGCTTCAACAAGACAATGACCTCCATCTTCTTCATTTAAGTCCTTATTTTTTATTTGATTAATATTCCATCCAAAAGCGACGGGGGAATTCCATAAAAGTGAATTTACAAGTCGTTCTAATTCATAAATATTGACAAATGTTGAATCTGGTAGAAGTAAATACCAATTTGCTGGGTTGTTGAGAGACTAGAAAAGATGAAAATGAATTTTTGGGTTGCGAGGAGGGTGTTCTTCTTTATTAGAGCTTAATCCCTCTGTTGAAGCCTCTCACTCTCCCAGACCCGAAGTCAGAATCTACCCTGGGTATGAGCCAGGGATGTTACGATTTACCCGAAACATGGACTCTTGTTCGACCCGAACCCCGGCCCAAGTTTTTCACTCTTATTTGTTAATCCCCTAACCGATCCGTCCTAGACCCAGACCTTTCCTCAACCCATGAAATCCCTGAGCACGAGCCTGCCAGTCTCCCATTTATAAAAAAAATAAACCTTACAATATTGGCAATAGCAATGAGCAACGAAACAGGATCAGAACGAACACTAACTGGCTGAGAATTTGCAGGAAAATCAGAAGCAGCAAGTTTACCAGCAGAAACCAAAATTTTGACAGGCACTTTTGGAGACAATAATTGGTATAAGGAGGCGGCAGTAGACGTACGGGCCAACAAAAATATTAAAAGGTTCGGTCGAATACCCAATTCTGTTGCCGCAAATCGAGGGCGATTCAACTAAAGGGAAAAAATTTAAAAAATTATTTTGACATGAAATGTCGAGAGTTATCTGAAACTGGGAATTTCTTAGGCAAGAAACCCGGCCTGGGAAATTTTTGAAAGCACAACCTAACCTGACTTTTTTCCCTCATAATCCCCCCACACCTGACCCGGAACCCGGACTTTTTCAGACACCTAAACCACGATCCAAAATACTCGGAAACCGACTTTTCCTTAACTTGTGCATCCCTGATTGGGATCTCATCCCACTTAATTGATTTCTCTGATGGAACGATGTCACGGGAAACCAGGACTTTTTAAATTCGACCCGACCTGACTTTTTTCCTACTTATCTCCTAACTGACCCAACCCGAGCCAGGGCTTTTTTGACCTGAAACCCGATCCTAAAAAATTTTTTTTCTTAACCAGTGACAGACCTTTTGGTCGAAACCTCGCCTTAATTCTTTTCGAGCCCTTTAAAGAATCCAAAAAAATAATTAAAACCTTGACATGTTGATTAACAAAATTATTTTGTCCATTTTCTTCATGTTTTTGTTCCAGAATTATTCTTTCCCAATTTTCAGCTAATTGAATTCCTCCTTCCTTTCCTTCATAATTTTCTTCTTCTCTATTCAATTCAACTTCTTTATTTCCTCCAAAAATTAGCCAACTTAAAAATAAACCAAAAATAAATCCAAAGATAGAGTTCCAACGTCTGATGCCCATAACTCCAACATAGAGAGGCTTTTAATTAACTTAAAAAAATTGTGGCCGCGCGCCTTTTTGGCCAAAATATTGATTATTTTAGAAATGTAAAATAGGTAAAAATATTAATTCAGGTTTTAACCTGTTAAAAATGATGGAAAAAAAGTTGCAATAAAAGGAAATAATTTAATGAAAAATAATTTAAAAAAACAAACATTAAAAATCAATTTAAAAAAGAATCAGGAAAAAATAAAGTCCACGAGCGGGTACAGCCCAAGTAGGCGAGCGGCCAAGTAGGCTCAAAGCTATAACTAACTTGCTTCAAAATTTTCGAATCCTACCAAACTTAGTATTAAACGATTCCTCTCATAGAGCTAAAGAGATTGGTACCAAAAGTCCAGAAATTTTCCAGGTAGTTATAGCTTTGCGTCTATCTGGCCGCGCGCCCACTTGGGCGTGTCCCTCCACGAGCGTCTTAAAAAAGTCGAGCATAATTAGGTTCAAGTTCAGTATTTTCATTCAAATAAATTGGTGAGCCAAATTTGTGTATCATTACCTTAAATTAGAGGTATAAATACTAAAACCAATTAATTTAAAATTAATATCCCCTATAAGAAAACTCCTCCCTCCACTACCTGAATTCCATTTTAACATATTCCAATAGCAACAGCAGGAAGACAAGGTTCAGGATTTTCTTTGACAATCATAAACATGTTTAGCAGTACAGAAGCACACTAGCATATTGAGCTCGTCTATGGCGTCTGTTCATGTACTGAAATTAAAAATTCAAGAAAAATCAGAAACCTCTAAACCTCAGTCTGACAAAACAACTTTCTTCTATCCAACATCTTTGAATATATTTGATCAACTCCAGTAAGTGTTGCAAGTAGTCGATGAACCATAACGTCAGCATAACGACGAATTGAGAAGTAAATATTCGTGAATTTTTTCAGTAACAGAAATATTTGCCAACAAAATGAATTCTTCTATCATGGACCTTAAAAATTTTTTTAAAAATTTTTATAAAGAAAAAGTAAAAGCAAACATAGTCTCCAAATGTTGCTTCTCTAAGACATTAACAGAAACACCAGTTTCTGGATCAATAGCAAAACGAATTTCTGAAGAAGTAATTTTAATGCACAACAGTACGTCGACGAGACTTGAAAAATTCACTTTAATTTTAAAAAATTTTTAAACCTTCAATTTCTTTGACAATTTTAACAAATTCCTCAAGCTTTTGGCAATAACGTCCTAAATTTTTTCCAAAATTAAAAAAAAACCTCATATTTTTCATTATCAATCAATTCTTGAGCTTTTTGATAAGTTAATGCAGCACTGAATGGATCAAAGATTTACAGAATTTTATTTTTTTTGAATTTCTGCGTCTCCATTTAATTCCCAAATAACGCTAAATGCATAAGCAATTCACCAGCACGAAGAGAATATCTTAAAAAAGTTTAAAATTATTGAAAAGTTTAATGTGAGTTCCAGGCATTGAAATGGGGTTCCCAGACTCTGTAACAACCCCTCGGAAAAAAATTATCAGAACAGGGAAACCGGGCTCGGTAGTAGTTTAATAAAATTCAGTTTTTCTTGGTTTCCGATTTGTTTTTAACAAGGAAAACCCAGCACAGATGAAAAAAAAGAAGCCCCGGCCCATGTGAAAAAAGCCTGACCAGAATTTCAGTTACTGAAATTTAGAGAAAATCCTAATCCAAAAAATCTTAAAGGAAAATACCATCAGCAATGTGCACTCCAACTTCAAAGCAATTAGGCTATAATTCACGGCAAAGAACAGCATCGTCAATATCAGTACAGCCTTAAATATAAAACAAAAATAGACAAAAATAAAATCAAAAAAAACCTTCTGGATCAACAGAACAAATATCCAAAGACGTCAAATCTTCACGTTTTGGAGGATACAAAGGATGTGTAGATCATTAAACTTCAGGAAGACATGCAAGAACAGCTGGAGAAAATTCGTCATAAGGCACTTCCATGTTCCAACAGACAATAATGACGCCAATTTCGTCGTAGATTGCCAACAATACGTGCTGAGGGTAAAACCTGAAAAAAGAATAGAAAGAAAATAGGGTTGAAAACAATGCTGGGCATGGCTCCGGGAGCGGAGCTAAGAATTTTAAAGTGCCCGGAGCCGAAACCAGGAGCTAGAACATGGAGCCAAAGTTTGAAAAAGATCGGAGCCGGAGCCACAAAATGCCCATAAACAGGCACCTAATTTTTGGAATTTTTATAGAAGAAAAATTTGAATAAACCTGGACAAACCATTGATCCTCCATATCAAATTCAACAAAAGCTTCCAAATAATTTTCTGGAGAAATCTGAATTCTTAAAGTAAATCATAAATTGACCAAAACAAAAAAAACCTGAAATTTTCCTTTTTTTTCAAATTTCCTTTAGAAAATCCATCCAAACGTTTGTCTTGAGTCCAATATTCAGGAAAAATTGCACGTCGTTCTTTTTTGTTTAAATCAGTTAAGCGTTGAATGAGTGAGTCAGAGTCGTGGATTTCTTTAAAAAATAAATTTTAATAATGAATTGATAGAAAATTCAAACCTTTAACATAATCAATTATTGAAATTACAACAGCCTCTTCAGAAGAACAAAGAATTAATGGACGGACAGAAAATTCATTAAAATGATCACAAAGAAATTTAGAGGCAGAAGTTCAATCTCTTTTTGAAGTCATGAGTGCCAACAACCTAATTAAAGGAAAAATTTAAATTAAAAAAAGGCAGAACTAGATTATAAACAAAAAATATAAACTTACTGGTTCATTTTCATTACTTGAACCACTTCATCTTCTTCCAGATACAATTCTATTTCCCTCTTTTTCTTCTTTTCTTTATCTTCTTTGTTTATTTTTGGTGAAGGTGGCGTTAATGATTTGTTTTGGTTTTTATCACGTTGTTGTTCTTCATTTTCCAAAAGCAATTTTGGGCGTTTTTTGCATCCTTCTGGAAATTCATCAATGTTTAAGCCTTCCACTTCATTGGAATTACAGCAACAAAACTAAAATTTAAGTATTTTTTTTATTATTGGTAATGGTTATTTTTGGGCATAATAAGAAAAATATAAAACAATATCTCCTACCCTTTTCAGCGGACGGTCTTTGGAGGTAGCATTTACATTTACAACTTCAACAGAATTATTATTTTCATTAATTTGATCTTCATTTGTATATCTCCTCAATCCCATTTCATTTTCCTCCATCTGTGTTTGTACATTCACTAACGATTCCTTTTGGGGCATTGGATTTAGTAAGTTATCCTCCTCCTGTGTTTGTACATTCACCAACAATTCCTTTTGGGGCATTGGATTTAGTAAGTTCAATTCCTCTTTTTTATTAGTGCATTTACTCACTTCGTCCCTCAAAAGTTCCATTGACGTTTCTCGTGCCTGAGTTGGAGAGACAGCCGCAGCCATAACAGAGATACTAAAATTTTTTAATTTTAAGAATTCCATGTATGAATTAAAAATACTTATCAAGAAAATCATTGAAAGGATCAACTTCCCTCTCTTTATTGCCTTCAGTTTTTTTTGGTTTCCTTTTTACTTTTTTCCCTTCATTTGTTGTTTTCCCTTTATTTGTTGTAGCACGATTATTATCATTATTATTTAATTTTTCTCTTTTTGAAGATATTGGAGAAGTTGAATTATTGACAGGGAATTGCTGATCCTGTTCATTTTGGTTTTGTGATGTTTGAGAATTAGAGAGCAAAGCAACGGAATACAGGGCAGCTGCCAAACTTTGAAGAATTCCATTTACGTGAACAAGTTTCTTATTCATTTTCATCTTAAAAACGAAATTACAGTTAGAAAAAAAATATTTACCTCCTTTTGTCGTTTATTTTTAGAATTTTCTATTTCATATTGATGTTTTTGCAAGTCAGAAATTTGTTCTGTTAATAAACCTGTTCTTTTTTTAAGCTTCTCAATTATTGAATTTTCTTCTTTTAATGTTAATTTAGTGGTCTTCTTCGAAGCTGAAAATATTTTCTGTTAGAACCTTCATTTACTTTTAACTATTGGATTAATGCTCTGTACCAGAGTCGGTACTTTATAGATATGTATAGATTTTCTTCCTTCCACAATTTCACTCCATTTCCCTGTGGCGTATTAAAATGAGAGGCTGATTGAAAAATCTTTTATTTACCAATGCCTCTGATTTAAAAATGCCAAAGGGAAATGATAAATTATGGAAGGAAGAAAGGCTGACCATTATTACAAACTAAAAAACTAAGACTCAAAATAAGGGGGGTGATATATCCATAAAACACCCCAAAGTCAATATTTAAAAAAACCTTTAGCTGGTGAAAGAGCGAAGGTTAGTAAACTTTGTTGTTGGATAGAAACATCTTCATTTTCTTCATCTTCACTCATCGAATATTCGGAAACATAGTCTTCATTCTCATTTGAACATAAGACTTCGAAATTAAAATCTGGCAATTTTATAAAAAATTAAAATTAAAAAAATTAAATAAAAAACCATAAATTTCTCCATTTTTATCTCTCAATTCAATTGTGTGCGGACCACTTTGATGCGGGACAAAGCTGACTCGGAATTTTTCTTTTTCAAGTTGTTCCATCTTTACATCATGTTTCAAGTCGCCGCTTGGCCCGTGTACATGAACAGATAGATCAGAGATGTGTTGATTTGGGGCAGTAAACACAAATGCTGTTGAAAGACCAATAACTGGCTGGAAAAAATATTTAAAAACAATTATTTATAACAGTCATGGATTAGACCAAACCCTGACTTCTTTCGACACGATACCAGAAACCCGATCTGAGAAATTTACCAAAACTCGACCGCTTAATCCCCTAACTGACCCGGCCCAGAAACAAATCAGAAACCAAAATTTTTTAACCTAAAAGCCGATCTCAGCTCGTCGAGACAAATCGAATGACATGTCACGTCCCGAACTTTCACCACCGGTACACTACACTACAGCCTAAAAAATAAAGTCTTTTAACCTTTCGTATTTCACTTGCAACTCTAGCTCCAACATTCTGTTCTTCCAATATTTCTTCTGTATCATATTCAACAGCATTCACAGGAATTTCAAATATTTGCTGGTCATTCACAGTCAAATAAATTTTATGGACGCCAGGATTCATTGGTTCATAGCGGGCATTGTAGATAGACGAAGTTTTCAAGTCAACCTCTACAGGAACTTCTTCCCCTTCAGGTCCAACCACAGTAACCTGGACACGCTTTGGTTTTGGAATATTGTCAAAATCAATTAAAAAATTTGTTTTTTGACGTATTTGAATAGTTGGACTCAATGCTGGACCGCTAAGACAAATTTTATTTGGATCAAAAGGGCCATCAACAAAAATAACAAAAGGCCATCCCTCAACTGCCAGTTTATCGGCGACAACACTAATCAAGTGCTATAAGAGAAAAAAAATTTTTTTTAATCCAATAAAAAATTAAAAAAAACCTTTCCTTCCTTTTGCGGCACAAAACTGTAAAAATTTCCTTCAGGTTTATTTTCACAATCAAAATCGACTTTTTGTAAATTTGGGTCGTAAATTTCAACGTAGAATGTGTCAGCTTCTAAAAAATTTTTAAAAATTAAAAATCATTTAAAAACAAAATCCAAACCAATTTCCTTTGGAATTTTAAAATTAAATTGTTTGCCGACTTGTCCTTCGTTGCTTTCAAATGATGGTATTCGAATTGGGCGGTCAACGTTTTTAAAAGGAAGTAGATTTGATGGTTCAATCCAAAGAACAAAAGGAGAATCTTTTATGTGTGAATTTGTGTCATGTTCGGTGATGTTGATTGTGTAACACCCCGGAACATGAGGCTAAAATGAAAAAAAGATTAGATATAATTAGAAAATTTGGTAGATTCATTATTGATATCTCCCTCCCCCCCCCTGAGCCCACAAATTTACGTTTATTTTTTCTTCAATCATTTATTTTCCTATAGCAAAATATAAATGAAAAAGCGGGTGAAGGAAGTTTAACCATTATGTACAACCTAAAAAAGGAAAGAATACGCTGTACACCAAAATAGGAGGGGGTATGAATTAAGTACAAATTTTTTATTTGTTCGAATTCCTCAAAATCCTCATTAAAATAAAAAAGAAAAACAAACTGTGTATTCAACCAACGCCGTTCCTTCATTATCGTCAGAGCAAATAATCTCCGGTTCGCTGGGTCCTTCGATTGAAAATTCTAAAAAAATAAAAAGTGTTATTTTTTAGTTAATACCTTTGGTCGGTGTTCTAGATTAATTTTTGAATAGATTAATTCCCTCTTTAAAAAAATATTCTTATATCCAAAAAATCCAAAAAAAAATAAAAAAGAAACCTAAACAATTTCCTCTTCCATGTATGTCAACATAAAAGACAGCCATTTCATCAGCAACACCTCCAACCAATCCGGGACCGACAGCTCGAATACTTGAAATGTTCTTTGGGCCAACCACAATCTAAAAATTACGAAGGAAAATTTAAATGCAAATTTTTAAATCATTAAAAAAAACATTGTAAGGACTGCTTCCCAAATGTACATTGCTTGCAGCGCTTTTGACAGAAACCTCATACTTCCCGCTTGTACTCGGAGTAAAAACGAAAGATTGTCGAGGATGTATAGCAGTAAAAGGTTGTGAAACTGCTGACGGTCTCTGTTCAAAATCTTGTCGAGAAACAGGGATGAGCAGGTCATCATCTGAACGAACAAATTTAAATAAAACAATCTTCAAAAAAATTTTTCCAAACCTTTTTCAACACTAACAATAACCTCATCCTCACAATTATCCACATATACACCAAGCTCCTCATTAGCACCCGTTCCAACAGACAAAAGACCACGTCCCCACACTACAACATTTTCATAATTATTAGTTGAAAGAGGAGATTTTAGAATTTCTTCAGGTGGTGTTTCTTCTTTTTCTAGATCATAAACATCTAAAATTAAGTTAAAAGAGAAAAATTAACGAGATTTGCCTTGAAAGGGCTTAGTCAAAACCATAGGGCTGGGTCAAGCCATTTTTGGGACCCCAAATTTTTTGAATTCATCTTTTCTAGTGTCCAAAAAGCAGAATTTTCGAAAATATCACCAAAAATCCTGATCAAAATCGGAAGAAAACTCAAAAATTGGAATTTTGAGTCGTTTTTTTTGGAAAAAATAACAGAAAACAAGTTTCAGGAACAAATTCAGAAAAATAAATTCCGAAAAATAGACTTCTAGCTGTACTGCCCCATAGGCTAGGAACTTAATTTTTGTGTCGTTCGCCTCAGCTCGTTGAGCTCTAGCGAATGACACATTGTGAAGGAATTTTACAAAAATTTTAACAAAATGTGAAATTATACCATTTTCAGAAATATTTGAAGACAAATGTTGTTGTGGTGACAACGTGTTGTTCAAAGCAAATTGTGTTGAATTTTTTTGGGAAATACAAGCTGAAAAAATAAAAAAAATTTTTTATCGAATTTTAAAAATCAAAACTAAAAATTTCCGAAAATGATTTTTTTAGAAAATCGTAAAAAAATTGGCATTCAAAAAAATTAAGTATTATTTACCAGCATTGTGTTCTGTACCCATAATTATGATATTTTTTGTTTTGTCTTTTATGTATGTGTGGATTGTGCCATTACATTTAATCTTCGGGTTGTTGCGTAGTACACAAAACCATGTAAATTTTGTTGATTTTGTAAATTTTGTTGATTTCTTCATATAAAAGGAGTATAAGTGACCCCCAACATTAATTCTTTTTCCAGATTTCACATTATAATCATGAATATATTCTAAAAATAATGTTAATGAAATAAAAAATCAAAAATCGAAAACAATCACACATGCAAAATATAAACACATTAAAAAATTTCACAACAAAAATTACAAAAACATTTAAAAAAATATTTACCTGTAATCAAATAGAGGCCATATTTATTGTAAATATTAAATAATTGTTGTTTCATATTTAATTTTTGAGAAGATAAATAATTGGCCATTTCTGTAAAAACTGCTGCTACACTTGTTTCGTTCTAAAATTTTTTTGATTTAATTTTTTATTAATTCATGGGGAGGAAAAAATTCCGTTTTTCCAAAAATTTTTATTTTAGAACTCAAAATTAGGGTTAATTACCATAAACAAAAATTTCAAGTTAGAATAATGAGGAATTATAAATGCCATTTATTATTCGAAAATAAAAAACCTTATCAAGAGTTGTTCCTGTTGCAAACCCTTAAATTAAAAAAAAATAAAAAAAATATTGAATTGAAAATAGAAAAACCTATAGATTCTTCCCAAGCAAGAATAACCAATTTTCCTTTCGTTCGAAGTTCAAGTGCCTTATTTCCAAAATATTTGAAACCAGCCAAAGAAATATCGTTTTTGAAGCCTGGGAAATTAAAAAAATAGACAAAAATCAAAATTAAAGAAAACCTTCCATTTTAGCCATTTTAGCAACTATATGAGAAGAAAACGACCCATTGATAACATAAAAATCTTCTCCAGATAAATTTGGATTTCTTTGTTTCCATTGCGTCCAAATCCACCATGTTAATAAAGTACCCATTTCATTCCCATCAAATAAATACCAACTGACGCTAAAATAATTATAGAAAATCAATTAAAAAGAAAATGGGCATTTTGACTTTGTTGGTCCAATCTCTATTTCATCCTCTAACTTTGGGATAAATGAATCATTTTGTAATTAAAGTTGGTACTACATTTATTGAAGGTTTGTCCTCAATAGAGAACAAAGGGAAGATAGGATAAAATTAAATTGGCCGTAAAATGGTCAAAAATTCCCAAATGTCAAACCCAACCCAAAAAATTCAAAAAAAAATTAAAAAAATACTCTTGTTGTCTTTCAGCAATTTGAAGCCTATTGGCATTTTGATCATTAGCCAAAATTAAAGTAGCATCAGTTTCCTCCGCTTTTTGATAACAAAGTTTGAGAACATCAGGAGAGGAGCCGTCTGGATCGGGTTCGGCTTGTTCCTGAAAATAGAAAATTTAAGGGAAATTTCAATATAAAATCGAATTTTCTCGACGAAAATTAATTTATTAAAATATTTTTAAAGCAAAAAAAATTTGCAAAAAAAGAATGAAAATTGCAAACCTTCACACAAGAAAAAGCATCTTCTGGAAATCCAAATTCTTTAAACATTCGTTGAGCAAATTTAAAACCATCATCATTAAAGGAAGAATAAGTAAATTTAAGTGAAGTTTTTGCATTTAATTCTCTGAAAATTTTTTATTTATTCTCTTATTAAGTTCATTTATCTTATTCTAATTTCATATACAGGTTCGTAATTAAATTCCAATTTTTTTTCAAATTATAAAACGAACCTATAAAAACAACAAGCAGAAGACTCAGCAGCAAAATATTTATCCAGAATAGAATCAGCAACAACAGAAAATAAATTGTTTGTAGAAAGAGTTGTAGTGTTCCAATAGTCTTCTTTGGGTTGTTCCTTGGAAAGAAGACAAATTTCTCTTTCCATAGGTTTGAGTATTTGGGCTCCATTATTCCAATAAACTGTAAAGCCATTATATTTTTCTGGGTTTTGGGAGACTGTTATCTTTAAAAAAATATTTTTAATTAAAAAAATATAATTAAAATAAACCATTAAACCAGCATCACAATTTAATCCAACAACGGCAGAAGAAACAACATGTGTTGGAACACAATCAGAAAACAAAGTTACACGAATTCCGTTTTTGATAAATACATTGGAGGCCAATTGAGCGAATCTGGATAAAAAAATATTATTTTTTGGAAATTTTGGGCACTTGTAAAAAACAAGAATTTTGCGGACATTTTTCAGTTTGCGGACATTTTTCAGTTTTCCTCCGCTTCTCTTTCCTCCCGATTTCAATTGGATATTATGAAACATTAAACTATTATACGTATCACCTTTCTACTATCCCTAATAATAAATCTTTAAAAAAGCTGATGAGAAGCACCAAACTTGAAATTAAACGAAAATGTGACAACAACATCTTCCCAAAAAATGGGAAAAAGTCCGCAAAAAAGAGTCAACAAAAATTAAAAAAAACCTCAAACTATTTTGACGTCCATTAAATCCAACCACAATTTTTAGTTTCTTGTTTTTATTAGGCATTTCTTTTAATAAATGTTGAGCCATTCCATGGGAGAGAAGGATAACATTTAGTTCATTTAATTGAGTGAAGCCTGGTCCGATTTTTGTATTCTCACCTTGAAATAAATTTTATTCAATAAGGCCAGACCGACAACATGGAAAATTTTTTAACCGTAAGGTTAATCTACAGAGAAAGAGTCCCTGAGAAATAGTCCCGGAATTTTGGTAACTGGAATTCGGGTAATCGATTTTTTGGAATTTTGGTCACCAAGTCAAAATATTAAGCACATGGAATTGAGGGCGTCGGACTCATTTGTGTATTTTATAGTTCCACCGGCTTACGTGTTTAATTTTGTGTTATTCTTAAATAAATGAAAAAAATCAGAGATTTGGTTCAGAAATTGGGTTACCCTCCTTCCTCCAAAAAAGTATGGTAAAACATGGAAAACGGGGAAGGAAAAGAAGGGGACAATTAAGGTTCCGTCTAAAATAATATATAAAAAACCTATTCCAAAAGCAAGTTCACCAATCATCAAAGCTTTAAGTGCTTCAGTATCTCCTCCATCAAGAAGTTTAGAAACTCGATTTCGAGTGTCATCGTTCTTCAAAAAATTACTTTAATAAATTAAAATAAAAAATAAAACCTTATCCCATTCCAGCCAATTATCAATTAATTTTTGCAAATCTTTTTCCTTTGAAGAATCTTTTGAAGAATCTTTTCCCATTGAAAAATTTTTTCTAGAAATTTTTAAAATCTGAAAAATCTTTAAAATAAAAATATAAAACAAATGACAAAGTAATTTTCGAGAAAAAAAAGAAAAATCCGAGAAAAAATTTTTTACTCCATTCTTAATTAAAGATGTGTTCCAATATTTTTTTTATTTTTTTTTCAAATTTATTTTTTTGCAATGCTCTTCAAATTTCCAAAATGCTGAATTGGCCCTCGTCCCTAATTTTTGACCATTTCTATACCTATATCTCGGCCCAAAGTTGAGTCCCGAATCTAATTAACCTCAACTGGCCGAGAGCATTTCCCAATAAAATTTTGTTACACGGCGGGTTAAACTGGAAATCTGGTGGCGTTGTGTATTTTTATTTTTTAAAATACGCCAAATAGCGTTAGCACTATTTCTCACTTCTCTCGCTCTCTTTCTCAAAAAACGCAAGCCGTTTCAGCGCCAACTTCATTTTTTTCTCACCAAACGCGAGCCAGTTGAGTGCCACCTTCATCGCAGAGTTTGAGTGTCAACGAGGAAAACTCTCTCTCATTAGAAACTCTCTCACCAGCGTCAATAGAGATGAAAAATCTGAAAAAAATGAAATTGATCAAATTACAGAAATGGTTCCAATAGAAAAAAGGTCGTTATCTTGTGGAGCAATGCTTAATAAATTTGAAAAGGTTTTTTTTTTATTTTTTTGTTTAACGTTAAAAAATTTTTTGAAGGATTTTATGATTTTTCCTGAATATTTGGAGCTGGCAGAAATTGTAAATATAAAATCGTATGTTGGCAAACTTGGTGATGATCTTGACAAAACAAGTATTTTTAACTTTTTAAAATTCACTGTTTATTTTCTAAAAAAAGTTTTTGGGGGATAAGAGTGATTCGGGAAATTTCTTTCTTTGAGGCTCACTGGACGTCTTCGACTTCTTTTTTTAATAATTTCTTTCGGAGAATAAAAGAACCTTTAGTTCTTCCTTAAATTCTGTCATTTTTGAGAGGAATGGGCGTTAGTTTATTTTTTGAGGCTCTCTTAACGTCCTCAACTTCTGAAAAATTTTTTAGACCTTCTGGATGTCCTTCAGCCCTTTCATGTCCCTGTGGCCTTCTTAACGTCCTCAACTTCTTTAAAAAAATTTTTTGAAGCTTTTGGACGTCCTTAAGGCTCTCTGACGTTTTAAGCCTCTCTGAACTTCCCCAACTTCTTTAAAAATAATTTTTAAAGTTCCTCACGTCAAAACCTCCCCTGGTCTCATGCCTTCAGAAATTGTTGATGTCCTCATGAAAAATGGAATTTTTGGAGCAATTATTCCAAAAGATTTTGGAGGTGTTGGTTTTCAACAAAAAGATGTTCTTCAATTAGTTGAATGTATTAGCTCTAGAGATCTTTCAATTTTTACAATGTTTAATAATTTGATGACTTGCTCAAATATAATTTTACAATTTGGAACGATTAAGCCAAAAGATGATTTTTGCCTGGACTGGGAAATGGAGACCTGCAATTTGTTGGCAAGAGGAAACGTAGGAAATTTTTTGGTCTGATTGGGCAATAGAGGTTGAGATTTTTAATTGGGAGTAGCTGGTTTGAATCGTTGATTTCTGACACTGACTTCTACTTTTGACACACTGGCGACATTGACCATTAGACATTGACTATGGCATGTCACTGTCACAATTGACATTGAGAACATTGTTGAGGCGACAATGACCTCAATGTCGATTGCTTCAGAGACATAACATGGTCTGTCGCTAAAAGTAGTCGTTGTCAAAAATGATGTCAGAGTCATGTTGGCAATCACAATCTGTACGTCAAACGATTGCCAAATGTCGGACATTTGAAGTCGATATCGCTTCGTGGAACGTCTCTAATGTCAACAGGCCTAGAAAAAGTCCTAGAAATTCCAAAAGATTCCTGGGTCTTCCTTGACCATTACCCAGGCTCAATCTCTATTTGTCCGCAACTTTTGTCCGCAAAAAAGTCCCATTTTCAGTACTTCAGTCAATCCATCATCACAAGTTTCTTCAGCCCCTGGTCAACCACAACGACTTAATGCTTATAAAGTAAATGTTGTAAATGCTGTGGATGCTAATTTATTTATAGTTTTTGCTAATAAAAGGATTGGGGATGGGGTTGAAATTTTGAAAATTTTTTTAATTTTAAAATTTTTTTTTAGAATTTTCCTACTTGTTATATAATTGAAAAAGATTCAATTAAAGACCCAAATGCTTCAATAACCATTAAAAATAAATTAATGACTAGTGGACTGCAAAAATGCAATTGTAGGTTTTTTTAGAATTTTTAAAAATTTTCTCGTTTTTCAAGTTTCTGAGGTTGTTTTCATTAATTTCCCCGTTGATGATTCCCTTATGCTTGGGGAAAGCGAAAATGCTGGAGCAATGGTTGATGAATTGGCTTATTCAGGCAAAACGCTTTATGGTGCTGCTGTGGTTGGATTTGTGAAGAAGCTTTAGGTTTTTTTTGAAAATTTTTTACGAAAATTATAAGTAGACACTAAGAATTGGCCAAGATAAGAAAAAAAGCTGGGTCGAATTTCAGATTGGGGTCTTCAAAATTTTCTTTGGATCGATTTCGAACTAATCTCTGGATAGCGCTTTAGTTATCCCCGCTTTGGTTGAAAATTGTCTTCTTTTTAGTTAAGTTGTCTTATGTAAGGGTATCGCTTAGACAACTCACCTCACTTATTGTTAGTCAATATCCAACAAACTTGAGGTTCATCTCTGTAAGGATGATTTACCTAGAGCATGTAAAAAGCTTAGGCGGGCGTTAAACTATCTAAAAAGGAGAAGGATTAGTCGATGCCCCTGTAGCTTAGGGGTAGCTCCTGTATGTGGTGAGCGAAAGCGCCTAGCAATAAATACGAGGAGGTTGCAGGTTTAATCCTGCCCGGTGGCTAAACTGTTGCTAAACTCTTTTTTTTGTTTATTTTTTGTATCCTTTAGTGCTGTCCTTTAATTAACCTATTTAATTAACCTACAAGAGTATGTTTTTTTGATTAATTGCTTTAATTGAAATTTTTTAGTATTTCAACATTAATGGAAAATAATTTGGCAATGATTTCTGCAATAGCTAGAGCAAGTAGAGCTTATTCTGTTGGTGTTAGAAACTCTCGTTTGGAGGTTTTATTTAATTTTTTTTAATTAGGAAGGGGAGCCAGTGCTATCCATAGACTGATATTTCGACGGCCTTTGGGCTTCTTTCTTTCGTTTATTTAGTTTAAAATTGTAGTGTTCCTTCTATCCTGGATCTGGCCATCCCAGAAGGAGCACTTCCTCAACTAAGGTCTCATTGGCACAATTCTCCCCTTTTACCTTTAGCTATAATTGTTAGATTTATTATTATTTTCTCCCATTTTTTAAACAGCTTGATTGGACCAACTATTTTTGTAGCAGAGTAGCAGAAGAATCTAAAAGAGTAATTGCTGAAGTAATGGAGACTCGTATGTTTTTTCGATAGTTTAAAAGAAAAAATTTAATTTTTTAGAACAAAAAATTATAAATGTTAATCCAAGTGTTATGGGAGCAGCAAAAAGTTTATTAGATGCAAATGGATATTGTATGGATAGTCCAATAGAGAAGAATTGGTAGAAGGAAGATAAAGAGGGAGAAGGTTTAAAGATTTTTTTTTGAAATTTTTATTAGGAATTTTAGAGGGATTGGAATTTTATTTTTAAGGAATGTAAGGATGATTCACCTTAGTGAATTTAAAACGCTTATTGTTAGGTTAAACGATCTAAATGGATAAAAGAAAAGCATGAGTCGTTGCCCATGTTAGTGGTTGAGCTCCTGTATGTGGTGAGCGAAAACGCCTAGCAATAACTACTAGAAGGTGACAGGTTCGCCCGGTGGCAATCCTGCCCGGTGAGTCACCTGCTTTTCTCGTTTGGCATCACATCGTTCTTTAAAAAAAATTTTTTTAAGATCTTAAAAAAGTTTTTTTTTCTCGAAAAAGTTCCAATCCCTGTTTTGAAATTTGTTTTTTTGCTTGTTTTGTTTTTTCCTGTTTGTATAGATTTTTTGTTTAATTTTATTTTTTTAATATTTTAATTTGGTTTTTTAACCTTTTATTTTTTAAATTTTATTTTAAGATTTTTAACTACTTAATGTTTTTAAAATTATTTTACAATTTCTTTTAATTTTTAGATCAAAATTTCAATTTACTTTAATTAAATTATTTTACAATAATGAGCGAGGATCAAAAAATTATTGAACACGAGGGCGTTAAATATTATAAAAAGGTTTTTTAATTTAATTTTAAATCGAAATATAAAGCAGTAGTTTAGTGTACCGGAATTTTAGTTCCGATACAAGTCCCATACCGTTCGCTCGGCGAGTTGAGTCGAACGGTACCACTTTTTTCCGAAGATGCCCGTGGACCGAGATATAGGGCGCCGAGACGAATCAAATGGCATGGGTTTTGTGTCGAAACTAAGACTCCGGTATACTAAAATGGGACACGCCAAAGTAGGCGCACGGCCAGGTAGGCGCAAAGCCATAACTAGCTGGAAAATTTTTGGACCTTAATATTTTTGGTACCAATCTCTTTAGCTCGATGAGAGGAATCGTTTAATACTAAATTTGGAAAGATTTGGTAATCTTGAAGCAAGTTATGGCTTTGCGCCTACATGGCCGTGCGCCTACTTGGGCTGTACCCTACTAAACTATATCCAAAAGTTAAAAAACAAAAATTTTTTAGGAAGGTCAATGGCATCGTTTGGTTCCAATCGAAGAAGACAAAGTGCCTGCTACTAAAAAATGCAAATTAAACCTTCAACCAGAAATTCTGTTTGATATATTTAAATTTCTCAACTTTGTTCAATTATTGGCTGTTCAAGAAACAAATTTTTATTTCAAAAATTTTATTGACAAATATGGGAAGGAACTGGCGAGGAAGAAATACGAATTTCTTTTTTTTGTATTTTTTTATAAAATTTTTTTTAACAATAATTTTTTAGGTGCTATATTGTGAATTTCAAGATCAGGGACATAAATTTGTTGGACTGGAACCTAATGATTTTCAATTGAGTGAACAACTTGAGGAAAAGGTTTACTGCACTTTACGTTTTTTAAGATAATCTCAAATTTTAGTGGAAACGTGCAATAGAAGAGTCAATTCCAATGTTTTTAACATGGCCTGGCTGTACATATGAACTGGGGGAAGAAGATATTGTTGTTTGTGATTTGGGACAAGGTTATGTCAACGAGTTTGACGATTTTTTCCCAACTAGTGAGGTTTTTATTGTAAATTTTTAGGATTGTTTTTTTCTAATAGATTTCAGAATTTGAGAATTTTCGGTTAGGTATTTAGGGGGTTATGGTCTTAAATAAGGCTGCGTCGAAATTTCGATTTTCGACATTTTTTTCTACCGATTTTCGACTTTCGATTTTCGAAGATTTTTTTATTTCGACGCGGCTCTGGTCATAAATAAGGCTAACAAAAATATTGCCGAAAAACCGCAGGAGTTGTTTGGTCTCTTATAAAAATTGAACAAATCTGTTCAGAGTAGAATTTCAAGTTTAACTAAAAGAAGATGTTCATTCTGCATTTTTTTTATTCTTTGGGCCTTCAATCATCAACTAAAAATTGTTTTACAATTATTAAAATTTTATTTAGAGTCATACTGTTTACATTTACCATGGATTCCAAAAAGTATAGAGGATATGAAAATTGCTCGATCTTTATTCCAACTACTTTTTAACTGTGCTTTCGAAATGGTTGAGCTTGATTTTACTGTAATTAATCCACAAATGATCCAATTATTGTTTGATGAAGATAAAACAAATATGCCTTTACAAATACATTCACAACGAATTGTTCTATTTCCCTGCGGGAATCATGTTTTCGACTTGGTTTTGAATCATCTGTTTTCTAAAGAACTTAAATTCTATATTGATAATGCATATGCCGATGATGTAGAAGAAAAATTGGACGTTGTATTCAAAATTTTGGCAAATGGAGGAAATAAAATTTCAATGATTACTTGTCAAAATACTCATTCTAAATTTTACAATTTCATTATAAAGGTTTGTAAAAAATAAACTAGGGTTGGTTATATCAATTGTGGGTCCGGGAAAAATTTATTTACTTTCAGAGCTCTATTTTCAGAGCCAATTTCAGACATTAAAATTGGGGAAAATTGAACTTTGTTTTAAAAATTTAATAAATTCCATTTTAGCAAATAGTAGAAACATCACAAGATCTTTCTAAAATGGTGAAGGAAATTAAATTAGATTATGTGAGTGGACCTGGAATTACTAGAAAAGCAGGAGCAGAAGATACTCTAATTTTGATTGACGATTACAAAACAACAATATTTCAACTTTCCAATAAACACAATCCAAAAATTAAATTTTCTATATCCATTGAAAGAGGTAGTTTGTTCCGGGATGTTGTTAACGTTGAAATTAAGAGAATTAATTGATAAATTTATTTATAGACTTATTGTTAGGTACCGTATTTGCTAAAATAATTACCCAGGGTAATTATTGTTTCATCCTCTCACTGGAGGGGTGATTAAAAGGGAGGGGGTAATTATTTGAGCTTTTTTTAAAAGGCTAATTATAACTATTTTAAGAGGGGTAATTATTTTTTCGATCTTTGGCTGTAGGGGGTAATTAATAGGGCGGGGGTAATTATTTGAGAGAGGGACATTATTTCAGCATTTGCGGTAGTTTAATTTATTTTTATCGTTTATTTTTAAGATTTGCTTTAATTTGACTTTTTAGATAAACATTTTTCTAAAAATTTTTCTTTTTTTTTAAAAAAGTTATAATTTCTGTATACATTTCTTAATTGTTTTTATTTTAAATTTTGTTATTAAAAATTAATTTTTAGAAATGCCGATTTCTAAAAATTTCTAGAAACGAGCAACAACATTTTAAAGAAAATGAAAAAAGAAAGGGAAAGACACTCTAAAAGAAGGAGAAGTCGTTCTAGATCTCCACAAGAAAGAGATGAAAATGTTGGGAGAAGGATTCGAGTACGAAATGAAAAAGGAATAGTTCAAAAAGATTGAGGTTTTGATTTTTAAAAAATTTAATTTAAAAAAAGAGATATTTTTAGGTGTATTGTTGGGGGGTGTTTAAACATTCTCCTCCAGTTTTTCTCTTCCAGTTTTAATTTTTTACTTTAAAAATGATAAGATGGGTTCGAATTTATTTTGAATTTTTAAGACAGGGGTTATCAGAAGCCCAGGCTTTTTTCGATCCGTTCCGAAGAAAATTTTCTTTTCGTTCAACCCGTCCCATCCTTGTTCGTGGTGACTAGGTAATAATAATTGCTAGGATAATAATAATAAACTGCCAGAACGCCGACTCGATGCCTGCTCGGGGCTAGGCTTCTAACTTAACAATTTCCAAAAAAAAATTTAGATAAACATCAAAAACTTTTCATAAAACTGGTAAAAAGTAAATTTTACAATGTTAAAAATTAAAAAAAAACAATTTTGAAAATGCTAAAAAGATATTAAAAAACAATTAAAAATAAAATTATTACGTCTCTAAAGGGATGTCAATGGTTTAAGAAGAAAAAAAGTAGTAGGGTCGAGTTTTCGAAATTTTCGTCATATCGGGGTCTGGGTCACAAAAAAAAAGTTCCGGTTATCAACCCGTGACATCCCTAATCTATTTATATTTTACTTTGAACTTTCCTAAAAAATTTTTTTTCACCGGTAATCTCGTCAAAAATATTTTTTACTTCTTTCCCTTCTATATTTCTTCTCTTTCACCAACAATTAAAATTCCATTATTAGTATTTGGTTCTTTTGAATTAAACAACATTTTTGATGATTTTGGAGACATTTTAGTTGAATTTCTCAATTTAATCGTTTTTTCCGTTTTTGATTCGGGTAGAGCACAGAGCATAACTGGGAGGAAAAATAGTCCATGTAACAAACCTAAATTTGAAAAAAAATTCAAAAATTAAAGTAAAATTAAAAAAAAACCTATAGAAACAACAACAAAAATCTTTAAAAAAATAATTTAAAAATTTTTTTAATTAATAAATTAAAAATTTTATTTTACCGTTTTAGCAAAGGCCACCTTAACATTTGGGGAAAGGGAAATATTTTTAAAACAAAAATTTTAAAAAAAAATTTGGCTCCCATTTATTTCGCCAATTCCTTATTTTACCAGGAAGGCTAAAAAACTTCACGTTTATCAGCAAAGACAAGGGCAATCTTTTGAATTTTTGCCTTATTGGCAGAATATGGCAAGTGCGTAGCTAGGAGGTCGACTTCAAGATTCACTTTATTTATCGTTTCCCTCCCAAATTTTTTTCAATTTCTCCCAGTTCAGGGACCTCCTTGGCTACGTCCTTTGAGTATGGGATTGGCAAAATATGGAAGACACTGTAAAAAAAATTTACAATGGCATAGGTTGGAAGAAAGACAAGAGGAACCATGCAAAGAGCAGTGGAAATTCCTTTAGAAAAAATTTTTTTTGAATTTCAAAAAATATAAAAAAAACCTGCTTGTAACATTGGAGGGCACATTTCTGTATTTGAAGGGAAAAAATTAAAAAAATTTTATTCCACTAACCTTCCAAACTTTGTGCTATCCTTTCTATACTTGATCCCTGTTTTGTGTAGTATTGATGAGCAATGTGGGCCTTAAAAATAAATTTTTTTGGAAATTTATTTTCTGGAAATTCTAAAGATTTGTAAAAAAAATCGGAAAAATTCTCTCTGAAAATTTTCCAAAAAAATCAAAAAATTTTTTATAAAAATTTTCCGCAAACCGTATAATCCACACTAAAACCAGTAGCCAAAAGTACATCCACCATTGTAATCTTAAAGAAGGAAAAAAATTTTTTAATTAAAAAATAAAATTTTTTAACCGGATCCAAATCTGCCCCACACCAACTTAGAGTTCCAACAAGCGCTGTAAAATTAAATTTTAATCTTTAAAAAATTTTCTGATTTTTTTTAATTTTTGAAAAAAAATTTTAAAAAAATCCAAACTAAAACAAATCGAGCTTATACAAATCCCGATAACACAAACACCAGCAGGGTGGGCGATAAATAGAGAGCAAATCAACACCATACAAACAACAGTTACGGCAATAGAGCCAATCAAATCGATTTTAACGGTTAATAACATGTTTAAAACTGGACTGAAAAATTTTTAAAAATTAAGAAAAAAATTTCAGAAAATTCCAGAAATTTTCTGAAATTTTTTAGAAAAATTTCAGAATTTTTTTCAAAAAAAAAATATGAAAAATTTTTTTTTGATTTCAAAAAAATTTTCAAAAAAATTCCAGAAAATTTTTTAAAAATTTTCAACTAAAAAATTTTTATTTCTTACGAGTCAGCATCATACATCGAAGCATTAAAATTCTTTTCATATTTTTCAAGTATTATTCTAACTTTTTCTTCCATAACAGCACGATTCCACCATTCAGTCATTCCCTTGTTTACAATGGAAAATTGAAAAGATTTTAGTTGGATGCTGCCGTTTCTGTGAAAAATTTAAAAAATATTTCAGAAAATTTTTGAAAAAAATTTTTAAAAAATTTCTGAAAAAAAATCAAAGATTTTTTTTTCATTTTTTTGAAAAAATATTTAAAAAATTCCAAAATTTCAAAAAAAAATTTTAGAAATTTTTAAATTAAAAAAAACACAAAATACCCATTTTTCTCATATTTCACAGTCGGCGGATTTCCAATAGAATTCATAAAAAAAGGAAGATTGTCCAAACCAAATTTATATTTTCCTTTAGGTCCGAGGCCTAATGACTGCCAAAAATGAGTGTTTTTCTTGTCAAATTCTTCATAAGGTCGAAGGAAGAGAAGTGTTCTGTTTGGACCCCAACTTTCTGGTAATCCTTCCAATTCGGCAACCATTTTATTGAATGAAGAATACTTTAAAGAAATAAATAAATATTAATTTAAAAAATTTAATTTTGAAGCCCTTCCCCTCTATCTCTCTTTTTTTCCTTTCTCAAAGTATTAAAAATGGTCAGAAGGTCACAGATTTGCTCTCATTCCTTGTCTAGTCTTTAGCCTACAACTCCCAAAAAAATATTTGCAAAAATTTTGCCCCCCCCCCCCTCTGAAATCGACCCCTTGGCTACGCCCTTGGTCTATGTTAGTGAGTGAGATCACCTCTACTTTTTTCCTAAAAAATCTTTCATTGGAAAATGAGTTATAATAATCCCCAGAGCGCACAGAGGCGTCGTCCCGGATTATAAAAAGTAGAGCTGGGTAATGCGAGAAAGGGAAAGAGGACGAAATCAACTTTAACAAGAAAAATAATTAAAAACCTCTTCCGGATCAGTCAAATTAGGCGGTCGATTAACCAAAATACAAAGCGGGAAAAATTCATCAAATACATCCCCCACAGAATCCAAAGAATGCGCCAAAGGTGAGTCAGAAGGAAATGCTTTTGAAGGCTCAAAGGTTGATTTAAACCTGGAAAGTTGGATTTAAAAAAATATTTTTTGAAAAAAAATTTTTTTTCGTATTCTCTAAAAAATTTAAAAAACGAAAAAAAATTCTTAAAAAAATTTTCGAATTTTCAAAAAAATTTTTTTACACAAAAAAAAAAACCTCAAAACTCCACTCGTTCCAACAATATACAGAATTATAGCCAATAAAAAAGCAGAAAAACGTCCTCTAGTTGAATGAATAAATTTTGCGTATTGAAAGGCTTTTGAACAAGTTTGAGGATTTAAGGGAAGTTGTTGAGGAATTAATGCAATTAAAGGTTTTTCATTATTTTCTGGTTGTTGAGGGGGTAATAAAGTTGAAGTTTGTTTTGTAGTTGGAAAATGAGTAGAGAGAAGAACCAAAACTGGGGCTAACAACTAAAAATCAGAATTATTTGTATTTTTCATTGGGTATATTCAAATCAGAATTTTTATGTGTTTTTCCAAAATCAGAAAGTGTTTTAAAGACCAGAAAAATGTATTTTCTTAATTCAGAATTATTTTCAGAATTATTATTCCAGAATCAGAATTATTTTTAAAATCAGAATTTTTTCTGAATCAGAATTATTTTCAGAATTTTTGTTTTAGAATCAGAATTTTTTTCAGAATTAATTTCATAATCAGAATTTTTTTCAGAATTATTTCAGAATTAATTTCATAATCAGAATTTTTTTCAGAATTATTTCAGAATTAATTTCATAATCAGAATTTTTTTCAGAATTATTTCAGAATTAATTTCATAATCAGAATTTTTTTCAGAATTATTTCAGAATTAATTTCATAATCAGAATTTTTTTCAGAATTATTTCAGAATTAATTTCATAATCAGAATTTTTTTCAGAATTATTTCAGAATTAATTTCATAATCAGAATTTTTTTCAGAATTATTTCAGAATTAATTTCATAATCAGAATTTTTTTCAGAATTATTTCAGAATTAATTTCATAATCAGAATTTTTTTCAGAATTATTTCAGAATTAATTTCATAATCAGAATTTTTTTCAGAATTATTATTCCAGAATCAGAATTATTTTTAAAATCAGAATTTAATTTCAGAATTTTTTTTCAGAATTGTGTTTTACACTTATTTAATTTGTTAATAAAATCAGAATAAAATACAAAAGAAATTCTGATTGTTAAAATAAACACAAAAAATATTCTGATTTAATTTAAAAACAGACAAACCGTAAATGTAAGAATATAATCAACCAAAACACCAAACTATTAAAAAATAAATTATTTAGAAAAAATTTAGAGAAAAATATTAAACTTACAGAAGTACACAAACAAAATAAACTCATTGTTGGGGCAGGGGTAAAATAGCCAATTCCAAAAGCTGTTGTGTTTGTTAATGAAGTTATTGTTATTGATGGGCCGATATGGACTAGCAAAAAAATATTTTTTTGGGGGAAAAAAATTTTTTTTGGAAAATTTTCAGAAAAAATTTGCTAGAAAACTTTCCCAAAAATTTTTCAGAAAATATTAAAAATTATTTAGAAAAAAACCTAAAACTTTTGAAAGCCTTTGTTTTAAGCATTTAATGTCTCTGTGTTGCTGCCACGATTGTAACATTATAAATCTGAAAAGAAAAAAATTTTTTCTTGAATTTTGTCTGGCAATTTGGATTTTAAGGAAATTTTGAAAAAATTCTTTCATTGTTAATTTTTAAAATTAATTAAATTAAAAACATACGCGTCATCCACACCAACACCAGCTATCAAAAATGGTGTTACGCACATTAAGGTATCTTTTAAAATAATTTTTAATTAGAAAAATTTTTTGAAGATGTGATTTTCTATTCAAAAAATTCAAAAAAATTTTTTTAATTTTTTCGTAATTTTTAAAAATTTTTTAAAAATTCCAAAAAACCTCACAAATTCTATTTCCAAGCCAAGTAGAAAATCCAAAAGCAGCAACAGTTGAAAGTAATGGACACAATATAGAAATTAAAACAATTAATCCAATTGCGGGTATTTTGACTAAATTACTCATTTTTTGATAAACAACAAAAGAAACAAAAATTAATAAAAGTAAAAGGCCAATCGACATTAAAATTGTTGCCTAAAATTTTTTTTTTATTTTAGAAAAATTTTTAAAAAATAATAAAATTTCAAAATTATTAAAAAAAATATTTTAAAAAATTTTTAAGGGTTCCGAAAAAAATATGGCAAAAAATTTTAAAAAATTCCAAAAAAAATTTAAAAATATTTTTAAAGCAACCTGAATAGCTCCACGTATCATTTCCCTTTAAAAAAATATTTTTCTCAAAATTTTTTCTCAAAAAAAAATTCTCAAAAAAAATTTTCAAAAAAAACCTGTTAGCAATTTCATCCCCAAATATTTGAAATTGAACATATTTAAATCTTTTTCCCCTCTGAGATTCTTCAAATAAATTTAGAGTAACATTCCTCAGTTGCTTAATATTTTGTTTTGTGTCAGCTCTACTAAAATACCAAAGAATAATTGTTCGGACATAAATTTGAAAATTTTTTGAATTTTGATTTTTGTCGATATTTTTGGATGAAATGTCATCTCTATCTGTTGGAAAAATTTTTTATAAATTTAATTATAAATTTAATTTTGTGTCTAAAATAAATTTTCAAAAAATCAAAAACATGCCAAAATTTTTAAGAAATTTCAAAAAATTTCCACAAAATTCAAAAAAAAAATCAGAGAATTTCCCAAAAAATTTAAAAAAATCAAAAAAATTTTCTAAAAAAAATTCAAAAAATTCCTTTTAAATTCAGAAAAATTTTCAGAAAAATTTGCAGTGTTTAAAAAAATTTTTCTAAAAATTAAAAAAAAATTTTAATTAAATCGTCACCGACCAGTAACAACTCCAAACAAATTAGACCCAACAAAAAGAGGAGAACCAAAATAATAAGAAAATGGGTGATCAAATTTTAAAAGTGAAAATGAAGAGGAGGAATTATTAATTAAATTTTGCTTGAAAAAAAATAAATAATTTTTTTTATTTTAATAAATAAAACAAACAGCAATTAAATGGAAAGGTCTATTCAAATTACAAAGAGGATCACAACCACGCATTCTGAAATATAAATAAATTAAAAAATAGATGAGTTATTTAATTATCAGAATTTTTTAAAAATCAAAACAAAAAATTCTGATTCTGAAAAAAAATAAAAATTCTGATTTTTAAATAAAAAAATTCTGGTTTTTATTTTGAAAATTCTGGTCTGAAAAATTCTGATTTTTTCGAAAATTCTGATTTAAATAAGTTCTGATTTTTTAAATAAAAAATTCTAATTTTTTCGGAAATTCTGATTTTTTAAAATTCTGATTTGTAAAAAATTCTGATCTTAAATTCTGATTAAAAATTCTGATTTTAAAATAATTCTGGTATTCTTAAATTCTAATCCCTTAAAAATCAGAACCAGAAATTAAAAATATTCTGATTTTTAAAAATCCTTCACTCACCCAGTTTTTCTATCCCTCAAGGACAAAGTCGAATCCAATTCAGAATCAAGTTGCAAAACTTCCCTTAAATGCGTTTCACGAAGCATAGTGCCCCCATCTTTCGCTTTGAAAAGCATAAAAGCCCGTTGGGGTGAGGTTGAAAGATTGAAAAATTCTTTGTAGATAGAAGCTTCTCTAAAATATTAGGAAAAATTAAATTTTTTTGAAGAAAAAATTTTTTTACCTCATTGATTTTGAATTTAAAGGGCTAAAAGACGCTCGAATATCATATTCTTTAAAATAAAAAATAATTTTTATTAATTCTGATTTTTTAAAAATAAAATTCTGATTTACAAAGAATCCACCTTACTCCGTATTTTTCAGAAAAATCAGAATTATTTTAAAAAATCAGAATCATTTTGAAAAAAATCAGAATTATTTTTTAAAAAGTTCTGATTTTTTAATCAGAACTTTTTAAATCAGAATTTTATTTTAAAAATCAGAAAATTGTCGGCAAAAACAGAATTTTCAGAATTATTCTTTAAAAAATCAGAATTTTTTTAATTCTTAAATAAAAAATTCAAACCAATGTCCATATTAATTAATTGCAGGGAGAGCACAATTAAAAAGCAAACACTTGCAAAAATATGCCTAATTGGATGACGAGCAATAAAATCGCCAAGAAAAGCATTTGCAGTGTCAAAAAGACTGTAGATATTGCAGCACATTTCTTTTGTTTTTATTTTTATTTTTAAGTGTGTATTTTTTACATGGAAATCAGAATTTTTAAAAATATAAAAAATCAGAATTATTCTAAATTATAAAAACCAGAATTTAAAAAATCAGAAATTAAAAATCAGAAATCTAAAATACAAAAATCAGAATTAAAAGAAAAACAGAATTTTAAGGAATCAGAAATAAAAAAATCAGAAATTCTAAAAACCAGAATTTAAAGAAAATCAGAATTTTAAAAAATCAGAAATTTAAATCAGAATTGAAAGAATCGGAAATTAAAAAACCAGAATTTTCAAAATATCAGAATTTTAAAAATCAGAATTAAAATATCAGAATATTAAAAAATCAGAAATATTGATTTTTTAAATTTCTAATTTCTTTTCCTTATTCTTTTAAAGTTGCAATTTAAAATTAATTTTAAAAAAATAAAAACGGACCGTCCTATAGCAACAGCAATATAAATAGTTGTCGTCGTTCGGGCCTTATTTGATGAAAACGGCCGCAGAAATAAATTAAAACAAGGCAAAGAGAAGAAAAAGAAGGAGAATAACAGAGCTGAAAAAAAGGGGGGATTAAAACAAATTAATGGGCGGGACAAACCACCCACACACCGAAAAAAAATTTTTTCGTATTAAAAAGAAGAGGAAAACCGTTAATATAATGGCCAAACCAAAACTTTTTTCTTCGTCTTCTTCCTTCAACTTCTTTTATTTGTAAATAGTTGGCTTCTTCGTCGAATGAAGTGACAAAATCTTTCAAGTCATTCCTCATTATCTTCGTCTCTTCTTCCTCTTCCTCCACTACCACTCCTTTCTCCTCTTCTTCATCCTCTTCTTTCCCTTTCACCTCTTCCTCTTCCTCTTCACCTCCTTCATCCGCTTCCTTCTCCTCATCTTCTTCCTCTTCACCTTCCTCTTCCTCTTTTTCATCTTCCTCCTTCTCTTCTTCTTCACTTCCTTCATCCTCCTCTTCCTCCCCTTCTTCATCCTCCTCTTCCTCCCCTTCTTCCTCCTCCTCGTCTTCCTCATCCTTCTCATCTTCCTTCTCTTCCACTCTCATTTCCCCCTCCTTTTCATTTTCTACTTCTCCCATTTTTTCAATTTTTTCTAAATTCTCTTCATTTTCAATAAACAAAATATTTGTAGAAGAAAAAAACTTTATTATTGGCCAAAACCGGTTATTCTTCTTCTCATCAATTTTTTCATTAATAACGTTGTTGTTGTTGTCCTCTTGTTTTTTTGTAGTAATTAAGTTTGAATGATTACTTCTACGTTTTCTGCTTAATTTTAAGTTGTCTTTAGTCAAGTTAACAAGAGTTAATTTTGTTGTTGTACTTATTGTAGTTTTATCCATACAAATATGCGTAGTTATTTAAGTTTGAACAATTTCTAGAAATAATTTAAGGGGGAAAATATTAAAAATTTTTCAAAAAATTTCAAAAATTTCTGCAAAAAATTTTTTAATTTTTTAAAAAATTTTTAAAGATTTTTTTTCAAAAAATTCGAAAAATCTTTAAAAAATTTTTTCGAAAATTCTGGCAATATTTTAATTTTTTATTCCCTTTTTTTGCATTTTATTAAAGTTGCAAATAAATTTAGAAAAAAAAAATTCCGGAAAATTGTAAAAAGTTTTTATTATTTTTTTCAAAAGGCTACTACTCCATAAAACATTAAAAAATGACCGTCAAATATTATTGTTGTCGTTATAAAAAAATAATTCCTCTAAATCCCCTTCAATTATTAAAATATCCTATTTTTCCTTTTTTCCTATTTTTTAAATAAAAAAATTTATCCATTAAAGTATTATTTTTGGATACCTACCAGGTCCAAACCTGGGTGAGTCCACGGAATCCGTGAGAAGCGAAACTGGCACACTCCCCTGTTATACAGGTATCATTGTTGTCCCCCAAACAAGTCCATCCCCCTTATTTACCTACTATAAAACTTTATTTTTAAGGAAGCTTGGCCAGTGATTTTCAAGAACAGCAAAAAAAACATTGCTAGAATTTCCGAGAAAAATAAGGGGAGATTTTAAAAATTAAAAATAAAAACACCTCAAACATTTTCCAACGATTTAGTCCAAAAAATCGTTCATATATCATCATCATATTACCAAAAAAATAATTTTACAATAAAGCCACAGCAGGAGAGAGATCATCTTATATTAAGTAGAAGAATGCGCATTAAAAACAGGTTATTCATCCTTCTCTTCTTCTTCTTCTTTTTATTCATCTTCATAAATTATTTTATATATATATTTTACTAGAACACTATAAAAATAAAAAATTGATTGAGAAGATTGTGGACTGGACAGAAATCATATCTAAAAGTACAAAAAAAAATTTTTTTAAATTGGGGTAAAATTTTGTTTTTGAGGGGGGGGGGGCTTGGTCCATGTAATGGCCAATGCATTTGAAAAAACCCCATAAATCTGAATCAGAATAACACCCAAAAACAACCCCGCTATACCATATATGGGCCGAAATACAGGCCCTCGAAAATTGAAACCCCATAGAGGTTTCCAAAAAAATCACTGCCGTGGTGTAGTGGTTAACACCCCCGACTTGCACTTAAGGGGGGCTCAGGTTCGATGCCTGGCGGCAGTTGATGACTGCTTTAGTGTAGTCCCTATATAGCACTTAAACAGGCGACACTCCCCGAGTGGGGGAGGCAACCGGGTCCCCTCAAAAACACAAAATTTTTCCAAAAATGGGGGATGATCCCTATTAAAAATTTATTTTATTATTTTGTAAAATATATAAAATTACAATTATATATAAATATAAAATATATTCAAAAAAATATTTAATAAAAAATGCAAATAATCTTTTTTTATTCATTTTTATATATTGATCAAATAATAAAAAACAAACAAATTTATAAAAAACAAAAAAACGAAAAACTTTATAAAAACAACTTTTAAGATTTCATGAAGCAGCCTGACAAAACAAACAAAAATTTTTTAAATAAAAAAATACATTATTTAATTAAATACATAAAAAGGCAAATAAATAAAAAGAGAACGGCATCTCGATCTACTCCATATATTTTTTTATCTCAAAGATCCCCCCAAAAAATAAAAATTATTTAAAATATTAAATACAATTTTAAAGCAGGACTGGGCAGTAAAATTAAAATTTTTAAAAATCATCAAGGTAGGAAACAAACCAAAAAAAATAACGAGAGTTTCTCCTCAATTAATGGAATTGAAGGGAAAAACTGTTTTTTAAATTTTTACTAATGTTTCACCGGAACCGAAATTTTGACCGGAACCGGATCCTATTGAGAAATTTTATACCCTTTCCTTAACCAATATCTAAAAATTTAAAAATGAAGAAAATTTTTTTAAGTATATATTTGAGGGAGGAAAAAATTATTTTTTTTTGACGATCGGTGATCAAAAAAAAGAGATATAGTATAAATATATATATCATATATAATATTTTTTAAATACAAAAAAAATATTAAAATTGTTGTCCATTTTAAATTAAAAACGAGTGTGTGAACATAAACCCGCAAGAAATATTTTTTTCAAAAAAATGAAGTAAAATTTTGAGAAGCAAAAAAAAAATATTTTTTGTATATTAAGTAGATTTTTTTCGGTTATTTTTCTTCAAATCAAAAAATATTATAAAGCCGTAATACCAAAATGTCGGACGTCTTTAGGTGTCTTTTTGCATAGAGTTTGGTATTTTGAGAGGTTATGGGGGCTGGGTACTTCGGTGTTTAATATTAAGGCGCGCTTCCTAAAAAAAACATCCATAGAATGGTTACCACTTAAAGAAGAAAACAAGTGCTTGTTATTTTTGGAGACTATTGGTCTTAAGGTGCGCTCCCAAAAAAAAAGATAAAAAATGTTTTTTACGCTTCCCAAAATTTTAGAAAAATTTTTTTAACCTTTTTTCCCTTCCTTCGACAAATCTTCAGTTCATAATCATTGAATTTGCCTAGATTTATTAGCAACATTTTCACCACCACCACAACTACTACTAACAACACTATTATTTTCCAACAATTTTAAATTTGAAGCATTTCCACTATTTAATTGTTGTTGTGCTAATCTAATTTGTCTCATTAAAAATTCTTGTTCAACTGGATTCATTTGTAAATTTGTTGTTGCATTTGTTAAGGAATTTGAAATAAGTGAAGATGGAGGTGGAGGTAATAATAATGATGATGAATTATTATTATTTGTTTGGGTTGTTGTTGATGTTGGAGTTATTCCTCCAATTTTTGTCAAATTCTTTAAAAAAAAAAGATAAAAAAATTTTTTTTAATTTAAAGCAGATAACGTAGTGTTTGGTTCCAATACCTGAGAGTAGTGTTGTCGGTTTCAAAACGAATCGAAATGCCGAAGATTTTCGGGTCGGTTTCGATTAACCGAAGAATATGGTGAAACCGACACCCCCACACCTGGGACGATCGTAAAGTGCCGAATTATTTTTTCAGGTATCGAGAGTACAAATGATGCCAAAAACTCAAGTAACTTCTCTAAAAGAACACAGGCGGAAAAGATCTTATTTTAAGGTAGTGCACAGCAGGGGTGTCATTTAGACAACCACCTCATCTCCTAGTTGTCTATCAATTTTTTTAAAAATGTATCTTAAATTTAATAAGAGTACCCAATTTTTGGGAGGTATTATTCTTGTGAATTATCAGACTATTCAAATATTAAATTTAAAAAAATTTTCCAACCAAATCTCCTCCTCCTGTCCCTCCTCCTCCTCCTCTAGTACCTCTCATAAGCAATCGTTGTTGATCTGCTGTCAATGAAGCTGTTTGATTTTGATTTTGAGATGGAGGAAAAGCAATTTTTGGTTCCAACTGTAATTTTTTTAATTAAAAAAAATTTTTTTCTCAAAATTCAGACCGATTGTCCACTCAAAAAAGCAGCCAAAATACCTTCTGTTCCTCCACCACCACCATTTCCAGCTAATAATAAATCATTAGCGAAATTATTATTATTTGTTGGTGGTGATAATAAATTTGTCAAATTATTGTTGGAAGATTGAAGATTATTATTTCCAAGTAAAATTGAGGAGGAAGAATTTAACAAGGAAGAGTCTAAAGACGAATTAAAATTTGATTGTTGTTGTTGATTTAAAATCAAATTTGAAGATGTTGACAAGGAAGAAGAGGATGATGAAGCAAACGTTGAGGAAGAGGATGAAGAAGGTATTGATGTTGCTGAAGAAGAAAATGAAGAGGAAGAATTGTTTTGTTGTTGATGTCCATGTTGTCCTCCTTGTACTTGTTGAAGTCCTTGTCCCTGCCCCTGCCCCTGATTTCCTAGCTGTCCTTGTCCTTGCTGCTGTTGTTGTTGAAGTAAAGCAAGCGCTCTCAATTGTTGCTGTTGCTGTTGTGAGCAATTATTTGAAGCATTCTTTAATCCATTTTCATACATCATTAATGAGGATAATAAATTTGCCGAATTGCTATTGTTGTTTAACATCAACGAATTTAATGAATTATTTGGAAGAGCTGGAGGTGGTGGTTGTTGTTGAGGAATAGAAGGAGGTGCTAAAACTGGTGCTGCTATAGCTGCTGCAGCAGCTAATGTTGAAAGTCCAGAATTATTTGAATTATTGAATGAGTTGTTATTTATATTGGAATATCCTCCTCCTCCACCTCCACTAAATTGAGCAAGTAAAGAAGCTGCCAAAGAATTCTAGAGAAAAAAATATTGTAAAATGGTCGAAAAAATATGTAAAAAATAGGGGTTGTCGGTTCGTGGAGAATTTTCAAATATCCGAAAAAATAACCAAAAAACCAAACCGAAATTTTCGGCTAACCGAAACCGAACGAAGAACTGAACCGAAAAATCATCGATTTTCTGTTCCGAACCGACACACAACAATAGTTAATTTATTCCCCACCGAATTCAACGCATTATGTTGTTGCTGTAAAGCATTTAATAAATTTGCTTGTTGTTGTAATTGTGCAGCAGCTGCAGCATCACTATTACCACTTGTTAATGACCCTGTACCTGGACCTAATGGTTGGATTGGAAAACCACCAAATAATTGTTGGTGTTGTTGATGTTGTTGTTGTCCTCCTCCCCCTATGACTCCTCCCACTCCAGAATTTAATCCAGCCAAAAGAGAATTATTATTTAAATTTGGAGCCCCAAAAGGTTGTTGTTGTTGAGGAAATAGTCCAGTTAATGCAGCAGCAGAAAGCAAACTATTATTAACATCAGAAGAAGGTTTATTAATGTTTTGAAGGCGAGACAAGAGAGTAGAGGTCAGAAGAGATCTATAACAAACAATTATTTGTTTTTATAAAATTCTGATTTCTAAATAAATTCTGATTTTTGTATTTTTCACTTAATAATTAAAAATTCTGATTTTTGTATATTCCCATTACCATTTAAAAATTCTGATTTTTCTGTATTTCATAATTTTAAATAAATTCTGATACCTATTTAAAATCAGAACATTAGTCTATATTTTATTTATTAATTCTGAAATTTTTTCCCTTACTCATTTAAAGCCATTTGTTGTTGCTGTTGATTTGATTGTTGCTGCTGTTGTTGTGTAAAAAGCAAATTTAATTGTTGTTGTAAATTTAATAATGAAGGAGCAGCAGCAGCAGACAAATTTTGTTGTTGTTGAGAAGCAGCAACAATATTTCCACTATTAATTACTGTTTTTCCACCTGAACGTTGTAATTGTTGATGCTGCTTTTGTTGTTGTTCTTGTAATTGAATAAATTGTTGTTGCTGCTGTTGGGGAGTTGATGTTATTGAAATATTTGATGGATTTTGAGGATGTTGTATATTGCTGTTATTTTTCATTTGATTGTTGTTAACTGTAAAAATAAAAAATTATTTTTTGAAAAATTCTGATTTTAGAAATTCTGATTTAAAAAATTCTAATTTTAGAAAAATTCTGATTTGTTAACTTCTGATTTTAGAAATTCTGATATTAAAAGTTCTGATTCTAGAAAAAAATTCTGATTTTAAAAATTCTGATTTGAAAAAATTCTGATTTTTAAAAATTCTGATTTTAGAAATTCTGATTTTAGAAATTCTGATTTTAGAAATTCTGATTTAAAAAATTCTGATTTAAAAAAATTCTGATATTAAAAATTCTGAACGCCAGGCATCGAACCTGGATCGTCTAAAAAGTACAAATCGAACGTGCTAACCACTACACCACGGCAACCAAATTTTTCTAGAGAATATTTTTCTGCTATAGCCACTCTCCCCTATCTATTAGAGTCTCCAGAAATTATTTTAAAATTTTTCAAAATTTTAGAAGAAAAAAAATTTCTTTCCACATACTTTTCCCTCGTTGTTGTAATGTATTATGTAATGCCGCTAATCCAGATTTTCTTTCCATTTTTCCTCCACCTCCACCACTACCTCCACTACTTCCACTACCACTACAAAAAGTAGCATGTCTACCAGCAATTCCGATTGTTGGGGTTGTTGTTAAGGTGGAATTTGTGGAAGGAGCACGCCCAACACAAGAAGAGGTGGATGATTTTTTTGTTGTTGTACTTGCTTGGTGTTTAGCAATTTCATGGGCTATTACAGCATGCATATTACACCAACGACGATTCTAAAAATTTTTTTATTTTAGAAAAAATATTTCAAAAAAATTTTTTCGAAAATTTTCTGCAAAAAATTTTTCCAAAAAAAATTTCAAAAAAATTTTAAAACCTAGAATTTTCAAAAAAAAAATTCAGAAATTTTTTCAAAAAATTTTCGCAATTTTACAAAAAAAAATTTCAAAAAATTTCAAAAAATATCTAAAATTTTCAAAATTTCGCAAAAAATTTTTTTTCAAAATCAAACAAAAATTTACTTTAAATGGAATGTTTTGTTGTTGTTGTTGTTGAGGCAAATTATTTTGATGAGATTTTGAAGTTGTTGTTGTGGTTGTTAATGTTTGGGAGGCAGCCAAAGAAGCAGCCAATTGTGATGCTAATGGCAAGCCTTGAGGAAAGGTTGAAGAAGATTGATTATTGACAAGTCTTTGGAGATCTGTTGGGGCTAGCTTAAAAAAAATTTTTTTTTAAATTTTTTAACCCAAAAATAATTTAAAAAACTTAAAAAAAATTTTCGAACTTTTTCAAAAAATTTTTTTGAAATTTCCAAAAAAAAATTTTCAATTCACCTTTTGAAGAGAAGGAAACCCTGCTGAAAGATTTGACGCTGCTTGAGCCATTAAAACTGGGTCGATGGAATATAGAGAAGCAAAGGATTGCAACTTTAAAAATTTAAAAAATTTATTTTTAATTTTAAAAAAATTTTTCCCCATACATTAAATGCCAATTCTGGATTTTTTTGTAATGCTTGTTGTAATGATTCTTGTGAGGAAGATAACAATTTTTGTTGTAAATTAATTGATGAACCACCATTTGAAATGGATGAAAGACCATCTAATTTAAAAAAAAAAGTTTTTTTTTCTTTAAAATTTAGAAAATTCAAAATTTCCGAAAAATTTTCAAAATTTCCGAAACTGTCCAAAAAAATTGATGGAATATTCACATCTCAAAAAAAATTCTCAAAAATCAAAAAAAAATTTTTTTTCAAAATTTCTAAAATTGTTCAGAAGATTTTCTTCACATCCCCAAAATTTTTTTGAAAAAAAAATTCCAAAATTTTCAAGAAAATTTTTTATAAATTTTCTGATAAATCATCTTTTCCGAAATTAAAAATTTTTCCGATTTCCAAAAAAAAATTATTTTTTTTCTTTCTCTCACCAATCATTCCTCCACCTCCACCTCCACCTACTGCACAATCATTATTCTTTTTAATATTATTAAATAACAAATTATTATTTTGCTGTAAAATTGTTGTCGATTTATTATCAATATTATTATTTGAACGTTCAATACTTGAAATAACTGAAAGTGAAGGAGTTTGTTGTTGTTGATAAGTAGTAGAAGTAGAGGAAGTTGTTGTCGACGACGATGTAACAGCAATTCCAATCAAAATACCACTTCTAAAAAAAATAAAAAAAAAAGAAAATTTAATTTAGTAAAAAAAGAGGTGAAAGTGTGTGTACTTTTAAATTTTTTGAGAAGAAAAATAAAAGTAAAAAAAATTATTTTAAAGAATTAATTTAATTTTGAAAATAAAAAAAATTTTTTTATGTTATTAAATTAAAGAATGAAAAATTAGGGGGAAAAATAAATGAAAAAAATAATAATTTTCAAACTAAATAAATTTAGAATTCAGAAAAAATATTTAGAAATCGAAAATAAAAAACAGTTTTCAATTATTAATTCTTTCAAAAAAATGAAAAAAAATTTTCAACAAAAAATTTTTCATAAATTTTTTTATTTTTTTGCGGCACTACAAAAAACTAACATAAAAGAAAAAATATAAAAATTCAAAAAAAATTTTATTGAATTCTTTTTAAAAATTTCAAAATATGAAACTTTGGGATATTTTCTATTTTTAAATTTAAAAAAAATTTCAAAAAAAAAAGGTTTTAAAAAAATTATTTTTTTAGAAAATTTTAATTTTTCTTACTTATTTCCATCATCCGATTCCAATTTTGCCATTTTATTTGGAGGTTGTCTAATCATCGAATTATTATTATTATTCAAACCCATTGGTGATTGAATTAAACCGTTTCTATGAACAGTAGCAATACCAATAGTAGCTGAAGGACGTTTCATTTCTGAACAAGAAAAAATTTTTAAAGTAATTTATTAATACCCCCCCTTCCTCAGATTAATTTTCCGTTATTTTTTTCTGACTTGTCAGAATTTCCTTTCTATTACAATAAATGATAATTTTTGTCCTGGTCTTTTTCTTTGTTAGCTTACAACTTCCTTTTAAATTAAAATTGAAGCAAGGAATTTTGTACCATACATACCGAATTCCGTATAACGTAATACTGAAAAATACAGATATTAGCGAGAAAAAAAACTTTTTGAGATATTTTGAAGAATCCATTGTAACTAACATTTCGGAAAACCGAAAAATACCCTTGATAGTAACAATACAAAAATAAGAAAATAAGTGATTGACAATAAAAAAAATTAATCTGAGACTCAATTAGTGGGGAGGGGGGGGGTATTAAATAAAAAAAAACAAAGGGTTTTAAATAGATACCTAATTTTGATTGTTCCCTCAAAAAATCATTTTCATTATTAAACAAATTAAAATTATTGTTGTTGTTGTTTTCATTTTCTACAACAAATTTTTCAATTTTTATTTTGTCTAAAAGTGAAGAAGACGAGCTTGTACTTGTACAAGGAACATCAATTAAATTGTTTTTATTTAATTCAGAATTTGATGATAATAAAAGTGATGTTGTTGTTGAACCATCAATAAATTTGCCGTTATATGAAGGAAGAAAGTTTAACTGAAAAAATTGATTTTTTAATTTGAAAAAATTTTTTAATATTTTACAGTCTATTTATGTGGCTATTTAAAAAAATTTTTTTTTCTTAGATTTTTTTTCAAATTAGTTAATAATCATTGCCAAACAGCCAGTCTCTATTATTTTTAATCAAACGTCAAAAAATATTTTTTCCACAAAAAAAAATTTTTTTTTTGAATTTTTGGAAAATTATGGAAAAATATTTTTTTAATTTTGTCTCTATTGCGTCCATTAACAATTTTTTTTATTAAAAAATTTTTTTTCAAATTTTTAAATTAAACATAATTGTCAAACAGTCTGTATTTAAATATTTTTTAATTAAATTATAAAAAAATTTTTCAGAAAAAATTAAATGTGGGAAAATTTTTTTTAAATTTTTTTGTAGTTTAATTAACCAACAGACACTGTTTGGCAATGATTTTTTAATTTTATAATTTTTCCCCTTTTTATTTGTTTAATCAACCACCCCCTCTTTAAAAATTTTAATGACTAAAAATAGAAAAATAAAATAAGGGATTTAATGAATTAGAATTGTTTGTTTGTCTCGAATTAAAAAATTAAATTAAAAAATAGAAAACAAGACCAGAAAAAAAAATTAAAAAAAAGGGAAGAAGTTAAAAGAATAAATATAAAATTAATCAACAAAAATAGACAAAAAGAGGGAGAGAGAGAGAGAGGCCTGATTTCTTTAAAAGTTGATTTCAAAAAAATTTTTATCTTTAAAAAAGAAAGAGAAGGAAAGACTGAAAGTCTATTTAAAAAAAAATTTTTTTATTTTTATAATTTACAGCAATTAAAAATCATTTTTATTTTTCAAAAAAAATATTTTTCTCCAATTTTTAAACACCCCAACATTTTAAATATTTAAAACATCAACATAATCTCCCACTTTTTTTCTATTTTACACACAAAAAAAAATTTTTTTTTTAATTTTTTTCACGCAAAATTAAAAAAAAATTTTTTTTTGAAAGTATTCTATGAATGTACTTTCATAAAAATTGATTTTTACATTTCTTTTTATGTCGGGGAGAATAAAAGGAGAATAAAAAAATGTGAAAAAGGATATATGTATAACAAAAAAAATGTAAAAAAAAGTGGTTGTGGCCTGGGTTCAGGGGAAACACACACAAATGTTTGTGTGTGTGTACTTGAATGTTTAACAAAAAAAAATAGAAAGGAACAAAAATAAAAAAAATATAAAAATAGTAGAGAGGTAAATACTCGTTTTTATTTATGTGTGAGGTGACAGACTAACTGGAAAACGAGAATCGAGAGCCATGAAAAAAAAAATTTGAAAAAATTTATTTTAAGAAATCTCGCCTCGGTCTAGTCTCTCTAGTAGTGTGAATGAAAGTGACAGACTAATATGCCAAATAAAATCCTATCATGGTCCTATCTTATCAAGGTATTGTTCTGATAACGAGTTGATTATTGATTTTCTGATTATTCAGTTCCGATTCTGATTATTTTTCTGATTTTTGATTCCAGTTAATTTTATTACATACGCTTCTTCTTAAGCGTCCTGTACTTAGGCCCCATATTTTGAAAATTGAGTTAGGGGTTGAATTTTAAATTTTTTCTAATTGTTATTTAGTTCTTACTAGCGAAAAATGTTGGGCGGTCGAAGGCCGAATTAACCCCCCGCTAGCGTTTAAAGAGACGGAACAAAAAAATAAAAATATATAAATAGTAGAGAGGTGAATGTCTGCATGTGTGTGTAGAAGGTGCCAGACTAACTGCCAACAACAAAAAAAAAAACGAAAAAAATAGAAGGGGGACAGCAAGATTGAGAGCCAATTTTCTTTTTTATTTTTTTAGCCAATTCGAGAATAAACATAAAAAAAAAGCAGAAAGTGCAAAATTGTAAAAGCGACGTGTGGGGACAAATTGCCAATATGGACACAAAAAAGAATATAAAATATTGTTTAAAATAAACAAAAGAAAAAAGGGGGAACAAAAAAATTCTTTTTTTTTATTGTGACAAAATAAAAATGGGGAGGAAAGGAATTTGATCAAATTACTAGAAAAAATTTTATATTTCCTTAATGCTTCACTAGAAAAAAAATCTTTTTTTACTGATTAAATCTATAGTAAAGCAGCCAAGTTGACAAAAAAATTTTTTGCGCCGAGAAATTCAAGTCTAAAAAAGTTGGGAGATGCAAGTAAAAAAACTTAAATGTCTCAGTCATCTTAAAAAAAATTTTTTTTGAGGCAAACAATTCTTTGGACAGAAAAATCGGAATGGAATACATAGTTGGGAGAAAAATTGGAAAAAATTTGGGCCAAAAAAATTATCCAAAAATCCAAAAAAAATTTTTAATTAAGCCATTTTGTCAACTTGGCAATTTATCCAAAAATATAAAAAAAATATATAAAAAATAAAACATTAAAAATAAATTCCAATATATACAGACCAGGGATGTCACGGGTTACCCGAAACCCGATACCCGAAACCCGAAACACGGCCTTTTTTTCGACCCGATACCCGAAACCCGATCCGAGAAATTTTCTAAAACCCGACCCGAAACCCGACCCGAGAATTTTTATTTTTCAAAACCCGACCCGAAATCCGACCCGAGTTTTCTCAAAATTTTCGCCCGCGTCGCAGAAAAAGGGAAGATTTTTAGCTTAATGATCCTCCAAAATTCTGAAAATTTTCGCCTGCGGCGCTGAAAAAGGAAGAAATCTGGCTTCGGACCTTCAAGAATTCTCAAAATTTTCGCCTGCGGCGCTGAGAAGGGAAGATTTTTGGCTTTTTGGCCTTCCAAAATTCTCAAAATTTTGGCTTTTTTTCGACCCGAAACCCGATCCGAAGAAAATTTTGAAAACCCGATCCGAAACCCGACCCGACTTTTTGCTCAACCCGAAACCCGATCCGAGAAAAATTTTGGAAACCCGACCCGACATTTTTCTCAACCCGTGACATCCCTGATACAGACAAACAAGTACAAATTATTATGCCAACTAGGTAAAAGTAGAGTAGACATTCCTTCCCATTCCCCCCTTCCATTTCACCTCACACAAGTACATTTTTTAAAATATTAATTTTTTTATTATGAATAAAAAAATATAAAAAAAATATTTTTAAAACTTTTGGCAACACGAAAAAAAAATGTAAAAAAATTAAAAAAGAGACGTGAGAAAAATAAAAAAATAAAATAAAAATGAGGGTAAAGTCAAATAAAAAAATATAAAAAAACTTTTTTATTTTTAAACAAATATTTGGAATAATGTAAACATTTTTCTAGAGAATTAAAAAAAATTCTTTTTTAAAAAAATATAAAGTGCAAAAAGAAAAAAATATATTTTTTAAAAATTATGAAAGAAGTTTTAAGAAAAATTTTAAAAATAAAATTTCAAAATACGAGGTCCTAAAAAATTTTTTTTAAAAAAATTAGGGGGATATGGACAATCACATGGACAATACATAGATCATAATCACAATACAAGGACAATCACCATTGATTATTTGAATATTTTAAGAAAAAAAATTAAAATATGAGATCCTAGAAAAAATTTTTTCAAAAAAGAAAACAGACAAGGCTTATTTTATTAAATATTAAAAATATGTGGGCAAACATAATTTTAAAAAATTATTTAAAAAAATAATGTAAGTATTTAGGAAAGAAAAATAAATTTATTAAAAACAAGAGAGATCCTAGAAAAAAATTTTTAAAAAAGTGAAGACAGAAATAAAAATTATTTTTAAAAATTATTTAAGACTTAAAAACATTTGCTTAATCATCCCCTAATTCTTTCAAAAAAAAAAAGAATTTAAATTATCTCTAGTATTTTTAAAAATAAATTCCACCACAACAAAAAATTAAAAGTACACGGAAGTAGATAAATAAAAATAAATAAATAGACTCTCTATTTAATCTAAAAATAAATTTTTATATTAAAAACGCGCCATTAACAGACTCATTGACTGACTGTGTCCTTTCTGTCATTTTTAACAAGTCCTTCTGTCACCCCCCCTTTTTTTCGCTCTTTTATATTTAATACAAAAAATATTTTTTAATGCCAAAAGAGTATATAAAGAGAGGAAGCACAAGTACACTTTTTACGGTACACTTTTTATGGCATACTTTTTATGGCAATTCCAAAAATGACAGCACCCCCCAACCGTTAAGCAGAAAAAAAAGAAAAAAAGCTAAATAAATGTAAGCCCCGAGTTGATGTCTTATATGTAAGCCTCTGTGTATATGCCAGTCAATCGTCGTAAAAAAAAGCTTTTTCTTTCCTTTTCTTTTGGTTGAAAAAAAAAAGAAAAAGCCTTCGAAAAAGCCTCCTCCTTCTCTTTTATTTTCCCTTTTTTGTAACAACAATGTTGTTTTATATTTTTTAAGTGAGAAAAAAAGAAGGCTGACGGCTTTTCTAAAAGCTACACACATAAATTTTTTCTCCCTTTTTTTTCTAGTCTCCTTTTTTGGCACATGAGTGCATAAAAGTACACACACAAACATTTTTATTTTTACACACAAATACTTGTACATATTTGTGTTAAGTAGGAGAGAAGGGGGGTATAAAAAAAATAAAAAAAAGAAAATTAAATAATAAAATCTAAAAAAAATAAAAGAAGAAAAAATAAACAAATTTTTAAAGACTAGAAGAAAGAAATAAATTTTTTAAAGACTGGGGAGTGCAAGAGACTAAAGAAATTTTTTTAAATGTGGAGAGGGGGAGGGGGACTTAGGAAAAAAAAATTTTAAAGAGCGGAGGGCGGAAGCTAAAATAAATTGTTTAAAGAAGGGGGGAATTGAAAATTTAGAAAAATTTTTAATAATAGAGAGCGGGAACTTGAAAAATAAATTTTTCAAAGGGGGGAAAAGGGATACTAGAAAGAAAATTTTTTAAGAAAAATTGTATAGAGGAGAGAGGTTGGTTCATTTTAAAATGGTGGTAGTAATTAAAAAACAAATATTTCCCTATAAATATTTTTTAAAAAAAAGAAAAATTTTTAAATCCTAAAAATATTTTCTAAAGAAAAAAGGAAGAAAAATTTTTCAAAAAAAATAAAAAAATTTACAGGGAGGGGTTGGCTAATTAAAAGGGGGATAGACTAACTAGAATAATTTATTTTTTTAAATAAAATAAATTTATTACACTTTAATTAATTTAAAAAATACCACCGTAAAAATCAAAAAAATTTTCACTTTAAATAAATTAATTTTTCAATTTATTCAATTTCCCCCACCTTCTTTTGTTGACGTGCAGCAATTTTTTCAGCAGCTAAAGCTGCTTTTTTCTCCATTTTTAAACGTTTCTTTTCTTCACGACAACGCTCCTTTTCAATCTTTTTAGCTTCTCTTTCAATTCGTTGTTGTTCACGTCTTGAAGTTATTTTATTATTATTTAATAATGATGATGATGATATTTCTTTTTTATTATTATTATTATTGTTGTTAACAACAGTTAATGGAATCTTAAAAATTAAAAAAAAAATTAGAAATCTACAAAAAAAATTTTTGTAAATTTCTATAGGTATTTTTGTGTCGCCCCTAACAAATAAGGTTCCCCCCCCCCCCCCCCCCAAACTCTATGGAAAAGGAATTCCCTGAGGAACGGAGAAAGTTTTCTCATCCAAATCAGAACCCTTCAATATCAGAATTTTCCATTTCAAAAAGTGACCGAGTGTGTTACATAATTAGTAGGGAAAAACAAAAAGAGGTACTCCTCTAAACAAGTCAAAACAATATTAACTATACCCTCATCAAGTTTAATCTATTAGGATTCGATTCCCGTCTCCAAAGAAAAAAATTTTCAGAAACCAAAGGAACTTTTGTAATAAAATTCCTTAGTTTCTAGGAAAATATTATACCAAGCGAAGAGAATTATCCTATGAATGGGGAAGTCCTAACGAGATCAAAACTCTTTCGTTCCCAAAAACAAGAGAAAGGAAATTTTTGGAAAAAAAACAGTACAGGCCCCCTCTAAATCAGAATCCCCCTCTTTATCAAAATAAATTTTAAACAAAAACCGTTTTATTTACTCCATTATTTTCTTCCTCATCATCATCCATACAACAAATATTATTAGCAGCAAAAGGCGTTGGTGTTGAAGCAGTATTTGTAGAAATTGACGACAAATTATTTAAATTATTTGGCAAATTTTCATTTGTTGGAGTTGTTGAAATAATTAATTTATTATTTTTCCTTTGTCGATTTTCTTCTTTTTCACGCTTCCTTCTTTCCTTGCGTTCCAATCGAGCAAGTTGTCGTTGTTCAGAATTATCCTTCTTTTCTCGTTTTAAATCATTTTCAGTCTTAAAAATTTTTCAAATAAAATTTTTAGAAATTTTTTTAGAAATTTTTAAAAATTTCTAAAATAAAAAAATTTCGAAAAAAATTTCCCAAAAATTTTTAGAAATTTTTTTTTAAAATTTTGCAAAATTCTCAAAAATTTTTTCAAAAAATATAACAAAAAAAACCTTTCTCTTTCTTCCCATCTTTTTAATTTTTCCAGCACGAACAGCTTCTTCATAACGCCTTTTTCTCTTTTTATCCTCCTCCATTTGTTTTAAACAATCTTCGTGTTTTTTCAACAACTAAAAAATATAGAAAATTAAGAACTTTTCTTAAATTAAATTTTTCCGGAAAATAACCCCCAACTATCTTTGTGTTTTTAAAAAAATTCATTTGGATACGGAAGAAGAAACAGGTACCCTAGGTTTTGGGTAAATCCAAAAGTTTAGAAAAAAAATCTGGTTTTTGATTTTGAATTTTTAGGCCAAATGACGGTTTCTATTTTTTGAGTGAGGAAGGGGAGGTTTAAAAATCATTCAATTAAAAAAAAATTTCGTTACCAAAACAGGTAGCTAAAACAACCCTAATTTAATCCACAAATTTATGTCATATTTAAAAAAATTAAAATAATTTCCCAATTTCAAAAATTTTTAAAATTAAAAATATATTTTTTTAACAAAAATTAAATTTAAAACCTTCTCTCTCCCTTAAACTTACCAAAAAATCATCCATTGAATGAAAGAGCAAAAGAGAAAATTCATCAATCACAATTTCTTTAATCAAGTCCTCTTCTTCTTCTCCCTTCTTAATTTCTTCGTCTTGTTGTTGTTCATTTTTTGTTTTTTCTTTTTCCCCTTCTTCTTCAAAATCTTCTTCTTCTTCTTCAATTTCACCCATATCTATTGCATTTTGTTTATTATTTATTTTTGCACAAGACGACGAAGAAGAAGAAATGTCACAGTAATTAACACATTTTTTACGCAAATTTAAACCTGGGTATTTTTTAGCCAAAGCTTGTTGAGAACGTGGACAGACAAAACTTTAAAAAAATTAATTAATTAAAGGGTTTAAAAATATTTCGAAAAAAGGAACGAAAATGTGTAGGTTGTTTTACCACTTTTACATAATCTCGTTGGAATTAGAGTCCTATTGGAAGGGGGCATAGACCGGGGCGGGGGGATATGCCATGGCGTATTTTAAAAACCGCAAGACCGAAGAAGACAGAAGAAAAAAATCGGAAGATAAAAAAGGGGAAAGGAAGGGCAAAAGACGGAAGGTGGAAGACCTCTACATTCTACAAGTTAAAATTCGCAAGGTTCAGGTCCTATTTCGATATAGCCTAGAGATCGAGCTGGACCTGAAACAAGGTCTGGGTTTTTCATGTACCCACAGAGTCCAGGTCTGGCATTTTTTACCTTCCTGGATTTTTCCTGGGCCTGGGTTTTTTTCTGACCCGGGATCCGACCCAGGTCAATAAATCAACCCCAGAGTCCAGGAACAAGCCAAGGCTTTTCAAAAATCTGATCTCTAGTAAAGACATAATTTCTTTCCGCCGTGTAAAAAACAAATTAAAAAATTTTAAAAATTTTCAATTCAAATTTTTTTCCAAAAACACTCTCCTATTCAAAATTCCATTAAAAATATTTGCTTAATATTTACATACAAAAAAAATATTAGGTCGCGTCATAATTAGTGGCCGTTTTTCAATTTGGATTTTTTAAATTAAGTTTTTTGTAAATATTTTTTATTTTTATTACGAGTCATTTGTTAGTGTATTTTCTAAAGGATCCTAGCATTTTAGAATTTTTGGGTAGGTATTCAGGAAGTTCTGATCGAAAATGTCAAAATTTTTGAAATCATCAAAAATCAAATTTTCTCGAGTATATGTAATGATAATATTTAGTGTAATATATCATTCGAACGCTCTTCAAAATCTCTATCAGGAGGGCACAAATTCGAATTTTTAATCCGAAAGGTCTAAATTTTTCAAAAAGGTCGAAATTCGAATTCCGGGTTCGACACCATTTACAGACTTTATACCTCGGATTTAGAATAAGCCCTGTATGGGATTTAAAAAACCGTTTAGATCATCTTGATCGGATGATTTTACGCTGAGTTATAAGAAACAACTTTTTGGGGGAGTGTCGTCTCGTTTTCCCAGCTGTGCAAAAGAGTTACACGCGGCATTTGATTTGCTCTCCTTAAGCGCAGCCCGCGTTTTTTCAGTCACGCGTGGCCATACATATAGAGCAGATATCCCTCTATAAGTCAGCAGTAGAAATAAGCGGATTCCATCTAAGCCGGCCGAGCAGGACCGTTATTCTTAATGACACCCGTCTCACTCGACCATGTTTGCTTCTGAGAGTCATACGGCCTTCCTAGTAGAGTTTGAATCCTATTCTTTGCTGTCTAGCATAGAGAACGATCCCATGACTAGATCATTAAGATATTTTGCTTCTTGTGTCCATTTTTGGTAATTTATAATTTTTGGTGTAAATGCTTGAGAATTTCACTACGAGGTAGTGAAGTTCAAAAAATCATAACTTTATGAATATCAGCCATATATACCTAAACCTGGTATTAAAATGAAGAGTAGATTCAGATCCTTATGTTCGTTAATAATAAAAAAGAATATTTGTAAAATAACACCCCTAAAAATTTAATCTAAAAAAACGGCCACTAATTATGAACCGACCTAATAAAATGAAAATAAACGTCACAAAAATCGACCCTCTTATTTTCACTCCCCACCACCTACACATTACATATTCTTCCCTCATTCCCTCTTTAAAAATAAAAGAAAAAACCTGTGTTTGCCAATGCTGACATATTCTCTAATTAATTCTTCATTTGTATATTTAATTGATGAAATTTCTTTATTTTGAAGTATTTTAAGTTGCTGATTTTTGTTTAATACATCCAGTTTGCAACGTTTTTTACTGTTGATATTGTTAATTAATGGACGTGACTTTCTTAAAATATAAAAATAATTAAAAATACGCTCAAAACGTCAAAATTATGAATATCCAATAATTTAAAAGGTGTCATTTTGGAAAAAAAATTTTCAACTAGGAACAGAGTAAAAGTAGCAAGAAAGGGTTAGTTGTGAGTAGGGTTGCCGATTTCACCAATTTGCTCGGTTAACCGTTAAAAACCGAACCATTAAAGTCGGACAAATGCTTCAGTCATCCTAACAATAAGCCGCCCCGAAACTTTCGGTCAAATGAAACCGGGTCGGAACCAGATCTAAAATCTTGTGGTTAATCGAACCGAACCGGTAAACTAAACATGCGCTTTTTTGGTTTAAGTGAAATCAAAACCCTGTTTTTGGAAAGAATTCGACATATTCCTCGAGGAACGCCCTCGGTAGAAAACAGTTCCTTTAAGGTGAAAGCTCTTTGTGAACTTTCCAGTTAGAAATCCTTGACCACCCCCCCCCCTTGTCAGAAATCATTTTAAAAAATCATAAAAAAAACAAACAAACTTATTGCAAGGAAGTGCTGGCGTTTTAAAACAATTTTGATCATCATTAATCGTTGCATCTTCAATTTTTGTCCCCTCACTCGCCTCTTCCTTGTCGTCCACCTTATTTTCCCCTTGTAAAATTTTTTCATTTTCTTCAGCAAATTGCACAATTTCATTTAAAACACCATTTTGAATTGGTTTACGTCCACATTCTTTCAAATTTTGTTCATTTTCATTGCCAAAAGAATTTTTATTTTTCACAAAATTGGAAGAGACATTTGGTCCCACATCAATTTTTGTATTTATAATTTTTGATGTTGAAGCAATATTTGTGTCGAATAATACAAAAGAAGCTGGAGGAGAAGAAGAATTATTTTGTTGTTGTTTATCTTCTTCCTCTTTCATTTATATAGAAAGATGAAAGAATAAAAGATGAAAAAAATAATAGTAGTAGCTTTATATTTATATCAAAATAGCTAAAAAAATAAATTTAAAATAATTAAGAAAATTTTTTAGAAAATTAAATAAAAATAAGAATTGAAATTGCCGTTCGAGTCAGAACCTAGTAAAGATGAGTCGGATTCTGGGCCTGAAGCCTGAGTCGGATCCTGGATTCGAGCAGCCCAGATAGCTAGGTCGGATACCAAGCCCAAAGTCCGTGTAAGATCATGAGACATTTGGTCCCACCCTGAGCCTAAAGTCTAGTCAGACCCCTGGGCCCAAATTTCGAGTCGGACTTTGGTTTGAAGTCCAGGGTCGGAAAAAAAACTTAGGTCATGGCCCAAACTTAGGTCATGGCCCCCAAAAAAACTTAGGTCATGGCTTTATTTCTAAACCTATGAAGTATGTGTCGAGATCCTGATTTTAGGCCCAGGTAGTTAGGTGAGATTCTGGGTCCATATGGAAAATAGTTAAAAAATCAAGAAAACGAGGTAAATGACTCAAAAGGGTCAAATTTCAAATAAACGTTGAAAATTGAAAAAATACAAAGAATATAATATTTTTTATTTATTTATGTAAGCTAACTAACAATAAGTCTCAAAAACCAAAAAAAACCCTAGCAAAAAAATATTCCAAATATAGAAAAGGAAAAAGCATTACACGAATTTTTAATATACCGTATTTTTCCCAATAGAAGCGCACGTCCCATTTGAAGCGCACGTCCCAATAGAAGCGCAGTCTACGAGGAGGTTGAAAAATACAAGCGCAGGTCCCATTAGAAGCGCACGTTCTATTATAAGCGCACCCTATGAAATACTTATTTGAGCAACTACTCTATTACATAGTTACTATTTTAAACAAGTATTATTCATTTACATTTGGATTAAGAATTTATACTTTTATAAAAATGGATTCTACTTCCGGTTCGGAAATTGATGTTTAGGTAATGTAACCGGTGCTATGCTCGAAAACGCATCAATGAATTGGATGTACATATATCAGTGATTTCATCCTTTTTTACCGCCGGAGTCGAAAAGTTTAAGACTTTTGGAAGACCAAGGGCCAGATTTCTTCCTTGTTTACTGTCAAGAAGCGATAAAGAAGCTTTAGGAGAAATTATGATGGATTTAGAGCATTAACAAGGATACTAGGGATTTTAGAACACAGTGGGATTTTATTAAGGGATTTGGATATCCACTGATATCCATCTCAATTCTCTTCAGCCCTTCCTTTACCCTCCAGATCCATCAATATACCTTTTAATTCTCAGATTCCCTCCAAATCCACTAATTATTTTTAAATAAATCTTTTTAAAAATGACTCGAAAATGCCTCGGCGCCCGACTCGATAAAGACAGGCCCGAAAGTGACTCGTTCCGGCCCGACTCGATACAAACAAGCCCGAAAAATATGCCTCGACCGTCGGCCCGACTCGAAAAAAGGCAACCCTAATCTTAATGACGACAATATAAACGGAATTGAAATTGATAATTCTATATACAGTAGTCGACAAAAAGATAGGGACAAACGCAAGCAAAATGAAAATCACCTATTTTTTTCGGTTAAAAATCGATCTTAGAAAAAATTTTTTGATTGATTAAATACTAGATTTAATGCTCTATTTAATGAGTAGAAAATTTGCCTGTTTAATTTTTTATAAAATTCAACCCTTATTGAAAAACTAAAGGTATGCTATTTTAAGCGCGACAAAAAGATAGGGACAAGTCTTGTAACTAAGTTCTCATAGAAGCGAAAAATCTACAAAATTTATTGTAAGCATATTGATCGATAATAAGAAGAAATAAAAGAGAACTGGGTCCATATCTCATTTCGTTGTCGAGATCTAGATACCCCAAAAATCAACGTAAAATAGGGTTTTTCGACTTCAAAATTTTTTTCGGACCCCTTATTGATTGTTTTAAATTTTCATTTTAGGCTTATTCGATAGTTCTTTAATTGTGCTATAAACGTGACAAATTTCATTTTTCAAAAAAATTTCACTCCCGAGATAAAGGACGACGATTCTTCAAAACGCCATTTTTGTGGGAATTTATGGGGTGTTTGTTGCTTTTTGTAACATTCGCCTCTGCAACTAACGAAGTATTTTTTTCTGAAAAATGAAATTTGGCTAGTTTATAGCAAATTTCAAGAGCTATCGAATAGGCTCAAAATAAAAATTTTAAAAAATCCATAAGGGGTCGAAAATATTTTTTGAAGTTGCTTACCCCTGTTTTACGTTGATTTTTGGGGTATCGAGATCTCGACATTGAAATGATCTACGGGCCTAGTTCCTTTTTATTTTATCTTAGTATCGATCATTATGTTTGCACGAATTTTTGTAAATTTATTGGTTGGGTGACTACTTAGTTACAAGACTTGTCCCTATCTTTTTGTCGGGCTAAAATTTGCAGTACTTTTTTATTTAAATTATTTCAGTATATCAAAAAATAATAATCCGCCAGATCTTATACTTATTAAATAGAGCATTAAATGGCGTATTTAATCAAACAAAAAATTTTTCCTGAAATCGATTTTTAGCTGAGAAAATAGGTGATTTTCATTTTACATGCGTTTGTCCCTATCTTTTTGTCGACTACTGTATGTAGATTTAATATTTGTCGTAAATTTCTATGTTATAAAAATTAATTCGCATAGGAGTTGAAAAATACAAGCGCACGTCCCATTTGAAGCGCACGTCCTAATAGAAGCGCAGTCTACGAGGGGGTTGAAAAATAGAAGCGCATGCGCTTCTATTGGGAAAAATACGGTAAATGAAAAAAATGCAACGGGGATTTTTTTGCTTAAATTTTTTAAAAAATATAAAAAAAAATTTTTTTGTCATTGTTTAAAATTGCATAAAATATAAAATAAAATTTACTCTACTAAAATAAATATTTACAAGACAAACAAATCATTAATACCGTTGAAAAATGTTTTTAAAGAGAAAATGAAGGGAGAAAAAAAATTTTTTTTTATTTTTTCAATTTTTCTTTTCTCTCTCTTTTTAATACTGCGATCTGTGCTATACAAAAATCTCTCTTTTCCCTTATCTTTTACATTATTTTTCTCTAACCTAACATTATATTACACTGAAACTACTCAACAAGACTTCTCTAACCCTTATCTTTCTTCGTTTTCTCCGACTTAAAGGCTACCATATTTTGCCAATGACACATTTTGCCAACTAAGGGAAAACACGACACTTTGCCACCAAGTTTGTTGACAAAATGCAAATTTTTGGCCTTCTTGGCAAAATGTGGTATTTGCAAAAATAAGCACACGGACTTCAAATGAAGCAATTCAACACACTATTTCTCTTATAGCTTTGACAATCTTCCCCACGAACGAATCAATAGAGTATAAGAGCGTCTATGTATGACTACTACCATTTTTCTATAAACCTCCGAAAAATGTCCTTGCTACCGCCGCCCTTAAAGAACCAGCTGCTTTAGGAAAAATATAAAAGAATATTTATTTATGTTCCAGACAGAAGATCACATTGAAAAATAAAAGATTTAAAAATAATAAGAAGATAATTAAGACTCTAATGGTTAGGGTTAGATAATAATTGATATTTTAACTCGAATTGAAAGAATGTATGATTTTGAGGGGGTCAAAAAGAAGAAAATTTTTAACAGAAAATTGCTATAAATGTAGGAAAAGTCCCCCTAGTGCCGAACGACTTCACTCGGGCCGATATTTGCTGGTGTGAGAGGGGAAGAGACGTGGGAAGAAGACATGGGCCGGGTTGAGAAAAAAAAGTCGGGTCGGATTCAGACTCCAAATTTCGAGCAGAAAAAAGGTCGGAATTCGGTTCTCAGGTAAAAATCCCTGCTGGGAAGCGAAGTCAATCAAGCAAAATCACCGGACCGAAAAATGAAACGGGGAATCGTAACAAAGAGATATTCCACTGCAATGGCGTAAAAAGAAAATTTAGATGATTTTCATGAAGTAATTTAAGATAAGAAAAGAGAAATGTAAATGTGAATGAAAAAAAAATTAAAATTATTAAAAATATATAATCAGCTAATAAAAAGTCGTGGAGGGGGAGTAGAATTATAGCGCTTTTGCACCTTTTGGCAATGTAAAAAAGAAGGTTCTTTAATTTTAAATTATATTTAGTTTTTAATTTTTAAAAGAAAAATGAAATGAGTGAAGTAAAAAAGAGATTCAAAACCCTCGAAAAAATTTTTAATCTTAGTTAGAGGTCGAAACTAGAACGGGCGCTTGGTAGCCCGAAAACAGGGTATTCTGATAAAATTCGGATTTTCGGGGTTTCCACGGCCCGGCTCAATATGAAGGAAAAAAATCAGGATACCGGATCCGGGGGTCAGCACGAAGAAAAAAACCCGGATACCGGGCCCGACAATTTGAACATATCCAACTCAAATCTAAAGAACGAAATATGAATTTCTCAGTTAAGTCAAGGAACTTCTCAAAAGTCTAAAAATTTTATTTTAAATTTAATAAGGAAGTATTTTCCGAGACTAATAGGTTAACCTTCTTTTTTTATTTTTAAAGAAATAAAAAATATAAAGATAGCCGCCACACACACAAAAAATTATTTTTAAATAAACAACATTTTTTTCAACAAATTTCATAAAAGTACTTAAAAAGTACATGTAAACTTTTACCTATCTCTATTGCATTTTTTTTTAAAAATCTAAAAATATATAAACATCTCAAAAAATTTTGAAAAAAATTCTTTTCAGTCTAGAGGGTCTTTGAATTTTTTGGGGATATTTAATTATTCTAATAAACGCCCCTCCTATAGGTACTCGTTAGGGATGGGCCCTGCCGTATTTTAAAAAACGGAAGGTGGAAGCAAAAAAAATTATGGAAGACGGTGGAAGACGGAAAAGATCACCTATCTCTGGTACTCCTCCAAAAGAATTATTAATACTTGGATGATTATTATAAAAAAAATTTTTTTTCAAAAAAAAAGAAAAATCAGATTGAAGCAAGAAAAGAAGGATCAGAATAAAATTGAAATTTTTCAAGAAAAAAAATTAAGGACAAAAAATCAAAAAGATAGATAACATTTTTAACATGCTTCTTAATGAAAGATTTATTATTATTCTTTAAAAAATTTTTTAAAAATAGAAAAATCAAAAAATTAAAAAAAATTGAAAAAAATAAATAATTTAAAAAGAACAAAAATCAAAGTAAGTAAACAAAAATAAAAACTAAAAAATAAATTTAAAAAATTCCCCAAAAATATATTTTTATATATTAAGCAAAGAAAATCAATAAATAAAAATAAAATAAAATTTTTTCAAAAAAAAAATATAAAAAGGGAAGGAAAAAGAATTAGTAAATTTGTGTGTAAAGTAAAATATAGAAAAGTAGAAGAGTAGCAAATAAAGAGCGGTAAAAAGAAGAATTGAAGGAGGGAGGGAAAATATATTTTTAGTGGCCAGCCGTCACACAGCACCCAACAAAATATTAGAAAATATACACGAGACAAATATTAAAAAATTAAAAAAAAAAGAAAAAGGGGGGGATGAGCTGAAAATAAAAATAAATAAAATAAAAAAAAATATTTTTTAATTTTTAAAATTTATTTTCGAAAGATTTTTCCTTGAAATTATTAAAAATAGACCAATTTTTAAAATTAAATTTCATTTAAAAAATTACCAAAAAATTAAAAATTAATTTAAAAAAAAATTAAAAAAATACTTTAATAAAATATTAGTCTCTCTGTCTATATTTAATCGATTTTTGATTTTTTAAAATTGATAAAGAAAGAAATTTGGCAAATTAAGCATGGAAATACTGTTTTAAAATAAAATAAAGAATTAAAAAAATATTTTAAAAATATTTACCCACTTAATTAGTTAAATTTTCGAAATTTTTGTAAATTTTTTGAAAATTTTTTCTTCATTTTTAAGCCTCTAAAAATATTTTTGAGAAGCTAAAAAATATTTTAAAAACACCCTAGCCAAGCATACACTTAAAATAAAAATTTGAACCCCTCCAGGTATCGAACCCCCAACCCCTTTCATTAGTATCCCAACACCCTAACCAATACACCAAATTGCTTCATTGCCGGGAATCTTTAATTAACTCTTTTCTTTCTACTTTAATTAATTAAATATTAAATTAAAATCACTAATAAACTAAAATACGCAAAAAATAAAAACACAAATTTAAAAAATTAAAAATCTTAAAAATTAAAAAAATAAATTGAAGGACGATAAAATAAAAATGAGAAGAGAAAAAAATAAAAATTGAGAAAAAAAGAAAGAAAAAAGGGTAAAAATCGGGAAAATGAGAAAAAAAAAGAGAAAGGAAAAATTGAGGGGGGAAGCAAAAGAGAAGCAAAAGAAAAATAAATTTAGGTGAACAACAGCAAAAATGTAAAAGAAAATAAATAAAAATATATTCTTTTATTTTAACAAAAAAAAATTTTTTTTTCTAATTCATTTGCAAAAAAGCACGTTTTCTTTTTTTTTTAAATTTTTCTGTGTATTTTTATTTTTATTGGTCAATTGAAAATTTAAAAAAATTCAAAAAAAATTTTTTTGTTAAAAGATGGGCTTTTATTTTTAACATTTTAAAAATAAAAAAGTCGAAAATGCGGTATTTTATGAGAGGTGAGAGAATTGAAGCAATGAGAAGGGGGTAATCTTATTAAGAAATTAATCTTTCTCATTGGCCAATACGATTTTTAACAAATTATGTCTTAAATTGGGGCCTAATTTAAGGTATTCTAGGGGTCTAATACAAGGGGTCTGACTGTTTTTAAAAATAAAATATTAGTCACAAGAAACTTATTTTAAAAAATACTTAAAATTGCCCCAGTGCCCTACTTAACAAACTTTTTGAAAAATTAAAAAAAATTTCTAAAAATGCGAAAAGTAGGAGTAACGACGTTAAAATAAGGTGACAGATAAATAAACAAAAATTTTAAACCTCAAAAAAATTCAAAAAAAAACCTTGTACAAAAAAATTTCCGTATCAGCACAGCAAAATCAATAAAAATTTAAACCACCAATTTTTATGTGCAAATAGTAGTAAAATAAATAATGCTGCTTGCTCTTTCTGATGTGAGTGTTGACAACAGAAAAAAATAATAATAAGAAGAAGAAAGAATTATTTAATAATTTTTCTTTTTTCTTTAGACAAATAAAAATATTTTTGTAAATTTTTATCTAAAAATTAAAAAAAATTAAAAAAGAATTAAAGTTAAAGATTAAAAATGCTACCATAAATGCAATAATATAAGCCCACTTTCTATTTGAAGCCCACTCGGGTCGACCATCGAAAAAAGAAGCCAATCCCTCTCTACTAGAAGCCCATCTCTAATAATAGCCCTCTCTAATAGAAGCCTATTTCTAATAGAAGCCCATCTCTAATAGAAGCCTAATCCCAGGCAAAGATACATTGAAAAATAGCCGCTCATGGCGTATATTAGAGCATTTAAGGTAAAGATAAATAAAATAATATTGATTTTCTAAAATTAAATATTTCTTAAAAATCAATATGTGATGGAAAAAGACAAATTATCCTGTTAAAAATATTGAAAAAAATTTTTTCTGAGTAAAACACGAATGATTAATAAATTAAAAAAAATAAAAAAATTTGAAAAAAAGGAACGCGAATTTTGATGAATTATTAAATTAAAAAAAAAAGCGAGAAAAAATCATTCAAGGTTATTCAAGGCTTCCCTAAATATAAATTGAAAAATTCCCCTTAAAAATAATTTGTAAAAATATTTTAAAAATTCAAGAAAATAAAGAAAAAAATTAAGAAAAGTCTATTCTGGAGGGTCTATGGTAGAGAAAAACAGAACAGATTCGAGGAAAGCGTTGAGCTGTTTGGAGACAAGAAAAATAGAAATATAGTAAAAACCAATGCTCAACAAAAGGAAATCTTTAAAAAATCAAAAAAAAATCAAAAAAATTATCTCGATAAAATTTTAAAAATACGTGCAAAAAATTTATCTTTCGAAGAAATTTTCAAAAAATTTATTTGTCAAAAAAAATTTTTTAAATTCCAAAAATCTCAAAAAATTAAATATTTTCTTAATTTTCATTTAATTTTATTTTAAACTGATGTAGCTATTAAATAAAATAAACTAAAAATAAATGAAAGAAGGAAAAAAATTTTGTTGAGAAAAATGCGAAAAAATGTCAATAGAGCAAAAGAAGAAAAAAAGAATTTTATTTTATTTTTTCCTCTCCCTTCCCCCCTTCCAAATAAAAAAAATTTTTTTTTTACTCTATTAAAAATGTACTACCAAGCACAACTCTATAAACATTTCTTCTCTACCATAGACCCTCAAAAAAAAAATAGAAAGATATCTTTTTAGAAAAATACCCTAAAGATCAACAATTTATTAAAAGAATATTCACACGGATTTTCTGTTGAAAATAAATGTTTCAGAAAAAATGTTCAGAAATTTTTTATTTTTTTTGAAAATTAAAAGGAAATTGTCCTAATTTGTACAAGGATTGGGGTCATAACTTGGCCCAAAGTCATTTTGCAAAAAAAAAAATGACCACCTCGCAATTGGAAGTCGGGGGTTAACACAGTAGAACACGTTCCCAAGTTATTGGAAAAAAATCCCAAAATTTTCATAATGTCCTAAAAATTTTCCCAGGTCTAAAATATTTTTCAAAAAATTGAGCTCAGCTCGTCGAGCTGGGTCGAAAGACATCAAAATCAGTCCAATCGAAAATCTTTGAGCCGAGTTAAAGGGGGTTCAAAAATGTCAAAATGAAACAGGAGCTCAAAATGGTCAAAAGGTTAAAATAATAAATTAGACCTTAACATGTTTCAATTATTTTCAAAAAATATTTTATAAATCCAAAAAGCTTCCGAAAAATTCGAAAAAAATTTTCCAAAATTTTTTTTGAATAAAAAAATTTTTAAAATTTAAAAATTCAAAAATTTTTCAAAAATTTCAATTAAAATTTCAAATTTAAAAAATCAATCAAAAAATTAAAAATTCAAAAATCTTCCGAAAATTTTAAAAATATTTCCTAATTTTTACAAACCTTTTAAAAAAACCTCTTTTAATTTTTCAAAAAAAAAAGAATTGTTGATCTATAGGAGTAAAACAATTCGTCGCTTTCCCGCTCATCACCACCCTCCTCCCTCCAATTCTCTTGTCTAATAAAATAGAAAAATGTTTGTTGTATTTTATCTTACTAGGGAAAAAGCAAAAATAAATAAAATTAAAAATATAAAAGAACATTGAACAAATAATTAAAAATATAGAAAATTATTTTTTTAACGTAAAATAAAAAAATTGGTTCCTAAAAATAAAATATCTACGAAAAAATTAAAAAAAAACAAAGTCGAAAAAATTTTAATGCGGAAGGGAGAGGGTAGGTTGGAAGGAAAAAAATTAAGAAAAACATGGGAGGGAGAGAAATACCTAGAAAAATTAAAAAAAATTTTCTTAGGAGGTTAAAAAAAATAAAAAAGATTGGAAAAAATTTTGGGTCTAAAAATAAAGGAAGCAGAAAATTGAAATTTTATGAAGGGCCTAAAGTAAAAGAAAAATTTTTTTTCAAAATTCACATTCCAAAAAATATCCAAAATTTGGAAAATTTAAGGAATTAAATGGGAAAATTTTAAAAATAATTTATTTTAAAGATGTAGATTTTTATTTTAAAACAGTATTGCCCTACTTAATTAATTTCATTATTGATTTTAGAAAATCTAAAAATCGATTAAAAATTAGGGGAGACTAAAATTTCTTGTTATTTTTTTAAATTTTTAAAAATTAGTTTTTGGACTCCAAATTGATTAAATAAAATTTCTTAAAAAATTTAATTCAAAAAATCGGCCCGTTGTTCATATCCCGCACCTACCAACAAAAAATCTACTCAAAAAATCCCACATATTCCCAGAAAAATTTTCAAAAAAATTTTTGGTGCTGAAAAAATAAAATTTGATAAATAAAAAAATTAAAAATTTAATTAAGAAAAAAATTCCGGAAAAGTGTAATTTAATAAGCAGAAAAAAAGAGAGTAAGTAATATATCGATAGATTTTTTTGGACGATAAAAATGTTACGCGAAAGGAATGCAGCTGCACTAACCCCCTTTTTAACACCCACTTATAAAAATAGAATATATTTTTAGAATTTGTTTTTTTTCAAAAATGAATTTAAATAAATTTCTTTAATTTTAAAATTCAATGACTTTTAAAAAATCATAGAAAAATTCTAAAAAACTTTCAGAAAAAAATCTCCAAAAATTTGAAAAATTTTTTCAAAAAAAAAAGAAAAAAACAACCGCTGGCAGATTAGAACCTGGACATAGTTAAACCACAAACTAGGCATCAACAAAATTAATAGCCATTAAAAACACTTTAAAAAATTGCGAGCGTCAAAACAGGCCTTTCCAAAAATAGAAAATAAAGCATGTGAAAAAGAGAACTAAAAGAAAAAATAAAAATTAAAAATTCAAAAACCTCAAAATATTAAATAAAAAAATTTTTGGATTTAAAATACCAATCAAATTATAGAAAATTAAAGAAAAAACAAAAATTTTATCAAAAAACCTAAAATATTTTTCAAACAAACAAATAAAATTTTTTCTAATTTTCGAAATATTATTTTCATCCCAAATTTATCTATACAAAAATTCTGCTTGCAAATTTGCTGCCAATTCTGGCTCCCAACGATCACCATTTGATAAAAGCTTTTCTTTATTATAAAGTAATTCTTCGTGTGTTTCTGTTGAATATTCAAAGTTTGGACCCTAAAAGAGAAAAACCTTTTGTAATATTAAAAATATTTTAATTAAAAGCTTAAACGATCTATTGGTTTAAAATTAGATTTGAGCCCCTCAGGCCTGCCAGTGTAAAAAGATGAGGGGTAGGAAAAGGTCAAGGTTGCGGATGACGAAAACTTCGGGGTTGAAGATTTCGGGGTCGGTTTTCAGCATTGAGGCTTTCAAGGTCGAGGGTTTTAATCAAAAAGGTAGTTTCTGGGTCGGGAATAGATGGTATCGAAGCACTCTAATTAAAAATTTACAAAAAATAAAAAAAAAATAAAAAAATTTACTTCAACAATAGCATCAACAGGGCAAGCTTCTTGACACAATCCACAATAAATACATTTTGTCATATCAATGTCATAACGTGTTGTTCGTCGACTACCGTCTGGACGTGTTTCAGTCTCGATTGTTATTGCCTTTAAATTATATTTAAAAAAATAATTTAAAAAAACCTGGGCAGGACATATAGCCTCACACAATTTACAAGCGATACAACGCTCCTCGCCTGAAGGATAGCGACGAAGTGCATGCTCTCCTCGGAATCGGGTGCTAAGCGGACCCTTCTCAAAAGGGTAGTTGATTGTGGCCGGCTCCATAAACATGTGTCCAAAAACGTGGGCAAAACCTTTGAAAAATATTTAAAAGTAAAAACTGATACGAGCCAATTATGAACCATGAACCAATTCTTTAAGCATAACTCGCTCCATCCCTGCTTTAATGTCACCTTTAAGCGTTCCATCGGATTCTTCAATCATCCCAACATATTCTGCAAATATTAAAATTAGAGGTCGAAAGTTATAAGAACACCTTGACCTTGATTTCAGTAGAGGACCTTAAACAGATTCTTGATTCAATAATAATCAAGGCCAACAAAATCAAGGTCAAGATAAAATCAATGAACCGTAAAATACGCCTTGATCTTGACTATGGATTAAGGAAAAGCCAAGGGCTTGACCCATACCCAGACCCATCCCTATTAATATTAAAAAGCATTAAAAAACAAACTATATTTATTCCGAACTGATCCAAGTGCCACAGAAAATACACGATTTTGAAGTAAATTGCGAAAATAATTATGCATTTTCTAAAAAAAGAATTAAAGAAAAAAATAAGATTCAACTATTAAATATTCAAAAAAGAATTAAAAAATAACCCTTAAATCTATAGTTAAAATTCACAAAAGTAGAAAACTTTATTTATTAAAAAATGACTAGGTATAAAAAAGACTAGATTATTAAAAGAAAATTACGTTAAATTTAAGAAATTTAAAATAAAAAACCAAAAAAAATGCAAAAAAACCCCAAGAAAAATGCGTAAAAATAGTGTGACGAAATGTCCGAAACCATTTTGTCGTTTCTAGTAAACTTTCCCCATTTTTGGTGTTTTGAAAGAAAATAATCAAAAAATAACAAAATGCATATATAATCTCTCGTTTTCTCTTTTTCTTTTCTCTACTTTTTATCACTTCTCTAACATTTTTATTCTCAAGACTCGGCCAAATTTTCCTTTGATCTATACATATGATGGCCTTTATTTACTGAATGAAAGTGGAAGTTATTTGTGTCTGTATGACTTCCATTTTTGTCCTCAGCTTTGCATGCGTGGCCTTTCAATGTTTCCACCAATTCCCCAGCTGGACACGGCCCAGCTAATTTATTTGTAAATTCTGATCCATATCCACTCTTAAATTCTCTATCACCCTGCAATTTTAATGCTGTAGATGGGCGTACTGCTGCAGGGCGGGAAGCATAAGTATCCGAAGGAATTTGTTGGAAATTGTCGTTGTAATTGGTGGATTTATTGAAGGATTCTGTTAGGGAAAGGGGAAAAGTTAAGCAAAAAACCCTCAAATTCCCCCTTAAGTCTCCAATATACCTTCCGGCCCTGCCAACACAAACTCTGACCGTCGGGGCACTGGATGGGCTCTCTCTACCAATTCTTTGTGACCATAATGCTCTCGAGTGACAGTACTTTCTGGCGCAAATTCTGATCCTGGAGGAGGTAGAAATATTCCTGAAGGCTGTGGCACTTTTCGTTCAGCACGCTCTCCACGGGTATGAGAATACTCGGTAGCATTAACTGTTCTTTCTTCTCCAATTTTGCCGCTACGCTAAAATATTTTTATTTTTAGGCAAAAATAAAATTCAAAAAAATACTACATCAAAAAGTTCCGTATCCTTTGGACGATGCATTGGATGTCGATCACCCCTTTTTCCTTCTTCGTGTTGATAATCATTTTTACTGACAGAACCTTCAGCAGCCATTCTTCCTTCATTACGCCAAATTTCTTCATTTTCTCCTTGTTTTCGACTTTCAAAGCGTTCTCCTGGACCTCTTTGAGCATATTCACTGTGTGCAACACTTAGGGATTCGAAGGGTCCTTGTACACGTAGAATATCAGAATCTGGAGGTTTTCGCATTTCAAAGCGGTCACCACGGCCTCCCTTATATTCACTTCGATTTACTGTTGTATGCTCATTTGGGCCTTCATTCTTAAAAAGAAAATTTTAAGTTCAAGATTCCCCTCCATCACAAAAATATTTTTAAATTCCACAAACCTTCCAAATCTCATTTTCAACTGGTCGTTTAGCCTCAAAGCGATCCCCACGGCCTCCCTTATATTCGCTTCTATTCACTGTTGTACGTTCATTTGGGCCTTCATTCTTAAAAAAAGAAAAGAAATTTTTAAGCCCAACCCTCCCCCACTCTTCTCAAAAATATTTTCAATTCACAAACCTTCCAAATCTCAGATTCCACAGGTCGTTTAGCCTCAAATCTCTCCCCTCGTTTAGGTCCATATTCAGAACGCTGATTCGTTTCCACATGAAATGGACCTTCCCCACGAAGGATGTTTGATTCACGAGGGCGTGCAGCTACTGGCCTTTCACCTCTCCCCCCTCCTTTCCCATATTCCGCATTAACTCCACTTTTTTCAAGCGAAGTACCATTTGAATTCTTCCAAAGGTCTGAAGTTTTAGGCCTAACAGCCTCAGCTCTTTCTGAACGCTTTGGAGCATATTCACTCTGATTCACTGTTTGATGAATGTTATTAGAGTCAGAACCTCCAAAGATGGGTGTTGTAGCGGCTGGGCGAGTTGGACGTACACGTTGTTGAACTGCAAAAGGGGGAAATTTTTCTTTCAAGGGACCATTATTTACTGTGCACAAAAATTTGGTAATTTTTTGGTACCAGTCGATAGAGCAACCCCGACTTCCTATTGTGAAGTGATATCCGTTTTCAAGCAAAATGACTTTGGATCGAGTTATGGCCAGTCAAAGTTGGCAATAGGAAGTCGGGAATCCTCTATCGAATGGTACCAAAAAATACGAAATCTTTGTACTCAGTAAAGTGGTCCCTTGTTAGAACTAAAAAATTTCCAAACCTCCATTTTGCAAAGCACGTTCACTTTCCTCTCTGTAAGTACTTCGAAGCATTTGCTGTTGTTGATTATTTTGCCCGTCAGTTAACTGAATTTGAGAATTTTGCCCACGTTTTCTAAATGCGGCAGAAGTAACAAAACGTTGATTACGTGCTTCTGTTAGTGCTTTTTGCTGTTCAGAAAAATCTACCGATTTTTCGTTTGAGTGAAATGGCTAGAGGAAGGGGAAAAATGAAAATTTTTGTGGAAAATTTAGTTTTAAACAAGGGAAATTTTTTTGGCTCTTGTCAAGATTACGCGTCAAAATCGCACCCTTACACGTCCAAAGAAAAGTTTGCGCGTCCAATCAATGACGATAAATACCCAGGTTCTTCATTTTAGTACCATAAATCTATGGGATGTGAAAGTACTTATCCACTACTTATCCATAAATTGGACGGACGCATAAAGGTTGATTGGACGCGTAAAGATGCGATTGGACGCATAATCTGGATAAGAGCCAATATTTTTTTGTGCGCAATAAAAATAATATTTTTTTGTGCCAACAAGTGCCAAAGGAAAAAAAAATTCTTTTATAATAAAGAGATTATGGGTAAATTCATTTTCTCACTCACTTAGCAACAGAGAGAGACGACAAAAAAATTTCCTTACTTATCCAATAAAATAATAAAAATATAAAAAAGGATGTACGGAAAGCTAAAAATCCTGTGCTTAACTAAAATTGACTGGTATTTCCCTCTAAAATTTCAAAAATAAAAATTAAATTGAAAAAGAATAAAATTAATAAAAAATCAATAGAAAAATTTTAGAAAAATGAAGGTGTGCAAACAAAAGAAAAATAAAAAATAAATTAAAATTCACTCCAAAATTTCATTAGTTATCGTATTATTTAATAATTACCCCGGGGAATTAATTTTTCAATCTCTCCCTGAAGGAATTAAATAATTAGCAGGCGAGATAATTGAGGTTATTTTAGAAAATCCTAATCAAGGGGCAATTTAAGAGGGCAATTTTTCAACCTGTGGCTAGAAGGGGGGGGGCAATTAATAGAGAGGGGTAATATTTGAGTAAATATGGCATTTCCCAAAAATGCCAAAAATATTTCTTAAAATATTTTTTCTAAAATTTTAAAATTTACTCACAATTGTCCTGTCAAGTGTCAGCTCCGGATTAGGACGTGCCGGCTTTGCCCTTTCACTAACATTGGCCGTTGTAGCAAATTCTTTTCGGTAAAAATGGCTGCTATTTCCATTCCCATTATTGCACTTTTCACCAAAAGGGGAAAAACCAGTGGCAGATGAACGATTTAATGGGCATTGATGCCGTCTTTGAGAAAAAAATTTTTTTTTGAATTTTAAAATTAAAAAAGAAACCCGCAAGTACAAATTTCACAAATACATTGAGGGCCATGCTGAGTTGTTACCATTTTTTGGTGAATTAATAAAGGGTGGAATATTAAGAAAAAATGGAGTTTGAGTGGATTAGTCTGAAAAATAAATTTAAAAATAATTTTAAAAATTATTTAAAAAGAAATTTTACTAACAAGGGAACATCGGATACTCTATACAAAAATTTGAAAATTTTTTTTGGTACCAATCGATAGAGGACCATCGACTTACTATTGCCAAGTTATGCGGATTTTCTTGTAAAATCACGTCGGGCAGAGTTATGGCCGTTCAAAGTTAGACCGCTAAGTTTTGTACATCGTTCCGATGTTCCCTTGCAAGGGAAAAATATTCTGGAAAAATTTTCGGTAAAAAATATTCGGGATATTTCACGGAACGAACAGGTACTCGACTGGTTTCAGGACCTACGGCCAATGGGTTTTTGAATAATACAAGTTCCTAGTGAAGAAAAGAATTTTTGTTTTAAATCCAAATGTAAACACACAAGAAGATTTACTGCATTTTTTAATAGCAAGTTAGAAAAACACAAAAAAAGTAAGGTTAAAAACATGCACTTTTCTTAAAATAGCAATGAAAAATGCTTAAAAATGTATTTATTTTTACTTATTTGGCTTCTCTTTTAGTCTATACTAATTTTTAGTTTTTATCTTGAGATTGAATTATTTGAGGGAAAAAGGAAAGAAAAGTGCAAAGAATAAATTGAAAATTAAATTTGGACATTTTCCAAAAGAGAAAAGAGAAGGGGGTACTTGAAGAAAGAATTGACTCATGTCAAGAAAATTGAGAGGAATAAAGTTAATTATATAGTAGGTGTAAGAGAGAAAATTTTTTTTGATTAAAATTGTTTAAAAAATTTTTAGAAAAATGTCCAAAAAAATTATCGTTGAGGGGGACCCCTTTTTTCAACCCCAAATTTTTTCTTCCGAATGTACCCGGGATCTAGCCGACATAAAAATTAAATTCCTTATTTCGGGGATAGGGAATTACCTATTTTTTAAATTCCCGATTTTTAAAAATCGGGTGGGCTAAATTCGTGGAATGTACAGACTTATGATACCTTGAAGAAAACAGGAAGGAAAAGTGTCTTCTCCTAGTCAAAAATTAATTAATTCCTTTTGATTGTTTGCAAATTACAAAAAAAAAAGGGGGGGGGGGGGATTGGGAAGAAAGGAAATGTCTGATTCTTCACAGGAAAAAAAATTAAAGGAAAAAAATGGGAAGAAAAAAGGGGTCCATAAACGACAATTTTACCCTTGTTTTGCTAAACTTATTCAAAAATCTAAAAATCTAAAAAATTCCAAAAATTTTATTTTTTTCCTACAATTTTACTACTATTCTGTTATTGTTTGTGTCAAATGTCCTCTTTCATTTCCGTTTCATTTTTTATTTTTCTCTTTAGGGATTTATTGCGGGAAATATTTGTGGGTGACAAAAAAAAGTAAAATGAAACGAGTGCCCTTGGATAGATGAGGGAAAAAAATTTTTTCTTTTTTTACTAGGCATGTCCTTATTGGTGGTAAGTGGAAAGAAAAATAAATGGGTGAGACTTACACGTAGATATATAAAATGCATGCCACCTAAAAAATAAAAAGACGGCATTGGGGAGAAAAGGGGAGTGCGCAAAAGGGGTTTTGCGTTACCTATAACTATTTACAAAAAAGAATTGGAAGGAAAAAGTTTAGCAAAACAAGGGAACGTAAGCAAAACAAAAAACTAAAGGCCTTGGATAGATGAGGGGAAAAACGACCCAGATGAGGGAGGGAAACGACACAAGCGCCGAGTTAATCGGCAAACCTAAAGGTGCTTATGTCGTTCCTCCCTCCCCCACCCAATTTTTTCCTTGTTCTACAAAATGGTCAGTCATTTTTTCCTTACACAATGATGCCACAGGTCATCAATGAAGCAGTGACTGATCATTTTGTAAATCAAGGAAAAAATTGGGTGAGGGAGGGAAACAACACAAGCCCCGACTTAAACGGCAAAAATTAAGTTAAAAAATAACCTGACCTAACCAAGCCTTTTGGCGCACAGAAAAGATGACAAATAAGCTGTCAAGCAATAATATTCGAACGTAGGCAAAACAAGAAAAAACAAATTCAAATAAGTGAAGGTGAAATGAATGAGCCCAATTTGCGCTGCAAAGGCGGCCGTCCCATCCCCTCCCTTCTTTTACGTGTTTCGCGAACCAAAACAGGCTTGCCTGGCCATAAGTGATAGAAAATATTAATAAAAAAGATAAGAAAAGAAACAAACCTTTAAATGTGTAGAGTGGTTAGTTTTCATGTTCCATTCGGCTGAACACACAAACAAAGGCGATTTCAAAACTTTTTTTGCTGAAAAGTAAAATTTTCATGTGACACTATTTTTTAGTCAAAAAATCAATTTTAATAATAGAAAGACGTTTTTTCAAAAAATAAAAAAATTTTCACCAAAAGGGTTCGAACCCACGACCACTTATCATAAGAAACTAAAGTTATCCAACTACACTAAAGAGTCCACTCTAACAAAAACTCCACTTTGGGGGATTTTAATGGAATTTTGCCTGAAGAATAAATAAAGACGAACAAAAAAAAGATATTAATAAAAATTATAAATTTTTATAAAAAATCGACATAAAAATAAATTTATCAGTTTATTTTAAAAATAAAATCAAAATATTTTATTGGGTAAAAAAATAAAAATTTAAATATATACAGTGGATGGGTCAATTTTTAAGTCATTTTTTTAATCAAAATTCGACACTCAAAATTTTTAAATTGATCACATCCCAGATTTATTAATCAGAAAAAAATTCAAAAAAATTTTTAAAATTTTTAAAAACACTTTTTAAGCCTTTCCCCCTCCACAACAACTCGTAAACCGCCAATAATTACCGTCACCATGCCTTCCATTAATTTCTGCACTTAATTCCAAAACAGATGCCTTTCTTTCTTTTTCACCATTTTCTCCTTCTTTATTTGCCTCAACAGCGTTTAAAAGCCTTGTTGTAAGGTCAAAAAACATTTCGCTCACATTTTGGCCGGATTTTGCACTTGTCTCGATAAAGGGAATGTCATAATCCTAATTGAGGGGAAAATTTGAAAAAATTATTTTAGTTAAGTATAAAGAGGATAAACACTTTTTATTGGGGAAAATATTATTAAAAATTCTAATGCCTCCCAAAAATCCTCCTATCCCAAAAAACCGCCCCAATAACCTACCAACACCGTTTGCAAGACCCTCCCAAAAATCACCCTATTACAAAAACCTCCCAAATAACCTTTACAAGTCCTCCCAAAAACCCCTCTCTCTCTCTGAAATCTCTCAATCCCTCTCTCTACAAGTCCCTTTCAAAAATCCACCTATCCCCCAGAAAATCCTCCTCAATAACCTTTGCAAGTCTCTTCCAAAAATCCCCTTCCCCTATCCCCCAAAAAACCTCCCCAACTTTTCCAAGTCCCTCCCAAAAAATTTCCTTCCCCATCCCCAAAAAACCTCCCAATAACCTTTGCAAGTTGTCGTCCTTCATCTGCCCTAACTTTCCTTTGATGTCCCAAATCCACTTTATTCCCAACCAGAGTTAAAGCAACTTCATCCTTTGCATATTCCTTAACTTGGGCAAGCCAATCCCTTATATGTTCAAAGCTTGCACGATTTGTTACATCATAAATAAGCAAAAGGGCATCGGCATCTCTGTAGTAAGAAGCTGTTAGGCTGCGGAAACGTTCTTGACCTGCAGTGTCCCAAACCTGTAAAAATATGAATTTTATTTTTCAATGGGTTTACCTGTAATTTAACTCGTCTCCTGCCCAATTCAAGCACCTTGTTCTATAAAATTTAAAAAAATAAAATTAAAGTAAATGCACTAATACAAGCCCTGGGCTTCTATTTCTCGATTGGTCACTTTGACTGGGCTTCTATTAGAGAGCGATTTTTAAACAGGCTACTTTGAGTGGACTAGGCCTTTATTAGAGAGTGGGCTTCTACATATTAGTGTTTTTAATGTCTCTTTGACGACTGAAGAAGACCCCCATTAGAGAGTGATCTTCTACTAGAAAGTAAGATTGTGATTTTCAATGGGTCCCCTTGTGTAAGCTTTTATTAAATATGGGCTTCTAATAGAGCCGGCCTTATATTAGCCTTAAAGTATATTATTAAAAAATAAACCTACTCTATAATCAATGCCCACAGTCGAGATAAAATTACTTTAAAAAATAAAATGAAAAAATTTTTTAATAAAAACAAACTTGTTCATAAAAGTGTTGTCCTTGAAACGAATTAAAATACAAGTTTTGCCCGTACAACTATCTCCAAGTAACATGACCTTTAAAATAAAATTTTAAATTAAAAAATAAATTTAAAATAAAATTACAGTGAAGCCACAGTCGACGTCACAAAACAAAGAATTTTTTCTTTCACGCGGCGTTACAGGCAAACGCATTAATATTTTTTAATTCAGTTTCTGGTGTTAAAATTTCAAAAAAAAAATTTTTTTCAAGAAAAATTCTCTTCAGAAAAATTTCAAAAATTTTTTCAAAAAATTTTTTCGAAAAATTTTCTTCAAAAAAATTCTTAAAAAATTTCAAAAAAAATTTTTTTGAAAATTTTTTCGCAAAAATTTTCAAAAAAAATTTTAAAAAAATTTCAAAAAAATTTTTTTTCGAAAAAAATTTCTTCAGAAAAATTTCAAAAATTTTTTTTAATTTTTTTTATTTAAAAATTGTATTTAAAAATTGTATTTTTTAATTAATTTTAAAATTATAGCCTTTAAAATAATGAGGGGATATTTATAGAAAAAAGCTTCTACTTTAGTTAAGCCATTATATTTATTTGCTTTACATTAGTAAAAAAGCATTGATAGATTATTCCCCCTTTAAAAAACTCGGGAGTGCGCCAAAAAATTTTTTTCTCTAATAATTAGCCATCAAAAAAGTGCACACAAATATAGCGCTAATTGCCAGTCGATTTTACATATTTTATAAATATTGCCTTAAGTGAGGGCTTTTTTAAAAAAAACCCTTAAAAGAGAAAAATAGCTACTTTTTAAGAAAGGAAAAAAATTTTTAAGAAATTGTACTAAAATTTTCATGGTTTTAGAAAATATTCCACGCCTCCTAATTGCTCAAAAACCCTCAAAAATTAAAAAATAAAAAAAATTTTTTTACATTAAAAAAAAATCCTAAAATGTCCAATGATAACCATAACACCAAGCCTACTAACTGCCTAAAACCCCCAAAAAATAAAAAAAAATCCTAAAAATTTCTAATGATACCCATAACACAAAAATAGCTACTTTTAAAAAAGAAGGAAAAAAATTTTCAAAATACCCATTTGTTTATAAAATTATTCCACGCCTATTAATTACCTAAAAAATCCCAAATACCTCAAAAATTAAAAAAAAATAATATTAAAAAATCCAAAAATTCCAAAAAAAATTTTTTCTAGAATAACCATAACAACGTAAAATATAGCCCCTTAATTTAAAAAAAATTTTTTTTGTGAGATTCGTGAGAATAAAAAGAATTTACTTATTTATTTTGTATTCCCCTTTAAGCATTTGTTTATAACTTATTTCTTTTTAAAGAAAGAATGCCTTAGCTAACGAGGCTAATCAAACTTTATAAAAAAAATTCCAGTATATTTTACTAGCTAGAGAGAAGGAAAAAAAATATTTTTGGAGAAGAAAATTGAAAAAAAAAATAAATTAAAAAATAAAATTTTGTTGAAAAAATATCCCCCCTCCTCTTTCTCCTCTTCCCCTCATGTGAATTATTATTTTATAAAAAAATAATACGCTTCTCCAAGCTTTTCAATTTTATTTTTGAAAAATTGAAAAGATAAAAGCCGGTTATTGGCTCAAGTACTTAAAAGGAATTCAAGGCTTTTTTGAAGCAGCTGCAAAAACACATAAATAAAATTATTGGGCTCATCCCAAAAGATCGAAAATACCGATATTGGACAATAAATTAAATGCGGAATGATGAAAATGTGAAATAAAATTCTCCCTCATAAAATTGCAAACGAATTCCTAACAAATTAAAGAAACCTGTCAGCTAGACATGGGGTCGAGAATTAAATATACTTAAAAAGCTTTCAGACCTTTTAAGTATTAAATATGGAATTCAAAAGACATGAGTATAAAGTCAAAGATTAGGAAGAAAATCCACAATCTAAAGGTTACAAGTCTCGATAATCTTCATTCTAGTGGCCCTCATCCCTTGAGGTTGCCAGAAAGTAATTATGTATTTGGAGACCAAATATGAGCTTAGAATTCGTTAAGTTCGAATTCCGAACACAAATATGACAAACGAATTCAGGATCAAAATTTTTCCCCATGGATCAGCCGTATCTTGGCCAGATCAAAAACGGGCAAAAACGGCTCGAATTCCTTGCTAAAAAGGGCACATTCTCTATCGAATGAGCCCGTCTTTACCGTTTTTAGCTCGGACACCTCGCAACCTTCCCTAGTAAAAGGATTACCCTAATCTCAAAAGTAGGTGTCTTAAAGTCTCAAGTCCTTACTTTTCAAGCATAAAATCATTAAAAGTCAACAAAAACATTTTTTCAAATCCAAAATCTTTTAACAACTTAACAGAATTAACTTTCAACTTTTTATAAACCTTTAGATATTATTCAATCCTCTTCATCGTCACCGCCTCCTCCTCCACCTCCCGAAGCAGCCTTCTTCAAATTCTTTCTCTTGACACGCCCAGGAGGTCCACCAGCAAGATAAGACTTTGTGGAGAAGTCAATATGCTTTTGAGAGTCGAGACGAACAATGAATGATGGAATATTGACTACTTGTCGACGAATTCTGAATTAGATTAATACGAAAAACGTGATACAATTGAGGATCAGGATCACTGTTCAAGAGGTCAAAAGTCAGAGAGTCTCCCTTTTATGTTCTAAACTGGTGCCGAAACCGCCCCAACTAAGAGGTCAAACAAAATGTGTTTCAACCGTTGTCCCTTTTCTCCTATAAACCTTGAGAATCGAAATAGCAAATTTGTAAGACAAACATAAGTTCATGTTAGAAGGATGGAAATTGTCAGTTAAGAGACCTGAAAGCCACTAGTTAAGAGCACCTTTTGGCTTGTATTTTCTAGTGACCTCCCACATCCGCAATCTCTACTACCCAATAATAGTCCAAAAAGGGGAGCAAACCCCAAACTTGTTTTAAAATAAAATAAACCGAATATGCTTTTGACGAATAAGAACACGAGCATGGTGGATTGATTTAGCCAATCCCAATTTGAAAACTTGTGTCTGCAAACGACGCTCCAAAAAGTCTTCAACTCGCAAACCAAGAACGTAGTCCAATTTCATCTTATCTTCCAAAAGAACTCCAATACGAACCAAACGACGAAGAAGAGCATTTCCTTCGAATAAGCGTCGAGGATCTTTATCTTCCAATGTTAAAAGTTCACGAGCAGCTTTACGAATCTTTGCCAAAGTTAATTTGACACGCCAAACTTCACGTTTATTTCGTAGACCGAATTCGCCAATTAATTTTAATTCCTAAATAGATGAGTTAGAGGTGGGAAAAAGTAATTAAAAACCTGATCTAAACGCTCCTTCTCGAATGGACGACGAGGCACGTCATAAACTTTAGAAAATACATGCTTTATACGAGGCATCTTTGTTTTACTTTTTAAGCTTAAAAAAGAAAAAAAATTAGAAAGAATCTGAAAGATAAAACAAAGAAAACCCCAAACAAAACCCAAGAAAAATGCCCAAAAAAAGTTTTGGCTAAAACAAATTGCTAGACTCGACTTGCACAAAACATTGACTAAAAAAGATAATAGAAAAAGAGAGAATCTAGAGAAAAAGAGAAATAGTAAGAATTTTGAAAATTGGTAACTAGGGCAAAATATTTCAAAATATCAACTAATAGAAAATACCAAAAGTGTTAGTTGAGTCTCGAGGCCTCCTTGTCGTTAAAAATTTCGTAATTTGGGCCCCTTGTTGTTAATTTTTAAAGGATTTTTTAGCAGATTTAGCCTATTCTCCTCACAAATGAAGCGACACGATCCTTCTTGCTCATCTTCCGAAAAACAACAAATTTATCACGAAAAACAAAGAAAGCAACTTTGCCTGCTTCACACCTTGAATAATTTATTTCAACGAAGAGAATTTAGTCAACAAGAGCTTGACGAGATTTGTGAAAGGTTTTTTTGACTTTTAATACCTTAAATTTAATTTAGAAAAATTTTTTAGACTTGACGACCGCAGATGTTTCAATCCCCACCGTTCATGGATTGGTTTGGGGAATTATGATGCAAATATTTTATTAATTGCCTTACAATCTAGAGATTTTACAGGACGATATTTTGACAAAAGATTGTAAATTTTTTAACGTTTTATTTTTTATATTTTTGGCAATAACGAGGTTTGCCCCCACTCCCTTTTTTCCGTCCTCTGCTAGTTGTGTAATGGTCGGACTTCCTTAATTCCACTATTTCAGTGGCATGTTCGTTACTTATTTGGCCCCAGTCCGTCCACAATCTATTTTTTAATATGTACAGAATGGTCAGACAATTTTCTTCGTTGAATGAGCAGTCTATGTCGTGAATTAAAAGTTTCAGCAATTGGAACCTATGCCAACGTTGGATGGGTGTACCCCCACCCCTATTTGCAATAAGTTTGCCTTATTCCCACAAAATCTTTTAGGGAATAGAGTAAGGTAGTCTGACCATTATACAACTAGAAGGGAAAAGGGTGGCAAAGCTCGGTATTACCTAATTTTTTTTCAATTTAAGACCAGCTTCTCGCATTAAACACGAATTAATTTATGCCTATATTTTCAACATACCTTCGCCGCCGTTCACTCTCTTGCCATTTTTTAAAGGCAGACATTGGGTATTTTTTTTTATTTTTTTACAAAAAATTTTTTCCTCTTCCCTAGTTTGCCGTTTTATCAATAAACAACATTTACTACAATTTAGACTCAAAACTTGATGCTCCAACAAAAATAAATGGAAACTTTAACGCTTTTATTGATAAACTATTGGAAGCTGGAAATGAATTATTGTTGGTAGTTGAACCAGAAAATGAGAATAATTGTATAATTAATTTGGAAGAATTTAAGGATAAAGGAGAATAGGTATACAAATTTTTTAAAATATTTTCTTGCGGGTTTTTCTAACTATAAAATATATAAAATAAAAATTTTAATGAACTTTTTTGCTGATGAAACTGTCCACTGTCCCAAGATGAGAAAGTGTTTTAGAAGCGATTCCCTAAAATAATTCTACGAGGGCACCCACCCTCTCCTGTATTATCAGCTAGGGTTGTTCCCCGTCCCCAAAAGTCGGGGAATTTGAGAGATTTTTTGAAATCCCCCCCCCCGTGGCGCCGCCTCCCCAAACATTTATCCTCGTGGCCCTCCGTCGAGGAACAACCCTATTATTAACCAAGGAATAAAGGCTCGTTGTAGGGAATGAATCTTGTAGATGACTCTCGAACGGATTTTCCACCAAATCAACCTTTGTCTATTTTATCGCAAGATCCTATCTCTGCCATTTTTTTGATTCTTATTCATTGAAACAATCAATTTATTAACTCTTTAATCATATTTATTTAAATCTCTCTAAAAATATGTTTTTTAAAATTCTCAAAAATTAAGGCTTTGAATCATTTTCAAGTTTATTTGTTCCTTCTAATGGATAGGCAGTGTTTTTGTGAATTTGAGGATCTGCTGGGTCGATAGGTCCGAGTTCGAGCTTTAAAAAATATTTTAGCAAAAAATGCCAAAAAAGTTCAAAAAATACCCTCAGTCGATTATCCCATGGATCTGAGTGCGCAACCATCAATCCTCCTTTTTTGTATGGTTCACCCAAAGGTACAACACAAGCATTTGGAATTAGTCTCCGACGAAGAAGTAGAGGTCCGAGAAGACTAAAAATAAAAGGTCAACAACCTAGAGGTCGATTCCCGAAGGTCACCGTCTTAGTGGTCAAATGTTCCTAGAAGTCTCTCCCACTAGAGGTCAACTGATCCTGGAGGACAACTCCGAGCAGGGGAATTGATCATAATTGGTCATAACATCAAGGGTCATTTGACCACTTAAACGTTGACCTCTATGGAGTTGACCTTCCGGGCTGATCCCAAATAAAATTTAAAAGAAAAAATAAAACAAACCGAAGTAACATTTCTCCAATGGGAGAGCAAAAAAGGAGAGCCAATAAAATTGTTTCTAGAGAAAGCAAAATCCCCCCACTTTCTCTTCCAGTCCCCCTTATATGAAAACATAAAATTGCTGGGGCAATAATTAATTGTAAGCTTCCTTTAGGTAAAATCGCTAATGAAATAAATAGGCGTTCTGAAGGGGTTCTTCTCTGTCCTGTTGAACAACAAAATGTACAGGCTAGTCCTGTAGCTAAGCGGACTAACAAAGAAAGGAGTAAGAATAGGAAGGCATCGAGAAGTTTTGTTGAGGAAAACTTGAAAAGAGAAAAAAATTTTTTGGTAAGCCGTCCTCAAAGACTTACAGGTACTTATGTTGTTTCTCTCCCCCACACAACTTTTTTTAAAAATGTACAGAATGGTCAGACCACCTTATTTTCGTTTGTAGCATTATTTAGTCAGTCTTACTACAAGGAAAATAAAGTTAAGCTATGGAAGAGAAAAGTCTGACCATTTTGTACATTTTAAAGAAAATTGACTGAGGGAGGGAAACGACATAGGTACATGACTTACTATTGAAGTAAAATCAAGAAGAAATCCAAATAGAAGAAAAAGAAGAGGAGAAGCTATCAATTCCCAAAAAAGTCTTAATCCGTTTTCTTCAGTCCTCGTCTTGAAAATTAAAAATTAAGTTAAAAAACCTCTAGAAAAATTTCATACCCCTCTCCTGTTATCAATTTGCCAATTTATAGCAGCAATTAAAGTCATAATCAAAACAGCTGTAGGCCCAGCAATTACACAACCAATTTCTCTAGCGCCAAAATGAAAGGCGGAACCGACACTCAATAAAATCAGCACTCTTGTAAAATGAACTAAATGGGCATCAGGCCGAGGGAAAAAGCGAAGAAGAAAACCGGCAGAAATTCCAATAAGTGCACCAATTAGTAACTCTCCTGGAATTCGACTTAGAGTGTAGGAAAGTTGTTCTGAAAAATTTAAAATTTTTTTAAAATTGGGTGTTTCAAAAATTTCTTTTTTATTTTTTACTTCCAACCCCTCAGACTTCTCTAGTCCTCAATATCTCGCACTCTATCACCCTTTATGATCCCCTTTATTATAAAAAATTGATGATCACCCTTACTTTCTATCATCGCTTCAATCACAATTTTCCCATCTTTCCACCCCTTCATTTTTTTTGTTTCATTCCCAAAGGTTATTTAGATGATTCTTCTCCCCCTTCTCACCCTTTTTGATGATCTATAAAAAATTCTTGCAATCTCTTCTCTGAGAGAAGGCGAAAAACTTCCTTGTATCTTTCACCTCATTTTTTCACCCCTTTCCCATTAACGTTTAATTATACCATATTTTGTTGTCATCGCTTCAAAGGCAATACCAAAACCGGCCAGCGCAAAAATATTATCCAAAATAGTGCTACAAAAATTTTTTTTAATTTAGCTTATGTTAGAGGGATCAATAGGGATTAAAAGGGATCGAAACGGATTAAAGGGGATCAAGAGGATCAAGTAAATTGTGACTGATCAGGGGTCAAGAGGGGTCAAGAGAGGAGAGTAAAGCGTTTGAGACGGAGAACTTAAAACTTACAAAATCTTTGATCCCCTTATTTCTGTCTCGATTAGGGTTGTCGGTTTCAAACCGAACCGAAAAACCTAAGATTTTCGGTTTGTCGGTTCGGTTTCGGTTAACCGAAGAAATTGGAGAAACCGTTAACCATAGTCTCGATCCCCTTAACTCAAAAAAACCTGAATAAAATAATTGTTGGAATTCCAGAATCATCATTAGTTGTAAATTGTTTTTCTTCCAAGCGTTTAATTGTTGGTACAATAACTGGCGGAGAAGAGGCAGAAATTGCAAAACTTGAAATTTTTTTTAGGGTTTTTAAAATTTAAAAAAACCCAAAAAGTATAGCAATTGATAAATTAATTTTAAATAAAAGTGTAGCGGCCAGTAAAACAATTAAACATTCGATTAGAGGGCAGAGAATGCCTAACAAACAGATGAGTGACTGAAAAATAAAATTTTATTTTTGAGGGGGGGTTTTTTGAAAAAAAATTTTTTTTTTTGAAATTTTTGGAATTTTCTTTAAAAAATTGTTTTTTAATTTTTGAAATTTTTTAAAAAACCGAAAAAATTTTTTTGATAATTTTTCAAAAAAAATTTTTTTTAATCCGGAAAAAAATTTTTTTTAATAAAAAAATAAACCTGAACCCTTAAGAATTAAAAAAAAATTTTTTAAACACCCACCAAATTATGCAAAAGAGAAGACGAATTAATTCCTAACATTGCTCGAATAATTACAACAAGAAAAGCAACTTCAACAATTAAAGTCCCTCCATTATTCGAATTTGGTAAAGTCAACAATTCTCTAATTTGTCCAAAATTGGCAATTAAACACCCAACAATTAGAGGGCCAGCAAGGGAGGGGAGACATATTTTATTTAAAATTCTGCCGATACACAATGAAAGTGCCAATAAAAGGAATATTGATAAAATTAAATATGAAGTGGTTGTAAAGGTTGAAGCAGGCAAATTTTGGTTCCAAAAATGGAAAGAAAAATTATTAATTTTTTAAATAAAAAATGGTACTTTTCCGTGATATGCCCGCAAATTCTTTGACTGTGCATTAGCCAGTGGCCGACTCTAAAGTTTTTTGATTTAGGTATCTCTATCTCGGTCCGCCGATTCGTCTCGTCTGCGTAAGTCGAAAGGTATCACTCTATATGATTGAAAATTTATTGAAAATTTCTGCGGACCGAGATAGAGGTCGAAAAACCATAGGGAGGAGAAAGCCGATTTTTGGGGTCAAAAATTAGGTATATTACAAATGACAGCTCATTCGGAAGAGCCAGTGGATCTATGTAAGTCGATCGATACAAAAATCAACGTGATTCAATGATTCTGGGCATAATTACGATCAACTGAATCCTCGCTGAAAAAAATTTGTGGGCATAGGTATAACGGAAAAGTAGCAAAAAATTAAAAAAAGAAATTACGAGTTAAGTTGACGGCATTGCCTAAAAGGCGAAGAAAATGGAAAGTCTTCCAAATGAGTTTCCTCTTCCAAAGTATGGTTGCGAGGGGTTAATGACAATTGAGGGTGGTAAACTATTTGTTGTTTTTGTCGAGTAATTGTTAAAGGATGAAGTAAAGATCTCTCAAATATTGCTGTCAAGGAAGCATATAGAGCCGCAAAAATGATAAATGAAGTAATTATAAAGTTGGTCTTAAAAAAAGGGTTTTTTTAGAAATATGGCAGAACTAATTTTCAGGGAGGGGCATAGTTATTGTAAGAAAGTGATTGCAGTTTCGAGTCCATCCCTGAAGTCCTACTCACTCAATACCTATTGATCTTGAAGGCCTACAAACTCTTTATAAGTACCCGGTTCTGCATTTTAGATCAGGGATGGACCTGGTTGAGAAAAAAGTCAGGTCGGATTCTGGGTCAAAAAAGGACCGGGTTTCGGGTATTTGGTAACCCGACCCAGCTCTGCATTCTAGAACTATGTATGTTCCAGAGGTCATTCGGTTTAAGCATTCAGGGCTGTCCCCACAGTTTCGATCCCTGCCCAGTTCTAAGCTTTTGCTAAGCCTTATAAAATGCTTTTAAACTCTACCTCTCGATGATTAATAACATTGATGAACATATTTCGCAAATTGGCACCTAAACGTGTAGCAGTAATCGTAGTGGTAGAATGGGCATAAGTTGACTCCATTGTTGTTAACAAAAAACAATAAAATGTATAGAAGAAAAAAATGATTTTATTGCAGCAATTACTCATTTTGAAAAAAGTTACTGAAAAAAAGATTTGCATAAATTTAATTTTTGAGCGAGCGAGAAACGTAAAATCACGCAAAATCGTATTTTAGTACAATGTAGTCAGCAGCGATCAAACAGTGGCGACAAAGTGGGCGATAATAAAGTCAAGGCGATGAAAAAGTTGGCGACAAAGTGGCTGATAATAAAGTCAAAGCGATAGAAAAGTTTGGCGGTGAAATGGCCGATAATAAAGTCACGGCGATGAAAAAGGTGGCGTCAAAAAGTATCGTTGTCTAGAAAATTTTTTTTCTGATTTTTCTCTCCAAAAAAATTTTCGGGGTTCTGTTTTTTTTTGTTTAAAGGGACTTAATTTTTTAATTTTTTGTTCAGTTACATTAATCCAATTTTATACTTAAAACAATTTTCTACTGATTTCTTCGTGTAGATTAAAGTAAAGCCTATTGCTACGAATGAAAAATTTCTGCAGGTATTCACTCCTTTTTTAATTCTACTTAAAATTTTCTTTCTATAGGAGTTTATCACACGCCTTACCGGCCATTTTAACTTGGTCTCTAATTGTTGGCTGCTCAGCGGCGTTTTTCTATATTCTCGTTCCGGCGTTAATTATCAAACTTGGGACGTTTGGCTATCTTTTTTGTGCGATAGATTTTGTTCTCTTTGCTTTTTGTATTTCGAATTTGTTTATGGCGACGACAATGGATCCTGGTTTGTTTGATTATATCTGTTTTAATCTTTATACTTTAAATTTTAAGGTACTCATCCAATCGGTTTGTTTACTTTTCTCAGTTCATTTTTTATATTCAATTTCGTATCCCCTCCTTTTTTACTTCCTCAAAAGTACTAAAATGGTCAAAACAACTAAAAATATTCATACCCCTCCCACTTTAGTACCTCTTCTCTTTTTTTTCTAGGTACCCAAAATGGTCAGAATTTCTGTAGGTCATGGGTTCGAGCCCGGTCCATAGTCTGAATTTTTTAAATACTTGTTTTTAGTATTTTATGGAAGAAAAAGGGGATGGCGTGCGAAATTAACATAAGCATTGTCGTTCAATTTTATCTAAAATAATTTGTAGCAACCTCTTCTGAAGTAGCCAATTTGGACGATTTCCGTTCGCCTCTTTATAAGAGTGTTGAGATAAACGGAATAACAGTTAGAATGAAATGGTGCGTTACTTGTAAATTCTACAGGCCTCCGCGTTCTTCACATTGTTCAGTTTGTAACAGGTAATGATTCTTTAGTTTGGGAAAGTCCGCAAGATTTGTCCGCAAATTTTTGCAGATATCCGCAAATCTTTGCGATGTCCGCAAATCTATAAAAGCACTGGTTTTTCCTATTTTTAGATGCATAGATTGCTTTGATCACCACTGCCCTTGGGTCCACAATTGTATTGGTCGACGAAATTATCGCAACTTTTTCTTGTTCCTTTTCTTCCTCAGCTGGCATATGATTTGTGTGTTTAGCCTCTCATTAAGCTACACACTCCTAAGTCGTCGAGACATTCTTACAAGGCCAAATCTTTGCTCAATTGTATTAATGTCAATTTGTACTTTACTTGCTGTTCCTGTTATTGGGTTGACTTGCTTTCACATTGTTCTGGTTTTGAGAGCGAGGACAACAAATGAACAGGTTCTTTTACTTTTTTGTTTTTCAAGTCAGTTTTCCTTTAAGGTAACGAATAAATTCCGTGCTGGTCTGAATCCTTTTACGGTTGGGTGTTGTGGAAATTTGTGTCATTCTTTATGCTCCAGTCAATTTCCAACGTATTTTCTAAATTTAATTTTTAAACAGTTATTTCTTCAATTAGCAGTTATGAAAGACCTAACAAGAAAAATCAAAGGGTACCTAGAGAAGCAGTTATTGTGTATGTGCCGGAATGCGACAATCAAAAGGATGGTCAAATCAGGGTAAGTCAGGCTTATTTTTAGAAAAATAATTTTAAAATAATTTAGTTGAAGAGAGGTGTTGGTGAAGACAGCGCGGTCTCTATTGGTACAGCAGTCTCAGGGGTTGGATTTAAATCGGCAAATTCTTTAAATCGTGTAAGAATGATTGCTGACTCAAGAGAAGACGATTCTAGGTGCAATTTATTCAATGCGGATGAAGAGGAAGAAGAAAATCAAAAGAAGTTGGAAGTGAAAGTCAACAATAATTCGGCTAATGTTGATTGTGAAGTTTGTTTTGAAATTTTTTGGGGTTTTATATATCAAGGATGTGAGCAGGCCATTGTCCGCGAGTTCAATGTACCTCCGAGCTATAACTTTTCAGAATTGTCGAATCTGGGACGCCCTAGTATGTTTCGAGGCGGCTCGTCCAGCTGAATCGAACAATACCAGGGCGCCACGGATTCGACAATTTTGAAGAAAGTTATAGCTTGGCTGTACATTGGGCTCGCGGTACATCGGGTTGTACCCCCAAGGATCAGGGTCAGATTTCATGGGTGCTAGCATAAGGTGGGATCTGTGCCAAACTTGAGGCTTTTAGACCTTGAAAACGCTTTTGACTGATATTGATTTTCAGTTACCTCTCTCGGCCTATGAACGTAGTCTTCATGAAGCTTACAAGGATGTTCCACATGTTCGCCTTTCAAGTTCAGAAAATTCAGCTACGCAATCATTACTTGGCGGTGGAAATATCAAAGGTCTTTGCAAAGCGGATTTAAAGAATGTCAGAAGCAATAGAAGGAACAACAGCAGTCCAACAAAAAGAAATTCTTTTCATGGAATGTTATCAATTAATAGAAAAAATGAAGCATCACCAAATGGAGTAATGACAAGTATTTCTGAATGTAGTAGAGGAAATTCTACAATTTATACTAATACAACAACAACGTCTTTACTTACTGAAAATGAAATGTCAAGGAGTACTAGACCGCTTAAATTTACGGAGGTTTGTTTTTTATTTTTTGTTCAAACGAGATCTTTTTTATTTGTTAGTTTTAACTTATTTTTGAGTGAGAGCTTTAGACTTGGAGTTCGGCACGGGAGGGATCTCGTATTGGATTGTTGGGATTCTGTCCTCGAACCCTGGGTTTTAAGGGACAAAGGTTTACTAGATTAATCCCACGGAATCCCTCCCGGTTGACTTTTTGTAACTCAATTCCTTTACTGAATTCCGGGAATGCGATTTTCCGACCTCTAATTTAGACAAGCCAAAAGAATTCAAATTTTAACATATGTATTAATATTTTAGGTGTAAATACCTACCTATAATGCTACAATAAATACTTTAAGGCTGTTCGAGTACATGACAATCTAAACAATAACAGTGTTGGTAGTCGTGGTTGAGAGATATGGATTGGTAGATGTTTTTGTGTCTCTAAAAGAAGGTATATCATATAAATTCATTTATTGCATCCAGAGATTCTTTTTTTTGCTTTACTCAACAAACAAACATATAAAAATGTATATTCTATATTTTTCCATTTTTACAAAGAAAAACTTCATATCCCTTGTTGTAATTAATTGGAAAGGTCATTTGATTTATAAGAGGATTTTGAGAGGTTCTCGTTGGTCGGCGTCGTTGACCTTTCCAATCATGATTTATTTTCATTTTTTTGTTTATCTTCCTTTTTCATTTATATATCCATCATTTTTTCTCCTCAAAAAATTTTGCCAGGCTTGAATATTTTTTTTGCATGTTTTTAGAATTGTTTCGGATCTCAGAGTCTGATGTGAGTGTGCATTGAAAGTTATAAAAAAATACTATAAGTTTTATAAATATTTTTTCCAGTTTGAAAATTCATGACTTGTTGTATTTTATTCGTTTTTTTTCTTCATTTTGCTATAAAATTATTTTTGATTAGAAGTGTTGAATTTTTTATTTTTTAAAGTCGATAGGCTTAATAATACTTTTTCACATTTTTTATTAAAATATTTACACTTTGAGGAGATAATGGTAAAGTTTATTGGACTTAAAATTCAAGGAATTCGAAGTATTGGTGATTCGCCGCAGTGCATTAATTTTTTGACTCCGTTAACTATAATTCAAGGGCCTAATGGGACGGGAAAGACGGTTTGATTTATTTAAAAAATTAATTTAATTTCTATGTTTTTGTTTAGACGGTCATTGAAGCCTTAAATTACATTACGACAGGTGCCTTGCCAGCAGGGAAAATGCCAACATTTATTCACAATAATCAGGTTTGGTTGAAGTTTCAAATTCATTCCACTCTTAATTAGATCGCAAACAAGCCAAGAGTTGATGCTTTGGTGCAACTTATCTTCAAGGACATTAAAGGCAATACTTGTACGGCAACCAAGCGATTGAATGCGAGTGTTGTACGTGGAGTAAGCTTAACATTTAAAAATATTTTTCCTTGACTTTTCAATTTTTCTAGGGTAAATTGACTACTAAATCTGATGAATTTAATCTTAAAATTGTTGATAAATTTGGCAATCCAAAATCACTTTCTTCAAAAATTGGTGATTTTAATAAGGAGGTTTAATTTTTTAAAAATTAAGAATATTCATTTTTTTAAGATGCTTAATTTAATTGGTGTGCCTAAAGCAATTCTTGAATTTGTTTTATTCTGTCATCAAGAAGAATCGAATTGGTAAGATTTTTGTGATACCTGATCTCTAATTTTGTTTACTGCCCCCTTTTCCTCCCCAAGCTTTTTCCTATTAATGTTCAGAATGTTCACCTTTCTTTCTCCCCAAGCTTTTTATTTTTAGTCAGCAAGTAATCAAAACAATTAAATTTTGTTTTGGAAGAAATGATTTAAAGTCTGACCATTTTGTAATTAATAGTAAAAAACTTGGGGAGAAAAAAGAGGCCCGTAAACTACAATTCTACCAATGATTGTTGTTTAGGCCCCTCTCTGAACCAAAAGAATTGAAACAACGTTTTGATGCAATTTTCGAAGTTACAAAATATGTAAAGGCTTTGGATGCAATCAAAAGGAATATTAAAGAATTGGTATTTTTAAATTTTTTCTTGGATTTTGTATTCTTTTTAATATTTTTTAGAACCTGCAAATTCAGTTAATTGACAAAGAACTTCCTCATTTGGAAAGTAATTTGCGTTCTAGAGCTGAGGTATGGGCTAAATTAGATTAAAAAATTTTTTTTTAATTTTCAAGTTAACTATGAATTATGACACAAGCCGTACAACATTAAAACAAAATCGAGTAATAATTGACAATTTGTTGGAAGAAAAGAAAGTTGTTGAAGCGGAATTAGTTGTAACTCGAGAAAAGTTGGAAAAAGCTGTTGAAGCATCACACAAATTTGGTTTATTAATTTATTTTTAAAAAATTAATAAGGAAAAAATTTTTTTTTAGAAGTAATTAAAGGGAAGATAAACACACATCAACGTTATATGGAAGAATTTCTTACTGAAAGTAATTATCCTGGAACACGTGAACAATTGTTAATTGCTATTGATGATGTTTGTTTTATTTGAAAATTTTTTTTGGAATTTTGAAAATTTTCAAAAAAATTTTAAAAATTTTTGAATTTTTTTTTAATTTTTTTAGCTTAGCCATTCTAGTGAAATACTTGAAGCTGAAGCTAATAGAATGAGTATTGTCCGTAATATTTCAACTTTTGCGAAGAAAATTGCTGATTTGAAGAAAGAAGAAGAATATTACCGTGAAAGAATGATTGAATATGATTCTAAACAAATGGTTTTTATTTATTATTAAAAATAATTTTATTGATTTAAGGTTATGAAAAATCGTGAGGATGAATATTTGACTTTTTTGAATCAACTTTCTGAAAAATACCAAATTCCATGTAATTTTTTTTTCTTTTTTAATATTTAAAATAATTTTTTAGTAGGACCAACTTTTATTGACAAACTGAAAGCTCAGGCTGATGCTACAATGGCGAAAGCGGCTGAATCGATTGTGAGTTTTAAAAACTAGGGTTGTGCCCTGGCCGCGTCTGATTGTGATACCAGATTGATTTTGTCGGACTCAACCTTAACATTTTCAACCCCGACCCGGAACTTTTCGGCCTCGAAGAGTCAGGGTCGTCCAACCCCTTGTTAAAACCATCAATTTAAAATTTAACTGGTATATTTTAGAAACTTGAATCTGCACGTGCAGATGAATTATCTGATAATATTGAAAACTTGCGTATTCAATTGGCTGAATACAAAAGCGAAAGCCAGTCAAAACGACAAGAATTTTACAAACTTTCTCAGCAAATTTGTATCGCTGAAAGAGAATTTAAGAATGCAGAAAATGCTTCAAATGCGTAAATTTTTGAGCCTTTAAAACAAAATTTGAAAAAATTGCTTTTAGAGTTGTCAAACTTTCTCAAGAAATTGTCAAATGGGAGACTCAATTACAATCACTTGGTGATTTCAAATTGCTAGATGATATTTGGGATAATCTTCAAGAGATGCAGAGTGCTTTGAATGTTCTTCGACTGGATTTGATGGAATTAGGTGCTGGGACTTCTATTGATGATGCTAGAGAAATGTCAACAGCTGTTTTGGAGCGAATGAATGGTAAATTGGAAACTGTCTCTAGCCATATTACTGTTTTGAAAAAGCGAGTACAAATTACAAATCAGGTAATTAATGTTTTGTAATACACAAGTCGGCTACTTTATGAATAGCTTCCCTGGTAGAAATATGTTTGATAATACATAGGGTGCAAGGGCGTATCCAGGGGGGCTGGGGGGGGCTCGAGCCCCCCTCCCCGAAACCGACCCCCTGGATACGCCCTTGATAGGGTGTGGTACTTTATGGATAGCCCCCCCTCTTTAATCTCCTGGTTTTTTAAGATGTACATAACGGTCAGTTTTTGGGTTAGTTTTTGAGAAAGATAAAGAAAAAAATCTCGCGTATTTGAGGAAAATAAATGAGGGAAAGAACGAAAAAATAAAAGTAAAATTGGGACTTAAACAACTTGGTGGTGGGGGAGGGGGGATTCACAAAGTTTTTAGGTCGAGATTTTTCTGACTAAAATAAATATTTTTTCAGTTAATGGAATTTAAAGATAGAAAAGCTTTGGCTGGCGAAAAAGTTGTTCAAATTGAATCTATGAAACAAAAGTTGGATCAAAATAAAGAACAACTTAAAGAAGTTGAATCATTGCTTGCTTCTGCAAATCAACATTTGCCTGGTTTAGAAAAAGAAATTTCAAAACTTGAAGGGGAAAGGACCAAAATTTTAAAAGAAATTTGTACAAAAGAACGAGATGCTCAAATGGTTGTTGATTCTATTGATCTTGCAATTTCAAAAATAAATGATATGAAAAATTTGAATGAAAGAGATCGTGATTCAACTGATTCAACATATGATTATAGAGAAAAAGTATTTTTATTTTCTTAATATCAAGGGCGTAGTCAGGGGTCCTCAGGACCTTGAAATAATTGCTTAATATTGCTTAATATTTATTTTTAAATTTAAATTTTAGATGGAAGAAAAAAGGCGCGAAATTGATGGATTATTGGAACAACGACGTAAATTAGAAACTCAATTGAGCGGAGTTGAAAATAGAAAGTATGAATTGAAACGTTTACAAGAGCAATTATCGAGAATGGATATTCAGAAAGAGGTTTATTTATTTTTTTGTAATGTTTGAGGCTAGGAAAAGCAAACAAAATTGGTAGTTGGATCCCTTTTTATATTGTTTCCTCGGGCCTTTATTTACTCATTCTTGTTTATGTTTTTATGTTTATGCTGGAATGGAAAATGCAAGGGACTCAAAATACCAGATTTGCCTGTTTTTCATAGCCTTTGTATGATAAAAAATTTTCCTCTTTTATAGATTGATATGTTGCAAAGAGAATTAAGAGAAGCAAAAGAAAGTGCAATGATGGAAGGAATTGAAAGTTTAACTGAAACTAGAACGAAGGTTTTTTTATATTTGAATAAAATTTAAAAAAAAATTTTTTAAGGAGAACAGACTTAGTCAACGTGCTGTTGAGATTAACAATAAAATTCATGAAAAGAATGGAGAACAATTACAATTGAGAAAGAAAATTGAAGATTTGAAGAGACAATTATCTGAAACTCGTTATGTGGATGCAAAAAAACTTTATATTGGTAAAATGGTTGAACGACAAGTTACTTTAGAAGCTATTGAAGTATGGGGGTTTTTTTTTCTAATATAATTTCAATAATATGAGGCTACCAAAGACTGAAATACCAAACTCCCTAACAAGGAGAGTTCGCGAGGTGTCCGACCTAAAAACGGTCGAGACCGGGCTCATTCGATAGAGAATGTGCCCTTTCTAACAAGGATTCTCTATCGAATGAGCCCGGTCTCGACCGTTTTTAGGTCGGACACCTCGCGAACTCTCCTTGTAAGACATGCCGCAATACTAAAATGTGTTGATTGTTAACAATCTTACGCAACCTTCACCTTTGTTGAACAACCTTTTCCATGGTTTGGTATTTTGGCAGTTTTTGTGGGTTTGGTATATTCGGCGTTTGGTAGAGCGGATTTAATTATGGCAGGATTTCATTATGTCAATCGAAAATTTTTTTTAAGGATCTTGATAGATATTACAAAACTGTTGACGATTCAATTATTGAATTTCATCAACACAAAATGGAACAAATAAATTCAATTTTGTCTGAACTTTGGGCACGTGTATATCAAGGGAATGATATTGAAACAATAAAAATAAAATCACAAACTGTTGGTTCTGCTGAAAAGAAAAAGTCTTATGATTATAGGTTTGTTATTTTTTGTTTTTAAAAAAAATTTTTTAGTGTTGTTATGACTGTTGATCAAACTGATATTGATATGCGTGATAGATGCAGTGCTGGACAAAAAGTTTTGGCTTCAATTTTAATTCGAATTGCTTTGGCTGATGTATTTGCTGGAAATTGTAGAATTTTGGCACTCGGTTTTTTTAAATTTTATTTTTCTTTTTAACTTTTAATTTTCATTTGTAGATGAGCCAACAACTAATTTAGATGCTGATAAGGTTTTTAATTGTTTTTCAATAAATTCGAACTGAAAAATTATTAAGGTGGAAAATATTGGAACAATGTTAAAGAATTTAATAGAAGTTCAAAAACCACCAACAGATAGCGCAATTGGTGTACGAGGAATTTATGATAGTGATGATGCTGATTTTGAAGAACCAACTGGACGAGGTGCTGGAGCAGTACCAGAAGAAGATATTACAATGCCTGAATCAACAATTTCTGGTTCTGTGAAAAGACAATTGGATGGTACTAATGCTACTACAAGTACTCAGGCAGCTTCAGCTTACTCAAAATCTCTTCAATTAATTGTTATTACACACGATCGACGATTGGTTTTCTTTTTTTAATTTTTTGAATTTTTAAGAATTTCAAAAAAAAATTTTTAGGTCGAACATTTATATATGGCTTGTCGTCCCGAATATATTTATGGACTTTCTAAAGATGAAAATGGCGTTTCACATATCAAAGCTTACAATCAAATTGCTTCAAATGATCTTTTTAATTGATGAACTTTTTACTTGATGACAAAAGTATGCGGCCTTATGGACTTTTTTTTTATTTAATTTATTTTTTAAAATTTTTAATATTTATTTTGAACAACTTTTGACTTGAGTCGCTTCTTTCTGTTTTATTTCCAAATTTTTCCTAAAAGATGAAATCTTGAATCAAAATTAGAGGACATCTTCGAATTGCTAGGCCCGCAATGTGTAAAATTTCCCTAAAAGATGAAATTAAATATCCGGATACGGCCCGGGCCTAATTTCCGGGTTATCCCCCGAAAACCGAATCTTATCATAATAAAAGACAAGAGACACGAAATAAGTCAAAAGTTTTCCCCGGTATTTTTTAATACCCATGAAAATCAGACTAGGACATGATACGGATATGGATACATATATTATAAAAATGCCTGCGGATATCCGTCTGTATCCGCCGTAAATATCTGGATACGGATACCAAAATCAGTATCCGTGTCCTAGTCTGATAAAAATTGATCTGATCAAAAATCAAATTTTTGTGAATTTCAAAAAAAAATCTCGCTACAATTTTATAAATATTTTACTATTAATTTTTTAAACATTTTTATAACTGATTTGTTTGATACAAATTTCAAAACAATACTTTTACTTTTTAAGTTAACAATTTTTTGGTTTTACAATTTACTTTTTTCCTTCTCTTCAATTTTATTTTTTAATATTTGAAGAGTTTGAGAAGAGGAGGAATTTTCAATAAGATTTCCACTATTAAATAAATTTTCTGGATCAAGTTGGGAACGCAAAGATTCCATCAATGAAACACCCAAAGGCCCAATAGTTGTAGGTAACCAACGTTTTCGAATTTTTCCAATTCCGTGGTGGTGGGAAATGCTTCCTCCACAAGCTAGAATTTCTTCTCGGGCTGCGGACTTTTTTTTAAATATTTTTTTATTTTTGTTAGAAAATTACCTCAATATGTTCATATATCTCCAATGCTTTAAGTACATCCATTCTACGATAATTAAACGCGTAATAAAAATAGACGCAAACACCGGAATCATATACTTGGGTTACCCTTGGAATTTTTTAAAATTTATTAAAAAAATTTTCAGGCTTTTAGAGAATTTTTTTCAAAATTTACCTGCAAGTAGCAAGAATATGTTGTTCAATTCCTCTTTTACGTGCTTCATGTATTAGCAACGTCTTTACATTTTTACACAAATTTAATACTTTCGACCATGGGACGGATGTTTCAAAAGACTCCCCTGCAGTTGAAAACAGGTTTATTTTAAATTATTTTTAATTAAATTACCAATAACATTCAGATCTAGTGCCAAGTCTCGAAGATAGGCTATTGCAAATGTTAGCCGATAGCCGAACTGCCCATTCTCATCTGGTGCTCGAATACCTCCAAATGTAGTAGCGAGTGTGAAAAGACGCTGCCTTTCTGTTTGGACTTCTTCTGCGGTACCTTCAAAGACGCATGTTGTGGCTACCATTTGGTCAGGCTGGTTTATTTAAAAAATTTATTTAAAATTTTTTGTAAGATTTTTTGTATTCTAATTTGCCATAAATGCTCTAATATAAGCCCTGGGCTTCTATTTTTCAACGTCTCTGACTGGGCTTATATTTTCAATTGGTCTCCATGAGTGGGATACTAAAAGATCCTGGCTTTATTGGAGCATTTTATTTTAAAAAATCTTACTTTAAACCCTTTCCATCTCGTTAGATAAACTCTAGCCAATGATTGCCATATCGCACTAGTAATATGCCCCTCTTGTACTCGCATAGCTTGTCCCATTTGAAATTGTGCGTTGTCAACAAGTCTAAGGGAGGCAGGTTGCCACCTCTTTCAGAAAATATTTTTTTTTATTTTTGAAAAAGTAGTTAAGTTACTTTAAGTGCAACAGCTCTAAAAAAATTAACACCGCTCTCAAAATCTTAAAAAAATTTTTTTTCATTTCTTATAATCTTCGTTTATAAAATTAACTTACCGGGAAATATTATAGCACCAAAGCAGCGCTGTTCTGGCATAGGAAATATTTTTATCGTAGCCTCACTTATCACCCCCATTTGTCCTTCAGACCCAAGCAGTATTTGTAACAAATCGGGCCCCGAAGATAGTCGTGGTACTTGTCCTAGCCTTCTAGGCTGTAAAATACCGCGACTGGTGCAAATACGCACAGAAAGTATTAAATCCTTTAAAAATTATTTTTTGGATTTTTTTTCCATTTTAAGTTACCTCAATATTGCCGTATTTATTCTTTTTCATTCCTGAGGCGCGAGTCTGTATTTTTAAAAAATTTCTCTAATTTTTTTCGAAACTTACAGAAATCCACCCGCCCAATGTACTAAATATTAATTTAAAAATTTTCTAAATATTTGAACACAATTCTGACCTAAATTCAAGTGAATCGGGCTCGTGTCCACAAGTAAATCCTCTATCATTCAACTTTAAAATTTTGAAAATTTAAAAAAAATATTTTTTTAGACGCCTACTTGTTTCTCTAAATCCTGTCCAAGAATTCCCTAAAAATTTTTTTGAATTTTTCTTTTTATTTTCCCACTAACCGCTTGTACTGTTGCTGTCATATTTTTTACGTCCAAATTTAATATTGAAGACATCATTCCCATATCTATTGAACAAATTAATTTTTGAGAGCTTTCTGGACATAATAATGCTTGTGAAACACAAGTTCCACCTCCTATTGGAATTAATAAAGCTTCAAATTGTTTAGCTCCTTCAATTATCTTTGATATAATTATGTTTTCTCATTAATTTCTCTGCTTTAAAATTTACTTTTAAAATTTGTTTCTCATTTCTTGGCCAAATAACCAAATCAGGAATTCGTCCAACTTTTCCTGTTCTAATAGAAATTATTTCTGCCAATGTTTGTCCATGTGAACGTGCAAGTCTAGTCAATGGCGCATCAGAATAGTAAATATCCTCAAGTCGAAGAAATTCCAAAAATTGAGGGTTAGAAATTAGTGGAGATGGAATTTGAAGTGATTGAATAGATATACTCGGCGTTCTAAGTCCTACATCAATTCCAAGATTTTTCTCTACCCAAGGTCTAAGTCCGGGAAGTGGTTTTCCGTCCAAATCGGCATATCTTAAGAGAAGATTTTGGGGTTTTTATTGTACCGTAAATATCTTAATACGAGCCCATCTCTTATAGAAGCCCATTAGAAACCCACACAATGAGACCCTTTAAAGAATAAACGCGCAGGGCTTTTATTAGGATATTTACGCTATCTCAAGTTCTCCAAAAAATACTTTTTGCTTTTCATATAAAAATGCCCATTCTCTGGCGAAAGCTCAAAGTTTGAGTGAATATATCCCCATCCATTCCATTTTAGCTCATTATCTCGAAAAGAATTTGTAGGAGATTGAAATTCGTTGATTGAAGTATTTATAGTAGTTAATTTTGAAGGGGAGGAGGAGGAGGACATTTTGCAAAGAAATGTTTGTATATAAATTGATTGGAGTAGAAAGTCTCATTTTTAGGAAAAAAAAGTTATTTTTGATAAGCTAAAAATGATAAGGAAAATAGGGTCAATAATTGAAAGTTTTTTTGTTCTATTAATATCTTCAAGCTTGCTAACTAGGTGATATCTTAGAATTTTTTTCAGAAAAAAATTATATTTTCTATTTTCTTTTTGTTTGATCTCGAGATTTTTCAATTATTTTTACCTCATTTTCTAAGTTTGGGGCAACCGTTTTTGAAGGAACGTCTTATTTCTCTCTTTACTTTGAAATGACGTATTAATATTGAGAGAGGAATTAAAAGAGAAAAGATAGGGAGGGATAAGTGAGCTAATAGACTGGATAAGTAAAATAAAGCTTAACTTGCACAAACAACTTTAATCTGCTAATATCTATATCAACTTGAGTTGAATCTCTGGGATTTTAAGTCAATAAATCTGTTGGTTTTGAATATTTCTCAAAGGTCTTTCTTGGCAATTTTCGTTTCAATCAATTCCAAGATTTTTCTCTACCCAAGGCCTAAGTCCGGGAAATGGTTTTCCGTCCAAGTCGGAATATCTTATGTCGTCCAAGTCGGAATCCCTTCATTTCCTCAACATCTTCCACACACTTTTTGTGTGAAATTAATTTCAATAATACGAGATTTGGATGTAATATATTACGAGAAATTTTTTCGAGTTGGTTGACTTGACTGAGACTGAGCCTGATCAGAGATTGATCATTCTCCTCTGGGAATAGATCATTTCAAAGAAAAACACTTTTCTTTTTTTAAAATATTTTTTCTTCTTTTTTTTTACTTTTTTTTTATTAGCTACCTCAAAAAAAAAACAAATATTAGCTCTATCTATATCCATCCATTCTTCCACGCCAACTCTTTTCTTCTATTTTCTATTTAACCCTTCATTTCCTCAACACCAAAAATCTTTTTTTTTTTTCAAAATTTAAAGAGCTCTTTTTTTACCTTTATTATTTTTTCTTAACACTCCAAGCATATGGATTATATAAGTAATCTGTCGCTTTCCATGCTTTAACTAATATTTTGTTATTTCCAATTTTTTCTTTTGTCCCATCGAATTTTCTTTTATAAATGTCCAGTTGTTCAAAAGGTTGACAAAAATTGTTCAAAACACCTAGAACTGAAATTATTAATGACTAAATATTTTCGTTCCATAAATAATTTTTAACTGTAAAATTATTAGAGTTAAAAGATCTACCGATCAGGGATGTTTTGGGTTACCCAACACCTCGATTCGAGAAATTTTCCAAATCCTGGCCCGAGACTCGACCCGATTCCCTCTTAATCCTCCTAAATGACCTGATCCGAACCCGATCCGAAACCCAGACTTTTTTGACCCAGGATTCGATCCGAAGAAAATTTTAAAAACCCGGCTCGAACTCTGACTCGTCTTTTTTCTCAACCAATGAATCCCTACTACCTATGCTACGATAAGTTGATTTTCATTTTTATGTATATTTTTATGTATTTATTTGGTTCCTTTACATATTTTTCCAAAATTCTAACATTTTTAATTTTCTAAATTTATTTTTCAACTCCTAACAATTTTCTTATACTTTTTAATATTAAAAATGAAAAAAACAAAGGGAGATTAATATATAAAAATAATATATAAATCTAATATATCCGAAAAACGAGGGAGAAAGTGAGGGGAGGAAATCAGCAAGCACAGCCTTTCTTTTTCTGTTATTCTTTTCATTCATTTTCTAGTCGATCACAAGTTTATTTATAAGAAAAGACGGCAGCTTCTGCCTTGATTTTTGGGGCAAACAAAAATTTTTTTCAGTTTTTGCTTTATTATAAAAATTGAACGAAATGACGAGATTATTGATTAATGTCATGGCTAATAATTAGTGCATTTTTTTAAAATTTTTAAGGATATTTTTTATTTTTTTTTTACCCTAATGTTTTGGGATTTTTAAATTTAATACAAAGTTCAAAATATACTAGAGCCCGGCTCGGTACGATATTTTTTCGATATTTTTCGGTATTTTTCGGTATATATTTTTCGATATTTATCGAAAAAATATCGACCGAGCCCTCCATCCGGGCTCTAAAATATACCCAATCAAAACACCTACTTAATATACCGTAAATGCTCTAATTAAAGCCTTAGGTTTCTATTTTTCAAAGGTGTATTCATGGGATTTTTTCAATGGGATTTTCATTGTTTTCTGTTTTTCAGTGGGCTTTTATTAGAGAATTGATGTTTATTTTTTGACGGGCCTCCTGGTGTGGGCTTTTATTATATATGGGCTTTTAATATATCCGGCTTTAATTAGAGCATTTATGGTAGATTTTTACATCTCAATAAAACCACATTTTCTTGCATTTTCACGCATTTTCGCAGTAAAAATTAATTTTTTCCTAAATTTATTTTCAGAACATTTATTATGGTTCTACGCAATGGTAGCGCGTTATCAGAATCTTTGGCATTGAGTGCAGCTTCTGATGAGCCTAGCACTTCACAACCTATTCGTGTGGATGAATTAGACCATTATGATGAAGATTGGATTAGACCTTTCCCCTTGAAAGATGGAGTTAAAATTCGGAAAGGAGAAAAGTTCTCTGATTATTATGTAAGGGAAATGTTTGATCATTTAATGGGTGGACGGGCATATCAGTACGGACTATAGGGATCAGACTAGGACATGGATACGGATATGGATACAGATATTGTAAAAATGCCTGCGGATATCCGTCTGTATCCGCCGTAAATATCCGGATACGGATACCAAAATCAGTATCCGTGTCCTAGTCTGATAGGGATTACTGTGAGAAAAATAAAATTTTGCTACTTAGTTCTAAAACATAAAAGCTCTTTTCTTGACCCAGTAGCTTTATTTAGGGCTTGGTTCTTGATTCCAAGACCCAGTGGCCGTAGGTTTTGAAATCGGCAGGGGTTAATTAAAAGATCCCAATATGTCCGCATTTCATTAAAGGATATTTTTAATCATCCCCTTTTATTTTTTCAGACACTCTACGAAGAGATTTCGGGACTTGATTCCTGGTTCGAAGACCCAGTGGGCGTAGGTCCCGAAATCAGTAGGGTGGTAACTGTTCATAAGCTGAAATATTCCAATATGTCCACATCCCTCAATGGATATTTTGAACATCCCTTTTTTATTTTCAGACACTCTATGAAGAAATTGGTGAAGGCAAATTTGGAAAGGTCTATAGATGCATTGAAAAAGCAACTGGACTAACTTTGGCAGCTAAATGTATCAAAATTCGAAAAGATACCGATTTTGAGAAGGTCGAAAAGGAAGTCAATATAATGACACAAGTAAAAGAAATATTTGGGAAAATTTTTATTTTTCTTTATAACCTAGATGAGGCACAAATGTATAGCCCAAATATATGATGCATTCGCAACTGATTCAAACGATGTAATTCTTATAATGGAAATTGTACAAGGTGGTGAACTGTTTGACCGTGTAGCTGATGATAGCTATATTTTGACGGAAATGGCTGTAGCTCTAATAATGTTTCAAATTTGTGAGGTGAATTTTTGAAAAAAATTTTCTGAAAAAATTTTGAAAAAATTTCAAAAAATTTCAAAAAAAAAATTTCAAAAAAATTTCAAAAAAAAATTTTCTAAAAAATTTTTAAAAAATTTAAAAAAAAATTTCAAAAAATTTTTAAAAAATTTCAAAAAAAATTTCCGAAATTTTTCTAAAAAATTTTTGAAAAATTTTTTTGAATAAAAAATTTTCCACTTAAAGGCAATTCGCTACATTCACAGTCAAAACATTATTCACTTGGATTTAAAACCAGAAAATATTATGTGTGTCTCTCAAACATCTAACAAAATTAAACTTATAGATTTTGGACTTGCACAATGGTGAATAAAAAATTTTTATTTAAAATTTTTCGAAATTTTTTTAAAGGTATGATGGTAGCAAAGATTTAATGTTTATGGCTGGAACTCCTGAGGCAAATAATTTTTTTATAAATTAAGAAAATTTTTTTTTTAATTTTAGTTTGCCGCTCCAGAAGTGATTAAATATGAGCCTCTAGATTTTCACACGGACATGTGGTAATGCTTTTATTTTTAATTATAAATAGATTTCCGGGAAAAATTAACTTTTAAATTTTAAAATTAAGTTGATCAATTTTACTTAAAAAATTAAATATATACATATTTTTTTATATTTTTAAGGTCTCTAGGCGTTATTGCTTACATACTGTGAGTTTATCTATTTTTCTTAATTATTAGATTTTTAAATTATTAACCTATATTATTTTTAAAAAATTATTGATCTATTTAGAGGCCGGGACTTCTATTTTTCAATGGGGAATTTCACTGGGCTTCTATTAGAATGGGCTTTTATAAGATAGTTGGCGTTTATTTTTCGATGGACCTCCTTGGGTAGGCCCGCATTAAGATCGTATTATTATTAGATTCTAATAGAGCCGGGCCTTAGAGTCAAAAAAATTTTTTTATTAATTTTTTTTAGCCTTTCGGTTTTTTAGCCTTTTTTAGCCTCTTTTCCTCAGATTTTAAAAATTATTTCTCTAATTAGAGCCCTAGACTTTTATTTTTCAACGTATTATTTTAGAGGGCTTCTATAAAATGGACTTGTAATAGAAGTTAACTTTTTTTTCGATCAGCCTACTTGTGGGAAGAGGAGGGGCTTGTATTAAATATAGGCTTTTATTGGAGTATTTACTGTCAAAAAAAAATTTTTAAAATTTTTTCAGCCTTTCGGGTCAATCTCCGTTCCTCGGTGAAACATTAGCACATACCTATTGTAATGTAGAAAAAGGAAGATGGATGTTTTGTGAAGAATTTAGAGAAAATGGGATATCTGATGATGCAAAAGATTTTATTTCTCGTCTTTTAATTGTTGAAAAAGAGTTGAGTTTTCACAAATTTTTAAAAATTTTTTTTTATTTTTTTCAGGAAAAGAATTCTCCCAGATGAATGTCTCAGGCATTGTTGGCTACTCAAAAACAGAGAAAGAGCAGCATTGGCTGGCGCAGCTAGTCGTGCAATAAGTCCAGCATTATTACCTTGTGAACAACAAAAACCTTTGGCAGTTGGAAAATTGCGTAGCTATGTGAAAAATAAGAAATTTAGGCGGCTAGTTTTTGGTGTGCTTTTTGTTAATTCGGTTATGAGAATGTTGAGAACTTTGCAGCAAAATAAGAGTAGTCATGGAATTGATTATGTTAAGGTACTTTGTTTGTTTTGTGGTAGAGACCGGCGCGGGAAGGGATCTCGCGCGGGATTTTGCGGGATACCGCTCCCGCAATCCCGCACTTTTTTTCGATTTGCAGGGGATTTATCCCGCGGGATCCCGTCCCGCAAAGATTTTTAAAAAATTTTATCCCGCGGGATCCCGCAAACGCGATTTTGCCGGTCTTTAGTTTGTGGATGAGGGGGGTTTCTCTTATTTTATTTTTGTAGAATATGTTAGCTGTTGCTGAATGTTGTCCAGAACGTCAAGATGAAAGCAGCTTGTTATTAAAAGCATTTACTAAAAAGAGGGGAGAACCAACTGAAACAAATGGTCAACAACAAAAGGAGGAAATTAAAATTGTTAAAGAAAAGGAAGAAAAGCAACAGCAACCACAAACTCCTTCAACAACTCGTAGAAAGGTTAGAAAAGAAAAGGAACGTAATGGAGAAGATTTGGCAAAGAAAAGGAGTAAATCAGAAGCAAGACGTGCTGTTGATCAGCAAAGAACTAGATCGAGTACTGAACATACATCAACTAAAAAACAACGACAGGATAATGAACAGGAAAAGGAAGGGGAAGGAGGGAATATTAAGGTAAAGAGAAAGTATTTTTAGTGATTGGAATTTCGTACCATAATACTGAAGAAACCCGATATCGATTAGTGGGTCGGAACAGTCAGAGGTGTCGGAAATCGGAACTGTCGGAAATTTCGTACCATAATACTGAAGAAACCCCGATATCGATTAGTGGGTCGGAACAGTCAGAGGTGTCGGAAATCGGAACTGTCGGAAACAGACCTGGTCACGGATACTGATTTTGGTATCCGTATTCAGATATTTACGGCGGATACAGACGGATATCCGCAGGCATCTTTATATTATCTGTATCCATATCCGTATCCATGACCAGGTCTGGTCGGAAATCGGAAATGGCTCAAAAGTCGTAACTCGGAAATCGGAAATCAAAATTTTTTTCGGAAATCGGAAGGAAAAAAACGTCGGAAATCGGAATTCCGACCCACCTCTGATTAGTACTGATTAACTTCAGAATTTTACTGCACCTTATTCCGTACCATATTACCAATACGAAATACCGAAAAATGCCGTCAATAGTGCGTTACGGTCCGATCACTAATTATTTTTAAAAATGAAAATTTCAAAAAATTTTTTTTCAAAGAAAATAAGCAAATCGTCTATTTCTAAATTTGGATTAAATGAAGAGAAAAATCAGAAACTAAAAACAGAAGAAAAACAAAATAAAACTAAAAATAAATCACCCCAACCAGCAACAAAAAATTTTGGAATTAATGTAATGAAGTTAGCTCAAAATTTGGAAGAAGTTCCAAAACAACAAATAAATGCCCTTACAAAAATTAAACAGCAACAACAACAAGAAGAAGAGAATCATCAACAACAAGCTTCTCCTAAAAATTCTTTTGTCAGTAAAATGTTACAAAGATTAGAACAACAAAAACAAGAGGACCAAATCAAAAATAAAGAACAACAACAGCCACTAACATTTGCTGTAGCAGCTATACCATTAAAGAAGGAAAACAATTTAATTGATAAATCACCCAAAGTTGATAGAAAGATTCCAATTAATTGGAGGGAAGAGGTGGCAATGAGAGCGGAGGAGGTAGGAAAGGTGGGGGTGGTTGATTATTTTCTTTTGTAATTTGGAATCAGAATAAATTATTGGGGGCGGAGAGAGGGGGTCTTAAATATCTAAGGAAATATTATCCGATGGTTGGGGCCTATTTCTCTTGTCTTGCTTTCTTCTGAGAAAAATCACGTCTCGAGGTCACATTTTGGACTATAACTTTTTTCATTCCTAATCAGTTTAAATAATTATTTTATCAATCGAAAGCCTTGGATGTAAGGATTATTTTATCTAACAGGATTGAGTTGATCAGATTATCCTACAAAAAGTTACAAGTAGTTAAGTGCGCGCAATCGTGGTTTTTTGCTCTTTATCTGACTGCAACTTTCTGTAGGATGATCTGATATAATTAATCCTCTGAGATAAACTAATCCTCACATCCAGAGCTTTTTACTGGAATAATAATTATTTAAATAAATTGCGAATAAAAAAAAAATTATGGCCCAAAATATGGCCTCCAGGTTAAGGGCAATTCCTAACTTCCCCTATATTTATCTTAAGATTCTTTGTTCTTTAAAAGATCCACAGTTATTCAAAAATTCATATCTTAGATTCTAGGGTCCGCATGATTTTCATCTTTTACTTTTGTTATCTCGTTGTCTAGAGATAGGTTTAAGCCCAATCGAATTAGCTATAGTACAATACCATTAGGAGCCTCCACCCTTGTGATAAAAGATTAATATCGGGGTAATAGTGCAGTTACCGGGCCCCCTTTTTTTCCTTTCTATTTTTTCCTAGTTTTTTCTTATTTTATGGCAAATTATATATCATTCGAAAGAGCTCTTCGAGCTGAGTCGAATGACATTAAAATCAACGAAATCCAACTTTAAGTGAATTTAGTTGTGACCGTTTATATTTTATTCCCTTGCATTAGCACAAAAAATTTTCCCAACGAGGATTTAGCTTCATAATTCTGGTAAGAATGATCAGATTTAGACAATATTTGTATCAAACGACCAAGCTCGAAGAGCTGTTTCGAATGATATATAATAAACTATATATCATTCAAAAAAGCTCAAAATGGTCAGGGAACGAGAAAAAAAGGGGGCCCGGTAACTGCACTATTACCAATATCGGATTTAAAAATATAATTTTTAATTATTTTTAGTATGTCGCGGATGATTTAAATCCATATGAAAGAGAAAGATCCCACACAACAACAGAAAAACGGAAAAAACTTGTTAAACGAAAAGTTAGTAAAGTAAAAGCGACAGAAAATGAAGAAGAAAAAATAAATTTTGTTGAAAAAATGGAAATTGATCATCAAAATAAAAAAGAAAATAAACAAAATGGACATTGTAAAAATAAAAAAGAAGAAGAAAAAATGGAAATGGATAATAATAATAATGAAAATTTAATTAAGCCACAAACCCCTAGAACAAAGAAGAAAATGATTTTGGTTAGAAAAAGAAGAGAATCTACTGTGACACCGACTGATGAAATAAGTGTTGAGAAAGGGGTAAAATGAGTTTTAATTAATCCGAATATAACTGATCTACCGTATTTATTCTAATTGAATGCCAGCCATTCTATTTTTCATAGGTTAAAAATAGGGATTGGGATTGTTGTTATTGGGATCAGGGGTGGGCGCAAGAGACAATCTCAAAAAACGCAAGACGCAAAACGCAACGCAAGGCCAAAATTTAACGCAAAACGCAATGCGCCCACCCCTGATTGGGATGTGAGATAAGGAAAATTGGCAATTCGACCAAAAATAGAGGCTACCATTCTATTTTTCATTCATTCAAAAATGTGTCATTCAAAAATGTGTCATTCAAATGGAGGTGCCAGACAAATGGAGGTGTCATTCAATTGGAGGTGTCATTCAATTAGAATAAATATGGTATATATCTTTTCGATCGCCCGGAATTTTCCTAATAGGTCTGTTCAGTCCTTAGCAAGTTATCAGCTAATAAGCACAGATCGTGATTTTCTATTTTTATTAGGCCATAACTTTCTTGAACTTCAATCTTTTCTCATGAATTATATGTCAAACGAAAGCTATGGGTTTACTGATTATTTTTTCTAATGAGACTGTTAAGATCTAATCATTTTTTAAGAAGTTATTAACTGTTAAGTTAGGAAAATCGTGGTTTTCTATACTTATTGGGCCATAGTTTTTTTTGTATTTCAATCTTTTCTCAAGATTTATATATCAATCGAAAGCCCTCGGTTTGCTGATTATTTTTCCCAATGAGGCTGATAAAATCCTTCCAATCCTTAATAAGTTATTAACTGATAAATTCAAAAAATCGTGATTTCCGATATTTATTGGGCTGTAACTTTTTGTAGGATGATCTGATCAAAACAATCCTTTTGGATAAAATAATCCTCACATCTAGAGCTTTCGATTGATATATGATTTATTTAAATCGGTTGAAAATCAAAAAAGTTATGGCCCAAAATATGACCTTGAGACTGATAGTTCAATTTGGAAGCCCTTCAAAAACTGTTTAAAAATTATAATTTTGTGTAATTTTATAGTTGAATGGATTAAATCACCTTCGACAGCAACGAATCTCCAAAAAATTTGTAAAATCAAGTAACTCAATGGATGAAAGTCCAGTTGTTGGACATGATGTTTTTGATTTTAGATTGTTACGTATGAAATTGCAAAATCGGATTATGGGGTAAATTTTTTTAGTTTTTAAAATTAAAAAAAATTTTTTTAAAAATATTTTTAGTATGAAAGACGAAGAAGAATTGGCAACAGAAGCAGAAAATAAACGAAAATTTGAATTACAAAAACAGCAGCGTGAATTACAAACAAATTTAAATATTAAAATGGCAATGCGCAAATGGCTAGCTATGGATAAAGAAAGTAAACAACAAAAGTTTAGTTGTCGACGACCACCAACACCAATAAACGGGCCAATCCCTGAATGGGCTAAATAATCAGATTTTTAGATATTTTTTTCTGTGTATTTACACATTTTCTTTGTCCCAGTTTTTAATAATGCTCAACTTTATATATTTACAGAACCACTTTTATATTATACGAGTTAATCGTTTCGATTTTGATTCAATTTTTTCAAAAGATAAATTAATCAAGTGTTTTGATTTTTTTTGAAAATAAAAATAATAATTTTAAAAAATCAATATATCGATTAGTATTGATTTTATCGTTAGTATCGATTTTTGGAAATTATAAATTTTTAAAAAATAAATTATCGATTAGTATTGATTTTATCGATTGATATCGATTTTTTGGAAATTAGAAATTTTTAAAAAATCAATATATCGATTAGTATCGATTTTATCGATTAGTATCGATTTTTTGAAAATTAAAAATATTTTAAAAATTTAAAAAATCAATATATCGATTAGTATCGATTTTATCGATTAGTATCGATTTTTCCAAAATTAAAAATATTTTACAACTTTAAAAAATCAATATATCGATTAGTATTGATTTTATCGATTAGTATCGATTTTTTGAAAATTAAAAATATTTTAAAAATTTAAAAAATCAATATATCGATTAGTATTGATTTTATCGATTAGTATCGATTTTTTGAAAATTAAAAATATAAATTATCGATTAGTATTGATTTTTATCGATTGATATCGATTTTCTAATTTAGCCAGTCCGCTCTCAACAGGCCGCACTCGGAAGACCTCAACTCTCCGTGCCCGCTCAACTCATCGAATCCTTAACTCATCGAATCGACCAAAAACGCTCAACTCATCGAATCGGCTAAAATTCCTTAACTCATCGAATCGGCCAAAAACACTCAACTCATCGAATCCTTAACTCATCGAATCCTTAACTCATCGAATCGGCCAAAAACTATCAACTCGTCGAATCCTCCCAAAAGGGGACGTTTGAGTCCTAGTGTTTATTTTTCTCCCGAAAGGGCTAACTGAATCTTTGTTGAAAAAATTTTTTGCTGCTATGGAGGCTAGGAAAAAGGGCTTTTGGGCATAATCGGGGTCTACTGGACTAATTTGGTCCGGTTTTACCCGGTAAAATCTCCAGCATAATTTATTAGGAATGAGATAATGTTTTCAGGAATGAGATAATGTTCTGATAATGTTTTCACTGGCCGGATAAACTTGGATGAGTGCCCGATCAACTAATTAACAAAATTAGTTGAAACCCCAGAAGAAAACAAAAAAAAAATAAACAAAACAATAAAAAATCTAAAAAATAAACACGGGGACTCAAACGTCCCCTTTTGGAAAAATTCGATGAGTTGATCGTTTTTGGCCGATTCTATGAGTTGAGGATTCGATGAGTTAAGGATTCGATGAGTTGAGTGTTTTTGGCCGATTCGATGAGTTGAGGATTCGATGAGTTAAGGATTCGATGAGTTGTAGGGTAGCCCAACTCTCATATTTACTTTTCTTCTCTAACTACACTATTTCTTTTATATAATTTCTCTAACTTTGGGGACAGAGTATCATTTATTTTAAATATCACATTATGCCATATTTGGCGTTTTTTAAATTTTTAATTTTTCATAGAAACCATGCTTTATTAAAAATAAAAATACTGAATAAAAAACAATTTCACATTATTTTTCTTAAATTTTCCTCTCGTGTTCGTGTTGTGGTCATCAAGCTTCATCTAAAAATATAAATAAAATAAATATAAAGGATTTAACTGAATTTATGAATATTGTTACAAGTCTTGGGGCATTTTTAAGACTATAACTTTTAGGTTTTTCGACCACTTCGAACAATTCTTACATCACTCGAAAGCTCTTGATGTGAGCAGTATTTTAGCTAACAGGTTTGATTTGATCTGATCATCTTACAAAAAGTTACATCTAGATAAGTACGCACAATCATGATTATTGATACTTAGTAGGCTTTAACTTTTTGTAAAATGATCAGATCAAATCGAACTTGTTAGATAAAATAATCCTTACATCCAGAGCTTTCGATTGACATTGTAATTATT